ACTGCTGGTCTAATTAACCGTCCACGCTAAGACAGTAAGGTTACAGAAAGCAGGTAAGGGGACACCATGCGAAGAACGGGAGGCAAAAAAGTCCTGGCTAGTATGCGGGAGGAACGAAAGCGAGATGGCGATTGCGTAAGTGCGAACACGAGACTGTAAGCTCGCAAATAGTCCTGAGGGTTACGACGAAGATAAGTGACAATGGAGACATGCGACCATCAGAGCTGAGCTATGCCCAGCGACTCTGCCTGAATACTGGCGTGCGGGAAGAGGTGGCGGACGTAGCGCCCGACAGAAGACATTTCGTTGGAGGGCCTGGACGACCCGAAGTCCAGGTAGCACACGCAATTTTTCCGCTTCGGGGGCAGAGCCCATGTGACGGCCTCGAATTCGAGCAACGCGCCAAACCGCTCCAAATACGGAGCGTAGCCGGAGGGACTAATGGGCTGGGTGAGAAGTGCCTCAAGACAGCGAAGGCTCGGGAGTGGTTCTTTGTCTGCGGCCTTGTCGGGTGAGGGGTTGACGGGGAGCTCTTGGAGATGAGGGTACCCGCTGAGGAACCCCTCCAATTCCTTAGGATTGTAAGTGATGGCGTGCGAGTCATGGATCCGCAGGACGCGCAGATTCGTAGACATGCCTGTGTAGTCCTCTAAACGAAGACGGGTATTACTCGCTCTGTTGGTCTCCACACAAAGATCCTCCAGGGCAAGAAAACCCCGCAGGACCCTCATGAGCGCGCGATGACTGAGGCTCCCGAGTATGGTAATTTGGAGGATCGTCAAGGTCGAGGAGGAGACCATGTGCAAGGTGAGAAAGCGAAGACCGCGTGCGGACACGACGGTATAAATAGCCTTTACGGCTCTGGGGAAAAGGGGGGCCGTATTGCGCTCGCCGAGCTCCTTGACAGCGTCGTAGATGCAGTCGACGCAGCTGGACCCGTCGACTTCATCATAGACAACAGTCTTAATCCTCGAAGTCCAAAACTGAACCTGGTCCCGAGCAGCTCTGAACTGCTGATCGTTGGCGGGTGGCGAGCCCTGTGCCAAGCGGGTGTTAGAGTGTCGCACGTGGTCGAGAGTGACATGGCGACTCACCGCGCATACCTCGTGCCCCGCCTCGAGCGCAGAGCGGTCTGTGCAGACCACAGCGAGGAATTTCTCGATGTCATCACAAACACGAAAGAGTTCATCGAGGGCGACGTCGCGGAAGGGCCGCACCCGTGCGAGGTAGAGCAGATCAGACGGGCCGAGGAGACATGCGATGCCTCGCAGCACATCGCTCGTGGCAAAGAACCTGTGCCTAACGGGCTGCATGCGAGGCAAAGCGGGTCGTAGGAGGACGAGAGCTGTTCTGGTTCATGGAGGACGCGAGCGGCGGGGTCATATACTCGCAGCATGGTGCATAGGCCCGCGCCCCGCCGCGTCCCTCGAGGTTTTGTACCCTTACTCTGTTAGGTATGCCCGCCGAGGGCGAAGGTGCCTGGCGGTGCAGGGCGGCGAGCGCGGTGCGCAAGACGGGCCTGTCAACGAGAAAAGCGCCGGAAAGCCGCGGTGTATCGGAGGACGAAATACCGTCTCAGGCAGGTCGAGCGACCTTCAATGGGACTGGCTGCGTATGCTATGCGCGCGGAAGACACGATCGAGCAGCCGCTGACAGGCAGACAAAAAAATGAGGCAGTGGGACAAGGACAGTCCGGACGTCATGACCTTTGTCGCTAGACGTCGCCCGCATTGCGAAGTCCCGGAGTAATAAAGACTATTGCGGCAGGTCTGGATAGAGGCGATGAAAATCCGGAACTGCTCGAAGCTGCTCGGAATATCGTCTAGCACAGGTTGGGTAGCCGACGAAACATTGACTCGAGACCGCCTTGCCCGCTGAAGTTGGAGAGCCTGGCGTGGATAGAGAGTGAGTTGTCAAACAGCGTGCAAGTATTGTAAGTGGTGCATGGCGTTGCTAACAGCAAACGAAGGAGACAGCGAAAACAACGCGTGACTAAAGGGGAGATGGTACAAACCAACGGAGTCACGTGCCGCACTTGACATTCACCGTTACTACGGGCGTCGAGTACAAGACAATGCGTATCTTGATAAGACATATATGTACAGATTACAAGGTGACTTTGGGATGTCAGTGACTATTGACCACAGAGGTTTGCTCTGACTCACTCGGTACAATTACAGCTACGATAAGAAGCCTCGAATAGCCCCTCCTACATTTTGTACATCCAGCCTAGACAATCACGTCAGCGAACTCGGCGAAGGAGAATGTCAGAGGATAGACGTACAAGAAAGTATCATGTCCCCAAACGCCCCCAAGTTCGTAATAGCTGACCATCTGGTTGCCAGCCATCCTCAAAGCATCCGCGACCTCCCGCTGCTGCTCAACAGGGAATAGAATGTCGCTTTGCACCCCAAGCACCAGTGTCGGCGTGTTGACCAGTGGTTTGAGGCCCTCCGCAAGGTCAGGGAGATGCGGCGGTGGATTCGGCGGCGGCGGATGGGACTTTGAGTGCGAGAGGTGCGAGTGATAATATTCATGGTGAGGTGAAGACAAATGGGCTGCTAATGAGGGAGGAAGTGGAGGAGGCGAAGATCTCGGAGGAGAAGGCGTCAGCTTCAGCGAATCGAAGGACGAAGCCGTCATATCGAAAAGGTCCATGGCTTTGGAGATATAAATCAGGGAATTGGCGTCATACTTCAGACAGAACTGCTCTCCCTGCACAGCGCGTAAGTGATGGGACATTCTACTTCCACGTGAATTGCACAGACCTGGTAGTCTAGATATGTTTCGATCAAGAAGTCGGGACAGAGAGCCGGCACTCTAGGAAACTCCGCATCCCCCCGTGCGTCTGGTATTTCACGAACTTTGCGCCCGAAACGTTGGTCCCATTCAGGCCCCGAACGGTATGTGATCGTAGCGATTTCTGAATGGAGTATGGTTCCGTATGAAAACCTTTAGAAGGCTGACAAGTACTCACGTCGCGCAAGTTTCATGCCTGTGTGTGGCGGAAGTCTGTTGTAATAGAATCCTTTATTCCAGTTTGGGTCCGCCATTAAGACTGAGGATCTTGTGAGTAGAACTCCAAAGAGTTAACAGTACATGTGCTCACCACTCCGTTGAGCAAAACGCATGGCAATTGCACTTGGGCTACTCCGGGCTGTACCGCTGATGCTAACGACCTTTCCGACTCGCTCAGGGTATAGCCATCCTGCAGCGAGACTTTGCATGGCACCCATGGACGATCCTACGCTTGCGTATAGCCTGTCAATCCCAAGGTGGTCAAGCAAGCGAAATTGCGCTCGAACCATATCGAAAATGGAGATGACCGGGAAGCGCGTCGCATAGTATTCGCCGGTAGTAAGATCCATTGACGACGGACCAGTAGTACCGTAGCATCCTCCGAGGACATTTGTGCAGATGACGAAGAACTGGTTTGTGTCCAACGCACGTCCAGGGCCGATGAAGCGTTCCCACCATCCCTCCGCTCTGTTTAGCTCCGTCGATGCAGCATGCGAGGACGCCGACAGCCCCGTATGGAGGAGAATAACGTTATCCCTGTCTGGCGAAAGCGTGCCCCACGTCTCGTAAGCAACGTCGAACCGCGGTAATGGAGGGGCATATACGAGTGGAAGCGGGTCTTTAGAGTGGAACGTCTTGTAGGAGCTTGGACTCGGGCGGGCGTACGGTGGTTCTGGCCCAGAGGTGGAGGTCGACGTTCCGTTGCTCGACGTGGCTGTCTCTGCAGAAGATGCCAGAATACGCGACTCTCGCGCGGCGTGCGCGTCCACGCAAGGGAAAGAAGGTTTAGCGTCGTTCGGAATTAGACACGTCGAGGCAGCCCGCGTGGAGCGTGCCCTGACCTGCTGGAGGACTGCACCTCGAGGCGCTTTGAGGTGGCGGCGGGCAAGCTTTGCGACGTTCATGTCGGCGAGTAGAAGAATGAGGTCAGCGGCAGCGACCTGCGAGGAGGTGGTGGTCAGGCAAGAAGAAAAATATAGACAACATTATTCATCTCGACAGTGGGAGCTTTCAGCGGTGTCGATGCGGTACTTTGTTCAGCAAGCCAAAGGATGGCGACAGAATTGGCCACACCGTGACGTCACGAAGAGTGACCGTCAAGCAGCAGTCACGCAGGTCGGAGTGCAAGGCAGCTGCGGCGGGATTCGAAGCAGAAGTACTATGATACACACACAGGCTAGCAGGAAAGTCGGAAATTACAGTCCAGTCCAATAGAAGCTCTTCCCAAGCTCGATCTCTCCCGACAGCCTCACGTCCGCCGACGAAGCTCCAACAAGCACCTTGAACCTCCCAGCCTCCGCCACTTAGTACGCCCCCTTCCGCTCATCATAGAAACTGATAGCGTACTTGTCAAGATGCACAGTGACCTTCTCACTGTGCCCTGACTCGACCGCAACCTTTGCGAAACCCTTGAGCTCCTTAACCGGTCGAGGCAACGACGACTGCGGGTCTGCGATGTAAACTTGCGTGACTTCTCGGCCCTCGACGTTCCCCATGTTCTTCACTGTGAAAGAGACCGAAAATTTGCCGTGCTCAGAGATACCAGAAACTTCAAGAGCGGGGTAGTCGAAAGTAGTGTATGAAAGACCATGGCCGAAAGGGAATAGCGGTGCGAGCTTCTTAATCTCGTATCCTCGGTATCCAACAAAAATGCCCTGCACGAGTCACATAATCAAAATCAGAATATTCAGTATCCCGCGACGGTTCTTACTTCGTTGTAGACGATCTTGCCATGGACCTGAGGTTTGTCGCCGAACGAGGGATGCGATGGGTTATCCTCAACATGCTTCCTGTACGTGCATTTCGGAAGAATTTGTCAGAATGCGGAGGCACAGCACGTACGGGAACGTGAGGGCGAGCTTGCCCGACGGGTTAACCTTGCCGAATACGGCGTCAGCAATGCCGTTGCCTGCTTCGTTGCCTCCATAGAAGGCCTGGAATAATGTGAGTATGGGAGGTGACGAGCAGCGCTGTGTACTGACCTGAAGAAGGGTGTGGGCATCCCCGATCCACGGCATCTCAACCGGCGTTCCAGACTGATTGACGACCACGGTCTTCGGGTTGGCGGCGAGTACTTCAGCAACAAGTCGGTTGGTGAGGCCAGGAAGGCTGCAGAGCGCATCAGCATCTTTCCCTAAAGTTGAATAGCAGAAACTTACTCCATATTTTGCCTGTCGTACCCTTCACGTTCCGAGCTATCACGAAGCTTTGAATACGAGCCGTTTAGCGGTATTTCAGATAGCTCACTCATTGTTCAGGCCGACTACCAGTATCGCAACTAAAGCAGGTCCGATTAGGGCCGCAATTACTCAGCGCTGCAAGATCACAGCCAGGATACTCACTATCAGACGCCTTTGCTAGGCCTAACCGCTCGTTTGATGCCGTCCTCGGGATCAATCCGACGGATGGCATCAAGTTGAATTCCACCACGAGCTGCAAACGGTGCGCCCCCAGCAATGAATGCTTTGTTACTCAGACGAACTTCGACCCTGTGTTTAGTCCCAGCCTTGAGCCCTTTCACAACCGTACGAATGTCGACAGTTCCGAGACCGAAGAATGAATCTCCCTGTTTCGGATTGATGCTGAGCTCGATGACAAGTTTGTCGTCGATGAATAAATTTCCTCGGCCTGCGATGTTCATCCCGATTTCCCAATCGCCGTCTTCGTCGGGGACAAAGGTTGCCGTGAACTGCAGAGATAGTCAATACCTCAGCTAGCTAGATGTCGACTTGCCCTCAGCCAGCATATTTCGTTGACCTTGGTGTCGTCCTGAAGCGTATGTCATGAGCTACAGTCCCATGTTATCGTAGTGAGACACGTACAATCCCATCGGCCAGGAAGCACTTCGCAGAGTTCGTTCGAGTGCTCCACACGGCAGGCACAGCCCTGGAAAAGTTCGGGGAGGTTGACAGCTAGTCATCCGTAGGACTGTCGTTCCAAAACTCGAAGAACGCGCCCCTCTTCCCGTCGTATGTTATGTACGGGTCGATGGCAGGCAGGTATCGGTACGAGAGCGTTCCAGCCGTATACTCGACTTCAGCGCCAATCTCCTTCGCGGACTCGGTGACACCCTCCAACGGTGAGACGGAGTATGTTGGGGGAAGGGAGGCAGAGCCTCCACCGGAGATTACAGCTTGCTTGGCATTAGGGCCAATGACAGCGATCTTATGTACGCCCGCTCCGATAGGAAGGAGACTCTTCTCGTTCTTGAGGAGGACGATAGCATCTGCAGCCGCCCTCCGGAGAAGCGCACGTACTTGAGGAGTGTCCAACGGTTCCTCTGGGGTGTCAAATGGAATCCCAGATTCGTATGCGTGTTGAAGCATTTCGAGGACCTGACGATGTCCGTGAGTACCGAAAAGGGCAAGGTCACAACAATCTCGAGACGTGCCTTCCTGACGCGACAATCGATATCATGGAGGAACAGCTTCTCGGCGACGACTGCCCTGATGGCTGCGTCGCCCCGCATGACGGTCGGCCCTCTATCAACTAATAATTGAGCACAAAATACTTGCTGAATGACGATGATGTACGTACGGCATTTCAACGTCCACCCCGGCTTGGATACTCTCGGCGGTGCTGTATGTACCGGACCAGTCACTCATGATCATCCCCTTGTAGCCCCATTCCTTATTTCCTGTGTGAACGCGTGCTCGACGGTGGACAGTATAACATCTACCTTTCTGAGAAGATCGTCCAGCAGCCACTCGTTCTCCGAGCAGTGAAGCCCGTTTAAGCGACTATAACTACCCAAACGGATCAGTATCAGACGTTGACCCAAAGAATGCTAATCGCGACTTACGCAGTCATTAATGCCCATGGATTAGCTTCCTTGACCGCAATTTGGAACGGCTAGAGGTAGATCTCTCTCAATGCCCTCTCGCTGACGTCGCTACTAATGGAGCATCTGCGCAGAGAGAATAAATTAATCTCAGCGATCTTATGGTATGCACACGGTTCAAAAGTGACTGACCTCCGGAATTCTTGATCATAGGCGACGAAATGTTTGATTGTGGCTGCGACACCCTTGGACTGCAATCCATTTATATAGGCAGCGGCAATTGTCCCATTGAGGTGAGGATCCTCAGAGAATGACTCAAAGCCTCGTCCTCCCAAAGGAGACCTCTGAGTGTTGACGGTAGGTCCCAGGAGGATATGACAACCTGGTTCTCGTGTGGGTATTCGAACGCACGTGTGTTACATATCTTTGGCATGGCATTCGTCTGCAAGTGCCTTACCAACTTCTGCCGCAAGCTCAGTGTCAAAAGAGGAGCCTAATCCAGTGGATGAAGGAAAGCAGCTGGAGGGGACCCCGTTGAAGACTGAGGCAGAGTTATACAAGATTGCTATGGATCCCACTGCAGCTGACACTTACATCGAGTACCGCGAACACCATTTGGACCCAATCCAATCAATGACAGATACGTTCTCGGCATGACTTGATCATTTCTTCTGTAGCCTCGCTACGTACCATTACTCATGCGTATGGCGGGGATATCAGCCTCTGGCACGGGCGTCGTATGCCACCATCCCTACGAGATTAATGAGCCATCAGCACATCATACAGGCAAGCGCTACTCACAGAACCCGACAGAAGCTTGACTTTCTGGCCCAAAGTCAGCTTGGCAAGTGTCTTGTCGATATCGAGGCGGGTAGAAGCAGCCATGGTGAGCAGCAAGATGAGAGGTGAGAAATAAGGTCACAGTCAACCCGCTTATAGGCGGTCAGGTATATATATTCGATTTCATCGTCGGGAACGCTCAGTTCGAGCGTTTCTCATGATCAGCTGAACGTAGCTGAACGTATGCCTGAGGTGTTCCAATAAGGAATTGCAGTCCCCCCGGAATCGGCATTATGACATGCGCTGCGGCAGTGGCACTCGCCCGACGAGAGCTGGTCACCTGCCCGCACATCCCGAAGGCAGTCACTGAGCGTAGCTAAACGTATGCCTGAAGCGTCGCAGCGGGGATTGCGTCTCCCCGGAGTCGGTACATTGGGCTGCAGGTGGTGGGATAGGAAGTTGCATAGGCGCCAATAACGCTTCGTAGATGACAGCCTTATTTGGGTCTCCAGACTGCGTAGTGTCCAGCATCGAGGCAAAAAAGCAAAGACTCATGCATTTCTTCCGCTCGCGTACACCATGGCATGCCGCGCACCACCCGGAATGGCGGTAAGCTCGGCCGTGTTCGCCCTGTGGAGGTCTTAAGGTACTTACTTAGGCTTCTGTTTCGATCCCATTATTCAAACAAGGCAACTGTGCCCTACACATACTGGGAGCTCTGTACGCGAGTTGGACATCCCCGCCAAACGCCGTCTATACATCTCAAACGTACTACCTGTTATGACTCATGGAATCTGACTGTGGTGGCATCCTACCTGGAAAATTGCAAGCACGGGCTGCCAGTGCTTCCGCACGACACGTGGCCCTGATGAAGAGCTCGAGCGCATGCTGCCCTTCAACAACTTTGAAAAAAAACCGTATACGAATTCTGCCTTTCAGGTGTCCCAAGGCTGGAAAGAAACCTACATCTCGCCCCTCATCCGCATTTATAAGCTAGGTCAGACGGCTACAGATCCACTAATTACCGAGCCCGCTAGCGACTGGGAGAGCGGGTACACGGGGAAAAGCACAGAGACTCGAAATCAGCGCATCCCCGCTTATACAAAGGCGTTCAGCGAGAAGCAGGAAAGAAGCATCTCTTCGTACACAACGATGAGGGACCCTGCAATGTGTGAGAAATCAGGCAGGGTTTAGGCGTACATCTGCATTGGCGCTATACTGTACGGACAACGACAATGAGACATGTGCCTCTAGTAAGTAGGAACAACATGAATCGAACACCATTACATGTGGGAACGTTAAAAATCACTACCCTCCATTACTTTCCGCACCCTCCAGAACATGCCATTCGTCATCTTCAAGTTGCTTCTTGAGGCCTTTCGGGTGGCCGATATACTGGAAATGCTCTCCATACATGGCGTAGTATGTATCTAGACTCTTTTTCGCTCTTTCTCTCGGCTTATCTCGGGCCTGCGGGCAGTCCAGCTTGGGAAAAATACCAGCTCGCGGAGCTCTCATGGTCAGGGAGGTCGAAGATGTAAAATGAAGTGCCATCAACCGGAAGAAAGAATGTATAAATGTGAATTTCCAGGTGTCCAAAGGTCAAGCGTCTCCGCCACGGCGTACATCTCGTCGCACCCGTACGCATCCCGAGAAGGTTGGTATTCCCATACTTAGAGCTTTATGCTCTCACAGCCATGCAAAGTCGCCTGGTCGAAGTCGACAATACGAACTTCGTCATTTTTGGAGATGAGGACGTTAGTGTGGTCGAAGGAGTCGCTGTGCTTGACTCCAGCCTTATGAATCTTGAGCATGGCGAGTGCAATTTTCTCGCTGTAACCGGCGGGTTAATAGGCTAACAATAGAGGACTCTATCACACTGCTAACCTGGTTTCGAGGGACATGTTCCATAAAGCCGTCATGTTCTCCGAAGGGCAATACTGCAGGATGATGCATGCTGCTTGACGCTCCGTCCTGTTGTCCTTCTTGTAGGAACCCCTGGAAATTCCGTAAAACCGAGGCACGACGACGCCTTGCTGGCAGGTCATGCAACTCGTTCCTATAGATCCTAGTCCCCATGCTCCAAGGTAGAGACGTCGTCTTCCTTGTACTTGCAGACCACACCAATCTTGTCAGAGTCCAATTTGACAGAATCGAGTGTGCCTATCCCTGTCATTTATATCACACTAAGAGAAATGAATTGCTTACATCCCGCAATGCCACAGAGATGTCAATAATTAAATTTCCGGAGTAATACATACAGCCCTACAAAGTTGCTACAAAGCCTATTGGAACCCAATATTAGTACAACAAACAATTGGTGTCTACTGGGAACCAGAGGCTCTGGAAACGAGAGTTTGTCCACAGTAGAGCACCTATGAGGCCGAAAACTGGAAACGCGTGTCGGCGTGTGCTGTAGAGCCTGAGGCAGCTTGGAGGTCGAGAAGGCCAGGTGGCAATCCAATGCTGCGGTTAACAAAGTTGAGACGGAGGAAGGCCATTACAAATTGCGGCGTGAAAGTTGCCGCTGATAGTGGGAAGATGGATGCAGGTAGGTACGGACGAGAGAGGGGCTAGGTCTCGGAGACTCAGTCTGAGAGTTGCAAAGTGGAGGTGGAGCTGAGCTGAAGTGCTGTACGATCCCTACCACCAGGAATTTGCACAAATCCGTTCGATGTATAGCATGATGCGCTCTATGTTGAGATACGACAGTTGCTCCGTCGGGGGGAGCTAAGTTACATTATTCAAAGCCCGCGAGGAGCGGAACGCGGTGGGCAGAGAGGCAATGAGGATATTTATACAAGTATGTTATCTCGGCCTGCTTTCCAGAGCATGAATCTCATGACCTTACGTGCTATCCACATGCTATGTCTGGAATATGTACCTTTCCTAGCGTTGTAAACCCTTCCCATGCCGGCGAGAGGTGAACAGAGACTCCCCGATCTGGCCTGGCAAATCCACGTGGATGCAAGGTCTAAACGTTGTTGCACTCAGCACTTATTCAACAATTACGTTCTTACTACAGAAGGATCACGTCCGTCGTCTGTATTTCGCGAGCGTAAACGAAACAGGTGGATTTTGTGCTCACCACCTTCACTGTGTTCGCAGAGAAAGTCGCCAATCAATTTCAGGACTCTCGTTCCGGATACATCGTACAAGGACAGTCGGTGAAGCCAACGTCCATAAAAGTGAGTCGGGCCTAGCCCCAAGTGTATGAGGCTTGGTTGCTGCATGCCTGGCTCCTGAGTGTGTCAGGGACGAGTGCATAGTTGAATATGGAAGTCATCATGGAGAAGACAGAAGGGGCTAACAGTAAGATAACGGCACAAACGGCGAGACGCCGGCAAATTAAACCTAGCCCACAATCAGGCGGGATGAGCAGTACTAGTAAGAGCTAATATAAAGCCTGATCGCCAAGCCATTTGCGCGAAATGAGCAGGGGTGCATCTGACACAACCCGACACGCTTTTCCGCAGCCGACCAGAATAGTACAGAGAAGACAATCGGCTTCTAACCGACAGAATCAGCTCACCGATTGGTTGAAGGAGATTATCGCGACGCATAGGCTTATATTCAACCTAAACGTGTAACTGAGCAATAGAGAACTCAATAGTAAAACCTACGGTGGTATCCTGACGGGCTCTCGCCCTGGCGGCAGATGTTCAGTAGCCGAGATGCTCCAAAGTAAACACATACCACGTTGAGCTGTCCTAAAAACGTGTCAGTAAGCCTTGGCATGCTGAGATGGCATGCTTTGCTACACCTATCTCCTGTGTGGTGCCCTGCATTGTCGAGGTTTCGAATGAGCTGCCATTTGACTCCAACAGAGCTAAACACGCACGACGAAACGGAACAGTAGCAAAAGGAGGTCATATCCAGTGCATCAAGGGAGTCAGGGTGGGCATTAGAGCGGATATGTATGTCAATTATGTGCGCTGCGATCTGCTTGGTTCGCATTGGCACCGAGGTCAGATCCGCTTGGAGTCGGAGCGGTGAGAACTTACAGGTTCGGATCACAACAGTCCTCAGGGCCCCTAGGCTCGCTATTTGCACCGTCATGTGAACCGTAAAGCGTTATCGGGGAAAGTGGCAGCCATAGGCTCAGAGTTGGGTTTGTGGGTGATAGTACAAACTTGAAGCGCGGCCGCAGATCTAGACTGCCATTTTGGGGCATCCGTATCAACTGATAGACGCCCATACCCACCGTTGACTGGCTACAACATACATCATCTCGACCATCCTAGACTTGGCACCAAGTTTGGCCGCGGAAGAGTATTTAATCATATCTGAACAGTAGGAATCTCATCTCGCTTTCTTTAGTAGTATCCAGCTGAGTTCTGTTAGACAGTGTGGCTGTTTGACCGTTCCCGGACTCACTTGGATGAGCGACAGCAGCCAAACGCTATAACATGCACTTTTACTTAACCGAAAGCCCGACGCGGACGCTGTACCTTGTTACTAGCTCCCAAGAGGAAATACAGGGTCGCCCGAGCCGAGTGCTTGTGTTCCGTGCTGCGGAAGGAAGAGCGTCGCAAGCCATCGTAGAGTTCCTCCCCAAGAGCGAGGTCGACCTGACCAATGCAATCAAGCTATCCAACAGAGTCATCAAAGGTTGTCTAGGCCTGATCTCTATTGCTGGCGGTGTGCTCCTTTACTACTGCCCTCGGCGATTAGTGGGCTTATCCGTCGCCATGTCCCAGACGTATTCCTCGCGGTTATAACATCCGTGACAGAACTTGGTGATACTAGGCCCTCTGGTCCTCGACCCGAGTCTGTCGCGAAGATAAATGAAGTAGGCTTTTACTCCTTGACTTCCTCGACGTGGGATTCTCCCTCTTTGTACGATGCTGCGCCAAGTCCCACCTTTACCGAGCAGACTGACACATATCTGCGGGACTCTTATTCTGGCCAAAACTCGCCCAATCTTATGTTTGAGCATCCGTGCATGCCTCTCATCAAGATAATATCTGCTGGGACTTTCTATTACGCTCTGGAGCCGTACTGGGACCTGTCGTCACGGCTGTCTCAGCGGATTACAAGGGATGGTCAAGCCCCACAAGATATGGGTCACTACGACGATCGCTTTCTGTGGAACGAATACATCGTGCGTAGTCTCCTAGACTTCCGAGAAGGGCTAGATCCCGCGGAAAGAAGCGACCTCGACCGGTGTCAATTCATCGTAAGCCCAGACCTTACGCTGTCGACTCCCGCTCATTTATTTTGCAAGGCGCTTGCCATACAAGGATACGTAGGCCTCCATGCGCTGCCGCTACCCGCGCCGCCTACAAACGGAAAGCCGATGGTTGCCACCGTTTCGCTCATATCTCGACTTGGCTGGAAGCGAGCAGGCACTCGCTTCAATACACGAGGTGTAGACGACGATGGGAACTGCGCGAATTTCGTAGAGGTATGTGGGTTATCCAGCAGCGCAGCGGACGTGTCCACTCATGTATTTGTACCCTCCAGACCGAAACCATCTTCAGCACTGAGATGAACTGTTTTAGCTTTGTCCAAATCAGAGGCAGCGTTCCTTGTAAGTGTCCAATGAGTATGTGCTTTGAGAAGAGCTGACGGCTTCCCGAAAGTGTTCTGGGAACAGCAAGGGCTGCAAACGTTCGGACAGAAGATACAGATCACAAGACCACAGGCTTCACAGCCGGCGTTTGAGAGGCATTTCATGCAGCTCATCGACGAATATGGGGCGGTACACGCGATCAATCTTCTTGGAACTAAAGAAAACGAAGCTAGTTTGACGGCCGCGTACGCACGGGGTCTTCAGATCGCGCAGACTGACATGGGCGATGCCATTGGCATTACTCACTTTGATTTTCATAATATGGTGAGGCTGTACGGTCATGACGGAGTTATCGGTCAACTTCGGTGAGTCTTTCTACTTCGCGTTTTGCAACGTGACATATTGAACTTTGCAAAGTCGACAAGAGAGCATCATGGAGCATATAGACAAATACGGCTTCACGATGGCGGACTCGACCTCAAACGAGATCATCACATACCAGAAAGGCGTGTTTAGGACGAACTGTCTGGATTGGTAGGCCCGCTGAACTCCTTCCTTCTGTATCTCTGTTGACGGACGTCTCCAGCCTTGATCGCACCAATTTTGTACAGGATATCCTTTCTCGCACCATCCTTGAGCAGTATCTCTCCCTGGTTCGACGAGAGTGGATGAATATCAGTTCGCTATGGTCTTACCATAGAGAGCTCTGGGCAGAGAATGGCGACGCGTTGTCTCGTATCTATGCAGGGACCGGTGCCATCAACACAAGTTACACAAGGAGCGGAAAGCGGACGCTGGCCGGTACGTTCGTCTCATAAGAGGGGTATCCACCTGACACGCCGGCCAGGCATGCTTTCTGACGCAACGAAGAGCGTCTCAAGAGCATACATCAACAACTTTCAGGACAAGAACAAGCAGGTCGCGATCGACATGTTCTTGGTTAGTGAGAACGTCGAGATATTGCGGCGGTGCTCGCTAATTAAGAAACAGGGCTACATTAGTACGCAGCAGCAAGTCACCATTTTTGACCCAATACATGATCTGGTTCGCGAGGCCCTGGAAAGACGGTTCGCCATAGAGGCTTGCATGTCGAGTTTATACTGATTGTATGTGAAGGCTGCCTGAATACTCGACTACAAGACAATGCGTAATCTTTACGGGTACCTGGAACGTGAACGGGAGGGTTAGTATTATGTATTCTGTTTAATCCCTCTTTCCTCTGACTTCTTGTAGACCCCCACATCCGAACCACTATTGCCCTGGCTGTTTGCACGAAACAGTACGTCTCTCCATTGGACAGCCTACACATCTTATACAGATCGCTTCAGCTTTTGCAGACATACCCGAGTACGCCAGACATGTTATTTTCTCGACCCCGATGCTCACATCACCTAGGCCAGATATTTACGCAATAGGTTTCCAAGAGATCGTGCCGCTTACCGCTCAACAAATTGTACAAGCAGATCCTGAGAAAAGGTGTACACGTGTCACAATCTTTCATCTAGTTCTTTGCTAACGTTGTCTCAGGCGCATTTGGGAGACTAAAATCCTCGATACACTGAATCGAGCTCCTGACCATAACAGCAAATATGTTCTTTTACGGAGCCAGCAGGTGAGACGGGACTTATGTTCGCAGAGCCAGTTACCAATGCATGCTCCAGCTGGTCGGCACGGCATTGCTTGTTTTGGTGAAGTCAGAGTTGGTCTCGGTGATACGCAATGTCGAGGCTGCAGCCCATAAGGTGCGTGTTAATTCCATCCTCTCAAATGCCATTAACGAGGCACTTGTTGCAGACTGGCTTGCGTGGCATGTCTGGCAACAAGGGTGCTGTCGCAATCCGACTCGATTACTACGATACAGACTTTTGCTTCATCACAGCACATCTAGCTGCTGGCCACTCGAATGTTGAGGAGAGGAATGCAGACTACCATACCATTGCCAATGGGTTGCACTTTCTCAAGGGCAAGACCATCGATACTCATCAGTGAGTGTCTGGTGACCAGCAATATTTGGCTATCCCTGAACACGTCTTCACCAATAGGAACGTGATATGGCTTGCCGATACGAACTACCGAATAGATCTGGAGAACGAACGTGTAAGGCAGCTAGCCCAAGCAGACGACTTCGATGCCCTCCTTTCCGCCGACCAAGTGGGTAACGCGATGTTGTCTTCGCAGCCGAATTTACTCGTTTGTTACGCCCTAGTTACGCCGAGTTATGGACGAACACGAAGCCTTCAGCGGATTTGTCGAGGGTCCTCTTCTCTTTGCGCCGACTTACAAGTACGATTATGGGTCGGACAAATACGATACAAGCGAAAAGATGCGCATACCGGCCTGGACAGGTGACCCTTTCGCGTCGCCACACCTGCGATCCGCTTGACAGAAGTGTCCTACAGATCGGATACTATACAGAGGTGATGCACTCGACTTGTCTGTCTACCACAGAGCCGAGCTGAAAAGCTCCGATCACCGGCCTGGTGCGTGCGGTCTCCCGCCTTGCCTTTGCACCGTATTGTGATGGACACCGCTCCAGTGTTCGCAATTTTCAGAGCGGAAATCCGGGTTATCGACCATGTCAAGCGGGCAACACTGTCACGTTTGCTGCTCGACAACGTGACTTCTACTGCGCCGGGGGAGAAGCTTGACGAGAAATTAGCATCTCTCACATTTTCGACCGAGGCATCAGAACGTATGTTCTTGGATTGCCTTAGCCTTGCGCCCACTGCTGACTCCGGATTCCAAGTCCCGCCTCCCAGCTCCGATGATCTCGCCTGGTGGGACAGCCCAGGTACGCAGAGCGACAGCCCTGAGCAGGCTCCATAAACTGACGTTATGGCAGAACATCCCGGCGGCGTATTCCCAGTAGTGCCCGGGTCACCTGGCAGTCAACGAAAGGGCAACCCGTTTGACTCGCCTGACGACTCATCTTTATCGTCCCCATCATCGTCCGAAGAGCGACTATACAGCACCCTGCAGGCACCGATAGCCCCCCAGCCACTCGTAGCAGCTGCGAGTCGACGGCCACCGCCCCCACCACCTCGGACGACCAAACCGACGGGGAGGGAGCTATAGTGTCATGCACGGGAAGTATCATGCAGTAGTCCGAATAATCGCGGAATTCATAGAAAATAAGATAATAAGGATGTATATTACAGCTCAGACCAGGACCCTCAGATGAGACCTTGCTTCTTGAGATCCTCGTATGTTTTCCGGTTATACACATTACCCTCCTCGTCCTCGAGCTCCTCCATGGTCTCCTGCTCAAAGATCTCGTTCCGACCTTCGCGCTTGAGCTTTTCTGCCACTAAACAATAGCGTTAGTACCTCCTGCGGATTATTCCATTCCACATGGAAGACTCACAAGCAAGGGCGTCCTCAATCCGAGTGATCTCATGGAAGTGCTTCGTATTAGGCAAACCAAGCGCGCGCATTCCGAAGGCATGCCGTGATTCTTGGAAATGTCGGTCAAAATTTTTCCTATGAAGTAAGCGTTAACCGAAGTAAAATAGGGCCGCACAGAACGAGGCTGACCTTCCCATGTAGACATGATCGGAGCAAATTTCGCATCTATACTCCACGCCCAGACCGTGCAGCTTGTACAACCAGTATGGAATAGGCTTCCCATCCCATCCCAGCGGAAGCTTGAGTGGATTGTATATGCGCTCTTCCTCTTCCTCTTCCTCCTCTGCACCATCCGCGTTCGTCGGGGCAGCAGGCGCGGGTTTTGGCTGCGACTGCTCGAGCAGTTCCTGTTCTCGCTCTCGGGCTGTGAGTGAGAATCGCCGCTCTACGTTGGACTTGGTGTCGTTCAGGGCCGGAGCAAGAGACGCCAGCATCCTGGTACAAAGGTGGGTGAGCAGCGCAGCGGTTCGGTGCTTCGACCCGGACGCGCTGGCAGAGCCATTGCTATTGCTGGCTCCATTGGCTCCGTTCTCCGAAGTCGGCGGACCGTTTGGGTTAGCCGGAGGCTCTCCGGATTCAGCCTGCTTGGCGGCAGCCTTAACGTGCTTCTTAGAGTTTAAGTGCGCATCGTACACCGTTTGCTTGGAGTACATCTTTTGGCCTATTTACACGCGAGATGAAGCAGCGGGACACCACAGATCGAGAACACGACTCACATGCCGAGCACCAAACACTAATTCCATTTTCTGCTGTCTGCTTCGGTATCGACTCTTCCCAACCCTCCACAAGGCCTGCCTCCCATTGCTGATTGAACTGCGTCTCCGCTTCGCGCTGCTGTGACTCGATTTCAGCTAACGGCTGAGCACGCTTAATGAAGGATAGCAAATATGAGTGTAAGGCCTTGATATAACTAACCACAATGCCGTGAGCGAGACCTTCAAGAGTATCAAGTAAATGCAGAAAAACGTACAACTCGTAGTCCCTGGATGTCCGACACTCCTTAGGCAGCTCATTGTGAACGGTGGTAGATTGGGCAGCAAGAAGTACATCAAGGTATTGTAGGTACCCCAACCGCTTGCCAATATACTTCAAGTTGTTGTAAGTCGTATGGTTCGCGTACAAGTCGAGGTACTTTCCGTACTGTTCTTCACCAGAGAACAGCAGAGCGATGGCTGGGATCCAAAGTCATTAAACGCGGCCTAGATGACGATGAGCGAGCACTCACGGTCGTCCGCCTCGTATTCGTCCTCTCCCACTTCCTCCATAACTTCGTCCACAAAAGCAGCAAGCTCTAACTCAAAGCCGTTCGCCGTGGTATCTGGATATTTGACATAGTGCTCTTGAATCTTGTTCAGGCGTGCATAAAACTCTCCCAGGTCATTGGGATTTCCAGGGGAAGAAAGCTTGTCGAGCTCTGTCTTCCTGGCCTCCTGGTCTTCATACAAATTGTTCAAAGCGACTACTCGTGACTGTATGCGGTCGAGAATCTGGGATGCTTTGTGTTCTGTCTGGAGGCGGCCATCGTGCGTGGGCTGGGACTTGGAGAGGATAGTATATAGAGCGCGTTCAAAATGCTCGATCTCTTCGTGCGTTTGTCTCTGCACCTCGATAGTTGAGTCCATTTTGAGGAGGTTCTAGGTGGAAAAGGAGCGAGGAAGAATGAACGTTGAGGCCTGAGGGTCAGCAAAGGCTGAGCGCTTAATCATTCCTCAAGCGTTCGTGGGAATTTTGAATTCCGAAAATTCTACCTTCACTTTCGTTCAGCATGTCGGGCATAAATGCTGGAGACGAGGTGCGCGAACCACGCCTGTTGAGGCCTTCAACGGTCGCTGATGACCCCATGTTGTTCATAGAAGCTCATCTTTGAATCCTCCGAGGCTGTCTCAGTAGTCTCAACCTTCGACGACCTTGGTTTGAAGGAGGATCTCCTACGAGGAATCTACGCTTACAGTACGCAATCATCTCTTTTGTCGTCGGTGCAGGCTGCTGATCATCTCACAGATTTTGAAAAGCCGTCTGCCATCCAACAGCGTGCCATTCTCCCCATCATCCAAGGACGAGATGTCATTGCACAAGCCCAATCAGGGACAGGAAAGACTGCGACGTTTTCCATTTCCATCCTCCAGTCGATCGATGTCACTGTGCGGGAAACACAAGCACTGGTGCTTTCCCCGACCCGTGAGCTTGCCACTCAAATCCAGTCAGTGGTCCTCGCGCTCGGCGACTACATGAACGTCCAGTGCCACGCGTGCATTGGCGGCACCTCCATTGGCGAGGACATCCGCAAACTGGAATACGGCCAGCATGTCGTCTCTGGCACACCTGGTCGTGTATTCGACATGATTCGTCGCCGAAGCCTCCGGACACGGAACATCAAAATGTTGGTTCTTGACGAAGCCGACGAATTGTTGAACAAGGGCTTCAAGGATCAAATTTACGATGTTTATCGCTACCTCCCCCCCGCGACCCAAGTCGTTTTGCTCAGCGCTACGCTCCCGTACGATGTTCTGGAGATGACGACGAAGTTCATGACCGACCCGATCCGCATCCTCGTCAAGCGTGACGAGTTGACGTTGGAGGGCATCAAGCAGTTCTTCGTCGCAGTGGAGAAGGAAGATTGGAAATTCGACACTCTGTGCGACTTGTACGACACACTCACGATCACCCAGGCGGTTATTTTCTGCAACACGAGGCGAAAGGTAGGTGATGCGTGGTTCGTGGTCCGTGGTCATGGCTGAAGCGAGCCCATTCTAGGTGGACTGGCTGACGGAGAAGATGCGCGCGGCCAATTTTACCGTCTCATCAATGCATGGTGAGATGGTGCAGAAGGAGCGAGACGCTATCATGGCAGAGTTCCGAAGTGGCACGTCGTAAGTGGTCGGCCCCCGAACTATACCGTAGTCAAATTGACCCCTGGTCAGACGCGTGTTGATTACGACTGACGTCTGGGCGCGCGGTATCGACGTCCAGCAAGTCTCTTTAGTCATCAATTACGATCTTCCTGCGTAAGTGTTATCTTGGTAGATGCCGCAACGATAACTCAGCTGTATGCTTAGAAACCGTGAGAACTATATTCACCGCATCGGTCGTTCAGGACGGTTTGGAAGGAAGGGTGTGGCCATCAACGTGAGTGGCAAGTTATTCTCTCTGGATAACCTTAACTTTGACATATGTTTTGCAGTTCGTCACCGTTGATGACGTTCGTATCCTCCGCGATATTGGTGCGTGCTGTTTCTCTTCACGTTCGTCTGTGGTACTAACTCCTCTACCAGAACAATTTTACGGAACCCAGATAGTGAGTCGCTCTCTGCATATCGCGGAAACCCGGCGTTAAACTTGCTTTAGGACGAAATGCCAGTGAATGCTGCGGAACTCATTTAAGTTCGACTTTGCACCTGTGTACTTTCTCCTACCGATACTCGGATTCCCTTTCGTGTAGGACGCTGTCTCGCTGTCTTCTTGTGCATATCCCTATGTAATGCCTTGTGTTCATGCTTCGAATATTACTTTCAGTGTAGCACCAATATTCTTAGCTTCAACAAACAACTCTGGCTCTGTGACAGCTAAGAAACGCCCGTCGCGTCACCACTCACGGTCACGCGATCACGTGATTTGGCGAATTCGGCACAAGACCGCGGCCGACAAGTTGAACATCAACCACACTCTCGAACACTCCGACGACCGGGCTATCCTCGCATTCTCGCCTTCAAGGTCGCCCCCAGCGGCGCACAGCTTATCCTGAAGCATCCTACACTCTCTTGCTTACATCTTGAATACAATTATCATGCAACGACCGGGGCCTCTCCGCGATATTCCTCTTGACCGCGTCAATCTCGCGGACAACGCTTCGTACCCTGTATCCTTCAAACATAGACCAAACAAACGCCCCCTTTCGCCAAACGCATCTCCAATCTGCACCCCTGTGAAGCGTCAGATCACGAACCCGGACGCTGCAGGATCTTCGGAGAAGAGCTCGCGAGCCCTGTTGTGGTCGCTCATAGGCGACCCATCCACGCCTGTGCGGGTGCAGGTCGCGCTCCCTGACATCTCAGTCACTCCGCGCAAGCTCAGCTTTGGCGTTGCCGGGCCTGAGGAGATCTCATATGGGTCGCCGATGAAGTGTACGCCACCCAGTTCTCCTCGTCTTTCGGCGGCCTTCCTATCTCCGGACGCCATGGATGTGGACGATTGCTTCACCCCCACGCAACCGGCCACACCTCTGCCCCTGGAGCCTGTCATGCCCGCTGCCACCGATCGCAACTCCATCCACTATCCAGGTTTCGACGTCTACATTGACAGGGACAATACCTCTGTTATGACGTTGCCGCCTTCCCTCTCGCGAAAGTCATCGGTCGGATTGAGCAGCGCGAAAAGGAGCAAGGAGCATGACAAAGAGAATATCTCACCCCGGGTCAAGCTAACGAGAGCAGGAAAGGAGGATACCGTGGGGAAAGCTGCTATCGGCGCGTCGATGAAGGCTGTTGGTGTGGAGAATTGGGCGCCCCGCGCGTCAGAGGACGAATACAGCCACTCGCCAAAGCCGAGGCTGAACCCGCACCAACTGGTCAACCGCGGTCAGGCCATTCCTTGGCTGACTCCGGATTGTGCGCCATCAAGCAATGTGGCGATGCCGCTTCTAACGCGACTCATGGAGGTTGGGGCAGAGGGATCGGAATGGGAGGAGGACATGTAATGCTTGCCGTGGATTCTCAAACTCAATCTCGCTATCATTGGATGCCGCTTACTCCATCAAGGACGCTCTACACACACAGTGAGTGCGTGCTTTTGTGAGCCCCATATGTTGTAACTGACCACATCGCACACCCAGACCGCACATATACACTATACCAACATACTCTCCGCCATCTCTCCGCATTTCCATGCTTCTTGATGCTCCTCCCATATGCTCTATGTTGTAAAATAGATTTCTCGCACAAGCAATGATTATTCACTATGTCCTGAGAGCTGTCTGAACCCTTTGTTCGAGTTAACACAGCAAAAGTAGGACCCGATAATTAGACGTCTCTTAGACCCCGGCCACCTCGGAGCGGGTGATTTTCACGGACCGCCACTTGCCGTGATGGCTGATTCCCACGGCCATATGAGGACACGTAGGTTTACGCTGGCGGTGTGTTCAGCAAGCGCGTACACTACCCCATTGCAAGAATGCTCCAGAGCGCAACAAGGGTCCTCAACATTCTCGTGCTCCTGTGCATGATGCCACTGGCATTGGCACAGTTCAACTTTTTCGAACAAATGTTCGGGCAGGGTCCTCCTGGTGGACAACACCAGCAGCGGAGACCGTCGTCCCACTCTCAGTGGGCTGCCCAAGCTGACGCTGGTGCGTGTCGATAAACGATGTCAGTTGATTGTAACACTCACTTTCGCGCTTCACAGTACCTTGTACGCAGTACCTTTGCCCGGACACCCTTGTCTGTGTATCCAATCCGTCCGACTGTCCATGCCCGAACGTAGAGGACATCAAGTGCCTTCTCCCGGACGGAGAAGACAGGGCGGCCGCTACGGTGACATGTGTACGCGGTGCACACGACTGTTCCGAAGTGGAACGCCTATACAAACGATTCTCCAAATGAAGACAGCGCACAGAGAACGTCTCCTGCGTCTCTGCTACTAGTACGTAAATCATGTCGTCCTGAGACCAGACTAGAGACCCTGAGTGCCTCCGCAGATAAGTCTCTTAGTCGGCCTTATGTCAGAAATGGTATTGGCGTAGACGAAATGCAATTGTCTTCATCTTCCCATGTCTGCCGAACGGACCCACAGAAGGATCAAACTAGTACCGCCAAGGCGATACCGTCGGCCCTGCAACGCTCTACTCATTCACTTATATCACGCCATTGTTTGGTTGCTAACACCAGTTGGGCATGTACATGAAGCTAATCCGGTTCTCCCGGTGCTGTGCGCTGGAGTCTGCCTCCGGAGCGTTGAACCTTGTCGAGCGACCTAGCGGATAACCTAGCATATACACGGCTGCCATGCCGCGGGCACGCCCTCTACATCATGTCCGCTCGGGCGCGAACTATATATGTGCGCCTCTCGCGCTGTGCTCGACTCTATCGAACGCTTGGGCGACTGATGACTAGATCCTCGCACAGGCTGGCTGTTGGCACGTCCGGCGAGTCGCGGCTGTAGCGCCACTTAGACACGGGGGAATCTATCCCGATTACGCGTGCAGGAGCCGGCCGAGTCTGAGACCGCCAGATAACACGCAGCCTCCGACTGTCAGGGTTCATCACAGCTCGCAACAAGACCCTTGCTCAGCTAGCGGGTGTTTTCATTCCCAGGCGCAGCCAGAAAGGGCTCGTGGAATCAAAGCACCCTGCGGCTTAGTCACAAGGCCCGTCATTGCTGGCGCAACTCTCACCTGGATGTTGTTCGGCCGTCAAGTCATCAAACTAGAGCTGATCCTTTATGAGCGCGACACCGGTCGGGCCATTGATGTTTAAGGCCAATCACGGACACGCACCCAAATTCTTCTCTGTCGCCTTCCCATGTCTTTGAGCTTCCCTTCTACGCTATTATTGCCGGTCGTGATAACCTTGGTACCTGGCCGCAGAATCAACGGTGAGACATCTTCCTGGCCCTCCGAAGTGTATCAGGGCTGTCGTTCTTCGTCTTCCTAGATATCCATGTGATGGTGAAGTGATGGACGGGACTGCGAGGCAGGTCTGCTGATGAGTCTTCGTCGGCTCCTCTGGACTTTGAGGATAGGATAGTGATAACACGATTACCGTTGCACGCTGACATCCGGTATGCCGTGACATGCTTTCCTCGTAAACCTGATTAACACAGGCTCTTCTGCTTAGGCAACTCCACCGTCAAGATGAGCCCTTTTCTACCGTCCCGCCATGCAAAATGGGGGCTTCATCAGGGGGACGATCATCCAATCTTGAATAAGTTGCTATGTCGGAATACCCGCGTCGCTCATCTCCCGTCTGCTATCTCTATTCTCTGCTGGGACGCAGGTGGCGGGACGCGAGAAGCCTCCAATGGCAACCTGGACCGAGGTTCATATCACCGACGGCCAGTGACCACCAGTACACATGGCGAAGAAGGATACCGGGCTACCACGACTCTCGCGCGAGGTTAACATTTTTAACGAAGACAAGCTCAGACTTTCGGGCTCTCTCCGGTGGCATCGCTGCGGTGCGGCTGTGCGGTTGTCTTCTCTCGCATAAAGGCGAAGCGGTGTATCCGACGGTTTGAGACCAGTGTATTCAAATTACTTCCTATGCCTGCCACCAATGACCACCAACGAGCGGTAATCTAACAGAACTTTTTCACTGCACTTTGCTAATTATTTTCTCTTGCGCCCTGCGCAGGCTAGGAACCGCTACTCAGCCTTCCAGAAGCCACCAATGGGCGATCTGCACGCGCCGGTCCCGGGTAATGGTAATGGTTATAGTATGCTCGAGTGAGTCCGACAAATTTGGTAGTGAAGACATTTGGCAGCGATCTTCAGAGAGCATTCCTTCGAATATGGTGCTATCTTCTCAGCAGGGCCTATCACCGCTGAGTTCCTTACATGCAGTGAGTGCGGACTCTAAAATTTGGCACATGCCAGTGCATGGTCAGCTTCCGAGGAAAGATGAGTGGTTGTAGCCTTGTGGGTACTTACAGAACTCATGCTGAAGGGATACTGACAGGAGACCATATCGGTAGTCGCTATCAGCCGCTCTTCGCTTGCTGCCTTTGAATCGCGTCACCAATGAATCACGGGCAGATGGTGGCATCAGCCTAGACGATGTCCCTCTCGCGCATAAATTATGCCGACACGTTTGACTCAGTACGCCTTGATTCGGCTGATATTTTCCCGGTGTGCATCGCCTTTTTTCTCGCGCAACGAGGCTGCCTACCTCGTCGCTCGCTCCTATCTTGTGTATGATATCACGGAACTCAGCATAGCGTTCGAGAGGTGCCTACCGGTGCTTAATCGTTGCGTGTGACTGGATGGCTTGTAGCTGCGTGCCAACCACTGTTCCAGCCTCTTGTATCATAGGGCAGACTTCTTCCGTCTTCCGCTGCGGAGCCTCGTGTCCAGACCGCGAGTCAGCTGGTATGAGTGCCAGCGCCGAATGTCCGACCTGAGAGCTCAGGCTGGTCCGGTAGCGCTAAGATTGTTCCAGAAAATCTTGAAGGGTCTCCATCTCCTCACCTTTACCATGCTGCTGGGACGTTCGGCTCAAATACTGGTACTAGTTGGTGAGTCAGACCGCCTTGATCATCAAGTCCTGCCTTGCCGGGCGAAGTGGGGTCTACTAGCATGCACGTCATATATCAGGTGGCATGGTACGGACGCACCGTGGACCTTGTCTTATGCCCTTCCATGACAACGCTGCAATCTTGAATCTCGCGTCTTTCGAACCGTCTGCTCTATCTGCTAAGAATTACCGTTTTGATCGTCCTGATTCCCATCACGTAGCTTCCGAGGGCCCGACTCAAGGACAATGGCTACATCCCCTGCATCCAGGCCATTAGGTAAATCGGCGTAAAACATGTCCGAGGCCACTATGTGGCTGTTGTTGCTATTATGCCGTACTTTGCACAGGGTTGCTCCGGTTAACTTATTCCCTGTCGGCATTCGAGACCATGGTGCAACAGCTGTCGGTTCAGCGGCGAGTAACGGCTTCACAGCCCAGATCCGGAGCATACCGCAGAACCCCGCAGTGCCATATGGTTTCTACGGAGGATTTGACCACTTTACTTAACCTGATCCGAATTCACGCCTGAATAGAGTGTGTCGCTGCTCCGCTCCTCCGGCACTGCGTAGTACTGGCACGGCGCACACCCACGCTCTGCCGCGTCCCCTCCTTAAAGTTGCGCAGTCCCCAGCGAGACATGGAAGCAATATACTGAGTATTTTTTGCGCTTTGTACGCATGGAGTGAGCTTGAAAGCGTGAGGGTTAGTATATCTGCCAATGAAGCGTGAATAATGTACAATTTAAACTTACCTTCCGGATTAGGCAAGCGATCAGCTGTTGCCCGCGGTGGCGTTGGCCGCCCGGCAACAGCTCTGACCTATACCACCAACATGGCGCTCGCAAGACCAACGGTAAGTCCCCGTCGGCGTTATTTTCAAGAAATTATGGGCTAACTCAGACTTTCCACAGGCTAAGCTCCCCCCAGGAGCTAACAGGATCTTGTTTGTCAAGAATTTGAACTACCAAATTACGGGAGAAGACCTCTACGACCTCTTCGGGCGGTACGGCAGTATCCGCCAGATTCGCGTTGGGAGTGAGCAGAAGACGCGGGGGACCGCATTTGTCGTGTTTGACGACGTGATGGATGTACGTACACTTTGTCTCGGAGAGATTCATCTGCTGATTCGCACTGGGCAGGCCAAGAATGCTCTGGATCACCTGAACGGCTTCCATCTCCAGGAACGGTATATCGTCGTTCTGTACCATATGCCTGCGAAACAAGACGCTGCTGCGGCAAAGGCCGATCTGGCTCGAAGGGAGGAGGAATTGGCACAGCTGAAGCAAAAGCATGATATCAAGGACGAGGATTGATGTACGAACCGCTGTATCTACGTTTCCAGTCTGTGTTAGCTGGCGCTGATGTCTTGATGTAGCTATCGCTTATTCCCCGCAGATCCCAGTGCAGATGACACAAGGGACGTGGGTTAGATTTGTCTGTCTAATCACGCTCATCTCGTAGCGCAGGCCGATCTCCCCGCTGTGCACGATCTGCCCGCACAGCTTCACAGCCATAGCATAACAATTAGTTCTTAACGAATTGCACTACATCATGGCACAACATGCCCAGACAAGATACCCATCATCCCGCGTCGGCGTACCGTCGTGGCGCCGTCCGACGTCGGCGCGCACCTAAGAACCCCGTGCCTTGAGGCAATTTGGACACCAGTTGTTGATATTGGGCGCTGCTCCAAGCAAGTTAGGCTGTACAAACGGCTTGTATGAAATATACTTACAGTATTGTTCAGGGAATTGATGGCTGTAGGATAGGTCAGCGATGCACGAAACTCACGACGGCGTGGCCTTACTACTGCCAACATCCGTTGCGACATTGGTCGCCTGTGCAGGTAGGAGGGTGATTATTGCTGAAGACACAGTTGTTTTGCTCGCAATTGATCTACGGCATGTCGGTCAGCTGTGGGCCCGATGCCGAGCCAGACTGACACACCTCCACCTCAGGCTGCAATAGTCAACGCTTAGCGAGCTGAAGTGGCGAGACAGCATGAAACCTACCAAGTTCAACCCATGCCCGCACTGACTGGTGGCGAAAATGGTCAGCATGGTCGAAGCATGTGCCGGTAATGCCAGTAATGTCTTACAGGTAAACGTTCCTAACTCTGGTTGACAAATTCAATGACTCGCCAACGGGATTGTGAGCTTCGAGACGTACCGACGATATTTGCACATGGTGAAGAGTGTGGCGTGAACTGAGACTGGTCGAGTGAGCTGTGTGTTGAGTTTGTGCTGGGCCGACACATTCGCGTCGGCTTTTTATATGTTTGAAGTCGGTTAGTGTGTGCTTGTTTGCCCTCACTGGATGCTGACGGCATCTCAGAAATCCGTCATCGGTGCGCAGCGTCTGGACAGTCCACCAAAGCGGCGTCCTGGCTTGGTTGGTCGGTACAGCCACTCCACAGAGCGCTAGCAAAAACGCCTTATCGCCTCTGGGGGACTCTTGATTCGAGGTCGCTGGACCCCCTCCGGGCGGGTGAATTGTCTGAGAACTGAATAATTTCGCATCTCAGGGCGAGACGCTAATCCGTTCTCAGAAAGCTCCCGTTTAGGCTCCGTCAATCGAGTGTTCCGTAAGTGCGTGTTGCCTTCGTCCCTGCACATATTTATGCCGATGCCAATCTCCGATGCACAAACCAGGCTACATCGACGCCATCGTGCTATGTCAAACAAGCGTAATCCAAAAGTCGGAGACCCCGACCATCTTTCACCACGCTGCGGCGGTGGTGCGCTCTTGGCCCGCATATGACACTAGGCTCCCGGGTCCGACAGACATACACTCTCTCAGCGATCGAGCGTCCGGTCAGGCGCGAGACATGGTATGGAACATGCCCGATTTCCTGCTCATCATGCTGCCCTTATGTCCCCGTAATGCGGTAGCGTGCCTGGGCGCGATGGCAACCCGCGAGCGCATGCCAGCGTGGACAATAGACCCGTGGGACTTGGGTGACGATTGAGGACCGTATTCATGGTTCCAAAGAAGGCACTAGTCACATAGTGGAGTGCAACTATTACAAACTAACCCACTGTAAGATATATAATATATACATGCGACAGCACAGACAGGTCGTGAGACTTTTCAGGATGCCTCTATGGGCGTCACAACGTCGAAAACACCCGTCCCTGTAAGGCTGAGGCGTCCAGCCACGATATTACCTGAGGGCGTTGTGAGGTCGTCGAAGTCGCCGTGTAGTGCGGCATCTGAGAGGAACGAGGCAGTAGTCTCGTAGGATGCCTTGAGTAGCGGTGACGGGTTAGTGGAGATACCGGATCTGTTGAAGGGCTTGTAACCGCCGTCGAAGGTCTGCAAAGACCGGTGAGCTATGGAAGAATCAAAGAGGAACAGGTCATTTACGTACCATGTAGTCAGCGATGAGCTCAAGATGCCTGCTGTCGACATCAATCTTGTACACGTTAAAGACGCCACCGACCTCGCGCAAGATTGCAGCACGAGCCGCTTCTACACCGTATGTCGCCAAGATGGCATAGATATCATTCGACTCGATGGAATTTTCATCAATCAAGCTTTCCTCATCGCCGCAAGCGAATTGCCAAATCCCAGAGATGTTCGAACCGTTCGTGGTCATCTAAAACAGATGTAAGATGGAATAGCAGTGTGGAATCCGTGTGACGCGCCTTGTAGGTCGTTTCACCATTCTCCTCCTCCTTGTTCTTGAAGCAGTCCATGATACCAGGGACCTCCCTGATAACGGTCTTCGTACATGTCTTCTCGACAATACCAACGAGTAGCAACTTCGGCATGTCTGAAGAAAACTGGGGAAGTGTGTCAATCTCTTGTTGCCCATGCCTGGAGACGGCGTGCGTACCTGAAGGTCGATTGTGCATCCAGAGTCCCGGAAGCTGAACGCTTTCGTATACGAGAAGTTCTGCATGAAGGTCTGTTCGACGGCCTCAGCCTGGTTGCTGAGGTCTTCGACTTCCATCGCGTTATCGGCGCCGACATCCTCGTCATCGCTCTCGCCTGCTGAGGCGTACGCAGCTTCGATCGCATCATCGTCGTACTGCTCCATGGCATCGTCTTCGTCTTCGTCATCGCTGTACGTGGCCTGCTCTTCGGATTGGCGTTGCCTCTTGGTGGCCGCAGCGTCGCCATCGCCCACTTCGCTCGTTTCATCCTCGTCCCTGCCGCCCCGTCCAGTACGACCCTCCTCGAACTCCTCGCCACCCGTTTCCGCTTCGGCTTCTCCTACCCGTTCCCGGACGCTCTTGCCCTTACCAATTTCTCCCATCTGAGACTTCATGTCTTGATCTAGTTTTTTCAGCTCGTTCTGAATCTCTCGCTTGAGGATTAACGGGAATTTCGTCCCGAACGCCGACAGTATCTCGGAAGGCTGGACATCGTACTCAGCTTGATAGTCTTGTCGCAGATAGAAAGAGAGCTCGATGGAGAAATCTTTTGTTCGAGAGCCGCCGTTGGACGCCAAGGTCTCTTTGACGGTAACCTTGTCCACAACCTGCGAAAGGGTCAGGCGCCCGGCCCTTTTGCAGAACGTATCGATGTCTTTCAGCGAGACGCCCTTCCGGACGGCCATGGTCATCGATGGAGTCTTCGGCTTGCGTGAGGCGGTCATAACAATCTCTCGGAGACGAGGAATACCGAGCGTAACGTTTGCGGCACCATGCCCTTGTGGGGTGTGAGCGCTGTCGTCATGTTCACTATCGATGGAACTTACCAGCGAAGTGGAAGGTATTAAGGGTCATCTGAGTGGATGGCTCGCCAACGCTATCACAACCTTAAGCAAAGCTAGTTCGACGACCTAGAGCGGAGTGGGGCATACCCTTGAGAAGCCAGCAGGCCGACAGCCTCACCAGGATCAACAAGACTGCGCATATACTTGACATTCATGAGGAGCTTGAAGTGCCTTGGGTGGATGTATGGCTTGCGCATCTTGATGTTGGCATCCTGCTTGGTCTTCTCCTTCAGGAGCTTAGCGTACTCCTCGACCTTTTCTGCGAACTTCTCGGACGTGCTACCCAAGAACCGCGCAGGGTTGTACGTGGACAGCGTCGGCTCTCCGGGGTCGAGGCCTTTTCGCTTGCTCTTCAGAAGCTTCTTCATGTGCTCTTCGGCCAGCTTCTGGTCGATGTGGGGCAGAACATCACGGGGCTTGTATTTGTTAACAGCGGACTCCTCATTGCGAGCGAAGAAGTCGAACTGGTACAGGTGCTTCTGCCTGGTGACGTCCATGCCGTCGCCTCCATAGTGAAACTGGTAGAGAGAACCGTCGCTGCCGCGCACGCTGTTGTCGTAGTGAGCACGAATGCCCTCCAAATGCTTGATCAGACACCGTTGAAGGTATCCGGACCGCGACGTCTTAACGGCGGTATCGATGAGACCCTCTCGACCGGCCATACAGTGGAAGAAGAACTCCTGTGGCTTAACGCCGGTTAAGAAGCGACTGGCGACGTAACCACCGGCAATGGCTTTCGTCTCAAATGGCTTAAACGACGGCAGCGTCTTGCCACTGACCATAACAGGAACACGTCGGCCTTCTAGCTCTTGCTGGCCGAGAGCGCACGAGATCTGCTGAGCGTTGACCGCACTGCCCTTAGCACCGGATTGTGTCATAGCCTGCATGTGATTATGGGGGAATTGGCGCAGGAGGCCATGAGGCATTACAGCGTCCGCGATAGACTTCGTGAGCTTAGCGAGTTTGCTCTTGACAGTCATATCCAGACCGGCCATCTTGTTGTCGTCGCGTAGCACATCTTCGAGCAGCGCCCGCAGCTGGGCAGGCTTCTCGTTATCTGGAAGGGAGGCGAGAGACGGGAAATTCTCGATAGCTCCTTCCGTGCCGAGGTCTGCGCCCTTGCGAACGAGCTCTTTCCGCATCGCACTGCCCTCGGGAGTGAGCGCCAAATCGTCCACTCGGCAAGTGAAGGCGCGATGTTGCAGGAACTTCGTGAAGAGCCGACTGAGGACGCCGAGCAGAGTACCAGCAACATCGGCACCGTAGAGCTCGTAGACAGAGTGGACCAAGCCGAAATCTGTAGCACCAAATGCCGACTTGTCAAGAACACCACAGAGAAGCTCGCCGTCGACGATAATGACTGTGTCCTCCTTTGAGTCCTTGCCCCACAGTTGGCCGGGAACCTTGGCCTTCGCCGTGAGATTCAAGCCCTTAGCGTTACTCGGGGTAATATTCAGCATGACAGTGGAAATCTGACAGTTCACATCAGACTGGGATCACTTTACCAGAAGATATAACTCACGATCTGCTTTCCTGTCCAAAGAGGCTTCGGCTTCCAGATGGTGGGTGAGAGCGTTACCAGACGTCCACTGTGATGACCCGAGGACCCTTCTGGTCGGAGCGCACCATAGAGCAATTGGAAATATTCCTCCCGACTAAAGAATGTGTCTTGCGCAGTCATCCAGACACCAGCCACTACGTGATCCTGGATAAGGCCCCGCAGCGGCTTGCCTGACGTTGGGACCAAGTATTGGTTATCAGTGTTAGCTATCATCATAGCCTCAGCGCGAGCGACTTGGTTCTCTGGACAAGGAGTGAGATATAAGCCGAGAGGCAGTGCGTCATAAGAACTCACGAGGGAAATGAATATTCATTTCTAAAAATCGGCATCAGCCTTGGTCCGATACACGCGTAGCTCAGCTACGTACCATCACCATCGAAGTCAGCTGTGAAACATTTCTGAGGTTAGCGACCAGAGTAAAGAAGAAGAGATGCTTGCTTGCCCATACCATTATACGAATTACTGTCATCGAGCAATTCAATACACAGCTGAATCGGGTTAGAAGATATTCAACCTACCAATTAGCGTAATGCATCCGAATCGTCTTCTCGCCCTGCAGCACCTTGGCCTTGTGAACCATCATGCTCGGTTTGTGCAGGGTAGGCTGTCGGTTCAGAATCAACTGGTCTCCATCCCGCAGATGTCTGTAGACCTTCTTGTTGACGGCGGCCGTACGCGTCCGCAAGCCAGACCGCGATGACCCATGATCGCCTTCCTGCGGCGTTAGTAGCTGGTTAGCGACGGCTGTACGCTGCTCCACCGATAAATTATCCTATAACCCTTGCTCATGTCAGAAAAGCACCATACACGTTTGAGTAGTACTTACCAGGAATTGCAGGTGTCCGTCTTCATACTCGACCATCGTGGCGCCAGGATAACTACGAGGGCCCGCAATCACCAAAGCCCGCATCTCATGGAAGTTGATAGGTGTCACCGGCTCAGGGAATGTGAGCTTGCGCGCGAAGACCGGAGGAATGCCAATTTCATTGGGCTCGATATTCACGTCGGGGGAGATAACAGAACGCGCGGCATAGTTGACACGCTTGCCCTAATTGACCGGTCAGGATTATGTCGTGTGTGAGAGAAACAGGCGAAGATCATACCATCATGTGTTTCCGGAAAAGACCCTCTTTCTTCTCTAACAGCTGCTTCACGCCAGACGGCGGGAGCTTGCCTTGTCGCACTGGCTGGGGGTTCTTGCTGCTGTCAATGAAACTGTTGACATGAACCTGGAGCTGGATAAGATTGTCCAGAAGCTGCTGTAAGAGCGTGTCCTTAGTAGCTTCGTCTGCAGACGAGCCCTTCTCGGAGGCCGCATGCAAGCTCTGGCTCAGCTCGCGTAGCCTGTAGGACGCTGTGAGCACCCGAGTCAACAGCTCGTTTTGAGGATGTTCGAAAAGCATATCGTTCATCTTCGCAGGTGGACGGAAGCGGGTGGGCGCGACGGGGAGGACTTCCAGGAAGAACATATCAGCGGAGGCCAAGGACAGTCTATGTGGGGTAAGGGGGGCAAAGGGCCCATGTCGACCAAACAGAAGAGAGCACATCACGGATTCCTTCTCGAATAACTGCCGTAGATGTGCCCGACACTCAATGGGAGCCATGACCCGCTCATTTCGTCCTCGAGAGGTCTTCACCTTACCGCTAGCAGACTTCGGCAGCTGGTGATGGGTGACTGCTGGGTTTTGCTCCTCGTCCTCTGACCAGACATCCTCACCCTCTGCCTCGGAGTCCGTTCCGGAATCGCCTTGCTCGTTTGTTCGCGAGTAGGACGGTGAGTGTGCAGGCTTGACGCCACGGCTAGCACGCTCGGCGTCAAGGATGTTAGAACGCTTGAGGTCAATGATATCGTGCCGTGCCTTCTGCTTCGCTGACAAGTCGTACTCGATGATCTTCGTGTGGCCCTCCTTGCGAAAAGTATAAGCATGCCTTAAAACAAACTGTCCGCTTAGGGGGTCTAAATGAAGTGCACATGAACAACACTCACGCGCCACAGCTGGGATTCTGGCACTTCTTCGTGATGGTCGCCTTAAGAAATTCGTGCATGACAGCTTTACGCTCCTGATAGACCTGAGTGTCCTTATAGTCATCGCGTTTGCTGGAAGAAGCACCAGTAAGGTGTGCTGCTACGAAAGCGTTGACTCGCATTTGATAGTTTTCGAAGGTCTCAGTCGGCTCGTCATCTTCATCGCCCTCCAGCTTGCCCTTCTTCTCAGAGGTCACTCGTAGGTCATCCAGCATCTTAGCAGGGAGAAGGAGGCCGTGCTCAAGCAAACGCAATTTGCCTTGGAATTTGCAGATCTATTACGGGTCATGTTAGAGCACATAATCATAATTGACCCGTACATACCATGTACGGATTCGCCTTGAACTTGTGGCAGAACAGACATGTGCCCCGCAGGACATCATACATCTTCCCCATGAATAGCGGATGGAAAACTGGCGCAGGGAGTTCGATATGCCCGAAGTGACCAGGGCAAGTGAAGTAGGACAGACGGCATGTCGCACAACTGCGAAGAGTTGGTACACGTAGTGCAAATAACAGCATAGGACTCACATGTCCTGCTTATCACTTGGCCCGAGTGCTGGGTCATATAGACCACCAGAGGTGGGTCGGTTAAGCTCGTCCAGGAGATTTGGATTGACTATTTGCTTCGCAGAGATGCGCCGGACATCCTCAGTGGCTAGGAAGGAGAAGGAGATGCTCTGGACGGTGGCAGGAAAGGAGTGTGCGATGTTCATGGCCGAATGCAGGATTCAGGCAAGTTGAGAGTGACCAACCAGACTGAGCTCCTCGAGCAGAGTGACTTAGAGCGAATTCGAGGATCCTACCACGGGCGCTTACATCACACTCACCTAATTTTCTTTAGGCGCCCATCCACGGGCGACGTCTAAGAGAGCGCCCAAGCGAGTAGCAGGGATATTTACTGAGACGCCAGCCGCTTGTTGTCCAATATGTTCATGGTTATGGTTTACATAGTATACAAGCTTCAGAGCCAATGTTATACAACAAAGCAGGGTGCTACGCCATACCGCTTCCACGGCGAAGTGATCCTGTCCGCTTCCCCGTTTTGATTTTCTGTGCCTCCCCTACAAGCTCACCAATGACCTTATTATACGTCTCCGAATCTTGCTGGAGCGCATCCCGCATCTGCAATAGATACGTCAACAGGGTTGAAGTACTCGCAGTGTGCTCCTTGAGATCCGCAATGTGCTTGTTGAGCCTGTCCACTGGAGCCAGCAGAAGGCTGTCTGTCTCTCGAGTCAGTCTGACAGGGAGATTTGTATGGCAGAAAGTCGCACCGGTGTCGATGGAGAGTAGTTCGTTTATCTTTGCCTCGTCTAGCTCTGGCTGAGGGCCGAGCTTCGTTTGAGCAGCCGCCAGAGCGGTGCTCCGCACCCCTGGCTGAGGCGTCCCTGAGCGCGGCGTGCCAACTCGTGAAACGGGAGCCGAGGGTCTCGGCACTGGTGCAGTATATGGCGCGGGAGGAGCAGATGTCGGCCTCGTATGAATCTCGAGTGTTGGTAGCTTCGGGCCTGCCCTTGGTAAGACTTCGTCGAGGTTCACGGGGATACCAAGGGTGATGAGATGCTGTCGCCGGATACGTGAACGCGTCCAATTCACAGGCTTGAAGCTCGGCTGAGTTGCTGGTAGAAGCAAATCATATAATTGACGACTGGGGCAATCTGCGATTTAAGATACAGACCAAGCTATACTATGTCACGAAAGAAGTACCTTTCTCTCGTCACCAAAACTTGGCTAAGGCCTTCGGATTGGCGTATTGGATCATCAGTGAAGAAGGATGGATTGTCTCCAGACCAAAGAGGCCTCAGAATACTGTCAATCTGCTGTTGCAGATCATCTCTGGTGGATGTGGGGTCAACTCGCAAGGGCCGCCAGCCGTTCGACGGGCGCGGTGTCGATATGCTTTCTTGGAAGGCTGAATCATCGAACGCCGGGACGTCTGCCGCATGAGCAACCTCGCCAAAGTCTCCGAAATCTCCAAAATCATCATCAGCTCCCTCTGAGGACGCGGCAATGGTTTCTGCTGGGGTGCCAAACTCGTCGAAGTCATCGAAGCCGTCTTGCGAGGATGACAGCGCGGGGGATGGTTCTGAGAAAGTTGGAGGAGGAAGAGACACGGAGAGTCGTCCAGTTGTGCTCCATACTGAGGCACCGAGATCGAGGTCGTCGTCCATGTCGACGTGTAGTGAATGCAGAAAGGCAGGCCCCTGCGACGAGTGACAGGGCGCCTTCCAGATCACTCCGCCCTGCATCCAAACGAGGAAAACGTCGGCCTTCGAACTTTGATCCAGACCTTTGATGTCGTCTGACTCCTACAAGTTCTTGTTCGCATATCCCAGCGCGAAGCAGACATTATCGGCACGCAAGGTCCACATACGCAGGCTGTATGATATCTTGGAACTGAGCCTACACCGCAACGACCTCGCACGAGCGAAGAAAGCGTGGGCTATTCTCGTGCGCTGCAAAGAGGTCAATTGGAAAGCAATGTGGAGGACTGGCGCATTGCTCATTGGCAAGTCTGAAGACTCTGCCACGACCGCCAGGGACCGGCTGGGATATTTCGCCACTATGATGCTGCAATTCCCCGAGGCCGTGCGTGGCCGCATCTACTCTGGATGCTAACCGCGAACTCACGTTCTCCTAGAGGGAATCGGTCCTCCAGGAGATGATACTCCACCTCATAGTGCATCGGCAGTACAAGCGTGCCCTGGATGAGCTCGAGCTGTATGTTCCGTTTGACTTCCGCTTCACGTTCGCTGACATTGCGACAGGTACCTCCCCTCTCCACCATTCCAGGAGAACTCCGTGCTTCATGCTTACGCGGGGCTCGTCTGTCTCTATTTAGCGCAACCTAATCCAGCCGCGGACGTGTCGAATGAAGGCCGCTCACTCCGCGATGCGCAACAATATTTTGACCGCGCACGGTACCTGGATACAAATGACCTGGTAGCGGCGGCTTGGTCAAATGCCGTACGTCGTCTCGCCACAAGGTATTGAGTGCGATTTATGACACTCTTCTCACAGATCCCCCGGTTAAGTGTCCCCACCGAAGATTACGACACTGCGATCTCGAATGACGAAGACATAGCGCTGGATAGCGGCTCGAGTGAGCGAGTCAAGCGTATACGCACGTAGCATATCTGCCAGCAGCAGGCTACATTAACGACGGCAAACCTCTCTGCGCTACTATCACGGCCCCATCTTGCCTACAGAGCTCTACTCCTCTTCCGAATCCGAGCTGAGGTTGATAGCAGGCATGGGCTCATTTTCATCTTCTTCACTAATCTGCATCGTCACAGGCACAGTGGGCAGCTGAGCCGGTGTCATCGACAAGACCTGGGGTGCAGAGACAAATGGGCTAATTTTGGACGAAGGCGGAAGCGGGCCCGGAGAGGGAGGAAGCGTTGAAGACCCCGAGAAGCGAGGCTCAGTCGCCTGGAGCGCTACCATGGAGGCCGTCTGTGTGTTAATCGAGGGCATCACGGCCGATGTCACATTTGTTGATGTGGCGTCCATCGCTGACTGTGCCGCCGCAACTAACGCAGGCGGAGGTGGGGTTTTTACAAGACTTGATTGCGCCGTTCGGGGAATTACCGGAGGCGCAGCATCGGTAGTGGCGTTAACGTCCACGGTATCTGCGGCGATTGGTGTGGCGCTTGGGGTTGTGTCGCTTGCTGCGGGCTGTGCCTCTTCGTTGCTAATCAGACCCAAATCTCGCCTTGCATCTTTCTCTTCCTGGCCCTCTTCCGCACGGAAAAGCGACAGGATCTCGACATGTGGGAGAACCCTGATTAATGGCGGTACGCGGGGGTGTAGCATCAGGTCGATATCCCGTAAGACGCCCTAGTGAAGGGGTTAATTCATAATTTCGGCTAGAAGACTTTGCCGAGGGTACTGACCGCAGGTTTAAACCCTCGAAATGAATTTCCGATAAATAGGCTAAGACTCTTGCTCATCGTACTGGTAGTCCCTATTCCAATTTCGATGCAGATGCGCTGTACAGCCTCATAGACTTGGCCATATAAACTCAAATTCAGAGAGAACAGGCTGGGTGGGATTTGTGGAAGGGAGATATACAAAGCAAGAAGGACCCGGCCGATGATGGACTGCACGGCGGGGTTCAGTGTAGCACTCTGGACAAGGCGTTGGAATACTAAAGATGGATATCAGCAACAAAGTATGCTGTGTTGCATAGACGCATAGTACCGTCCAGGGCAGCAAGCACGACTTCCCCATCCTCCCTATTTGGGCAAACAATTTCTTGTTTCCTGAATACTTCGTCACCTTCATAGCCACGGGCCCTCTTCTTGCCCTTCCGACTCTTTGCACCTGAGGCATTGATGCCGTCATCTCGTTGGGCATGTGACGGAGATGCCAGCAGAGTGGCCAACGAAGGCAATACTGCGCGCGCTAGCCTTGAAGGAAGTGTAGGGTCATTGAGCGCTGGGCAATGTCCAAGCAAAGCTGAGGCTGCGCGCAAGAAACGGATGCGTCTTGCGCTGATGCGGCCATTAGTGCCCGTCAGCTTCATGGTACTGAGATTCACATACGGCGTATAATCTCCTTCCAAGTGCCTGGCGATATAGAGCAGTATCTGCGGTAGGTGGGGTGTCAGGTGTATCTGTGCACTAAGTACAGACATCCATCAGCTATCCACGGGAAGTAAGAGCTAGTATGACGTACCATTTCGCCAGTCCCTCCGTGAGGCAACAACCAAACTCCCAGATATGAGGTACAACAGAAATTTCTAGACTGTGGATGATAGGGTCTATGTACCCTTCGACCTGCTCCTCCGTGGTACGAGACAATAGTGCGACACAGAGCTTCGCTAACGATCCAACAGGCAGCAAGACCGGCCGTAAATTCGAAGTTCTGAACGTCTGTGAGAGCAATACAGCAAAGCAAATAGGGGACACCCACTGCATGAGATCACAGAGGACCGTGACTGCAACCTTCAGCCTGTCGAGATGCAAAGCAACAGAAATCGGCGGGTCTTCTTTCGTGCCAAGCTGCTGAGGGAGCTGCTGTCCATAGCCTAAGAAAAATGTCAGCAACAGAATATTGAACACTAGGCTAAACGCGTACCAGCATTCGTAAATGTAGTCCGGAGATTTTGCAAGGCACCCCAAGCGAAGGAGAGTGTATCATCCAACGATTTTTTCCACTGGTTTCCAGCGCCGACCTTGCCACTAGTGTGATGCAGGACGGAGTATAAGGAAGAAGCTGAGTGCAAGAGAGGAGTTGGCGTCGGCCTCGGCGCAGAGCCATTGAGGAAGCGAAGGGCTAGGTTCGATAGCGACTGGAGAAGAGCTCGATGAAGGGTAGGATAGAGTGGCACTAAGTGCGTTAAAGTCTCGAGAACGAGCACCTATTCGGGTACTCAGTCACGTCTAGAATAAAAATAAAAATAGGCTGGACTCACTTGAACCTCTTCGTTGTCTGTCTTCTCAGCCAATGGTACGAGAGCTAAACTGAGCTTCGGGACATTTGGCGTCGCCACTTGACGTTGAAATTCCGGGTAGTTCACGGCTTCAGCGAAAATAAATCTCAAGAGACGTATGGTCGCTTTTAGGGCAGCGGGAGCCTCATTTTTCTATTATACGCAGTTCAACGAGCATTGTTCATGCACGCAACGAAAGGATACGCACTAAGAGCACAGGTAGAGTCGCTGTGATCCAACTTTGAGCGCATTTTATCATCACAGGTCGAGAGTTAACGGACGTTCTCAGAGCGATGCAAAGTCCGGCCCATCTGACAGAGGCGTCCTTGGAGTGCAGCAGGGAGTATATACGAGTTATCCACTTTTGCGTATGAGCTGAAGGTTGCAATGCTTCGGCATTCAGAGTGGTGAGAACATAGGGCAGATGAAGAACAGCATGAGTATCTGAAGCAAGGTGCAATTGTAGAAGAATTTTCAAGGGATGGTTGTCCATAGCAATTAGCCACTAGACCATGGAGCAAAAAACAGAAGAAATTCGCAGATCGCGTCGTGTAAGCGCCTACAGCTAATACGGGACGCATTGATCGGCTTCATCCGTGCGGTCGGGCTGCGCCCTTACTCCCCGCCCCGTTCACGATACCTCGACGACACGATACCCGGCACCAGATTTCTGCTGCTATTTAATTACGCTGCTTCGTCTTTTTCTTCTGCTTTAAGCTCCAGAGCAAAGCCGTATTGCCATGGATTATCAAGAGCTGGATCCTGCTATACAACAGCGGCTCAGTCTGCAATCATTCGAGGTCGAAACTGCCACTCCGATCTTCACCCTCGGTTACTTATCACAGACTGCTAGGGCAAATTCGATGTGAAGGACTTCGTTGGCGGGCTGTCCGAGAGGCTTATCGCCCAGTCTAAAGCAAGCACAGGGCGTATGTAGATGTAGCTGTATACACCGATGGGCAACGCTTATAACCGCATACTGCAGCCTTCGACCCGAAGCCATTCATCCGAACATTTGAGATGGCTGTTGACCAGCTAATATCTCTCCGTAAAGATGTCCAAACACGCACAGAACAGATGGAGAAGAGCGTCAAGGTTGCTGAAAGGGAATACTCAAAGAAGATGGCCGAACTGAACCGCGGATTCGAGGTCAGCGTGGGGGTCACATCGCCTGAGACATCGCTGACACATTGCATAAGGCTGTTGGTCAATCATTCTCTGGGATGGAAGCAAAGATGAGTGAGGTTGGGCGTACAGCGATCCGGATAGGAGAGGAGCTAGAGTCCGTACACCATCAACGGCAACGCGCTCAAGCAGCGTATGATCTCATTGACTTCTACAACCAGTTTTCCAAGGACGATACGACTCGCATAGATGCACTCAAGAAAGAGGGAAAGGAAGGACGCCGGCAAGTGGCTGTCCTCTTGCGACGATTGGGTACGGTGGCGAAGGAAGTTGACTTACCCAATGCAGAGAAGGTACTTCACTTTAAATCTACCACTCTGCCTTACTTAATCATGGGTAGACGCGAGAGAACATTGACAAGTACTGCGAGAAGTTCGAGAAGGACATGCTACACCTTTTTGACCGAGCCTATCGCCGTGGTGACCCAAAGATGATGCATGTGAGCCTTTATGAACTGGACACACGCAATAGATACTGATTGCCACACAGCATTGTGCGCAAACCTTGCTGGATTTCAACGGAGGGACATCTTGCGTCCAAGTCTATGTGAACCAACATGACTTCTTCATTAATCGCGTCCGAGAAGCGGATGCTCACGCAGACGACGAACTGTGCGTGCACTAACCCCACCTCACCCTAGCTATCGCTGACGGACCCAGTTGGGAGCAATTGCCAGACCCTGATGCCAGTGTACCTGCCACTGAATCTGGTTTAGCAGAGCTGTTCAACGAGATTCGGACAACAGTAGGCCAAGAGGTCCAGATTGTTCAAGCTGTCTTCCCTAATCCTGCGTATGTCATGCAAGTGTTCTTGCAGCGTGTTTTCGCACAATCCGTTTGTACTACCTTTGCTCCCTCTTCATGTTCCTGAAACCATACCCTTTCGCAGATCCAACAACAGCTCGAGCTTCTGGTGAACAAAGGTGTCTCACTATCAGACCTGGCATCCCTCCGTATCCTGCAGATGGTCCACCAACAAACAATGCAGCTAGTGGAAGATCTCAAGAACTACGAGCTGCCTGCAGTGATACCGCGCTCTCCTGTCGATAACACTGATTTCAGTCGTCAATTGAGTGCTGCTGCTGCTGGCTCTGCTGCAGCGGCTGCAACAGCGGTGACTGTCAGCGCAATGCTCGAAACCGCCATGGAAGAGCTCTTCGTACCGTACACGGAAGGCCAGCGATACCTTGAGCGAGAAAGCAAGAGTCTCAGTGAACTATACGCCAGCTTCTTGACAAACTTCACGCGATACCACGTACGAATGACCTTGTGTCTGGGTTCGTCTTCAACTTAATGACATTTTAGGAACGAACGCATAAAGGCGGCAAGACATCGCTTTTCGATCGTATGGTCAATCAACTCAGCACGGCTGCAGCTACAGCGGGGACACCAGGTACTTCTACCACCTCTGCACAGGCTGCTGCTGCCATCTTGCGATATGGCGGTCTTAGTGCAGCCGTGGATAAACACAAAGAGAAGGCATTGGAAGAGCCTGTCACCGAGGAAGATGGCCAGCTGCACGTTATCGTCGCAGAAACCATGCTCAAGTGGCATGCGGAGTCTGTGGGTCGCTGTGTGGAATTAAGTGCAGCAAACGACGTGTACGTTTCAGTCTGCAGCCGCATCTGCTGTTGGCTAATATTTCAATCTGCGAAGACCAAAACACATATTTGCTTTGTTGCGTGTCTTAGCCGCTGCGATAGGCAATTCGTATCTGGAAACGGCGATTGAGACGTATGTAGTCTGGCACAATGGTCGCAACACCCCTCTGACCGGCTTGCAGTGCCCAAACTCGAGTTGATGCTCAGGACTATAAGACAGAACCTAACTTGCAGCCGCTTACTGTCCTGCGCGGAGTCGATTTAATCAGTCACCTTTGGCAGCAATACGTGAATGTCGCGCTTCTGCCACTGGCAAGCACGTCTGTCACGGTACGGAGGGAAATGGTTGTATTCAACAACCAGACGATCAGTCGCATCGAGGGCGCAGTTAATCATGTTCTGCAACGTCTCATGGATTGTGCGTCGATCTGCGCATATCCGTTGCTCTTTCTTCTGCTGACGTCCGTTCAGCAATATTGGCATGGCTATCGTTGCAGTTGACGAAGCAAAAGAAGAATGACTTCAAGCCTCGCAATGACGACCTTTCATTTGCTCGCGTGAACACAGAGCCTTGTGTCGTAACATGTGACATGCTAGAGAAGGTGCGGGATGCAGCGAAGGAGAATCTCAGCGGGAAGAACCTTGAAGTCTTCCTCACCGAGATTGGTGTTGCCTTTCACGCGTATGTCCTTGACTTTTTCCTCCGGTCCGGCGTTTTGATGGCTGCCATAGATTACTTCTTGAGCATCATAAGAAGTTCCCCGTGAGCGCAACTGGAGGATTGATGCTTGCTAAGTGCGGTCTCCGTGTGCTGATCTCCTCTTCTGCACCTGACGCCCCGTTGCAGAGACCTCAAGCTCTACCAAGACACCATCATCACCTTCGGCATCCCCTCGCTTCAAGAACGCTACGAGTTTCTCCGGCAGCTAGGCAACGTCTTCCTCGTACGGTCCGACATCCTTAAGTCCTACATCACCGAGGGTTACCTCGGGCGCATCGACTCTGTCCTCCTGCGCCCGTATCTCGCACAACGCAGCGACTGGGGCCAGGCGGAGAAGGGCTTTAATGACAGTACCGGCATGGATGATGGCGCGGACGGCAAGGGCGCGAAGGAACGCTTTGGTATGGGTCGACTCAGCATGATCATGAAGGACCTCGAGCCGTTGCGAGACCATATCCCGCCCATGAACATGCCGAGTTTGCATATGAGTTCGAGGTTCACCAGTAACTCAAGCTAGATGGGATCCTGTTTAGCAACGTTGGCTAGTGCTCCCCGTAATTTATTCCAGCTATATTATACAAGCACCCTGCACCCTTCACTCGCCCTTGAAGGCAGGCTTGCGCTTCTCCTTGAACGCTTCGAGGGCTTCGTTACGGTCCTTCGTTCTCAGAAGCGGCTCATATGAGCTGCGCTCAAAGTCGAGGCCCGCTTCGAGGGCTAGTTCTGGCGCACGGTTGATTGCTCGCTTGGCCGCTCGAAGAGCCAACGGAGCTGCAAGGCGTGTCACCAGAGGCGTCGACCATACCGAGCGATATGCTTACCATTGACCGAAATCTCTTCCGCCAGCTGCAAAGATCTGTCGACGGCTGACTTGTCTTCATCTGACACGTAGTCGACAACGCCTATGCTAGACGTCAGGACAGATGAGCTACACGCGAGCGATCGTGCTACTGACCGAAGTCCAGTGCCTCGTGAGCCGTCAAAGCGCGTCCAGTAAAAATGAGGCTCTTCGATTTCGAGAGGCCCAATAGACGAGTGAGCCTCTGCGTCCCGCCAGCACCGGGTATGATACCAAGCCTCGTCTCCGGCAGCCCGATCTTCGTCACCGAGTGTCCTGCACACCAATCAGCACCGTTCTCCCGCTTACATCCCATTAACACGCACCAGCGACACGCAAGTCGCACGCCAGCGCGAGCTCGAGGCCGCCTCCGAGCGCGGGCCCGTCGATGGCCGCGATCGTCGGCATGGGCAGGCTCTCGAGCTTGCCGAGCGTGGCGCGAAGGTCCCAGAGGAACTTGTCGACGTCCGCCCTGGACATCGTCCGCCGCTCGGCGAGGTCTGCACCCGCGCAGAAGGCGCCGAGCGTCGAAGAGCGAACGATGAGCACGCGTGCACTAGCTTCGTCCTTTCGTCAGTGTGCGGAGAGCAGGGGTGGCGAGAGGTGCGTACTCCTTGTCGAACTGCAGCTTGTCTAGGCACTCGTGGAATTCCTGAGGGATGAGGTGAGCGCGGTGTGCCTGAAGGGCGTGTCGCGCGGCACTCACTGTCAGCAACCTGCGCGAGATAGCATTCTTTGCTTTTGGCCTGTTCAGCGACAAGTAATGTATACCTGGCTTTGCTTCCTGAAGGTATGCTTCTGCAGGTCCTTCACCTGCGGGTGCCGTCTGGATATGCCTGCTTCCGACATGCATAAAGAGTATCCGTGAGCACTGCGCTTTTGCATGTACGCGTGGAATCGCGGTTGCGTGGCGGGCGACGACTGAGAACATGGTGGCACTGGAGAGGAATGCGGGGCAATCACGGCACGTCTCACTATTTATGCGGGTCGGCTATCTGGGCCGGAGCTTGGCCGTATTGCGCACAACTTCACAAGCACCTCTCGTCACATCCATTCACACACATTTCTTCGCAAGACGAGGGTAAGAATGCAAAATTTACAGCCGTTACATGTGTTGACCCAGAATAGATAAGAAAGGTACATGACACATCACACCACGACCGTACAGTATCTGTACTATACCTGTATAATGGTTACAAGATAAATCATACTCATACCTGACGAACCACGAAGAAGATGATAAGAATCCGTGTTTCGTCAACAGACAGATCCAACGAAGGGTGGGGGGAAGGATAGGCGGTCCAGAACGGGGTATGAACTCCCAAGGCAGCTCGTGAGATGGGGTCATGACGAGAAGATCGAAGAGTTGAAGGACTGGACCATGATGATACGCACGATGGGGGGATGAAGTCACCAAAAGGAAGTGACTTTACTGAGCGTAGCCACCGTCAATGCCGTCGTAGGCGTCTGCCATCTGCGTATTCGGCCGCTGTTTTTGGGCAATAGGCGGTGCCCTTGCTCGTGGCACGTTCTGAGGGTCCGCGAAGGGATGGGAGCCGGTGGATGACGGCGCAGTACTGTAGTCTGCGGCACTGTAGCCAGTGTACTGGTATTGGCCGCCATTAGCAGCAGCAGCATATGCAGTACCAGGAGGGTATTCGTGCTGTTGCGGCTCGTTGTAGTCTTGGGTAGCCTGAGCAGAGCCATAATGCACAGTACGGTCAAGGTATGCGTCGGTACGTGCCGGAGCCATAGCGGTCGTATTTGCGAGGTTCCATGAGCTGTCGTTGTTGCTACTGCTGGCATGAATGCCGATAGCGGAGGGCTCTGGGTACTTCTCAAAGTATTCCTCTTCCTCCTCATCGCGTTTGCGCGCACGCCGCTGCATGATCTTCACGACGGTGAATATGAGGACCAACACGCCAATAACGCCTATAACACCGAAAACTCCGGCCATGGCACCTTTGTTTTGGAGGAAGCTGGGTACGGGCAGGGTAAGCTAGATGGCATCGGGAAAAGACGGGACAACACACCTCTTTGAAGAGGATACTTCAGCCGCACCAGTTGTACTCGGAGCCTCACTAGAACCTGAGGGGGTTGGAACGATGAACTGGCCAGAAGTTGTGGTATAGGATGTGAATCCACCGTTGGTCCCTGTCGCGACGGGCTGAACAGCAGTGAGCGCGCCAGGCTGAGAAGTGCTGGCAATAGAGCTCGGAGGCCTGTAAAGAGCGATTGTCAGATAGAACACGCAGACAGATCCGGTAAACTACGCACAAAGAGGCCGTTGAGGAAGACGTGCTACTACTGACGGCCGAGTTGCTAGCAGAGCTACTGGTACTGCTGAATGATGTAGACGAGGTAGTAGGACTTTGGGGGTTTTGTGCAGCAGATCGGGTGTGAGGAGATCCACTGGACGAGGCAGCCAGCTGAGACGATGTCGCAGATGGGGATGCAGAAGACGCTGGTGTCGCTGGTGTCGCTGGTGCAGCTGGGGATGATGGTGTCGAGGAGGCAGCAGGAACAGGCGCGCTAGAAAGGGGTGCACTGCTAGGAGGTGATGGTGTCGAGGTGGGTGCTGAGATATCGGTAGGAGCTACACTGAGAGGAGACGAGACACCGCCGCCCGTGGAAGATTGCGCATTGACAGAACCAAAAGAGTGTGACAGTAAGACGACAAGTGTAAAGAGCGTAAGGATGCGCGCTGTGGACGCCGTACAGCAGCGCATGGTGAACGGGGGTTATAGGAGGAGGGAGGTGAGCGAGGACGTCGTGAACGATGACGAAGGGCCGGCAGAGGGTGACGAGAGGTGAAAGGGTAACAACCACTGTCGGGCGCAGGTGTCACGTCCTGGAGAAGTCACGCGACATCAACTTTCTCACCTACCGTCCCGGGAGCTCCGGCACCGAGACGCCAAGACAGCATTCAGCCTGCTCGAAAGCGAGGTTCTTGAACACCAATTGAGCACCTAAGTAATCATGGGTCCCAGCGAGAGGTCGATGTACAGACATGCAGAGAGACCAGTACTGAGCACCTAGGGTTTTACAGGCACCCCCGGCAGTCTCTTCCGTGCGTACTCCCTCGATCTCTCCTCCAGCTTCTGGTCACTACTCAGCTGAATGCAAAACTGCTGGAACTTGTCGTCTTCAATGAGTCCTGATATCTCCTCTGGCTTCAGGTCCGTCTTCCACCTCCGATGCAGCGCGTGTGCAAGGCCTTCTTTAAGCTAGACGTGGGGTCAACTTCGATAAGAGGCCATCCTTTCAAATATACTTCACCTTTCGAATGTACTTGGGCCATTGAGGGGGAAGCCTCGCAAAGCTCCATCGTAGCTTCCCAATATAATACCACTGTGCCCCATCCTGACATGCCGATCTCGCATAAACAGACACAGACATACGAGTTGTTGAAAAACCTGACCTGTTCTTCCAGTCGAACGATTGTGTGGTATTCCTGGTGAGAGCGGCCACTCGACCAGAGTTCTTCGCGCGTTTCCGCAGACTTCTCCGGTGTCATCCAGGTGATCATGAAAGATTCTGAAGGCGACTCGAGAAATATGGGGTCGAGGACGAATAGCATGTTCTGCTGACAGCATAGCTGAAACTCGCGTGCTTCTTTATATTTATCCATTCTGTCAGCAATTTAAGCCTTTGCGCCTGTCTAGAAAAAGAAGAGCGGTCTCACTCCTCAAGCATCTTTACCTAGGCGAGTCTCAGAATTGGCCGGCCACACAGTATCAGAGGCTTACCGTTTCTGGCTTCAAGTCAACTAACGCCTCTTGAAGTCGTTCGAAATTCATGGGCCCGTAACAGACTTTAGCTGCGTTAGCAATGTCCCAAAGCTTAAACTCGAAGCGAAGATTGGGCTCCTCTCCGGGCGGCGGAGGTCCTGCATCGAAAGTGTAGTTTACATACTGATCTCTTGGCCCCTCGACAGTTATCTCGGATACATCGTCGTTGTTGGGCGCTATCTCGTCGTCGTCATCGCTGGCAATCGTCTCAACACGAGCTGCACGGCTAAATTGCTGACGTGGCCCCTCCCGTCTATTGAAGTCCATAGGACTCAGCGGAGGTTCTCGAGGGGCCCTTGACGGACCTGGTACAGGACTCGGATCATGCGAGGTCTTTGGGCTCATCGATGACTGTGCAGTCGTGTACCGGGTTCTGGGGGACGTCGAAGCCATAGAGTCCTGTTCAGGATATGAGTCAACATCGCGAAAAGTGTGCCAGCCTAACTCACATTATTCTGTATACGCCCTAATAGGTAATGATTGTATTTCAGGGTGTACTTGAGGGTCTTTGCTAGACCTTCTCGCTCTGCTTGTAAAGCTTGGATCTGTGCTTGTAGGTCGGCGGAAGGGCTGTCTGCGGCTTGTTGAGCGCGGGCTCGCAGGATCCCGTTTTTGAGGCGTAAGCGTTCGATATATGCATGGAGCTGCTCAATTTCGCCTTCCAGTTCATCGATTCTGCGTGTCCTACGAGCGATCTCCTCTTCAGCTGTCGCCACCACTGCCTCGAGCCTGGCTTGCAAGGTGACCACAGCCTGAGAGGTATTGCCGAGGGTGGAAAGGACAGCTTCGAGCTGCAGCCAGCAGGATGTGAAATCTCTTAGCTGTATTCGACATCGTGTACCACCGTACCTCGTCACGGATCGCCTTGAACCCAAACGAGTCTGGCTGTTCTGCTGATCTCGAGGCACGGTTTGCACGATGAGAAGCCATGACAGACAGCAAAGATGTGGGCCAGAATCAAGCGCAGGCGGTGGTCGATGTTCAACGTCGGACGGGAACCGAAGACTGTAATCAGCATTTTGACCGCCACCATTTGCCGAGAGAAGTCAGAGATCGGATGGCTCTGTCCATCATCCGTGCAGCCTCTGAGCAACATCCCTAACGAGACATGAGTGCAGAGACAACTTTATGATACTCCGTGCATAGTCCGCTGAATGGTAAAGAGGATTCGCTGCACCGCTCTGACTTTGCCGCGGAAGTTCTTTTTCGTGACTCGATCTGAGATCCTCCCCGCATGCGTGTTCGCGTGCCCTGCTCGGACAGATACATGATTATCGCGAAGCTGCCTCTCACGATGTCGAGCTCACTTGAGCAGTAACTACCACTCGCACAAGCGTCCACGAAATGGCTGCTCGGAGATTGCTCGTAGACATCCACACCCATGTCTACCTCCCACGATATGCCGCATTCCTCCGCTCGCGCACCAACGTACCACGCATATTCACGCGTACCAACGATACAGAAGAGCAAGAGGAACGGTTATTGATCCTAGACAATGAGCCTAGCGGAGGCAGACCCGTCGGTGCCCAGGTACACGTGCCAGCAATATTGACTTCGTGTCCAACATCCTGAATGAACGCCTAGTATTGGGACAGGGACGAGAAGCTCAAGTTTATGGATAAGCATGGGATTGATGTCTCTGTCGTGAGGTGTGTTTGATAACCATTCGAGCATTCAGGCAGGCTTATAGGGATGTCCATGCCAGCTCTGCGAATCCATGGCTGGACTTCCTCTCCGCGTCCACCGCACACAAGCTAGCGAACCAGCTGAACGAAGACTTGGAAGCATATTGCGCTACTTCGCCGTCTCTGCAGGGCGAATCTCTCAAGCGATTGTATGGCTTCGGCCTCCTGCCGCTCGTGCCGGAGGTGACTGCCCAGACTCTGCTCGACACCGTGAAGCAGATCTCCAGCCTGCCACACCTCAAGGGCATCATTATGGGTACACGCGGTGTCGGAAAAGGACTAGACGATGATGCGCTGGAGCCTGTATGGGAAGCCATCTCCCAAGTAGGACTCGTCGTCTTCCTCCACCCCCATTACGGCGTCGATGGAAAGGCCTGGGGCGAGAAGGAGAACGGACACGTCCTTCCGCTTGCACTTGGCTTCCCATTCGAGACGACTATTGTGAGTCCCCACCTCTCTGACGCAGCAGATATGCCTACCGAGAATGCGTTTATAGGCAACAACGCGACTGGTCCTCTCCGGAGCCTTCGACCGGCATCCAAACCTCCGCCTCCTCCTCGCACACTCGGGCGGTGCGCTGCCGCAGCTTTCGTCCCGCCTCGCGTCCTGCATCGACCACGACCCCCTGGTTGCAGCGCGTCTAAAATACGACGCACGCTACTACCTTGGCAAAATCTACTTCGACGCTGTTGCTTACGGCTCGGAAGAGCTCGGGTTCGTGAGCGACGTCATCGGACGCGCGGACGCGTTCTCTGCGCGCTCTTCGTCTGCAAGCGCATCGAGGGCCATCGGACTCGAGAAGAGGAAACTCGGCAGCGCGAGGATGCTGTTTGGCACCGACCACCCATTCTTTCCTCCCCTGTCAGAGACAGAAAAGTGGAAGAGCGTCGTAGAGAACCTAGAGGCTATTGACGGCGTAGACGGCTGGACTGATGTTGAGAAGGACAGCGTGAGGGGCGGAAATGCCCTGAAACTGTTCGGAATATCATGACACGCGTAGTCTGCTTATTGCTACCAGTTATCTTGGAAACAGTGGTATTGTACCCTTGCAGATAGTCTGTAGGGAACATCTTACAAATCTTTGGGCTTCTGGATCTTTAAGCTGAAGTCGATATGCTGGACAGACTGGTGGACGACGCTCGTGCTTAGGATATCGATTTCTGCATCCCGCTATCAGCCCAGCATCCGTGTAGAACCACGTAAGCACTCACCGTTGATGGCCCGCTCGTGCAGGTTCGTCTCCGTGATGTTCCCGCTGCTTTCGAACAGGAACTTGCGCTTCCCTGTCCACTTCTCCTTCAGCCGCGCGGCAACGTCCTTCAACTGGTCGCCTTCGATGTTGTCGAGCATGATGATGTCCGCACCGGCGTCGATAGCCTCGTCCGCCTCTACCTCAGACTGGACTTCGACATCGAGGAGCAGGCTGAACCCGCCGACCTTGCGGGCTTGCTTGATCGCGTTCGTAATCGAACCTGCCGTATAATATCTTGCTCAGTTGTATGGCACATGCGGTGGGAAATGTGCACTGTACCTGAGGACCAGATGTGGTTGTCCTTCAACATGATCATGCTGGACAGGTCGTGACGGTGGGCGTCGATCCCCCCGACGAGCATGCCATACTTCTCCACGAGCCGGAACCCAGGGGTCGTCTTGCGAGTGCCAGCAATGATGCCCTTGTACCCGTTCGCCCTGGCGAGGTCCAAGATACGCCTTGACCTATGTGCGCATGAGCCTCGAGCCACCAGCAGCTCGGCGCCCACTCACTTGGTCGCGATACCGCTGCACCTTGCAAGCATATTCAGCGCGACACGCTCCCCGAGGAGGATGTGCCTCGCCTTACCCCGCACCGTCGCGACGTGCTTGATGGGCTCGAACGTCTCGCCCTCCTCCATGTGCCATTCGACTCTGCTCGGCGAGCCCCCCGGTCAGCACCGACGCAGGTCGCACCGTAACACGACGACACTACTCACTCACATCCGAGTTGTGTGAACACCTCCGTGAAGAACGGCTTGCCGGCCAAGATTGCGGTCTGGCGGCCTTTACCCAGGAGGAAGGCCTCGCGCAGAGCCTCACCGACGACGAAGCCTCCATAATCAAACGATGGCGTGTCTTCCTGGAGCCAGGCCATCACTTGGCCCTTCCAGCTTGGAGGTAGGAGGTACTCATAGTGCTCGGAGGGTGCACCCATGATGAAGTCAGAAGAGAAGTGCGCGTGGGTATTGCAGTATGACGCGGGGTGTGCTACAACGCAATTCGAATGAGACATTCCAGGCAAACCATCTCCTGATTGCTCAGCAGAACCCAAAGAATCACGGTAGACCGGAGGTACAACACTATATACGGACAGAAAGTCCACAAATACTATATGACCACATAAAGACAGGCGCGTCAAGAGACTGTATACACGAACTGAAAGTCCATCGGTCACAAAGTCTGTCACGACCGAAGTACTAGGTGAAAGATGAAGGAGAAGAAAAAAAACGGAGATCGCCGAGAAATGTGCGAACACATTAAGGGGTATGATGAACAGACTCGTCGCCGTTTAGGCGAGGAGGGCACCGACGAGGGCAACGAAGCCGAAGAAGCCGGCTTGGACACCAGTGGCGACAGCAGCATTAGAACCGGAAGGGGTGGTGGAGGTATCAGAGGTAGTGGGGTTGAGAGCGCCATTGCCACTGCTAGAAGAGGGAGCCGAAGTGCTCCTAAGACATGGCTTAGAAGATCGACAATTGGGGTATACTGGGGCACTTACGAAGGGGTAGTAGCAGTGTTCGAAACGATAAGCGTAGTGCCACCGCTCGTGGTGGAGCCAGAAGAAGTCGAGCTCACGACTGAAGAGCTGCCAGTGGGTGTAACAAAGGTGAAGTCATTCGACTGGGCAAAGATGCCGCCGGTCTGGTCCGCGCTAGCGATCAGGTTAATCTGGAAGCCTTTGCCAGTGGGCCATCCTGCAGACGGGGGGTTGACCTTGATAGTACCGAGAGACGTGTCAACTAAGGCATCAAGAACCTGCGAGTAGGTAGGGGACTCTGACTACGAGGCACAGGCTTAGCAAACGGAGCGCGGAGACGCTCAAAGCGCACATACCTCGTTCACAAGGACTATGGTGAAGTTGGAAGGATCAGTGGAGACTGATGTCCAGGAGACAGTATTCTGGCCACTGGTGAAGAAGCCGGTAGCGTTGGTGGGAGCAGTGACCTGGATAGCCAGAGCAGAGGCAGCGAAGGCGAGGAGGGTGGCGACGGCACGCATTGTTGAACTACGAAGGCGATACTTTTGGTGTTGAAAGCGACGGCGAGGTCGAAAGTTGAAGATAAGGACGACGAAGCTGGGCCTGGCTTAAAAGTAGGGAACGTGGGTGTACGAGACGAAAAGGTACGAAAGAAGAGGCGACGAACAACGCGGCCAGAACATCCCTGGTGTCACGCTAGTCACGCAAATTGAGCGCTTCTTCCTTGCCAAGCCCCCACTAGCCGCCAATCGGGACCGGCCGACGCAACCGGGAAGTGGCCAGAGTCCCCGCCGGCGGTCAACGCTACCCGCAAGACGGCCTCACATTTTCATGGGCGCGAGACGGCGAGGTCGATTCGAGCCCCGCACTTGCAGGCAGCGAGCATACCAGTGCATTTGTACACAAGCAGACGAACGAAGCTGAGAATTTGACCGGTGATCCATATGCTACACGGTCGGCTGACCATCAATGTGAATCGGCTTCCAGTATCGGACACCAACTATCTACGCCTCAAAGCTCCGAGTCGGCCAGCATCGACTCTGCGTCCTGCCACAGGTCATACTGTCCCCAGAGACCAGTAACTGCCGCGATGATCAGCCAGCACGATGTCTCCGCGATAGCTGCATCTTCAGTGTCCTCGGGCCCTACGTCTGATTTTGGCCTCCCCAACCGATCCCCGATGAGCCCTATACAGCCGCGGGCGAGACTACGCAGCGTGCTCATCTCATCGGCTGACAGGTAGTCGTCCACCCAGGACAGAAGCGCAAACATCCACCGGGCATGCGTCTCGGTTATCATGCATACTCGCGGGACGGGCTCTTCAAGATACAGATTGATCCAGTGCGCGAAGTACATTAATAGGTGCAGCGAGTATCGCTAAGCGTGAGAGTGATTAGCGTTGCGCCCGCTGACAGCATCGGCAATGACTTACGTGGTCCATGCGCCCTAGAAGCGACGGCGTCGGTTCGGGCTGGACGACGCTCGTAGCATTGCTGGTTGAGGAAACAGGGTCGGTAGACATACCGTTCGAAGGGGTCTTGTCTGGTGGTACCGGGGTCGCGAGTGGTGTAGGAAGAGAATCACTGGGGGTCATAGCAATCGTCTGCTCAACTTCACCCTCTTCAGTCGTATAGGAGAGCTCAGGGGCCAAAGGGTCTTGCAACGTAACTTCGTACTCCGAAGTAAAGGAACGCATCGTCCCATAGCTGCCGTACCTCTGGTCTTTTGCGGGTTTCTGCTTTTTCGGCTTCTTTGGAGGATTCCATTCGTCCTCTGGGCGCCCAGTCAGAAATGACCACCAGTGATCCCTTTCCTTCATGTCTGGGGTGAGTTTCGGTCCGAGGGAATGCGAAGGTATAGACCCATGGGTAGCAGCAGATTGCACAATGTTCTGGCTGGTATGTGAGCCTGTGTGGAGAGATGGAAAGTAGGCCGCCGAACTCACCTTTCTGAAGTTTCTGAGTCGCGATACAAACACCTCTCGCCAGCCCTCAGACGGTAGAGCAGAATGTGGTGTACTCAACGGTGCTGCATCGTAGTCTATCGGTCGTGCTTCTTCCTCGATTTCGTATGGATTGACAACTCGAGTCACGTACGGTAGCAGGCGAGCATCGCGTCTAGGGATTAATTAGAATCATAGTTTCAACCACCCACCGCGAAGCATGGTGCTTACCTGACTGTGAACAAGTATTCCATGCCATCCTTGGGGACTCCAGAGAAGTCCGCGGGAAGGTTAGCAACTGGAAGTACCTGCTTGCCAAGAGTTGGCTCGTCGTCGTCGGAGTCCTCCACGGAAGAGTATTTTCGTTTAGCAGACAACATCATGTGCTTGGGTGTGTCGTCTATGCGGCCTAAGAGAGACAAAAATCACAGCACGCCGATGACGAATTCACTGGCGCGGTTTTGGCGGATAACCCCCTTGTCGAAGCGTGACTACAAACTGCCGGCGGTATCTCCTTTTCTGTGCAGTTTTCAGAATGAACTTGTTCGCCACCACTATATACCACTTTCTCCAGCTGCTGCCGCCTGGATAATCTGCCATGGATGACTACGAGAATGATTTAGACGCGGAGTCGTTGCAGGCACAAATCGACATGTCTTTGGCCCATACACAGAGCCTGGTCTCTTCGTGGCTTAAGCCGAAGTATGGCTCTGGAGGCTCCAGTAGTTCGCGAGTGAACCAGGAGAAGGAGCTCGAGGAGCTCATGAAGAGACCTCCAAGGTGGGCGCAATCTTCTGGAACACTTGCCGAAGCTTAACTGCGTGTAGGCTAGGAGTGGGCGCACCCATACCCACTTCCACCGGGGTGGCAAGCCACGAAGCCATGAAGTTAAAGGGCAAGCTGACGGGCAAGAAGCGCTCCAGGGAGGAAGAGGATGTAAAGATGGCTGAAGCATCGGATGAAGAGAGCGAGAGCAGAGCGCGAGCTATACAAAAGAAAGCTAAGCCGGACCCATTCGCGCCAAAAGCAAAAAAGCAAAAAGCCAACGCACCAGAGGTTGTACCAATCCCCAATAAGCCTGTGTCTAAGAAGGAGGCAAATAAATTAGACAGTCTGGAAGCACCCTCGAAAACAAAAATGAAGGGTACAGTCGCGAATGCGCCATCTACAACAGCTTCCAAGAAGCAGGACAAGACAGCTCGGAATAAACCAGACACACCGACAAACCAGGGGTCGAAGTCTGCAGGTACGTTCTGTCTCCCATAATTTAATCGTTGCCGTTGATACTTAACTCGTCAGACGAAGACGCTATGGAAGTAGACAAGATGCTTGTCTCGCCTACGTCTTCATCGACTCCTCCACCTGGTGACAAGCCCGCCAGTAAACCCACCCCGCAAGGGATTCCCGTATTGAACCTCGATGGTCCTCCGCCTGCAATAGATTCGTCACCATCTAAAAAGAAGCGCAAGAGAAGCAAGAAAAAGAAAAAAGTTAGCCAGTCGAGGAACGCGTCGTCATGATTGCTAGCTGGGCATGCTCCTTCAGCATGCTTTCCTGCTGGACGGAGGTCCTGATCGGCGCTATCTTGGTTAACTACCGTGAGTACTGCCAAGAAGACTCATGGCTCGCGTCATACTCATGCATTCTTCAGGACGTAGCTTTTCTCCACAGGGTCTAGGGCATGCTATCTTCATCTACGTTTGCCACATCTATCTATTCTATACACTCAGTGCGCTATATCATCGATGCAGTACAATGCTGGATAAGGTTATACTATAATAACATCTGTTAGGATAAATACAGTCATCCGCACTCTACGTCATCGTCGGCGAGAACTCCGGTGAACGTCGGTAGTATATCGTCTCGTGTACTGTGTAGGACGCTTGGTGGAGGTGGATCGCTCTCCTCCCGTCGTCGCCCGCCTCTGGGGCGCTGGACGGGAACGGTGGGGCGTGCTTCCTCGCGGCGATGTCGCCCTGCTTTGCGTTATACGTCCATCAACGCGTGAGCTATGACTGCGCCTCGGCGACTTCGGGCGGGAGGAGACGTGCAGCACAAGCTCGTTGCCCTTCCGGGTGGACGAGCCCCGCTGAACGACCGCGCGGCTGCTGCTGCTGCGGCTGACAGGCTTGCTCTTCGAGTTATGCTTCTGAGGGCTGAAGCTGAGGAAGGAGAACAGCCCGCTGTCGTGCTGCCCGCGCGAGGAGTGCTCTTTCGCCCGCTGGCGCTTGTACTTCCGGATCGCTTTAGCCGCCTTCATCTCCCTGATCCCCTTCCAGCGCGTACGCTCGTTGCCCACCAGCGTGCCCCGCATCTTGGTCACCCAGCCATGGATCATGGATGCTTTTCTGCTGTAGGGCCGCTTGGTACCATCGCTCCGGGTGTCATTCTGCAGACACAAGTAACGTTAGAGACCACACGAGAATTGAGGATCTTGCTACTCACGTCCGTTTCCCACTCAATGTCTATCTCGGGGAACTTCATGATGTGCAGAATTCGTATCGGAATGTGTCGGATGAGGTAAGGTCAGATTTCGCCGTGGTGCTTTACGGATGCAAGGGCGGACTGGGTATATAAGTAGGTGCGGACCTTTGCCACAATACGCTTTTTGTGCATTTACGTACTGGGGTAGGAGCACCGGCAGTTGCCGTTGTCACGATTCCTCCCACACGTGTCCACCACATTGGGTGTTAGGGTTTAGCACCAGTTGTATGAAGAAAACGGTGGCGAGCATCGCTTTGTAGGCTTCGTTTCCTTTTCATGCATTGTCTGAGCTGCCGGCCTAAGTCACGGGTGGTTTAGCTTTCATCTTGAACGCGTGGATATCTATTAAATGACATCTCGTGCTCATGATGGCAGTACATACCACGCTGTAACAGTGCAGCTTTCTGCTGCGTAAAATGCTCATGCTTAGCTTGCAAAGATTGGGGTAATCCTGCCTACCATGGGATATTGATAGCGTGGAGCTTCAATGTCCTTTGGTCATCGATGGTGCCGGGCTGAGAGATAGACGGAGAATGGCAGAACACGGGCTGTATCGCGCGGGGAGCGGGCACGTAGCTGTACTGAGGACTCCGAGTCAGTCCGAGTCGCGTTGTGGCAACAGCGGGCGCAAGGTCCGCCCCCGACGGTTTCGTCGCATCAACCCGTGCCTGATCGCGTGGAATCGTGCCCCTCGATCTGCCTGCATGATCGCTGCCTAGAATTTTGACCTCTCCGCTCTCCTCCGCCCTCATCGATTCATCCGTTGCCAGGACGAGCCGGGACAGCTGCCGGGACGTGCCGGCGTTGCAACGTTGAGCGCTCGCGCAAGCCTTCCGTTTGCTTTCTACTTCTCTCGTCATCTCTGGCGCCAGGTGCAACGTTGTCAGTTGCTCATGTATGGATGAGTTGGCCCTTCTCGAATCCTGGCTTTGCACCTTTGCGCCGCAGTAGTTGTGACCCCTGTGACCCAACTTTCCTAAGGGGGCGAAATTCGTAAATACGGCAGTCTCGACCACTCCAGATAAGCTCTCGCGACCCTCTAGACCGCTAGCTCGCTCTACTGAGGTGAGCTGCCGTTCTCGATTTATGTTGCGTAGCTTAGTCACAGATGTTCATCTGGTAACTGCCTGCCCAGATTTCGTGATGCCTCCCGCAGAAGCTCCCTGCTTGTTCCTACCGTGCCGAGCGCGCCTACCAATTCCAGCGTCGATAAAGACCAGGAGCTAAACTCCTGAGCGTCCCCACCCCACACGGTATCTGCACAGCTCTCACTACCTCTATCTACTTGTTGCGCACCTCTCTTAACACATTTGCCTGCCCAATGGAGTACTCCTCGATGCATGGTCACGCGATCTATCCACAATCTGGCCGGGTCGTAGCGATAGGCGACGACAGCTCGTCTTTCCGCGCAGGGACACCCTCCACGCATTCCTCGCACGAGTCATCGACGGATCCGACGTCGCATAATGCGGAGTCCCCAAAATGCTCTGTCATCTTCACGCAGGAAGTAGACCCTGTGCTCCTGAAGACATCACTTGAGGACCGCGTCGCGTACCTCACCGACTTCCTCAACTTTACGGCACACGACGCAGAAGTCATTAGGCAGATAGCTCCGGCTGTCAACGATGTCATCCCTGGATTGGTTGACGATCTTTATTCGAAGCTCTTCGAGTTTGATATCACGAAGAAGGTTTTCATGGCTCGGAATCAGGCCAGTGATACATGCTTTGATCCCTTGATGCTTGATACCCGGAAGACTTATGTGCCCGCTCCATTGCAGGGCTTCGAAGGACCATTACCTGCAAAGCTGGAAGATCTGACGCTTGACAGCGCTCAGATCCAGTTCCGCAAGGTATGACTCCTCTGTTCGCCGGTGGCACGCGTCCATTCATTCCTACCACAAAAGGTCTTTATGAAAGTATGGGCAAGAAAGGTGTTGACTTCGGACTATACCAATGGCAAGACGTGGGCGTACATGGACAAAGTCGGCATTATGCACACCGGTGTGTCACCATTCAAGTGAGCAGTCATTTCGCGCTAGCGTGCCGCTGCGGTTGCTGATCCGTCCTTCCCTGTACTAGGCACCAGAGAACCATGGGCATCGCCCCGCTCAACGTGCCTTGTAAGTCCGCAATTTCATGTGCGCTGCCGGCAGCAGGGGAATGACTCTGTCTCAGACCGTGACTGCGCCCTGGCACTGGGACTGGTCCAAACACTGCTTCAAAGCGCTATTCTGCAGCTGCCCGACCGAACAGCAACTATGTCCACTAAAATAGAGGCTGTTGCTGCCATCACGAAGGCAAGCGCCGCATCTTCCGCTAGCTGCGTCTCGTCTGATACAAACCCTCCACAGGTTATCTGGATACAGAACGACCTCTTCTCTCGGCATTATATCAACGAATAATGGCTGATTTTAAATATCATATTCACTGTATAATACTCCGATCACGAGCATCGCACATATGTCGTAGCTACGAATACGTCTACCATAACAGGCTTAATGATGATAACTTTAACACCGTGTACCGAGATGACAACCACGACGACGACCCTCGAGTTAGGGCAGTGCTATTGCAGCACGGACGTTCGGGTCCGCTTCCGGATCCGGTAAACAAACTACCTCTGGCAGTAATAACCGGTAAGCGCCCTCGCACGGTCCGATAGCATTCTTTCACTCGCACCGCCATGTACCCCTCGACGGACATACGGCACTTCCCCCCTTGCATGGAAAATTTATGGCTTACTCTGTGTCTGCACTGAACGGCAATGTCAGGGTCAGAAGTATATTGCAAGGTATGCATGCTGAGCTAGCTGAACAATAGTTCTTAGTTGCGGTGCAGTGCCGTCTGCTCGATGACTCCACACGACGGTGGAAGCCTGCACCACACAAGCATGGTAGCTGACCCTTAGCAAAAGGAGTTACCTGTGCCTTGAAGATTGGACGTGTTAGCACACGAGGAAGTGAAACAGTGTACAGCCATAGCGTACCCAGTTCCATGCGGTAGTCGCCCAGATGGAAGCGCTCCGAACGAAGACGACGGAGTTCGGGCACGAAGCTTCAGACTATCGGAGATCCCGAAGAGTATCTCATGGTTACTGATCGAGTGCAAGTATGTTCGGATGGCAGATTCTGTCTGCGGGTCACGCGCAGTATGCCGCGAAAACGGGACTCCTGCTCAACCAAGTAATCGAGCCAAGGCAATCGTAGCATTCTTACTGGCGGCTGGACATGATGCTGTGAGTGCATTTTGTCTTTTTTCTGCGTGATTCACGCTGGTACATGCCTACCCAGCATCGGTGGAAGTTGCGTCCGTGCGCGCTAAGCGCTTAGCTGGTCTGAGCTCGGTACAGCTTTAGACTTTTGATCTGCGTCCGGCGCACGATTTGATCTGTGACGTCGTCAAAGTGGCGTCTATCTCGCGTGACCGCCACGCGAGACTCAGCTTCTTCCCTGCAAACTCTATCTGGCTGTGTGCTCGTTCACCGCCTCGGTACGCTGCTTCTGCCACAGTGGACCACCACACGGCTCGGTCGACGATGACTCCGCTCGTCGACGACGTTTGCCCACGGAGAAATATCTGAGCCGCCGACGGAGGGCCCCTCTACAAAACCCCGAGGGGTTTGAGCAGGATGGAGGCGTCGACGGCGGCGCACTCGAACCCCAGACAGACAAACAGACAGACATGGCCACCTGGAGGAACATAAACACCATCATTGAAGGCCGGTTGTTCCTCGGAACGTAAGTTTCCTTGTCGCCGCGGCTCAATGCTTCTTCTCGACGTTCTGTTCTAACTTGTTCCGATTGCACCAGGATTGACGCCGCAAAGTCTTCGAGGATCCTCACGGAACGCCGTGTGACCCATATCGTGTCTGTCGGGGCCGAGCCCATTCCTGCGGAAAACCCCGCGTCTGGCTACAAACACCTGCGGATCCCAGTCGAAGATGTCGATTACGCGGACCTGCTCATATGGTTGCCTACGGCGTGTCGCTTCATCCATGAAGCTATGACGCGGGGAGGGGTGTGCCTTGTACATTGCGTGCAGGGTATCTCACGCAGCGCTGCGGTCGTTGCTGCATACCGCAAGTCTTTTCCGTCAATCCTGCCCTTCAGACTCTTGCTTACCTTTTTTGCCAGTCATGTTCTCGCAGCGCGTCGGTGTAACCAGGGCTATTGAGATGGTTCGGCAGGGTTGGTGCAAGCACCCTTTATCCTGTGTACTGATTGACTGAATCATGCTTTTGAACACCCAGCCCGAGAGCAAGTCTGGATCTTGCCAGGTTTCCAGGTGTGTACATCACCCCGTCTGAACAAAATCGCAAATTTTAACTTGATTTTACAGGAGCAGCTCGTCTTGTTTGAACTGTGCCAATACAATCCTCATGAGAACGAGGGCATTTACAGGAAATGGCGCAACAAACTTCAAAACCACGGCCATTAACGCGCCGCGCGCTCTACAAAAGTGTTCCCGATGCTGCGATTGACGACACACAGTCGTGCATGGAGGGGCAATATCGACCAAGGTTATAGGTCTTGTAATAATTATCGGTGGTCGTTAGACTCGTGCGAGTTATCGTCTTGGAGAGCTTATTAACCTTACTAGTCTCCCCTTAATCCCTACTTTTTGCTGTAGTATAGGGCTCATGTATTTTTCTTGATGGTTTAGTCTTGTACCGTCGTTATATATATATGCTACTTTTTTTTTAGCTTAAGGTCGACTCTAGTGGCCGGAGCCAGGCGACTGGCGCGGCGCCTCTCGAAAGGACTGAACAGCAGCCGTCCTGTCGGATTTGGCGTGGAGCTACTCGCGCGATGACACCAAAGATGGGAGTCCCTGGACAAACCTCCACTGCCTGGCGTAGGCGTTCATTTCCCCAGCCAGCTCAGAGCCTATCTCACTCGAGGCCGCCAGCAACCTTCAATCAGGCCAACCAGGCCAGCGCGTCCAAGGTCGACCTTTAGCCTCTGGTTAATCAATCTTACCCTCAGCTAGTCCCTACATAACCCAGCACACTCTCTTTTTCGCCTTTAGACATGACCGTTAGCACGACATCTGCAGCATTCTATATCACTCCAGGTGCGGCACCTTGGCTGATTGCACACAGGGTTGTTGCTGATGATTTCCCCGCAGTGGTCTTCAAGACCTTCTTCCGTCATGTACAGTCAAGAGGTCGCAAGTTCCACAACGGCGATGAGCGTGCTGTTGCGACGGACGACGTCTTTTTCGATGAGTGAGCCTACGCACATTCTGGTCAGCGTTCATCGCTTATGAATGTTCCGACCAGGGCCTTCCACATCGTCAAAGCCTTTATTCAGATGGGCACCGAGAACACCATCGAGTCTCTGCAAGAATTGTGCGTGTTCTCCTGCGGCTCGGGTCCCCGTATGCAGCCTCACGTATCACAGCACGAACACGCATGTGATTGCACCCTATTGGGCGGCAGTCTCCCCCGTACTCATACCGCTGTCGTGCTGCAACCGCGCGGCGGACCTGCTCATCGACTGGTTCGGCCCGGAGGACCTGAAGCATGTCGTTGGTGGCTCAAAGTGGTGGCAGGTCCGCGGCCTTGACGGCCTCGATGCCGAATGGGTCACCGAGAAGGAATACCTTGGTCCCCATACCGAGAAGACGGACAAGAAATACACCACTGAAGAGACGAACATTATCCGGATGGACCATCTTGAAACTGTTATGGTATGCTATGCATATATGCGATGCGACCAATTATGTAACTGACCTATTTCACAAGCTCTACGTCCATGGAGGTAAGCTTCACGCGTCTCTGGACGTCTACATGATGCTGATCAGGGTTTACTAGGTGGATACTCCTGGGGCTCAATCAGTAAGAGTACTCGCCTTTCGTAGTTTCCATACTCACATGCTTGTAAAGATACGCATAGATACCAGATTATTCGCTATGGTGAATTCACGTACATAGACGCTGCACATACCACCGCTGACATCAGTCTCCACAAGCTCGTAAGATCAACGGCAGGTGCTTTGCAGTTAACTACAGGAAAGCGCCTCAATATCCATGGCCATGTCCTTTACAAGACGTCTTGGCAGCATGTAAGTATCCGCAGTGTCATTTAGAGGACATACTGATAGCGATCTCAGGGTTCTATCTTACGGAACCGCCGGCTGGCGCGCTGCACAAACCGGTTCCGCCATCGAAGATCGTCATAGCAGGCGACTCTGCGGGTGGGGGTTTATGTCTCGTGGCTCTCACGGTTCTACGCGATATGGGTTGCGAGCAGCCGGCTGGAGCCGTCCTCATCAGTCCTTGGGTGGACCTGACACATAGTTTTCCTAGCGTCATGAAGAACACTGCCACGGTCGGTTCACAAAAGCGCGTTCAGCTGTTCGTCAGCTAATCTCTCCTTCCAAACAGGACATCACCCCACCATATGGCTTCATCTACAAGCCTTCGTCAATCTGGCCCGTCGATCCCCTTCCTCCGAACGGCGAGCCTCGCGTCGTCCCGAGCAAGACTAATCCTCCACCGGGACCAGGACACGCCGACACACTTCGGCCAAGTCCGGAAAGAGTAGTTGAACAGGCCGAGCAGCAGACGGAACAGAGTGCAGAGGAAGGTCGCCCTGCCCGTTCTGGCGATCTTGAAGAGTCCGAGGTTAAAAGCCAAGCTGAGATGCATAGCGATGGCGTGGACGAGAAGAATATGTCATCTCTCCCCGAGCACCCAACGAATGACAAGAAGAACAGCATGTCCCAGCAGGGAAACCCCTCAGACAATGACGAGAAAGACAACTTGCCCAAGGGCAGTGTCCGATTTCCATCGACGGACTCGAATGGTATCAAAGAAGATGACCCTCGATACGATGAGGCCCTGTCGTTCTGGGAGCCGAAGCCGCCGAAGGTGCTCATGGAGGACCCGAATGAGCAGCCTTTAGAGCTGCGGTCGCAGATCCAGTTGTATGCAATGAACGAGTAAGGCCTCCTGTCGCCTGCGCCTTCGTCCTCTCTAACACAATTTAATTCAGGCAGCTAACACACCCGCTTGTATCTCCGGTGCTCCAAGGATCTCTTGGCAACCTTTGTCCTCTGTATATTATTGCTGGGGACGGGGAGGTCCTGCGAGACGAGATCGTGTACCTTGCGCATAAAGCTGCGAATCCGTCCAAGTACCCGACCCGTAAAGGTGTCCTCAGGGATGCTGTCAGGCAGCAGGAGAATGTTGAGAAGTTTACCAAGCCGACGAGGGTCCACCTCCAAGTTTTTGATGGTGCGTAGATTGTCGTGGCCTCACTATTCACGTGTTGACTATTTGCCAGGAATGTGTCATGTCCTGACTGTATTCACCTTTACGGACAGTGTACGTTGATTCATGATCTCGTTCTCCACTGATTCTGACGCATGTACTCACAGGCAAAGTATGCATACCGTTCCATCGCCGAATTTGTCAAACATGTCACAACCCATGACGCCGCACACCTCGAGAGGAATCCGTTCCCCGAGTTCCATCTCCCGCCTGCAGACATTGCAGATTCTGCAGCCGAAGACGAGGAGCGCTCCCGAAACTTCAAGTCACAACGTTCACGCCGCCACTCATCCGGGTCCAACTTCTTCAGTTTCTTCAAGCGCGGGCATGGTACTGCACTTGCGCCTGTTGACTCGCCTGTCAGTCGGACGGACGTTCAGTTGTACAGGGAGAACGAGGAGATGGCGAAGAAAGAGGTGCAGGCGCAGAGTGCTGCGGTAAAGACCAATGAGGACTCGAATCAGGAGAACAAAACTAAGAAGAATGAAAGCGAAACGAGCCAAGACACCCAGAAGACTCTGAACGGCAGCGTCAAGGTACAGACCAGGGAGAAGGCTACGGATGGCGAGGCAACTAGGCCCACGAACGAGGTAATGCAGCGAATGAGCTATGATCTGTGGGAGGATGGCTGGTGTCTTATCCCGCACCCGAAGGATATTTTAGGTGTTGTTATGCTTCGTGAGCGCGTGGACATCTTTGGTCAAGTGCGACCTATGGAACCCGAGGAGGATATCCAAGCTTTGAACATCCCCGCCAGGCTTATTGGCATCATCAAAGAGGAACCCGTCAAACGGTGGCTCACCGGGCAGGAGCTCTGGGACCATCGTTATCACAAGGCGGCTGTGCAGGCTATCCAGCAAAGGGAGCACTACGAGAAGAAGTACGCCATGCTCTTGGAGAAGTCGCGCAGTCAAGGCCTCGAGCTCGCCAATGATCATCAGAGCCATTCAGAATCTAGACGTCGGCGGGCCTCAACAGCCTCAAATGAGTCGATGCTGTCCACGAACGGAGAGATTGTTCAGGACAGACGCTACGGGCCGTTCGACGCGGAAGACGAGCGGCCAGCTTCGAGTGCCATTGCGGGAAGGCGGGACAACGTAGGTGCTTCGCTACTTATGGATGCACGTACTCATGTCATTCATTGATTAGGGGGAGTCTATTGCGCTTGCAAAGAAATGTATCTACTACACAGCCCCGGCGACACATAAGAACGTACCGAAGCGCTCGACGGCAGACACCATTCGCGCGGCCTTTGACCATGAAGACAGCCCGACGAAGCCTCCGAAACAGTCCGCCTCTGAGCAGCAGACAGACAGCAATATCCATCCCATGCACGGTCTTCGCATGTGGCAGAACATCATTACGTGAGCTGATCGATTGTGCAGTTTTTTGAGCTCAGGCTGAACTGTGCCCTAGGCTCTTCATGCGCAAGAGCTCTGCTAAGTCTGCGAGGGCGCGGCGGAGGTCGATGCCCGACCTCAAGTCCGCTGCGGAGCACACTAGCCATCCCGTCAGCCGACACAGACGAGCGAGCACCGCGAGTGAGAGGTTGACGAGAAGTTCGTGAATACTCGGGCTTGCTGTTGACTAGAACATCTTTTTTTTCCTGTTACACACGGACTATTATTTTCATCTCGATGTATATGTAGACTAGGACTGTAGATTGCCAGCAGGCAGCCTATCCCGCTGTGACGAGGATAATTAAGTGAGTGGGCGTGACGGTCACTTCACCTTCGGAGGTTGAACCGTGGGAATTTAACTGATAAGCGCCAACGTGTTTCCCTTTCTTAACCCTTGCCCTCTCAACGTGGTGCGTGTCTTTGTCGACCTTTTCCATCACCCACCCATACCCTCCGTAAGTAGTTCAGACACTGTACACGACGTGCACAACCCTGAAAGCCCTCGAACCCGCAGTTATCGGTCTCGCTAGGTAGAAATGCGTGAAGTTATCTCAATCCACGTCGGTCAGGCTGGTGTCCAGATCGGTAACGCTTGCTGTAAGTTCGGTTTCTTGCGCGACGTCTTCAAGGCGTCGCAGACCTACGTGGCTACTATCCCGACGCGTCATCTGCGCGTGCAGTGACAATACTGCCATCCAGTGTGTTATCAGCCATCACTAATGATCTTACGATTCGCAGGGGAACTCTACACCGTCGAGCACGGTCTCAGTGTAAGTATTGACGCGTCTGCACCCGGAATTTGCGTCTAAATCCCTCAATAGCCGGACGGACGTCTTGTTGAGGGCTCTCCCTCCGCCCACGACGACGGCTTCAGCACTTTCTTCTCTGAGACCTCGTCGGGCAAGCACGTCCCTCGCTCGCTTTACGTCGATCTCGAACCCAATGTCATCGATGAGATTCGGTCCGGGAGTTACAGGAGTCTCTTCCACCCCGAGACTCTCATTACTGGCAAGGAGGATGCTGCGAGCAACTGTACGTGATCGCTTTGGATGCCACGAAGTCAACTGTACTAAATATCGAACAGACGCCCGCGGTCATTACACTGTGGGCAAGGAGATGATTGACACTGTGATGGACAAGGTCCGCCGCCTTGCGGACAACTGCAATGGTCTTCAGGGCTTCTTCGTCTTCCACTCCTTCGGCGGTGGAACCGGCTCTGGTTTTGGTGCCCTCGTTCTCGAGCGCCTCTCGACCGACTACGGCAAGAAGTCCAAGCTGGAGTTCTCTGTGTACCCCGCGCCAACAATGGCCAACTCCGTTGTTGAACCCTACAACTCCGTTCTCACCACCCACACCACCCTCGAGCACTCTGACTGCTCATTCATGGTGCGCGCATTAGTAATTTAGCCCAGGTTAAGTGACTGATAGATGCGCGACTCTTAGGTCGACAACGAGGCCATCTACGATATTTGCAAGAAGCGTCTTGGTATCACCTCGCCGGGCTTCACCAACCTGAACCGTCTCATCGCTCAGGTTGTCTCTTCGATCACGGCCTCGCTCCGTTTCGATGGCTCCTTGAACGTCGACCTGAACGAGTTCCAGACCAACTTGGTGCCTTTCCCTCGTATTCACTTCCCTCTCGCCACCTTTGCTCCCATCGTCTCTGCCGAGAAGGCGCATCACGAGCAGAATTCGGTTGCTGACATGACCTTCTCCTGCTTCGAGACTGGCAACCAGATGGTCAAGTGCGATCCTCGTGAGGGCAAGTACAGTAAGTACCTGGTGTGTTCTTGTATCAGACACGAGCTAAGTGCATTCTGCAGTGGCGTGTGCTCTCCTGTACCGCGGTGATGTCGTTCCCAAGGACGTTAACGCCGCTGTTGCGATTATTAAGACTAAGCGCACCATTCAATTCGTCGACTGGTGTCCAACTGGCTTCAAGCTTGGTATCTGCAACGAGCCACCAGCTCACATTCCGGGTGGTGACCTTGCCAAGGTCACTCGCAGCCTTTGCATGCTCTCCAACACCACTGCCATCTCGTCCGCTTGGAGCAGGCTCGATCACAAGTTCGATCTCCTCTACTCTAAGCGTGCCTTCGTCCACTGGTACGTCGGTGAGGGTATGGAGGAGGGTGAATTCTCCGAGGCTCGTGAGGATCTTGCCGCCCTCGAGAAGGACTACGAGGAGGTCGGCATTGACTCTGCGGATGCCGAGGAGGCTGGCGAGTACTAGGTGGTTTCTTCTCTGTTTCGTTACTCGGAATACTTCACACTTTGCATCGCCGTTCACGGGGTCCTCTACTTCCTGCACCCTCTAATTCTGTTACGTTGTCTCATGAAATTTTACGCATCCTCGGTATTCTACATGTTTCCTTTCTGCGGGCATATTCTCTATAAATCATATCATCAGTATAGTGAGGATGTATGTTTCCTGCACGGAGATGTAGAAGTGTGAACAACGGTCATGTGAGTTATGTGGCGGCCCCGGAGAAAGATTATGATATGACAAATAATATCCTCAAGGCGCCCGTCGCGTCACGACGTCCTCACGGACGACTCCCGCTCAAAATCCTCCTGAGAGACAACAGCCATCCCCGCGCCAACTCCAAATACCCCATATTTGCATAATACTCGGTAATGCGCGAAGTCATCTCCATCCATGTCGGGCAGGCTGGTGTCCAAATTGGTAACGCCTGCTGGGAGCTCTATACCCTAGAACATGGGCTCAGCGTACGTGCTCGTCGTTTTTATCGCACGCCAGACGTCTCATGTCAGGACGTGTCACAGCCTGATGGCCGACTCGTCGAGGGTGCCCAGTCGCACAACGACACTGGGTTCTCGACCTTCTTCTCAGAGACGAACTCGGGCAAGTTTGTTCCGCGGTCACTCTACGTAGACCTCGAGCCTGGTGCGATCGACGACGTCAAGACTGGCGCATATAGGCAGCTTTTTCACCCCGAGTTCATGATTAGCGGGAAGGAGGACGCCGCGAACAACTGTGCGTGCCGTTCGTGTCGAACTCTCCATTGCTGACTAGCGACACGTGCTCTACAGATGCCCGTGGACACTACACGGTCGGTAAGGAGCTCATTGACCCGGCCATGGACAAGTTGCGCCGCTTGGCAGACAACTGCACAGGCCTCCAGGGCTTCTTCGTCTTCCATTCGTTAGGTGGTGGAACCGGCTCTGGCTTCGGCGCGCTCCTGTTGGAGAGGCTGTCTATGGACTATGGCAAGAAGTCGAAGCTCGAGTTTTGCGTATATCCTGCCCCACAGCTCTCGAGCTCTGTCGTTGAGCCATACAACACTGTTCTCACCACTCACACAACTCTGGAACACTCGGACTGCTCGTTTATGGTGCGCTTATCCAGGGCGCTCACTGTTTTCCCGACCATGACTCACGTTTTGCGGCACAGGTCGATAATGAAGCTATTTTCGATATCTGCAAGCAGCGTCTCGGTGTCTCTCAGCCAAGTTACTCCAACCTCAATCGCCTTATTGCGCAGGTTGTCTCCTCCGTTACCGCTTCCCTCCGCTTCGACGGCTCCTTAAACGTCGATCTAAACGAGTTCCAGACTAACTTGGTTCCTTTCCCCCGTATCCACTTCCCCCTCGCCACATTCTCTCCTCTCCTCTCCTCCGAGAAAGTTTCGCATGAGCAGAATTCTGTCGCTGAGATGACGCTTTCGTGCTTTGAGCCTGGCACGCAGATGGTCAAGTGCGATCCTCGCGAAGGCAAGTACATGGCATGCTGCTTGCTCTACCGCGGCGACGTCGCGCCCAAGGAGGTGCAGGCTGCCATCGCTTCCATTAAGACCAGGAAAACCATCCAGTTCGTCGACTGGTGCCCCACAGGCTTCAAGGTCTGTTTGTCTGACTCGCGTGTATCCTGTTACGCGGCTGATTTACAATTATTGCATAGCTTGGCATCTGTAATGAGGCTTCCGCCAACGTTCCTGGAGGTGACCTTGCCAGAACTTCCCGCAGCTTGTGCATGCTGTCCAAGTACGTATGCCAGGACTTATGTCCACTGTAGGAAAGCTAACAAAAAACTCTGCTACAGCACCACCGCCATTGCCAGTGCTTGGAGCCGACTTGGTAAGTGAAGCTTCGTCTTTTAGTGCCGCCTCTCGCTGATGAGTCCCGCAGACTTCAAGTTCGACCTCATGTATTCCAAGCGTGCTTTCGTTCACTGGTACGTTGGCGAGGGCATGGAGGAGGGCGAGTTCTCCGAGGCTCGCGAAGACCTTGCGGCCCTTGAGAAGGACTACGAGGAGGTTGGCGTGGACTCGGTCGACGCTGAAGAGGAGGGCGAGTACTAAACGCACCAGCTGTTTCTCACTCTCAAAAACGCACGTTTTCATCTGCTCTTTATCGTCTACCTTACATCGCACGTCTATCTTCTTAAAGTACTAGCAGCCCCGGGCACTGCTTGGTTTACTGTAGCATCAGTCTTATTGCTGACTTGTATCCATCCAGAGCGCATAGTCCATCCCTAGTACTTAATAAACCATCTCTGTTCTGCCATATACTCTGACTGATCTTGTCCCTTTGGTAACAAGACCGTAAAACTTTTATTACCATCGACCTGCTGCCCTGAAGGTATTCTAAAGGTACACCCACACATGCAGTAGCCGATCTCTTCGTGGCGCGGCATCTCCCGCCGACCCCCTTCAACTTGGCGTTCAAGGCTTAGTAGTCCACTACCAACATCATGTCCAAACGAAGTGGCTTGGTGCCAATTTACGGCAACTACCATGGGTGCGAATATATTCTACATGATATGCGCGACTCTAAGGTGATTGTAGGTACTACTCCAAACGACCATTTACTGAAGATCGAAGGCTGGGCCTGCTCCCGAAAAACCTCTTTGTTGGCAAGCGGGTTCTCGACGTGGGATGCAACGAAGGCTTGGTGACATGCCAGATAGGTATGATGTATCGCTAAGTGTTATGTATGTGGTGTACTCACCGAGCAAACCTGGAAAGCCAGCACAGTCGTTGAGAGCTCGCAGAGTTATCGGTGTCGACATCGACGAATCGCTCGTCAGGACAGCATGGAAGCGGAGACGCGCCATCTGGAGCCAACAGGCACCACCAAGCATATCTGAGAACACTCCGCACAACGGGACAGAGAGCCCGAACAAGAAGCGCAAGAGGGCAGTGTCGCCGAGTAGGGCGCCGCAACCGGACTATTTCCCTGTGTCGTGCGAGCACATGTTCGGGCCGCTATCGATACCGCCACAAAGCACCAGGCTGGACGAGTTCCCCCATAACGTGACGTTTCGCGCCGCAGACTGGGTCAATGCAGAGATTGCGGAGGATACTGAGGGGTATGATGTTATCGTAGCGTGAGTCTTGAGTATATACAGTTTGGATCTCGCTTACTCGTGCTAACATGTGCTTTCCGCGCAGATTTTCAGTATCGAAATGGATACACCTCAATGGAGGAGACGACGGTCTCATGCGGTTCTTCCGGCGCGTTTATACTGCCCTCAAGCCCGGTGGGGTGTTCGTCCTCGAGCCACAGCCGTGGGATACGTATGGAAAGGCTAAACGAATGGACGCGGTATGAAGCTGCTGCTTTGCGCCTCATAACCTGCTAACATCGTGTATAGAAGTTGAAAGAAACGGCTAAAGATTTGAAGATACGGCCTGACGACTTTTCCAGGATCTTGCGAGAGGTCGGCTTCGGGCAGGTTGAGCATCGTGGCGAGACAGGCGAGGGGGGTAAGCAATAGTATGTTATTCTAAATCGCTTCCTCCTCTAATGCGTCGATATTCTAGGATTCCATCGACCAATAGATCTATATCGTAAGCAAGAGTAGTATGGGGATACCTGACTAAACCATCTACATTCTATCGGTGTCGTCGTCTAGTTCTACCTGCTATTCTGATAATTCCACATGCGCACAAGCATTCTAATAAACCCAATATTGACGAAAGTGACGTGGGGATTAGCGTAAAATCTCCGAAGTATTAGTTAGCCTTGATGGTCACATCGACGCCGCCATTCTCAGCGATCTTCATTGTCACACTTGACAGGTCCTTGACAATGAAGCTGGGAGACGCGGCCTCCACTTGCTCTCTGCTATGAGAGGTGAGAAGCCCAAGGGTCTTACAGCCGGCTGCGCTGCCGCTTCGTACCCCTGCAGGGGCGTCTTCGACGACAAGGCAAAGCGAAGGGTCGACTCCGCAGCGTTTAGCACCGAGGAGGTAAGGGTCAGGTCTACGGGCTGAGTAAATAAATCTGATTGTGGTAACGACGTCGATCATGACACTCACGCAGGCTTGCCCTTCTCGACGTCTTCCGCGACGACGAAAGCGTCCGGCACTTCAATGCCAGCAGCCTTCAGCGCGGCATTGGCGTATTTCCGCGTCGCGGACGTGCAAATAGCCCAAACAGGCTTAGGAAACCTCGCACCGTTGCGGAGCTATGCAGATAGTATTAGCTTAATCCGTAGTAAATTGTGTCGGATACTTACGTTGCTCATGATCTCTTCTACGCCAGGAAGGCGGATGATACCACTCTTTCCGTCCTTAAAAGCGGATGTTACGATGGCTTCTTCGAATCGCTCTGCTTCACGCTGTACTTACAGAATCGGCACAGTGTTCAGAATTGTAGATACGGGACATACTTCGAGCTCATCGGGGTCTTCAATCTTGCAATGTACGCGGAGGTTCTCTACAGTTCGTACGCCATGAGAAGCTAATGCCGCCGGTCAGCAGCATAAAGGTGTGATGCGAGTATTTGTACGTACAGCTCAGAATATCGTGGACATCGAGCCCAGGGTATGACTGGGCGAAGACCTCCCATGCACCCACCACTCCTGCGGTGGAATCCACTAGTGTTCCGTCCATGTCGAATAGACTACGGCCTGTTAGCTTGTTCTCTGAAGCTATGATTCTGTGCAGACTTACATTGCATCGAAATGGTGCGTTTGAGACATTTTGAGGTCTTAGGCGGAGAGTTAGATGGCCGGATTAGCGGCGAGACGGTCTGTTCAACCCGGACCTCGATGACCGACGACCTCGCGGCGCGCGACATGGGCGCTTGTTCACTTGTGCCGGACTAGTGCCGGATCTTGGCCGGATCACACGGGTATCATCTCGGCGTTACTTGATCCTGCTTCGCATCCAAGTGCAATGCCACCACGACGGAGGCAGCAGTTTACCCAGGAGAATGTCGAGCAGCAGCTGCAGCAGATACATCTCCTTGACCCCTCCTCGACATCGGAGAACCTCGAGCAGCTCGGCCCCATCATCAAGCAGATACATACCAATCGCCAGCAGGAAGCCTACCTCCGCGCGGTCAAGCAGCTCATAGACTCCAAGGACGCAGAAATTGAGCAAATATGTGCAGACAATTACCAAGAGTTCATCGGCTCTGTATCCACGCTTTTTACCATCAAATCTTACACGACGAACCTTCGGGACACTATCACTTCGCTTGACCAAAGCGTGGCACAAGTTGGCCAGGGCGTGGTAGAGAAGAAGCGCGCTTTGCTAAAGTCGAAGAAGACCGTAGCAAACCTGGACGAGGCCATAGACACACTGCAGGCATCACTTCGTGTCCTAGACGTTGTGAACCGCGTAGGCGAGATGATCGAGGAGGGAAAGTACTGGAGTGCCCTCAGGGTCCGTAGTTCCGCTTTGTCCGTATGTCTACCCTGTAGCATTGAATGGCCATCCATGTTCAGTCCCTCGAAGACATTGAAAGCATGCCACCGACTTCCTTGTCGCAGACCCCGCTCTTCCAGCATTTACTTTCCTCGCTGCCTTCGTTGCGTAGTCAGATCAAGGATGCCGTGACGGCAACTATGAAGCAATGGTTGCTGTACATCCGAGAAATCAGCTCAGAGGTTGGTCAACTCGCCCTAGAAGCCATGGACAATCGTACACGGAGGTGGCGAAGTCGAAGAGAGAAGGACCCCATGCTAAAGCTTAATCGCGTAGGCAGTGCAGTGGAAAGCGTGACCTACGAAAAGATTGATCGTATGTCCATGCATTTTGTCGTTTGCCGTTTGATTTGTGCTCGTGCTGAGATGACATGTTAGACAATATCCTGGATAATGACCGCCTGAAGGTCGACTTCACACCCCTGTACCAATGCATACACATCTACACCGCTCTAGACGCGCTAGATGAAATCCGCAAGTCGTACCAGGCTGACCGGAAGGTAAGTCGTCTGGCCCAACCCATAGTCAGGCAGATGTCTGCTCGAGCGCGGTCGTGAAAAGTGGTCCCAGACCTGCAACGGAATGAGATGCAAAACGGACCTTACCCAGTACTCATAATGCTATACAGGCGCAATCAGACTTGATTATCCAAGACACACTTCCGTTATCCCAGTTATCCCCCGTCACGCAAGAAATTGTTGGTTTTTTCATCATCGAGACACATGTCCTCAATACCACGGGCACCTTCCGGTCGGAACGCGACGTTGAGGAGCTCTGGGACGCACTGTTGGGACGCCTATCCTCTGCAGCGGACCGGGCTTTGAGCAGGGAGACTGAAGCCGACTCATATCTCAGAGTCAAGGAAGGGCTCATCGCGTTCGTTATGACTTTGGAGGTCAGGTCTCTGCTTATGGGGCTGGACGTGTACTAACTTGGGGATGTAGGCATATTCGTACTCCACGGCAAGTTTGCACTCATTCATCATCGTTCTCTTCGAGCGCTACGTCTCGTTACTTGAGAAGCAATTTGCGAAGCGTTTCGAGTCGGTCAGTGTTCTTTAGACTTCTGTTTGGCATGTGCTCAATTTGTTTCATAGATCATATCGCAAGATGATTGTCTTCCTATGTTCATCGAGAATGAACGGGATCGAGACAGTGTACTTGACACTGTCTGGCTTGGTAATTCTGAGCGCGAGCAGCTTCTCGAGTAAGTTCTGCATAACTCTACTGGGCTGGTGATGACACTGGGGAACTCACAGGAGCCCGCTGCCCATCAATTTCCCGTGGTCTTCAGGATTCTACTTGTGCTGCCAAGACGTACGCCTCCCATATACATCTGCGAATAAGACTCACAGTCTATATACAGATCCGTAACTTTGTCCATAATTTCTATCAATTTTTGGAAGGCGTCTCGCAGCATCACCGTAACATCGACGACTTGCTCAGCAAGGTGAGTGTTTTACCCTACTACAAAGCTCGAGCTGTGACTGTTAGTTTTCTAGTCGCTGGAGAACTTGCTCACCAAGCACATTGCCGAAAATATGGCTCGCCGTGCTGAGGCGACCTCAAATCTATCGCAACTGGCCCAGATTATCACCAACCTGGAACACTTTGAGGTAGCATGTGCGGAGCTTGAGCGGTCGCTGACGACTATCAGGTATCGCTTGGACGAGCGCCCAGTCTTTCTTACAAGCTGATAGGCCTGTTTTTCAGGTCATCGCAACGTGGGGGCACCATCCGGGTGAATGCCTCGAGTGCGTTTTCTTCCGCCCTCCTACGCGCCCTCGCACGCGTGAACGCCTCGATCACGTCCAAGCTTGACGACTTCTTTGGGCTGTCCGAATACGACTGGACGCCAAATAGCCGTGTCAGCAGCCCGAGCATGTACCTGTACGAGCTCATCAACTGGCTCACGACCGTCGTCGACACGCTCGTCATCAAGGAGGAGTATAAGGATCAGGCGTATAAGAGCGCGGTCGAGTACCTCGCGGACTGTCTTATGGTATGCATTCAGACGCATTCGATAGACTACTGTTGGATGCTAACGGAATGGGGACAGGAATTTCTAACGGGACGCAGCATTCCGATGCTGAACGAGAACGCGATCCACAATATCCTCGTCGACGTTGACTTTCTCGAGGACGAGTTCAAGCAGGCGGGGCGGCCGCAGCTGCTGGCTGCCTTTGCGGAGCTGCGTGCGGTGCGTCTCTCCGCTTTGGTGCACGGGCGTAGTTGCCGTGTGCGTTGCTTAGCCGTTCGCTGATCACATCCACCGCCCGGACAGATCGAGTCCCTCGTGTTGAACAACAACGTGCAGCAGTTCCTCAACCCGACGATACGCCAGAATAACTATGCCGTCATACGGGCGAAGCGGCTGCAGTCGATGCTCGAGAAGCTCGCGCGCTTCGGAGGACAGAGTCGGGACGCGCCCACGCGCGAACGGGGCGAGCGTAGGCGGAAGGAGGTTGAGGCTATCGGGAAAATATACCCAGTCGAGACGCGCTGATCCATCGATAGCCGGCCTGCATGTACTCCATAACGACGGACATCATCCATTGGAGAATATATACCCAGTCGCGGATGTATTACATGCGTCGCGCTCACATGCACTCCACGTAAGCTAAAGGGACATTCCCGGGGCGCGTTTCGTACAGGTAACAAGGTTGACGAACTAGATGCCCCAGACAGAAGACGGTAATCGAGCCGATGGAGATAGGAAATTATGAACGAGGAAACAGTGTTACACAGCAGGGTCGAGGGGCAGAGGGTTCCTTGCTTGTCGTTAGGAATCGTGGCATCGTTCATGAGGAACCCGTGATGTTGCAAAGAACTCAGACGCCTAGGTCCGTCGCTTGATGTTGGTACTGAGCCACTCGAGACCCTCGTACAGACCGTCACCGCTGGTTGCACAGGCAGCCTAAGGCGCGCGTGTTAGCGGAGTCGGCGCCAAAAATCCGCATACAGCCAAGGGAAGCGTACCTGGATAAACCATGTCCTCTGCCGAAGGCCGTGGAGACCGAGCTTGTCAGTAATCTCCGCTGCATTCATCGCGTTGGGCAGATCTTGTTTGTTGGCGAACACAAGGAGAAGGGCATCACGGAGCTCGTCCTCGTTGAGCATCCGCTGCAGCTCCTCGCGTGCCTCAGACACACGTTCCCGATCGTTCGAGTCGACAACATAAATAATGCCCTGTGTGTTTTGGTAGTCTGTTCGGGATCTATGAGCGGACAAGGAGCTCATAAAAGACGGTGAGTCACGCACAATGCCTCCAGAGAGGACGAATCTTGTCCTGGCCTCCGACATCCCAGACGGTGAAGGAGATGTTTCTGTATTCGACGGTCTCAACGTTGAAACCTGCCATCGCGCGCTGCATGAGTTTTTCTGTGAAGTGAAAGACGGCGGAAGAACTGACCGATAGTGGGGATAGTGGTGACGATCTCACCCAGCTTGAGCTTGTACAGGATTGTTGTCTTACCGGCGGCGTCGAGGCCAACCTGCAGGATGTTCAGTGTTCTGAGCCACTTGCCTTACGATGGCGGATCGGACGACGTACCATCAGTATACCTATGCGTTGCCAAAAAGTGTCAGCACGACGCAAGTTCTGGATTTGTTATCATCGATGGAGACAACGCACGCATTTCCTTCTTGCCGAACATTCCTTGCATGGCTTTAGAAAGCATCACACCCATTGTTGCGAAGAGTAGAGATCAAAGACGACGTGGCGAACGGTGAGGGTGGTGTCAAGGTCGACTTTGGTCCCGGTTGCGTGAGGCGAGTCTGCGTTCCGAACTTTGTAACTCCGCTGCTGACTAAGCGTAGCAATTTCCTTCACACCGCCTCCCTACCTCAGCCACCTTTTATGCACCCTGCCTCCGTCGAGTCGGCCACGTAAGATATAGCATAACATACGTGGTTGTTCATTATATCATGTCCAGGTACCACAGCGCAGCACTACTCGTTGCGGCGCAGGCGCAGGCGTCCGAGGGTGCCTCCAGTGTGCCGCCTCGAGGTTTCCGCTCTGAGCTCTCCAGCCAGCAACGCGAATCAAAACGCTGACGTGGAAGGCAGATAAAGCGGCGGCACATTGAGAGAGTTTCCCTGGACGCTGTGCATGCAAGCTCTACAGCCTTGGTGACTCGGGCGTCTCGCTCAGCTTTGTCCGGGCGACCTCCCCCGCTGGGTGCACGGGTCTGTCATTTGCCAATTTATTGCTTTCGTCATGTAAAGTGGGCGGTTTTCTTCTAAACAGCGTTGCTTCGACGCCTAGGAAAGAGAAGTGAAGCATGACTCTACTTAGCAACCACGATAGTCCTGGGATGCAGGGTCGTCTGACCTTTTGAACGAGCATCTTTCTACGTATCATGTTCTTCAGTGAAGGCTTGCTTCCGCGTGGCCTTTGGCGTTGTCCACAAATGTCCACGCCCAATAATCGCGCTCCCACCTCCATCTCGTGCCTTTCCACGAGGCTTTTAAACAGTTTATATGACGCACATATGTACCCGTAGCAGAGTTTCTCTGGAGCCTCATCAGCGTTCTGAACCTGCCGTTGACCGGTCATTACTAGCACCGTGACGTCTGTGTAAAGCGCGTTGTTTGTGCATGTTTGTCCGCCTTGACGAGATTTACTGCATCGATCGAGTCAAGCTTGGGACTACCAACTCGCCTCGCACTCTTCCTCTTGACTCTTTCGCCCTCTTAGAGCACCCTAGAATCTCTGAGATACTATGCCCCCCAAGGCAGCGTCGGCAGATACCGCTGAACTCGTCGAGCTCTTCAAGTCAATTGGTCTCACTCAGTCCAAGGCCGCAGAAGCAGCCAAGAGCCCAAAGAGCGCAACTACACTCAAGGATATCATAAGAAAAAAGCAGCTCGCTGGCAAGAACCTCGATGAGAAGACTGGCGTCCTTCTCGCGGCTCTGGCCGTTCAGGGGAACAAGCTAGACGAGGACGAACGAGGGTATGCTGTTGATGCAATCTTAGATGGAAGACTGAAGAGCACAGACCAGGTTTCAGGTAACAGGATGCTAGGAACTGTTGTTATGCATCTGCTCAGCTCCTTGCTCGTATTATCTAGCCGCTACCAAGTATCTCGAGTCACACCCCGTCCCAGTCGATCAGGCCGACTTTGACAAGCAGTGTGGTGTAGGTGCGTATCACGCGACCTTCAAGAAAAAACCTTGTCAGATTGTTGACCTTCCTTAGGCTTCAGCATCACTGCGGAAGAGCTCGCGACCCAAGTCAAGGAATTTATATCCTCGAGTACCGCGACCGGATGGGACAAGCTCGGAGCCACCATTGGCACATTAAAGAGCACCGACTTGCGGTGGGCGAATCCCCTCGAACTTAAGAACGCTGTGGAGGCAGCCTTCGCCGAGAAGTTTGGCGCCAAGGAGGCTGCAAAGCCTAAGGGCAAGGTGTGTCCTATGTGATGAGACGGAGAATGGATCTTAATTGTCCTGGTGACTACTATAGGAACCTAAGAAGGAGGCAGCACCGAAGACCACCACCACAGATGCTCCTGAGTCTGCAGTGTCGACTTCGAGGTCCGTGTTTGCCGAAGGCTTCCTTGGACGTCTCCACAAGCCCGGCGAGAACCCCCAGATCCACCCTCACCTGCGCGACCAGCACTTGGCGGCTACCGGCGGCCAGGTCTGGACGCGTTTCCCTCCTGAGCCCAATGGATACCTACATATCGGTCACTCGAAAGCGATCTTCGTGAACTTTGGCTATGCGGCGTATCATGGCGGAAAGTGCTACTTGCGTTACGACGACACGAACCCCGAGGCGGAGGAGGCTCAGTACTTTGAAAGCATATTGGAAACCATCCGGTGGCTTGGGTACGAGCCGTGGAAAATCACATACTCGAGCGATTACTTCGACAGGCTATACGAGCTTGCTGAAGAGCTGATCAGGAGAGACAAGGGCTACGTCTGCCACTGCACTGGTATGTCATCATTCTTTCTGTGAAATTATTGCATGCTGACATCTTTCTTCAGCTGAGGAGATGTATGCCAACCGTGGGGGTGATGAACGCGGTCCTCGCAGGGCATGTGCGCATCGCAGCCGATCAGTACAGGAGTCGCTCGCGGAGTTCAGGAAGATGAGAGACGGCTTCTACAAGCCAGGAGAGGCAATCATGCGCATGAAACAGGACCTTGAATCTGGCAACACCATGATGTGGGACCTCGTCGCTTACCGTGTTCTCAACGCCCCGCATCACAGAACACACAACAGGTGGAAGATCTACCCGACCTATGATTTCACACACTGTCTCGTCGATAGTTTCGAGAACATCTCGTGCGTGTCACAACTCCAAGCACTTTCAGGTGACTGATTATTGCATCCTAGACATTCACTATGCACAGTGGAGTTCATAGCTTCTCGCGAGTCCTACGAATGGCTGTGTGATGCTCTCGATGTCTACAAACCCCGTCAGTCCGAGTACGGTCGCTTGAATGTGACAGGTACTGTCATGTCAAAACGGAAAATCTTGCAGCTCGTGAAAGAAGGTTATGTCACTGGCTGGGACGACCCGCGATTGTACACCCTGATTGCCTTGCGGAGACGTGGAGTCCCCCCGGGTGCTATCCTTTCCTTCGTCAGCTCGCTGGGAGTTTCGACAGCCGCGTCAAACATCCAGACAGTACGGTTTGAGCAGGCCATCAGGCAGTACCTCGAAGGTTCTGTACCGCGTCTGCTTATGGTGCTCAACCCACTCAAGGTTACCATCGACAACCTACCCGAGGACTTCGTCATGATGCTCGAGAAACCGCTGCACCCTAAGGTCCCCGAGCACGGTTCGTCCAAGATCCCGTTCACGCGCACGATCTACATCGACCGCGACGACTTCCGGCTCGTCGACTCGAAAGACTACTTCCGCCTCGCACCAGGCAAGACTGTCGGCCTCTTCCAGGCGCCGTACCCGATCACCTGCGTGTCGTACAAGGTCGACGAGGCGACGGGCGAGGCCACCGAGCTCGTGTGCCGCGCGGAGACCGAGGGCGAGCTCGCGACGAAGAAGCCCAAGGCATTCATCCAGTGGGTCGCCGAGCACGCGCCGTCGGGAAGTCCCGTCACCGTCGACGAGACGCGGGTCTTCTACCAGCTCTTTAAGAGCGACAACCCCGCGGCCGCGCAGCCCGACTTCAAGGCGGACATCAACGCGCACAGCCTCGACGTCGTCAGGGGCGCGATGGTCGAGGTCGGCTTCTGGCCGCTCGCGCGCCGGCTGTACGACGAGGCGCGCGCGGAGGGCCGGGCGCGCACCGAGAAGGCGCGGGTGACGACGGAGCAGGCGGAGGGCCACGGTGCGCCCGGCGACGACACGCCCCAGGCGACGAGCGAGCAGCTTGTCGGCAAGGAGGTCGTCCGCTTCCAGGGCCTCCGCGTTGCGTACTTCGCGCTCGACAAGGACGCGAAGCTGGCGTGTCTGGACGAGCCTGAAGGCGTGACGCCTGCACACAAGCCGGGCGATGTCATCGTGCTCAATCGGATTGTTAGTTTGAAAGAGGATTCGGGCAAGGCTGCTTGATTGACCTTCGTAGACGGGCCGCGCACTCGCAGTCGAATTCTAGCTAATGTATAGTACAACTCATATCCTTTCGCAATTGCATTCAGTTCACAGATTAAGTTCCAAAGCCAATCGTCCACGAACAGTGGTACTACACAGCACAGGCCAGTGTTATGCCATGTTCTTTCATTCATGAACCTAGAGATAATTCCCAAAGATGTCCTTCCAAACAGTGTCAACGCGTTTTCACAGAGAGTCCTTAGATGGCCCCAGCGTTTTGCGCCTCCCGCATCTTGACCCACAGGCCGCCCTACAGCACAGCAGTAAGCATCCACCATCGAGGGTGTCGCGCCTGATTACTACTTGCCTTTGCATACAGCGTCAGGTGCGACTTGGGCCAGAACCTCTCGACGCCCTTGCGTCCGGGGGCGCCGGCCCAGCTGGCGGGGACGCGGCACGCGGGCGGGAGCGCGTCCTCGTGGAGCGCGACGTCGTCAAAGTGCTGGAGGAGCCGGATGACGAAGAACGACATCTCGTTGTACGCGAACTGCTGGCCGAGGCAGATCCGCGGCCCGGCGTTGAAGGGCAGGAAGATGAACGGGTTCGGGGTCAGGTACCGCTGCACGCGCGCGTCGAGGAAGCGGTCCGGGTCGAACACCTCCGCGTCCGGGCCCCAGTAGTCCTCGCGGCGGTGCATGCAGTGGACGGAGTAGGAGACGCTGGGCGGGGCGTTAGGCGCGGTGGGAGGGGTGGGAAGAGAGGCTTACGGAGTGCCAGCAGGGATGAAATAGGGCTTGTCGGGGTCTGGGCCGGGAATAGTAGTGTCCTTGACGGGGTAGCTGATAGTTAGACTGTCAGCACTGTCAGTCGTTCGATGGAGGGGCACGCCGCTTACCGAAGGTTCCAAGGTCTAAAGGGCCGAAGGACAGGTGTTAGAACGAGGCGTATGGAGGAGCTCTCGTGGACTCACACAACAGGGTATAGCCTCAAAGTTTCTGCGATGTCACGGTCAGTGAACCGTATGCCATAGGCGAAGGGGATGTTACTTGCCGTTGATGAAGGCTCGCAAATACTTCATCTCCCGGATATCACCGTACGTAGGCCTGCGGGACGGCCCCACCTTTTCAAGGATCTCCGCCCTGAGGCGGCGAAGGACATCTGGATATTGCGAAAGGAAGTAGACCGCGACGGTCAGCGTACCAGCGGTCTGCGAGCAAGTTAGTGTTGGAGTGTGAGAGGATGTATGGTATATCGACACTAACTGTGTCGCGTCCGGCAATCATGATATTCAATACTTCGTCGTGAAGGATTTTTGGGTCTGTGAACAGGTTTTCACCAGTACATCAGCTTTTAATGCATGGAACATATCTGTAACAATACCCACCATTGGTGTACTTGACGAGGTGGTCCAACAACGTCTCATCCTCCTCGATCTCCTCCTTGACCTCAGGCACCTTCCCGCCGTTCCCCTCCTTGATCCTGTCCGCCTTCTCAACCGCAGCCTTGAGGATCGGGTCGAGGAACGCGTCGACGACCTCCATCGGCGTCCGCGTCTTGCTCTTGGCCAGCTCGAACCACGGCCACAGCCAGCCCATGCGGATGCGGAAGTTGAGCACGGTCTGCGCCTCCGCGAACGCGCGCGCAAAGTCCTCTGCGCGGGACGCGGACTGCCCGAGGAGGTGCGCCGGCGCGGTGTGCGGGTACGGCAGCACGGACGAGAGGCTCGCGACGCAGGACCCGAAGAGGAACTCGGTCGCGCTGTCGAGCGTGAAGCGGGAGATGAGGTCCTGGAAGTCGACCGCGTAGCCCTCGGCGAGGCGCGCCTTCATTTTGTGCATGGCCTCCTCTGGCGAGACGGGGTCAGTCAGGACCGTGGGCAGGCAGAGGCAAACGGGGACGGCACACCTGCGTGTCTGTCGAACAAGTCAAAGTGGCCGATTCGCTCGCGAGTGAAGAACGGCCTTGTCATTGAGCGGTGGAACCTGAAAGCGCGAGGGTAAGCCATACGCTACGATGAGCGCAAAGACCACGCGTGAGTATCTCACTTCCACATGTCACCTAGACGAACGTTAGCGCATGAGACCGGCACAGGAGCCATCGGGAAAAGCGAGCGCACCATCCGAGTTGAACACGCCCGTTCCGAGTACGGATCTCATACATATATCGAATCTCTTTCCTGCAGAACATGGGGCATGTCATTGGGTGACGTCAGATGCAGCGGGCGCGGTTACCCACCCTTGACGAAGCTGGTGAATTCGTTAGCTAGTATTGCCTGCATTTATCGGGTGAGCTGAAGAAAGAAGGCTTGAAGGGACAATTAATGTACCTTGACAACACTGGCGTCGGACGTGACATAATTCCTATCCCATAGGATGTATATCTCGAAAGTCTGGTTGACGGAACACATCTTCTCCCATAGCAAGTCGCCTGCACGGGGCTGTATCAGCACCTACGAGCGATTGCTCACGGAGACACACTCACTGAGGAAGCCGTTCTCGAAGGAATCGGTGAGCTTCACGAGAAGGTCCACGCTGCCGGGCCATCGTCCTTGTACGCGGGGCGGCAAGACGGCACCCATCCGCGCGGCCTTGCGGGCGGCGCGCCAGTTGCTATGCCATACCGACAGCCCATGCGCGATCGGCAGGCTGAGCACAGACAGCCAGAAGATTGCCCACGTCGGGATCCACAGGTCGGCGTACCTCCGTAGGAGGATAAGCGCGGCAGCGGTGGCGGCCGAGGGTTTGAAGATGAAGCCGAGCTCGTAGAGGATGACGGTGACGACCTCCCTCTCTGGGAGGTGTATGGCGGGCGACATGGTGGGAGGACGCAGGCTGGGGATGAACGAGGAGCAGGGAGCTGTTCGTGTCTGTCCGAGTGTGAGACTGCACGATGAAACTATATAACTTGCGAACCATGAGCGCCACCACGGACCTCAAGGGGGCGACCGGTCTCGCAGTCGATAGCACATGTCCAGCATTCGAATTCACGGGAGATCGTCAGTGACGATGGTCTGCTCTCGCCTGGCTGCGGTCACGGCTGGTGCGCAGACGTCGAGCCAGTGGTCGGATCAATGCATAATATCTGCGCGCGCGCGCGGCGGGACGGGAATCACGGACTGCACTTTCATGTGCAAAGCACTTGGTTCTCGTTCGCGCGCAGTCAACTTGGCCCAGGCGAAAGACTCGGATGAGTGTCATGCTGATTAGCAGACGTGGAAGGATCACTCGAGATGCCCTCAATGTCCGAACATCGCGAGGGGGTCCAGGACCCCCCGCCAGTCAGCGACGTCCAGGGAAACTGGGTAAGAAAGAACGATATCTCTAGAGCAATCGCTCGCAGAGTTCAGACCGATGAGGGGCAGTTTCTCCAACTTGAGAGAGGCAATCATGCGTAACATGAAGCAGAACCTTGAATCCGGCAACACCATACGACTTCACACGTCCAGTGGGCCCGTGGGGGGCTTTGAGAACACCTCGTTCGTGCCTCGGTCCCTCCAACTGCCTTGCGAAAACGCGGTGTGATAACAGCGGTACTACACACAGGCCAGTATCGTACAACACGTCTAGGGAACATCTATGTAAAAGAAAAACTGTCCGTCCGAGCAGGATGCCGACAGCATCTTCACGCAGCGTCCCCCTTCAGATGGCCTCGGCGTTCTGTGCCTCCCGCATCGTGACCCACAGGCCGCCCTGCCGTGCAACAACACCAGTCAGCATCCAGTCTCGGGGGGTAACAGCAGCAGCAACAACAACCGCGCCCACATACCTTGGCGTACAGCGTCAGGTGCGTCTTGGGCCAGAAGCGTTCGACGCCCTTGCGTCCGGGTGCGCCAGCCCAGGCGGCGGGGACGCGGCACGCGGGCGGGAGCGCGTCCTCGCGGAGCGCGACGTCGTCAAAGTGCTGGAGGAGCCGGACGAGGAAGAACGACATCTCGTTGTACGCGAACTGCTGGCCGAGGCAGATCCGCGGCCCGGCGTTGAAGGGCAGGAAGACGAACGGGTTCGGGGTCAGGTACCGCTGCGCGCGCGCGTCCAGGAAGCGGTCCGGGTCGAACGCCTCCGCGTCCGGCCCCCAGAACTCCTCGCGCCGGTGCATGCAGTGCACGGAGTACACGACGCTAGGGGCGGGTGGGGGCGGGTGGGTGTCAGGCTGGTGAGACAGGCAAATGGGCGGAAAGAGGCTTACGGGGTGTTGGCCGGGATGAAGTAGGGCTTGTCGGGGTTTGGGCTCGGGACGACGGTGTCGTTGACGGAGTAGCTGGGGGAGAATGTCAGTGTTTTCGGGTGTCTCAGAGGAATGCTCGACTTGCCGAACGTTCCAAGGTCTAAGAGATGAAAAGAACGATGGTCAGAGTTTGACATACGCAACCACCCGCACAAACTTACACAGCGGGGTACAGTCTCAGAGTTTCTATGATGTCGTTTAGTCAGCGAAATCCATATTCTAGGTAGAGTAAATGCTGTTTACCGTTGATGAAGGCTCGCAGATACTTCATCTCCCGGATGTCCTCATACGTAGGCCGGCGGGACGGGCCCACCTTCTCGAGAATTTCCTGCCTGAGGCGACGAAGCACCTCCGGATGTTGCGAGAGGAAGTAGATCGCGACGGTCAGTGTGATGGCAGTCTGCGAGACAGAGGGTCAGGTACGCGAGAGAAAACATGGGAGACACCAGTACGTACCGTGTCACGCCCGGCAATCATGATGTTCAGAACCTCGTCATGCAGGATCTTCCGGTCTGTCGACAGATACCGACATCAGTCCTCGCCGCACGAGAGACACCTTCAAGAAACCCACCGTCGGTGTACTTGACGAGGTGGTCGAGCAGCGTCTCGTCCTCCTCGATCTCCTCCATGTTCTCAGGCACGCTCCCGCCGTTCTCCCGCTTCGTCCGCTCCGCCTTCTCGACCGCGGCGGCGAGGATCGGGTCGAGGAACGCGTCGACGGTCTCCATCGGCGCGCGCGTCTCGCTCCCGAGCAGCTCGAACCACGGCCACAGCCAGCCCATGCGGAAGCGGAAGTTGAGCTTCGACTGCGCCTCCGCGAACGCGCGCGCAAAGGCCTCCGGCGCGGACGCGCCGCGCTGCTGCCCGAGCAGGTGCGCCGGCGCCGTGTGCGGGTACGGCAGCGTCGACGAGAGGCTCGCGACGCAGGACCCGAAGAGGAACTCGGTCGCGCTGTCGAGCGTGAAGCGCGCGATGAGGTCCTGGAAGTCGACCGCGTAGCCCTCGGCGAGGCGCGCCTTCATTTTGTGCATGGCCTCCTCTGTAGAGAGGGGGTCGTGAGAACCGTGCAGAGGTAAAAGTAGGTGGAGACGGTACCTGCGTGTCTGTCGAACAGGTCAAAGTGGCTGATCCGCTCACGAGTGAAGAATGGCCTTGTCATGGAGCGGTGGAACCTGAAAGCGCAAGGTAAGCCATGTCATAAGGAGCGTGGGGATCACAGGTGAAAGCCTCACTTCCACATGTCGCCTAGAGCAGTGTTAGCATACTGGTGCGACGCGTAGAACAATGGGAGAAAGCGAGCGCACCATCCGAGTTGAAAACACCCGTGCCAAGAACAGATCGCATGCTCGTGTTGAATGTCTCTCCTGTAAAATCATAGAACGTGTCACTGGGTGTTGTCAGACGACAGAGGGCGCGTTTTCCCACCCTTGACGAAGTTGCCGAAATCAGTGGCCAGAATCGCCTGTGATGGTTGGGGCACGGTTGAGTTGAAGAATTAAAACACAGTGACGCGACAAGGTACCTTGACGACGCTGGCGTCGGACGTGATATATCTCCCGTTCCAAAGAACGTCCATCTTGAGGGTGCGTCCGACGGACTGCATGTTGCCCCATTGCATCTCGCCTGTGTGGGGCTCCGTTAGGCACACTGGCGAGCGCTACGGGGACGGACCACTCACTGAGGAAGCCGGTCTCGGCCTGACGGGTGAGCTTCATGAGCAGGTCTATGCCACCGGGCCAGCGTCCTTGTATGCGGGGCGGCAAGACGGCACCCATCTGAGCGGCTTTGCGGGCGATGCACCAGTTGTTCCACCATACGGTCAGGCCATGCATGACGGGCAGGCTGAGCAGAGTGAGACCGAAGATGGCCCATGTCGGGATACAAACGTCGGCGTATCTTCGTAGGATGACGAGGGTGAAGGCGGTGACGAGGGAGGGCTTGAAGATGATGCCGAGCTCGTGGAGGATCATGAGTACGACCTCCCTCTCTGGGAGGCGTATGGAGGGCGACATGGTGCGAGAGCGCGACCTGGGGGTGACGATCTGGTCGCGCGGTGAGCCTTGTGCGAGCGGGAAACTGCAGGACGTGATATATTATATGCAGAGTGATCCCCAGGACGAGTTTGGGACTCGCGCCGTCGGCAGAGCAAAGTGCTCGGGGAGGTGTCATGCTGATTAGGAGACATGTACCGCGAGGCGGGCATGATGCAGGGAAAACGTGTCGCGCATGTTGATTGACAGGCCAGCGTGAGTGCGTTGCAGTCAGCGACGTCACCCATTATGAACGAGCACCTTCATACCTCCGAACACAGGGTCGCATCTTCAATTCTTGACCATGATCCCCAGCGCACCAGCGGGAGTGAAACAAAGTTTCCCCACCAGATCCGAGCTGGGGAGGATTCCATAGCCAGCTGCACGCGAGGATGAACATGTCTGGCAGCTCGAGTTCAGACGACGTGCTGGCGGGCCGAGTGCTGTCCTCTTGCGCACTTTCCTGCAGCTGGCTCATGCAGTCCCAGTCATGTCACCGTCTCTTATAAACGAGGACATTCGTGCCTCCGAACATGTCAAAGTCAAAATGGACCGTGCCTATTTGGGAAGTGGCCCTCTAGGCGCCTTACCTGAGACGCGCTCGCCATCGTCTTTCACCATGTCGCAGCGAGAGCGTGAAACGTTGGCTTCGCTCAGAGCGTGCTCTCCCTTTCCGTGAGTGACATCTGTATTTTAAATTTAGCGCCGTAAGTGTATCCGCGCAAGAGCACGACCTGGGGACAATGTCTTGTCCGATTGGGGCTACACGAGTGATATATCTACAGACCGAGAACCATCACAATCCGAAGAGCCACGTCGCCAGCAGCTAAGATTCTCGAGCAAGCGTCATACTGTACAGACAAAAAAAAAATGCCACTAGAGTGGCGAATACAACTAGAAGTACACGAGATCGACGTCGCACCGTTTTCTTTGTACATTCTGCAAGTTATGCCTGGCCAACAACTGGAGCTTCGCGCATCTTTACCCACATGCCGCCCTTGAGTGCCACGCGATTAGTCGTATCACCGCCTGTGATGGACGGTATTCGTACCTCGGAATACAAAGTCAAATGGGCCCTCGGCCAAAACTTTTCTTTGCCCTTGCGTCCAGGGAACTTGGCCCATTCGGCCGGAGGCAGTGCCTCAGGTTCGAACGACTCGCGGTCAAACGAAATGCTTTCAAACGTCTGGAGCAGCTTGATGAGGAAAAACGACATCTCGTTGTACGCGAACTGCTGGCCCAAACAGATCCGAGGGCCGGCGTTGAAGGGCAGAAAGATGAACGGGTTCGGTGTCAGGTACTTGTGCAGCCTTTCGTCCAAGAAGCGATCAGGGTCGAATTCTTCAGCTAGTGAACGGAAGAGTCAACCATCGATCATAGTGTCGTCCGACTTGGCACTCACCATCGGGTCCCCAGTAGTCTTTCCTTCGATGCATACAGTGTACTGAATACGAGACTCTGCAGGGTGGCTTCCGTCAGTGTCTGTTGACGAAGCAAAACATAAGGGCGTACGATGCTCCGGCAGGAACGAACCAAGATTTTCCCATCGGATCCGAGTTGGGTAGGACAGTATCCTTAACTGCATACCTAGCACGAACATACATTAGCAGGAGAGAAGAAGCACATCTGGCCAATTTTTGTCGCATACCGCATGTTCCACGGACTGGGTAGTCGAAACGACGCGTGAGCAATCTATAGCAGATGTATAGGTCATCTAACTTACACGGCAGGATAGAGCCGTAAGGTTTCTGCGGGTAACGTCGTTAGCATGGAGCCTCACCATACGTAGATGAACCAACCATTCAGAACAGCCCGGAGATACTTCATTTTCTTCACGTCGTCATAGGTCGGGCGGCCAGTTGGGCCGGCGACGTCAAGGATCTCCTGCCGGAGGCGGTGGAGCATCTCTGGATGTTGGCTGAGGAAGTAGACTACAAAGGTGAGAGTGCCTGCGGCCTAGGCGTGCTTAGCACGACTCGAAACATAGTCGTCCGTCAGCCCTCGCTTACCGTATCACGTCCTGCTATCATGATATTCAGGATCTCATCGTGGAGGATGGTAGGGTCTAGCCATATGCTTTCAGACCACGCACACACCTCCGAAACGCCGCCAAACACGCACCTGACGTAAACTTCGCCAGATGGTCCAGCAACGTCTCCCCCTCTCCGACCTCCTCACCGCCGCTCACCACGCCGCGCTCCTTCGCCTCCCCGGACACCTGGAGCGCCCTCTCGATGATCGGCTCCAGGTAGCTGTCCACCGTGCGCATCGGGTCCGCCGTGCGGCTCCCGAAGAGCTCGTTCCACGGCCAGAGCCACACGAGGCGCATGCGGTGCGAGATCACGTGCTGCGCCGCGCGGAACGCCTCCGCGAACGCGTCTGCAGGCGACCGCGGGCGGCCGTCGCGCAGGTGCGCCGGCGCGCCGTGCGGGTACGGCAGGACGCCGCCGTGCAGGCTGTGCACGCACGCGCCGAAGAGGAACTCCGTCGCGGAGTCGAGTGTGAAACGGCCGATGAGGTCCTAGCGTGCGTCGCCGCGGCACGGGTTAGTGTGTGTGTGGTGCAGATGCCCGGGGTAAGGGGAAGGGCGTACGGCGAAGTCCACGGCGAAGCCCTCACGGAGGCGGTCTTTCATCTTGTGGATCGCCTCCTCGGCGTGTCTGTCGAAGGTCTCGAAATCGGTGATGCGCTCCCGGGCGAAGAAGGGGCGGGTCATCGAGCGGTGAAACCTGTTCTTGGTTAGCGCGAACTCCTGTGAGACTTATCTTCCAACGACTACCTACTTCCATAGTTCACCTGATTTTGTCAAGGTCAGTAGACATTACGAAAGGCAGGCGGTGTGCTTCACCATCTGCATTGAACACTCCCGTTCCGAGGACCGAGTGCACAAAGGAGTCAAAATGTTCACCTAGGTCGCATGGCGTAAATCTCAAGAAGCTAACGTTAAACTTCCTACGCACCCTTCACCCAGTTGTTGAAGTCCGTCGCAAGGATAGTCTGATCAGAGTTAAAACATTACACTCGAAGCACACGACACAGCCAGCGCCGACGCCCACCTTGATGATAGCTGCATCCTGGGTACAGTAGTCCCAGGTCCAGAGCACATAAAAGTTGTACGTTGCCCCCAGCTCTTCAAACTTCTCGTAGAAATAATCGCCTGCCGATACGAAGCTCAACTCAACACAACATGAGCACGAGACAACAAAGCGACACTCACTGAGGAACCCTTTGCGATACGCATAGTCCATGAGCTGGAGGATGTCCACACCGCCAGGTAGCCGCCCCTCCCAGCACGGCGGCAGCGTCGCGCCCAGGCGCGCCGCCGTGCGTGCGTGCCGGCGGTACAGCCACCACGCGCGGCCGACGTGGAAAGCTGGGACCGCGATCAGCGCGCCGGCCCACACAGGGGCTGCCGCGAGCTCGAGGCGGCGCAGCGTGAGGAGGAGCGCGCCCACTGCGGCTGCAGGCGCAACGAGCCGCACGAGCTGGCCGAGGACGAGGGCATGGGCCTGGGAAAGGCGCATCGTGGTCGTTGTGTGTAGATGTCTGTCTGGCTGCGCAGGGTGGGTCAGTCGAGTTTTTATCTGTCCCTGTGGGTGCAGCCGGCTCGGGAGTCTGGTCGTCAACGTCGAGGCAGTTGAAATCCATCACATTCACGTTCTGAAACTTTGTGCTATGCAGGGTCTAACTGCTCTCGGCGAGAATAAATATTGTGGGTTTCACCGTGGTTCCAGGCTCGCCGATTGGAGGCGAGAGATATTCGGATCGTCATCTGAGTGTCTGGCTCCGCCTGCAGGCGATACAACAACGAACAAGTAACGTAACTGGAAGAGACGGTTCTCACTACCTAGGTATAAAGGACGGACCGAGCGCAAATCACAGGTAGGAGGCAATCACAGCACATCTCGTACCAAACTGGACCTCACAAACAGCGCAGACAGCAAAACAGGAAATACCATTTCGAAGAAGGCTCAAGCCGCAACAAGCGCATGCAAGTTGTAGACCTCGCGGCGCACTTTGTAGTACACATCTGACACGGCGCCCTCGAGCTCCAGCTTGCCTCGCCCGGTCTTCTTCACGGCGACGCTCTCCTGGAGCGCGTCCGGCGCGCTGCCCCTCCTTGCCGCGGCGCCGCAGATGAGCACGCCTTCGCCGACAAGCTCCGCCTGCACGCCGACAGCCGCCAGGCGCGCCTTGAGCGCCGTGAGCTTGAGCTCGCCTATCATCGTCGACTGCGGGAGTGCGCGAGTCGGACGGGAGCCGAGGATGCGGCCCCTGGCTGTGTGGCGCGCGGTGACGGCACGGCCGACCGAAGATGAGCCCACGGACTCCAGGATCGGGATCGTCGATGTGGCAAGGCTGGAGACGCGACCCGTGACGTACGCCACTTCGTTGTCCTCGAACTGTGTGTTCGTAGGTCAGGACTACAGCCAGTCTAAAGATGAGCAGCGACGTACCCTGGACATCTTCAGGGATGCGAGCAGCTCGTCACTCAGCGAGATGGAGAAGCTGTTCGTGTGCTGGCCAATCTGCACGCTTTCGCCGACCGCTGGTGCGTAAATGTCCTTGGTCATGGCTCGGATACCTGCGCAGGCTTCTATCAGGTGGTCCGTGGCGGCTTGTGGGGCATGCACAATGATCTGTTCGCACCGTAAGTACATTCGGTATATGAGATCTTCCCAAGAGCACTCACCATTTTCCTTGGATTGACCTGTGGTACGATGGTTTTTACCGCACGCCCATCGTTCAAGCCTTCCAAGTCGACGAAGAGCAGCCTACAGGCGAGCTGAACTTCGACTTCGGTTGTCACGAATTTTGATGGAGGCTCTTGTGGCTACAAAAGTATTAGAACCATACTCAATATACGCAACGACAGATAACTTTACCTTTTCTTCCTCCTCCGTCTTCATCTTCATCTCCTTCAAATCTTCGTTTTCCGCATTCTCCTCAAGGGCTTTCCCCTTCCTCATCCACATCTCGACATCGACCAGCTCCCCATAGTCGTCGATCTTCCGCTTCCTCTCCACGTACGGGAACATCCGGAAGCGCTGCTGCGGCTGGCCGTCCGCGCTCTTGAAGAACGAGGTCGCCTTCGAGACGTTGCCCTTCAGGTAGATGTCGTACGAGAGCATATGCCGCGACACGCCGTCGTCGTCGAGCGCCGCACTCCACGCCGCGTCGTCCACGTCGCGCCGCTTGCCGCCGCGCCGGCCGGCGTCCTTGCGCGGCTTGCGCTCCTCCTCCGCGGCGTCCACGTCCACGTCCATGCCGTCACCGGCGCCGCCGACGCCGGCACCGGCGAGCGCGAGCTCGACCTCGTTCTCGTCGTCGGTGTCCTCGTCGCTGTCGTCCTCGTCGTCGGTGTCCTCGTCGGCGTCCGCCTCGAGGATCCGCTGCCGCCTGTCCTCGGCCGCCTTCTTTGCCGCCTCCCTCTCCTTGGCGGCGCGCTCCCTCGCGAGGTGCTCCTCGAGCTCTGCGCCCTGCAGCGGCACTTTGGAGCTGATCTGCAGTCCGGCGACGGCGTTGAGCTCAGGCTCTCTGCCTGCGATCATGGAGACGGTGTGAGGCTCACCTTCAGGTGGAGGGTGCCGTCCATCATGACGTTGTTGCCGATCTTGCCTCGGTCCCACTTCGTGTCGTCGCGCTGGGAGTTGTCCCACCGCTCAAACAGGATCCTGCCCAGCGTGCCCTCCTCGCCGCGGCCCGTGAGGAGCACGACGTTGTCAGGGATCTCGGCGAACTCTGAGAAGAGCGCGCGAGACGGCCCGTGAGAGAGCGACGACGGCACTGCGAGGATGAGCTTGGGGTCCTTGGACGAGTACCTCTGCATCATCGCGGCAGGGTTCGGGAAGATCTCGAGGTGGCTGTGTGTTCCTGTGAGCCGACACAGCAAGGCGGGAGGACCGATGGAAGACTTACGGGAAACGCAGTGCGAACGCGCCCAAGGCCTCGTTGTCGTCGTCGTCGTCGACACGTTTCCGCTTGCGGTCCTTGCCGTGCTTGCCGTCCTGGCCCTCGACGCCGACGTCCTCCTTGCTGACCGTGCCGCCGAGCCACTCCATCATGCTCCGCACGAACGTCAGCATCTCGTGGCCGGCCCGCGAGAGCAGACAGATGGGGAACTTGAGGCGGGAGTAGCTCCAGTGTTGGTCGAGCAAGACGAGCAGCTCGAGCACCCGCGTGCTTGCGTCGCAGGGCAGCAGAAGCGAGTTTCGCGACGTGAGCGTCGCGGTGACGCAGTCTGCCGATGTATGAGCCGAAGCGGAGAAGCATGAAAGTATGGAATCATACCGAGTAAGGCGGCATCCCTGTCTTTCCGCCGCGCCGTCGTGACGTTGGCACGCTCGGCGTCCGTGATGAGGAGGTCTGGCCGGACCAGGGTCTCGAAGATGCCTGTGTTGCTTGAGCCTTGTCGCATGAGCACAGTGCCGTCCAGGTGGCGTTCACGCATGTGGTTCATGTCGACGGCGTAGAGGATCGTTCCAGCGGTCGGCGAGCGGATCTTCCAGATGGTACCACCGAGGGTGTGTCCGGCATTGAAGGGAATGATGGTCAGGCCCTGACATTTTCCTGCGGAGTATCAGTCCATGTAGAAAATGGCGTAATGCAAAGGACATGCCTTGCAAATGACATGGCTGAGAATAACGCAGGACGTTCACCGAGTCGAACGCGTCATGAACCTCTTGTACGGTAGCGACATACTTGCGCGACCGCGGCTCTGGGGCTGCGCTCTTGAGCTCTGGGCTTTGGCTTTTCTCGTCATGCTTGTCTTGCGCGTCCTGCACCTCTACGTCCTCTGGCATGGCAAGGTCGTCACTGATGTCTTCTTGGTCTTGTATACCCTCGACATCTTCCGTGGCAGCGATGCGTGCCATGGCTTGTACAGGAAGGGTGGTATAGGCCGGAGCAGTCAGGCCCCATCGAGAGTAAGCATAGGGGTACAACCCAGTGTGTTGAAGGTCCCCATGGGACATGAGGACGAGGTCGATGGTCGGCGCATATCTGTCGGGCAGTTTCAATATGGAAGTTGACACAGGGCGAGCAATGGTTGGAAGAGTGTCTGATATACATGGTGGCAGCTATAGAAGCCATACGATAACAGGCAGCCAGCTACGCACTCTTTCAGTGTCTGACAATATTGCTCCCAGTGGTGATGCGTCTCCTGGAGGTCTTCCTCCTTTACTGCAGACGATGTGTCCTCTGGACACCAGTCCGGCGCGCCGCAGTCGAGTAGTATTCGCACATCGTCGACTTGGAGCAGGTAAGCAAGCGGAACGGTGCGGGAGGAACGAGCAGCACCCGACAGAGGGGTGAAGGTAATCATCAAGCACGGTCCCGAATTGGCGCGCAAGCTTCAGAGCGCCAGCGCGAGCACGTCGCAACGCTGTGGCCTGGTTTTGCGACATACGTCGCGAGTACAAGAGTGCGAGGCAGCCGTCGGTGAGTAGGCGCCGCCGCAACGCACCCACGCGGCAACTGCTTGTCCAGGAATGGCAGGCAAGAACGCGTTATTGTGCAGCTCCGGCCTATTGTTCTGCGTTGTACTTGACCCGCTTTTCAGCCATGCACGTCCTGCCCGGCTGCCTCTCTCCCTCTGCTTTCGTTCGCCACTCCCCACGCTGCTTCGACAGCAGCCTCCTTCCTCTTTCCCATCTCCCACCGTAGCCCAGCGGGCCCCGTACTGTTCTCTTATCCCGACGCCATGTCAAGCCACCGCAGCGGCAGCATACGAAGCAGCAAGACCAAGTCTCCAGAGCGTTCTGCGACCGTCAAGTCCAAGGTACACAGGCCATCGCTCTCGGGACCCATGAACTGGCTAGGCCGGTCCTCCACCTCAGCAAGCACCTCTTCTGCGCCCTACGCCCCTTCCAAGCCAATCCGCATATCGGAGCCCAAGCTGCAAAGCGCATTCGATACCATGGCCCAGCGCAGCGGGACCCTGGGCGCCGGAGCCACCGTCGTACGCACGCCGCAGGAAGCCTTGGCCGGTCCAAGGCTGGCTGAGGATGCCGAAGACAGAGAGGACGAGTCAGACATCGAGGCCTTGGAGGACGACGGGGACGATGCCTCGACGTACTCGCATTCGATGCCGAATAGTCCTCCCTTGCCGCCCATCCCCGATGACGGCGAGTCCGAGTCTGACTCGCCTACGCCATCCACGACGTCCATACCCTCACGTCCGACACGCCCCGTCCCGCCGCCACCCGTGTCCGATGTAGACTCCGTCACGTCCATCTCGAGCACTCCGAGCCTGCGCCGGCCTGCCCTCAAAGTCCTCGACTCCTTCCCTCCCGTCCCGGCGTTGCCCGCCAATCTCCCTTCGTCACCCCCACAACCACCCTTTGAGCCTATCCTCCTCTCCCCGCCGCCTGCAGGCAATATCGATCCTGCCAAGGTCATCGTCTCTCTGGAGACGTCGACGACAACGCTCAAGGCAACGATGAAGACGCTTATGTCGAGGCCTTCGGTGTTGGCGTCGTACCTCCAGACGCTGCAGCCACCGCCTGACAGCGCAGTGGAGCCAGAGACACCGGTGTCGAGGCTGAGCGAAGCCGAAGGCTCGTTCAGCACCATCTTCCACCGGCACTTGGCTTCATCCGGCCTCCTGCTCCCGAACTCCTCGTTTCTGCACATTTTCCTAGACAGGCCAAGCGCCCCGTAAGTACCACGCCTCCTCCGCGCCGTGACACACCCGTAGCTGACCGCCGTACCCAGGTACGCCCACATCCTCGCCTACCTGCGCACGCCCGTCTCCACGCCGGAGCACCCCTCCATCCTCCCGCGCGCCGTGCAGCTCCTCTCGTCCTCGTCCTCGCGGCTCGAAGCGCTGCTCGAGCTGCGCGACGAGGCGCGCTACCTCGAGCTCGACGAGCTGTACAAGCTCTGCACGGACGAGCTCCGCTCGCGGCAGAGCCTCGGCCACGCGCACGCGCTGTCGATGCACACGCGCGTCGCGAGCAGCACGAGCACGAGCGCCGCGTCCGTGCGCAGCCTCGGGCTCGGCGCGCTCCGCGAGCTGACGATGGAGGACGACGACGGGGAGCGGCAGCAGCACCAGCAGCAACAGCGGCAGCACCAGCAACAACAGCCTGCGCGCCTCAGGAAGTCGCGCCGCCACTCGGGCGACTCGGGCATCGCGTCCGGGAACAGCGCGTCCGGGTACAGTCCCCGCGGCAGCGTCGTCGCGGAGGTCGGCTGGCACGAGCCGGTCCCTGGGCTCGCCCAGCGGAGCAGGAGCCCGCGCAAGTACACGTCCCTGCGGGCGAAGCCTGTCGGGGAGTGGATATGATGCTCGCATCTCTACGACTTTGATTTTTTTTTTTTTTTTTACGATTTGTTCTAACGATTTTCCTCACGTTATTTTGTTTGCTCTGGGCGTACTGTTTCAGTCATTTGTAGTATATAATTGCCGTGGCATGCCTCTCCTTACCTGCATGTATCTATAGTATTACCCACACACACACGCTCCCTCGCACTTGGTTTCGACACCAACCGTCTCGAGCTTATGACTACTCATCAATGCTAATGGATCAATATGACATAGTTGTATCTTGTCAACAAGAGAGAAACATCACAGGTTACTTTGGAGCCCAGAGGTCGTACAGCTCCTTGTCCGCGGGGTCAAAGCAGGTGACAAGAGCAGGGTCAGAGCGGATGGTAACCTTTCGTGTGGCCGTCAAGGTGGCGATGGAGCTCGTGCTCGACCTCGACTGCGTCTGCAGCGCGCTGTGAAGGCTCGGCTCGAAGATGTTCAAGTTCGAGCTGCCAGTCGAGATGGTGGTCGTGGGCGAGATTTGTCCAGGCCGCAGAGGAGAGCTCTGGTAGCAGCACATCATGCTATACACGTTCGAGCAGCTGTTGGCTTGCAACTTACGTTGGCACTCGACTGCTGGTGATGCAGGTCTGCGGCTGTGGGTTCGTTGGCAAGGCCGCCGCCGCGTACTGGAAAGTTTGGTCAGCTCAAGCGAGCCTACGATTGTGGAGGCCATACCTGGAGAGTTTCCAGAGGACATCCTGTCCTGTTGTCCTGTAAGCGTGCCCTCTCAAAGTGCACCAGAGCGCCCGCCACCTTCGCGCTCGTGACGTGCCCGTGACGAGATCGTGACGGAACGCGGCGCGAATAAGGGTCACGCTGGTCCGCAGGGGCCTCGGCCTTCTTTCCCATTGACCACCATGAACCTCTTCAGGAGCTGTGAGTCAACGTTTCATGTTTGTCCACAACCAGTGCTGAAGTTCTGATAACGCACAGTTATGGCCAAGGTCTGGCGTACGTCTTTGCCCGCGAATTCTCATAGTCCGGACTGACATCATGGGGCGTTATCATCAGACGACCCGAACGCAGCAGAAGTCGTCAAGATCTCCGAGGGCCAGCTCTACCTTGTGCGGGAGGAGACTATACGCTGCGACAGAGAATGTATGTGAGTGTACCTTCCAGTCGCCCCGGCTGCGCTTGGTTGAGCATTATCTGCAGATACAAAGATGCGATGGCGACTATCCGGAGGGTTCCATCGCTGGACCACAACTTTCAGCTAGTGATTACGAGGGTGTACGAGGAAGGAGATCAGGAGCTGTTCGAGGACGAAGATGAAAGTGCGTGCGTTGCCTCAGTGGGTTTGAATCGATCATTGTGCTGACGCCTCACGCAGCTGATGAGGAGCGCGTTTTCCTAATCAGCGAGGAGCTCGAGTTCCGGACAGGCGAGAACGCAGAAAAGGAACCCATTTTCGTCTGGCGGGATATCGAAGGCGACGTCAACGAATTCTACGAGTACGTTGCAGGCGGCACGAACGCCCCCACCAGAGTCCTCTTCGAGACTTGCATGTATCAAGCGATGTACGAGCGCAAGTATAACCGAAGCGCCGACCATACGACGGACGAGGACCTCGCGCAGTTCACCTACAAGTACGTCATCCCGGAACTTTATCGTGCTATTGTTATGGCATGTCAACGTTTCATTGCGTTAGGCCCCCTGTTAAGAAAGGGAAGGGCAAGGCGACAAGGACCGCCGCCGCTAGAAATCCAGAGCCACCTGCGTCACAGGAGTCCGCCTTTGTCGATTCACCCTCCTCCTCCCAGGCCACCGCGGCGACCTCAGCGCCATCGAGCTCACAGTCCTCCCAGCCGATGCCTCCGTCAGATCCCCAGTTCGAGGTCCTCGGCAGCGTCGAAGCCCAGCTCCATCTCTTCGACAAGGGCTCGTACTCGTTCGAGTTTCAATTCGAGGGCGTCGCGCAGATCGTCCGCCCGGCGAGCGGTCCCGCGTTCACCTTCTTCCTGTGCATATGGCGTGACGGCGACAAGGTGCTCCTCCACCGCGTCGACTCGAACATGAACCAGAGGTGGGCGCTGAGGACGCACTCCTTGACCTGGAACTACGTGGCCGAGTCTGGACACCAGAGCAGCTGGTCGATCGCACTCATGCACGATGCGGACTACGAGCCGTTCAAGGAGATGTTCACGCGCGCTATGTGGGAGTCGTTGCATGAGGAGTCATGGGGTAAAGCGAAGGTGAGTATCTACATCCTTATTAGCTGAGTGAGGAGTAACTGTCGATATAGAGCGACGAGCAAGCGTATGTGATGAGCGCGACACAGGACGAAGATGTCGTCATGCAGGACGTTGAGGACGACTCGGACGATGAGGGTGATGTTGTAGATGAGCTTGGTAAGCCTCTTGGCTAAGTGGAACTCACATGAAATTGACTTACTGCCTTCCCACCAGGCAAAGAGAGCGATGAGTCGGAGCCGGAAGAAGACGAAGATCAACAAGAGGACGAAGAGAATCAACTGCCAGCTGGTGATAAGAATTCCCAGCTAACGGTTGGATACAGGGGCGATAGGTCATACGTCGTTCGCGGAAACAACATTGGCGTTTTCAGCCACACGGGAGACCAGGTCAAGTACTACTCGACCATCAGTAAGATTGCTGCTCCGAAGGGTAGCAAGGCGATCAACCCCGCACAGGTAATATATTCACAAGAGTAACGGAGAAATGGCATCTGAGCATCTGCTTCAGATCATGCTTCATGACCGAGATTCCAAGATGATTATCATGGACAAAGACACGCCTAACTCGGTATTCCACCTCGATATCGAGCGTGGCAAGATTGTAGAGGAGTGGAAGGTCAACGAGAACATACCAGTCAGACACATCGCTCCGGAGAACAAGTTTGCACAGATGACTCCGGAGCAAACCTTCATTGGCGCGTCGGGCAACGCACTCTTCCGCATCGATCCACGCATCTCGGGGGACAAGCTTGTCGACAGCCAATACAAGCAATACGTGAGCAAGAACAAGTTCTCGGGTGTGGCGACGACAAGCACCGGGAAGCTTGCCGTCGCGAGCGAGAAGGGTGACATCCGACTCTTCGATTCGATTGGCAAGAACGCGAAGACGGCGCTCCCGCCGCTCGGCGATCCGATCCTTGGCATCGACGTGACCGCCAACGGCCGCTGGATCGTCGCGACGACGCGCACCTACCTCCTCCTTATCGACACACTCATCGGCGAAGGCCGCTACACCGGTCAGCTTGGCTTTGACCGCAGCTTCCCGGCGAACGCCAAGCCGATCCCGAGGCGGCTGCAGCTTCGCGCCGAGCACGTCGCCTATATGTCTCACCCCGTTGAGTTCACACCCGCACGGTAAGTTTCCTCGCTTATGAGTGGTTTGGGGCTAGCCGACTCATTTGGTGCGTGGAACAGATTTAACGCGGGTCCAGATCAGGAGGAGAACGCGATCGTCACGTCGACGGGAGAGTACGTCGTCGCGTGGGACTTTGCCAAGGTCAAGAAGGGCCAGCTGGACAAGTACGAGATCAAGAAGTACGAGGACAACGTCGTCCAGGACAATTTCAAGTTCGGCGACTCCAAGGAGATTGTACGTCTACTTTCGTGTTGTTTTTGCTTGTTTCAGTCTGTTGACGCGCACACCTACGCAGATCGTCGCGATGGAGAACAACGTCGTCGCCATAAACAAGAAGCAGCTCAAGCGGCCGACGCGTGCCTCGCTTGCTACGCCGATAACGGACCTCCGGAGCCGCTCGAACATCGTCGAAGCTCCATACTGAAGTACTAGCTACTTCGGACGGCTAGAGGTTTCACAATTTCCGGGTCTCGACTTTCAAGTACACGCACTGTGATGACTATCTCTTGTTGTAATACGTAGGCTGTATGATTCTTTTGCTCTGGGAATTGTGTAATATGATTTGCGTTTCTTTTGCGTTCTCGACTTGTGCCGCCCCTCGCCTACGCAATCTCCGTTGCCTTCCAGTACGTCAAGCGTCAAGTCTCACGCGCACCGATTTGCGACAGGCGCGTGGCGGATCTTGGCACTTCGCGAGGCTATGACGTCCACAAACCTCAGATTTTAGGCGATGGCTTGGGACACAGTTCTTCCGTCCGGAAGTGAAACACGCCACGCTACAGCAGTACTCATACCGACGAAGGCACGCTCAGAGGCATATGATTATCACCCTTTGTCTTTCGATAAACACCGCAATAATACAAGCTATACAGCCCCAGTCTTATTTCTAAGCATCTGTTTTGGCACCCATGGTCTAGAGCAGGCAAGTCGTCTCGACAATGATGCCGGTGACGCGGTACGGGTCTGTACGAAAGTGGAGTCAGCACCAAGGGCAGTCCGGTGACCAGGTCATTACGTACCGATATTGGAAGCCGGGCGACGGTCCTCAAGGTAGCCCATACCCTGAGACGCGACATGGCGGGGAATACGGATCGAGGCACCACGGTTGGCGACACCAGAGGAGAAGGTGCCGATGTGACCGGTCTCGTGGCGTCCGGTGAGACGGAGGTCGTTGTCTTCGCCGTAGACGGCAATGTGCTCGTTGTGGCGCGCCGCGAGCTTCTCGATCGCAGCTTCAATCGCCTTGAGGCCGCCGGCCTCGCGCATCGCCTTGGTGGAGTAGTTGGTGTGGCAGCCGGCACCGTTCCAGTCGCCCTGGAGGGGCTTAGGGTGGAAGGAGACCTTGACGCCCCACTGCTCGGCAATGCGGACGAGGAGGTAGCGCGCCATCCAGAGGTGGTCGCCCATGGAGATACCCTCGCAGGGGCCAACCTGAAACTCCCACTGAGAGGGCATGACCTCGGCGTTGATGCCGGAGATGTTGATGCCGGAGTAGAGACAGGCACGGTAGTGGGCCTCAATCAGGTCGCGAGCGAAAACCTTGCCGGCACCTGGAACGAGAAACTGCCGCTTAAAACTCTAGTCCGTCAGAGCAACGCAGTAAAGACGTACCAGCACCGCAATAGTAAGGGCCCTGAGGACCGGGGAAGCCGCCCTTTGGCCAACCGAAGGGCTGTCCGTCCATGTCGAAGAGGGTGTACTCCTGCTCAAGACCGAACCAGGGCAGCTCGTCCTTAGCCTGGTCCATGACCTTCTTGGCGTGGTAGCGGTAGTTGGTCCTGTTCGGGGTGCCGTCGTTGTTGTAGCACTCCGCAAGGACAAGGATGTTGTCACCGCCACGGAAAGGGTCCTTGAAGATGGCAGCGGGGCGGAGGTAGACATCCGAATCACCGCCAGGGGCTTGGCCGGTGGAGGAACCGTCGAAGTCCCAGATACGAAGGTCGCTAATCGAAGTGACCTTCTTGGTGACGGTCTAGCATAGGAGCGACCGGTCAGCGTCCCGTCGGAAAGCCGCGCGAGAGCTCGATTGAGCGAGGAAGAGATATGATGACGCTCTGGCCCGACGAGTCATGAAGCGAGAATGCTCACCGTGGTCTTTGAACGGAGGCCACCGTCGCCGTCAATCCAGACGTCTGTTGGACGGGCAGGAATGTCAGTATGGGGTGCCAGTCGAAAGCGCGAAAGTCGGGGATAGGCGCGCAGTGTACTCACACTCAGCCTGGATCTTGTCGCCCTGGGGGAGGGCGAGGTAGGGGGCGAGCAGGTCTGGGTGGTACAACTGGGTCATTGCGAACGGTTCAAAGGGTTTGAGATGGAAAGGATGTGGTTGGAGAGAGAAGTGTAGAACGACCGAGAAAGCTCGAGGTATAATATCCAAGTCATAGCTATGTTTGGTTTTATTTGTACGAGGTACTCCGATAAGTCTTGTGGACCGTGGGCTTATCAGAGGCCATGTCCCGTCCCGTCCTCCGCTTGAACGAGGTCCTCCAGAAAATACAAATCAAAAACAAGTCGGAGGTCCCTGGCTCGTGACTCCGTTACTACAGTTACAGCGGCAGACTACCCCTAGCGGGCCCCATATTTCCTGCACAGCTCTTCCGCGGCGCAGAGCCCTGCAGAGCCCCACTCCTGTAATCGGGAAAAGACCGGACGCTGCATATTGCTATCAGCCCCAGAGGCAAGCGGACCCATTTTTTATTACCCTCGGAAAGACACAAATTCAGAGCAGAGCTAAACGTATCGGCTACTCCACGGCTAAGCCTCCGGTCATCATTTCTTCCTCACCGCTTTCCGCCTGCGGCCCCCAGCCATTGATGTAGCCACCGGCCCTCCGTTTGCTGTACGCGTCTTACGTTCCCTAGGCGTAACAGTCCCGCTGCCGGGCGCGTCAGATGCTGTTCCCGAAGTGTCCTCGCTCTCTTCTTTATCTTCTTGATCGACAGCCTTCTGGCCTCCGACGATCTTAGCGTAAAGACTAGACGCAAGCACAACAGGCCATGTCCTACTGAACGACGGAGGAACTGCGGTTGAATTGTCGACTGGTAGCAAGCTGCCATCCTCCTCGAGCTAACGAGCCCCTGCTGATCAGAAAGTACTGGTCGAGTCACACGAGTGCACGCACGATAAACACGTCGTTGCCTTCTACGACCATATCCACCATCCTGCCCGGGACTAGACTGCCGTCTTCGTCGATCCGTGGAGCGCCACCAAGATTAACTTTGACCTAAGAGATGTCTTGTGAGAACCCACCCCTGGCACGATAATCGCGACATCATCGCACCTTCCTTTGGCCCTCGCCAGGTGTGAGCCTGTTGCCCCAGGCCGCTGACTTGGCTTGAGCGGTAACCTCTTCCACCCGCTTCAGATCGCGCTGGTAGTTGAGTCGTTGCACCACGTATTGAAGAACGGAGGTTACGATTGCCAGGAATACGACAACCGTCTACGCGGAGAATTGAGTTGAGTAGTCACACGGTGCATAGAGTGTAGTCCCTTACTCCAAGTCCAGGTCGGAATCTGGAGTAATAGTACCCTGTGCCTCGCCATTTCGGGACGCCGTTCTTGTAGAAGAAGTCATAGCTGGGTCATTCATCAGAAATTCAGTTGTTCAAACTCTTGTGAGGCTCACCGTTTGCGACCTTCAGTGTCCCTGAGAATCTTAGAGATGACTCCTAGCCTGGCGAATATGTCATGTGCACCCTTCACGCCTGGGTTCTTGTCCGGGCTAAGGGTCTCGTTAGCCCAGAAGACGCGTCGAGGGAGCCAGAGACGCACTGTAGTTGTACACTCTTTTTGCGATACGCCCGTGCAATCTCAGACGTGGACGCACTAGGCGACACCTCCAACCAGGAATAAAATGACGTGCCCTTCCCTGAGCGGCGGGTGAATACCAATAGCTCGTTAGAGCTCAGATAAATCGGAGCACGTACCCTCGGCCGCTTCTATTGCGCTAACGAGGTCGAAGATCTCGTAGTCCTCCTATGGGTCAAATGGTCAGTCGCGCTCATGGTCCCCCGACACGTTGTACGGACCTTGGTCCATCTAACACAGTACCGTCACAGCAATTTACGAATGGAATGGTCGATATTGCGCGACGCGGGCATATTGCCAGCCACATGTTTGTTTTGATGTAGCCGGACCATATCAAACAGTACGGGATTGAGTGCGGTAGAAGTAGAAACATCTCGGTTAATGTAAATTGGTGTCGTGACCTGCTGGTGACTTACGCAGCGACCGCGACGACGAGGAGGGCGAGCCACGCAACGATAAGAAGGAGTCTCATCCGGAAGGCTCGGGGCGGGAGTGCCTTCAAACACGGCCAGAGACGCGGGGGTGTGGTTGACGTCGAGCCTCAAAGTGTGGTGTCTGCTGGCAGGCTGGTCGCAAAACGCCGAAAACGGCGGAGGCAAGTCGCCACGTGGTCCGAAAATTCTGATCCGTTTCACGCTCAGCAATATCGCCCTCGGCGCCGAAGCGAACGCTCTCTCTGCCCGCTTCATCTCTCTCAGCAGACGGCCCTGGATGGCCCCTCGTCGGCGATGTGCAGTCTGCGGCTCGAAACAATGGCGGAAAGAGCCTTCGAGTGGTCTCATTACCTGCAGCGAAGGCCACGTCTTGCAGGTACGGCATGACTAAATTGTTCTCCTCGATGACTGGGTTGCAAACTGCTTGTGAAGAGTTACAGGAATGAAACCTCAGAAGTAACGGAGCTCGGTCCTCACCAGATGAGGAAGCGAGCTCTTAAATCCCGCCGCAAGAAAAAGGAGTGGCAGAGCAAGGCTGACCCGAAACGTCCGCGTTCAATTAACTTCTTATCTTCGCCGTCGGCTATACTAATCATTATCGCTGACTAGTGTACCATGGGGAGCGTGGCAGATTTCACTATTATCAGTGCCTGCAGCTTCTGTTGCGGCTACAAGCCGCTGCTCTTATCAGGGCTTGGAAGCTTCCTCCGGAGTATGAGGTATGTGCTTGCTTGAGTTTGTGGGTCCATGCGTGGCCTCTAACGTGGCGCGCTGCCAGGTTGTCTGCAGGGATGTGTGGACGTTACATCTCAGTCTCCTGCCTACTCCGCCCACTGCTGAGCCTTATTTTCATGTCCAGTCACAAAATGGTGGACAGTCAGCGGCGTCAGGTCCACAGACTGCAGAGGAAAAGCCGGTGCAAGCCAAAGATGAGCTTGATTCCAATGATATCGACGATGAGGACGCGAAATCGACGTTTTCGTTGTCAACTGAGGAAGGGGACGATATGGATCTGGAAGACCTCCTTAGGGAAAACTCTGTCGCACCCTCTTCTGCATCTGAAGACGACGACGAAGACGGATCTGGTCCCAGAGTTCAACAAGATCAGGGACAACGAAAGGACAAGACCGCCTTCCGCCCATTTGATAGCCCTGCAGCTAACATCGCTATACTGATGCTTGCATGTTGGACACTCCGTCTACCGGTGACATACATGGACTTCAAGAGGTAGGGAGACCTGGCACCGTGTAGTATCGTTGCTGAAGCCTCTCAAGGCTGATAGAGAGCTATGACTTCCCTTATCTTGATCCCTTGCGGCTATTACCTGAGGCCGTTACGCAACATCTCACCAAGCATACTACGAAAGCTCTTTCGCCGCAGGTTCGCGCTTTCCGCTGACTTCCGGTGGTCTCGCTCATAGCACCCCGTTCTAGTTCCCTCCAATCCCGTTGCATGTTCATGGGCTCACCTCGCATCTGGCAAAGCTCATGTTTAGCTCCTACAATATTTTGACGCCAGAATGTAACGCCGCGCCGCTTTTGTGGCGAGCAACTCGGGCTCTGCAGGGTACTCGTAAGTCCGTTCACAGTCTGTGTATGTCGCTGTGCGGACCCACCAATGAATCCTGCCAGCAACTCTCTACCTCCTGGCCAAGAAACTCGGCAAGGTGGTATCGCTTACGCTAACTCTTCACTACTCACTATCGCCCGCGTTGAGGCGGGTGAAGATGCGAGACCCGGAGCATCACAAGTACGATAACGCGCCCCCAGAAGTAGCTCTTATTGCTATCTTGATCGTCGCTTTGAAGTTGGTGTATGGGTTTGACGGAAAGAAACGGTGAGACTCTATTTGGGATTAACTATGGCCATGTTACCGAAGCTCCTCAGGGTGCCGCGGTCTGGAAATGACCCCGCTTGCGCGCTACCCAGCTTCCCAGACTACTTTGCTGCGATGCAGGCGGCAGAAGACGCGGAGAAGACGAAGAGACCGGCCTTCCTTGATACTGCACCTGGCTCTTTGTAGGTGCTCTGCAGTGGCGAGCCTAATCTTCAAAGCTGACCGAAAACAGGGAGTCGATGCTTGATCTGGATGAAACAGACATAGACAAGTACATTGTGTTTTGCCAAAAGGCTCTGCTACCTCCAGGAGAGCGGAGAGCAAGTCAGTACTTGTACTGTTGTTTCTTGGCGGTCTCCTTCTTTCTAATCTCTGTCCCCCAGAAATTGCTGTTCTTGACGAGTACTTTCCGCTATCGGAACCTCTCGCTACCCTGGACGCGGATGTAGCGACTGAGCAGCCTTCGCCCGAACCCGTTCCTACCAAAACGATGCCGGCGACCGGACTGCGCGAAAATTCTTCAGACCTGCGCCCAGGACGGGCTTATCTCATCTACAATAGTCAGGATATCCTCGGAACATTGCCTGACGACTACGAAAAGCTGCTTAGACGTGCCTCGGATTGGACAGGCGTCGATGAGCACTACATCTCGGGCGTCGTCGAGCGATACGAGCATCGCCTGGTACGCTGGTGGCGGACTGAACGGGGAGCTGATAAACCAGAAGACTCGGTGAGCTGTTAGCATCTCTTCTTCGCAGGATTTGCGTTAACTGCGGACCTACAGACCTGAGCCAATCAAGTGGTCTGGCGCCAGTCAATCGCTCATCGGGAGATGAAATTCATGCAGCGTGGCCGTATTGCCTTCCCGTCCTCCCGCCCTGAGGCAACCGTAGGCGGCCATACATCGCTCTACCCAGCTAAGGTCCGAGAGCGGGATCCTGTGCAGCGTCAGCTATGCCTGTACATCGTCGTACGTTTCAGGTGCACGCCTCCAAGGCACGATCAACGTGGGTTACGAGGTCTACTTCGCGATTCTCAAGTTGGCATGCTTGTGAGCGATGTCCAGAGGCGGTGCACCGCAACTACCAAGGCCTAGTCGCCTTAGCTGCGGCCCGGCATACTAAAAACGATGCCTATGAGGAAGGTAACAGCACAGATACCCACTCTTTCTTCTTTGCCCAGTTATCTCGTTTAATCGGTTACGTTCATAAAATTTAGCTTCTTGCATACCCTACCTTTTTAGCCTCTTGCATAACCCGCTTTTCTACCTTCTTGTACACCTCACTTTCTCATTCTTTACGATGCCTTCTTCACCGTCCTACTCGCCCTCGCCGCCGCCGCCCGCACCGTTCGCGCCGATGTTACCTCGACCGTTGGCTCTGAGGACCGCCACGGACACGGTCGCTCGCGTTAACCTCCTTCAGGACCAGGATGTAAATGTCATCTCGTTTGCAATGTATCTACTGTGAATTGACGCTTCTACAGTTCGCCTTCGACTTTTTTAATTCAAGCTCTGATGTCACCACTGGCGCTGGTGGTCACGCCGTTGGCGCGAGTATCACCAACTTCCCTGCTCTCGTCTGCCAAGGCGCGGCTACGACCGTTGGCTTCTTCAGTTCGTCTAACTAACCTTCCGATCCAAACAGCAACTAATATGGTGGTGCAGAGCCCTGTGGAATGAACATCTCGCACACGCATCTTCTTGCAACAGAGATCCTGTACCCGGTTAACGGTACCTTGACCTCAGGCACCATCCGCTTCGTGTTTAACACTATCAACCCTGGACAGGCAAGCATCTTCCCCAAGGTACGCATGTCATCCTGAGACCTTAGCATATATTAACGCTTGGCGCAGGGGTCTGTACGCTTCCAGGCTAACGAGGACTCTGAGCCGATCATGTTCGTTTGCGAGTATGGGGGACGCATTCAGATGCACGACCAAAATTGGCGTCAATTGCCAGCTGCCTTCAATCTCGAGGTCCCTGGAACATTGTCCGTGGCTCAGCACTGTGCGTCTTCCACCGTCACCTTCCCACGTCATGTCCGACCCTGGCTCCAGACTTTGGCCTGCCACCAGACGTCGTTGCTGCCCCGCTGAACAACGTTAGCGTTGAGGACTCTTGTCGGCATCGAGTCGCAGCTCCCTGACAACTTCGCGATCGGTCGCGACGAGTGTTTGCAGCGCTTTGGGCTCACGCGCGGCCCGTAGCCAACAACGCAGTGGCAGCCGCGTGTGTCCGGCAACGCGCCTTCTCCCGACACGCCCGCCGCGTTAGTATCCCCCGCTGCAACTTATTCCGCTGCGTCCTCGGGGCCCTCCGCCTGTGCGACTTCGTCGACCGCTGCGACTACCACTCCTGGCAAGCGCGATGACTCTACCTCCCTGTTCAGCTCCGCAAGCGCGATTAAGCACGGGGTAAGCTACATAATCGCAATGCCGCGCAAGAGGACGGCTTTGATTTTTTCATTTACCTAATGGGGCTTATGATCAGGGCCCCAGATTCAGGACTTTTAACAGACATGTATTCACCTGGAACCACACGTTCTTTTGTAGTGCTAGTCATAATCTCTACGTGGTATACTTACCTGGCTGTGTTTAATACCAATGGCCACTGTCACTAATGACCAGACATCGCTAGACAGCTAAGCGAAGCACGGAACTGCAGGCGCCTTGCTTTTTGGGCTATCCTCCGTGCGCCGACTTGGGGCTTGGTTCTCGGCACGGAGCGAAATAAAAATACACTCCGTTTCGTACCCGGTCAGACTAGCTGGTGCTCTGGGCCCTCCGCCCTTGATTTCTTGGGATGCGCAGCTCGGTGTTTGCGGTGATGGCGTATTAATACTCGCTGACTCGCCACAATGGCGTAAGCAACAGATGCGTTTGGCTGCCCAGTGTGGTAGTCTTAGGTTCTAGCTGTGGAGAGCCTTGAGCTTGATATTTGAAGCTTGAAGGTTTGAGAACACAGTGTGCACGGCAGAGCCCGCGAACTTCTGCGAGACTATATATCGGATACCAGGGCCGATAGCTCCGGGCTATCGCGTGATAGGGCGTGGCAGACGCGTCCCGTACGCCGTGCACGGCGAACTAGGGCCTGCCGCCCGCTCCTGCGGTGTAGACCCTCCTACAAGGCGGTACACAGCGTGCATACGCGCATGCGAACGGAAGCGGCACGCGGATGACGTCCGAGAGGATACTTCAGGGGAAAGCATCGACACAAGAGTGGGGCTCGTTATCGAGCTGGTAAGTTAGAAGCAATCGTGACGCGAACGATTGTCAATTGGGCACTCTCATGGGACCATCAGCAGACTGATGTGAGAAGGGAGAAAGCATGCGGGAACGGCCTGCATTCAATGTGTCTGCTTAGAATGCAAATTTTATATTCAAAAAGCCTAGATAAGTCAAGATAAAATACCGACCGGTCGTCAAGCCGTTTGAGAAGAGGAATACAACGGTGCTGATAGAGGGCACACGCTTGCCGCGGCAAGACTGGGTGCGAACTGTGGCAGCGGCGGAGGAGCCGCTAACAGAGGCGGCGTCGGGACGTACATAAACGTGCAGCTGCGTTTGAGCCCGTTCATACGGCAGTCAACGATGCACTGCCTAGACTGCAGCGTATCACTAAATGTCCGGGTTAGCATTCGGCATGGAGGGCTTAGGATCAGCGCGTTTTCCGGATCCGGGCACCAACGTGTGAATCGAACGCGCTGAGTGAGCCTATTCATCCGAGTATTTGCACACTGAACACGATCCTGGTGCGAGAGTGAGGTGGAAACGGAAACAGGGAAGACAAATATCGCGCTGGTGGGAGATGGAGAACGCAGGACTGAAACTGCGATGAGATAAATTTTGGCGGAACAAGTCCCAAATGTGATCGGATAAGTCCGGAATAGGACCACTGACAGCCGACGGGAAATGGTAATCGAAAGCGAGGAACGTTTGCGGGGGAGAGCATGGTTCTTGAGATCGCTGTCCTCCTCGAGCAGGCTTGCTACACCCCGTCATCCTCCTGGGTGTGCTCGTCGCTGTCATCCCCGACCTGCAGCTCGTGAAACACGGTCGATCCGTCTCCAAGCCTCATCGAGTCTCTTCCAAAACTGCTCGCCGCGATCGACCTGCGCTCCGTGCCAGTGGACAGGCACCGACTCTCGAACCTCTCTTCTCAACTTTTCGAAGCTGATGCCCGTATTTTCATCACTCTCCTTGTAATAATCTTCAGCACCAGGCCTTCCTCTCGTCTGCTGCTCCGACCACTGGACACTCGCCATGCGTCGCCTCGCCGCCGTCCTCACAGGGAGGCGGTCAGACAAGTCCGACGCCGGCTCCAGCATATCTCACGCCGACCGCTCGGAACGCTCAGCCGTCGCCGACGCCTCCCAGGTATCCGCTGCCACGACCACTAAGTCGGCCAAAAGTCGGTCGGGATTCTTCAGGAGCTTGTCCAAGGGATCCCTTTCCGCCCCCGACCTCAAGGGGCGCAAGCGTTCAATGCCCTCGGTGTCTACCATACCAGACCACGTCGCCTCCTCCGCGTCGTCCTCAAGCGGCGGCCCCCATACTCCCAACGACGACTATGAAAGTCTCAATCCAGCCTCACCTGGCCAAGGGAGGAAAAGCTGGCTCTCGCAGGTGTCCGAGGCAGCACTGCCATTGCCGTCGCCTACGCCAGCCAAGCCGACGACACCTGGATATCTTCCCCGACCATTCAGGCGCGAATCCGACCAAACATCCGAGACGTCTTCTGAATCGGAATCCACGGACGAACAGGACGCAGAACGTTCTCTGTCTACTCCTTTGTCGGCCCCCTCTCTCCCCATGGCTCCTAAGGAATATTTCCGCGTCGCGACCACTAACGCGCTCCGGCCGCCGTATTCCCCTCCGCCGCTGGTTCATGTTCCACGCGGGCCGCTGTTTCCCCGGTCTTGCAATCCATCCCGTCAGCTACCTGTCAACGACATTCTTCATGCACGTGTGTTGCGGAAGCGACTGCTTGCGCGTCTCGACCATATCCCGGAAGGCGCACTAGCCGGTTTTGTGGGACGTAAGCATACCCCACAACGCCTGCCGTCGTTGGTTCTCGACGATGTTGCTATCCCGAAGAGCTACAAGATACTTCCTGCCAGTCAGGGTCTGCGCCGTTGGACAGAGCGCCCATGCTTTGAAGATAGGATGATCGTCTACCTTCCTGCCGAACACATGGGCGACGACTTCCGTTATGAGAGAGTTTACGCGTCTGCTGCGGTCGAGGCCTTGGGTTATTCAGAGCACGTTGAGGCTTTGGCTGGGCTTTTGGGTGACGCCGGGTCACCACCGGAGGTCGCTCTGGATTCTCCCAGCATTACCTCGACGCCGACCTTCTCTGTGACTTCTACCACCAGCTTAGCCAGTGCACCACCATCACCCGCACCGACGGCGTCGAACCCTTCGCTGCCTACGTCCGGCTCCAAGTTGACCCCGAACGGTGTGTAACCTGCTTTCATACGTCGGCAACCGCTCATCATGCTCCTACCCCAGCCGCGTACAAGCAAGCACCCTCCCCGCTCCGCATCGGGAGCACAGATGCTGTCCCAAATTTCTTCACGACTGCGTCATCAAGATCTGCCAGTGCGCCATCAATAGTCCAACCAATGCCTACTCCCGCATTCAGCTCCTCGCCGTCGTCCCCGCCTCCGGCGGTGACTCCCAGACCAGTCGTGCGATTCGCTCAGGACGACAAAGATGAGTCGATACCATTAGATTATGTTATGCGCATCAAGCAGGCGCGGGACAAGAAGGCGAGGTTCCTCGCAGCTGAGAGAGCTCGACGACTCAGCATGCAAGAGAGGACGCCTGCCCCTCGGTACGCACCGTCTGACGCTATGCGTGACGATGTCCGGCGGCTAGCACAAGAGCGCACCAAGATAGAGGAAGAACGGAAGCGCTTAGAAGAGGAGCGACGGAAATGGGAACGAGAACGTACTGCACGACATGCTGCTGAAGAGCAGAGGAAGAAGGCGGCTATCGCTGAAGAGCTGTCTGAGGCCCGCCGCCGACAAGAAATGACGCGCTTTGGTGTAGTGCCGAAGCTCAGTGAAGGCATGTCTTGGGAAGGCGACCGGCAGAGAGATCGGGAGAGGAGAGGTAGCGAGACCAGATCGCCTTACGCACGACCAAAATACGACGGCAGTCACGGCTCCTCATCGCCCAGGCAGTCTTCCGAGCCGAACATTGTTTCTGCTGGGTCACCGAACAGTCCTCGCCATCATACCCCTTACGCTGACTCATCCCCGGGAAGCTCACGCCCCCCGAGCATCTCCTCGCGTCCGCCATCTATGTACTCGACACCTCCGTCGTCTGCCTCTGCTACTGATATACGCACACGGCGTGAAAGCAAGACTAGTCGGCGCTCGTTCGTCTCGGACGGATCGTACTCTCCCTCCTCGATCTTCCTTCCGCCTGGCTCACCCGCTGGTTACCCATGGGGATATGTCCCTCCTGTGCCTACGATACCGGTCAACGTTCCCATCATACCCGCGGGCATGCCGATGATGCAAGTACCGGCTATGCCCTACATAGACATGCCCTTGTTGCCACCAACGCCGCCATTCGTGCTGCAACAGTATGGTCCCCGCAAACCAGGATCAAGCCAACGTTCACACAGCTCGTCGCCGACGAGAGGCAGCTCTTCGGACACCAACAAACGTCGCTCTGATGGCACTGGCCGGACCTCATCACCAATCATGCACAGGCGGGTGCCGAGCGACGACCCGTCGACGCGCGGGCGGAACCCGCCCTCTTCATCATATACCCCTACGCAGCCTTCCTCTTCGTCTCGTTCTCCTCGACCTGTACCGCTCCCACATTCGCATTCGCACAATGCCAACGCTCCGACACCAATGGTTTCATCATGGCCTAAGCAGCCCGCCTTCCAGAACCTGAGTCGCCCGTCGGCGAACCGACGACAGACGATGATCACATAGGACCTTTTCCCTCGCACATGTTGTTACATCGCATACGTTGTGAACTTTTTCCTTTCCATCTCGCGTTTTGCTGTGCTTGTCGCATTCAATGGACCTCTCGTATTATTCCCGATCTACCTCTATAGCTTTCTATCCTTCATGCTAATGTTTTGATTACATATTTGCTTCTGTATCCTCCACCTCATACCCTCCCACCATCGGAAGCACTCTTTTGAATTCATGTATGTATGGAGAGTTCCTTGCTCAACCTGCCCGTTTGTGCAGTTGCTCCCTCTCCCCTTACGCATGCCCAAGCTCAAGCCCTCTCCCCACCGCCGTCTATCTCATTCGACGAACCTGCCTACTCTTCCTATCCTTCTCACACTCTGTCCCTACTAATTCTTTGTGCACATTCCCTTGGGACAGTATCCGGCCTTCCGCCGTCCACATTCACTCCCAGTGTATTTTACAACAAATCTCATACATTCTGTTTATCCCTCTCCTCGCTCCGTCATCCTGGTGTCTATGTCTTACTGCTATTTGTAGATTCCGGAACAGTTCATACACACTCCATTTTGCATCAATCGTCTGTCGTCGTGCACTACATAGAATCTCATCTTACATCTTCAGTCGCCTACAAATATATTCAGATCGCACCAGGATGTCTACATGTATGGTGGCTTGCAGCTACAGGAGTGGCGAGAACGAATGCACAAAACTAAATGAGATCAAGCACGACATCAAAAGACAGAGGTATCGCCGGGCGTGTGGGTTTGATGATGTAAGGTATCGCTACGAAGTCATGAGATGTGGGGGTAAATGAGGTGTCGCAAAGGAAAGCACTGCAATAAAAGAGTGATAACAATATAACCCACGCAAAACACTGGTGGCGGCAGGGTTTGAGGAGAAAAAAGGGCAGTTATAAACCTCCCCAAGGGCCGCGAATGCGCCGGGCGAGTTGCATATCCCGTTGCATAATGGTTACGCGTTTCGCATGAATAGCACAGAGATTTCTGCAAGACAAGCGGGAGATATCAGTAAGAGAAGTATTGAAGACAACAAGAACACATACGTATCCTCGAATAGATGCACAAGATACGCTTCTGTGGCCTCCTGAAGCGCGAGGATGGCAGAACTCTGCCAACGGAGACCCGCGTCGCCGTAGTCAACCATGTCTGTCATCATGTCCAGCGCGATTTCGCGGACCTGTGTTAGGGGTCAATGAAAATGCAATCTTGTATCATTGGACGAGAGATGATGCATACGACACGAGAGAACGGCAGTTTGCGGATGAGCAGATCTGTGCTCTTCTGGTACTTGCGAATTTCGCGTAACGCCACGGTACCTGGCCGGAACCTGCGTTCTGTGAGCGCGTTCAGTTAACGTCGGTACTTGTTGAGAATTCCCAAAGCATACTCGGCCTGTCTCCTTGGCGTTCTTGGTCTGCGTCGCCTCCTCCACCTCCACCTCCGCCGCCGCCGCCGCCTCCACCACCACGCCCACTACCTCCGGCTCGTGGCTGACCGCGCGGGGCAGGAGGCGGGCCACCGGCACTCCTGCGCGCCGCGCTTGGACGCGGACGCTTGGCAGCTGGGCGCGGGCTTGAGCCGTCGTCATCGTCAGGCTGCCGACGCTTGCCTTTCTGTACAGTTTGAGCCATCTATACGCGATTGTGAACGCGACGGCGATCTTTTGTGCAGTCGTCACGCGTGAGCGGGCCTAATTCTGCCGAAAATTATAGCGCAGAATGTACAGAAAAGCGGAGAGAGAGGCAATCAGGAAAGTAAAGAGAAAATAACGCGAGGACGTGAGCGAACGCAGCCTGATGCTGGTCGTGGCCACAGTTCACAAAACCCCAACAACGGCAGGAAACGCGTCCCGGCCTGATTAGGTATGATATTCCCACGGCATGCTTATCCTCTGAGCCATGAATTAATCGCGACTTGCCCGTCGCGTGGCTGCGGTCAATAGCCAAAGACATCCCCGTTCTCACCCTCTTTATCGCTTTGTCTCGCGCCCTACACGTCGAAACGTCGAGCATACTGCAATGGGCTTGCCTGTTGTCCATGGATACTACAGATTCACAGACGTCTTCTTCGAATGGTATGGATTTGAATGCCTACATTGCTGAACAAGCCACCGACATGATCGCTGTCTGCAGGGCGAAAGCGATCCCTGATGAAGAGGACAGAGGGCCCCTTAGGGCCATTATCTCGCCCGCTGCGCTAGTTGATCCTGCACACCCGCTGCGCAAGCCAGGCGTGGACGGCATCGAGCTGTACATTGGTGAGATCCTGTGCGCCACTCTGTATATCCCAATAATCTGGCTCCGTCCCAGCAACCTTTCCCAGTGGAGAGTCACGTCCAGTGTTTTCTTCCGCCCAGCTGGAGTTCGTGCAACAGTGGCTCTTCGCAATGGGCCTTACTAAAGAGCCCATCCCGCTGCCGGGCTCAGACTGGCTTATCCTCCGTGAGGACATGGCGAGCCTCTCGCCAGAGATTTTCAACCGCGCCGATCAGCTCAAGAAGACGACCAAGGTATGCTGTTTTCCTGCTCTGCCTGCTCTTGAACCACGCTACTGAACTAGCGGAATAGATGATCGAGAAGAATAACAAACGACTCAAGGGCGCCGGCAATCCACTGCTCACCGCCCGCCGACTCAAGTTCGAACGTGTCCGTGAGCTGTGGGCAGAGAAAGCCGGCGCGTGGCTCGCCATTGACATCGAGGCTTGGGAGCGCGACCACACCGTGTTGACCGAGTTCGGTTGGAGCCGCATTCGCTGGACGGACGGCGAGATGGTGGAGGATAAAGCACACTGGATAGTAGACGAGTACAAGAACTATCGTAACGGTACCTACGTTCCGGACCGGCGCATGGTAAGTCAAGATGGCCGGGGATAGCGTACAGTGCAGCTCACCGTGACTCCTGGGACCAGAATTACGACTATGGCGAGAGCGAGTTCGTTCCCAAGAGACAACTGAAGGAGCGTGTGGCGAATTTGATCAACGAGAGTGCGCCGGCAGGCCCTCTGTTCCTCATCTTCCACGACGCAAGCCAAGACATCAAGTAAGTCCTTCTTGCTTACGGGCCCTTTGCAAGAATAACAAACGGTCCTCTTCGACAGATATCTCCAGTCATCTGCTATCCAGGCACCGCTGACGAACCTCTCGTCCGTCCTCCCAGATGCGACACCCAAAGACGGCATGTTCTCTATCGACTCCGCCGAGCTCATCTCTGCGCTCGAAGGTGAAACAAACAGAAACAAGCGCTCCTTGGAGCGTACATGCCAGCTCTTGGGTGTTGCGAACGAAGAGCCTCAGTACAACCGTGAGAACCTGCACAACGCAGGCAACGATGCCCACGTAAGTCTTCCTCCGCCCTCTTGCACACTGTGCCAGTAGTTACTTCGGGCCGGTAGGCAACGATGCTCTGCCTCAAGTCAATGGCAATGGGCGAGTCGATCGACACGCAGCGTGAGAAGCGGTGGCCCGGCCAGACGTCGGCAACCGAGCCCAAGACCATATTCACGCCATACGAGGACGAGTCGGACGAATCTGAGGAAGACCCGGAGGCTATTATGCGCGAAGCCGGGGGCTACAACGGCGAGGACTACTCCTGAGAGATGCGTTTTGACTCTTGGCCATTTCTAATTCATGATTGTACGACTAGCGACGATATATCTTCTAGCAAATAGTTCTGTGGATCAATGGTGTATAGCACTAGTATATATAAAGTCATCGAAATTGGTTTGTCGATGCGCTGTCAAACACAGATTATCGGCACATGAACTACACCTTCGCGGGTATCATCTACTTTTCCAGCTTTGACAATGTCGCTGCATACGCTCGGACTAAGAGCACCAAACGCGGAGCACCAAACGCGGAGTCTGCTATCTAATCATTCTTCTCGTCTTCGTCGTCTTCGTCGTCCTCGTCGTCAGAACGGTCGTCCGAGATCCCGATATCGTTCAATGCACTATGGGGCGAGACGGGTATGTCAGGAACATAATTGCAAAAGCGGACTTCTGTAGAAACGCACCGGTATGCTATCCGCAAGATCAAAAAGTACCAGAATAAGTTCAGGAATTGCAGGAGAAGGATGGGCACAAAAATCTGGTATTTTATCCACCAGACCATCCAGACGCCGTCTTTGGCCTCCCACCGCTTGGACGTCTCACTGTTGGATGCACATCAGCCAGCGCAGACGAATGAGAGCAGGTGGTATACTCACGGCATGAGATCGAACTGGGTCCAAACGGACCAGAGCATAACGATATTCAGGTAATGCCGGAAATAGCTACATAGATGGCCTTAGAGCGCGCACACACGCGAATACAGAGACACTTACGTCCAAGTACCCACTAGGATCGTAAACACACAGACCTTGGACTTCTCGTACTGAATGTAGTTCATCACCTTCGACAGCTATACGCGCACGCGCGTTAGCGTCTTTCTCGTAGAGAGTGCCTGGAACGCTTACGCCCAGGAAGGTGTCAGGGATGTCCATGCTAAGGTAGACGGCGTTCCCAATGCGCGTCAGGTTGACCAGGTAGCTCCATCTGCATGGTGTGCCAATTCAGCGGACAGTAATAGGCAGGAACGTCGGATGCGTACCCAATGAGCCAAAGCGTGACATAGTGGTGCGCCACGAGCTCCTTGTAATCTTTCCGGGGCTTCTCAAGTCCGAGCAGGAGAACAAGGAGTTGCTGGCACCAGTACGCAGCTTGCATGAGGTAGTAGCACTTTAGCTCCGGCTTCATGTCCCAGTGAGGGTAGTCTGAAGCAGAGGGGTGAGCAATTCAAAAGTGTTCGCGCAGAAACACCACCAACCTATCCAGAAGTACTCGGTACGGTACCACCATGTAGGCAGCTGTGACATGATGCGCTGCGAAGTATTTCATGATAAACAAACCCGTCGTGTGACAAGCGGTAAGAGAGCGGCGCACCAGACCCCAGCTACCCATGACACCAAAGTATAGCACCGCGTACGTCTGCTCGCCGAATCTGTCCAGCTTTACCATTTTCTTGATACCGAACCAGCGCCCAGCGGGACGGGCGATGTAGATTGTGAACGATTGGCGAATAAATGACCAGAAAATGATGTAGTACGCGATGAAGACGAGGTCGAAGTAGCCTTTCTGGTACCTTGGATCTTCCGGGGGTGAGTCTGGGATACGGTGCGAGATAAACAGTAAAGGTTCGAAGGGGTTATTGAGCTCTTGTGCGACCCATGGAGTGAGAAGTTTCCAGTTGGCCCAGAGGAGGGCTCCAATAAGTAACAGCTTCAGCGAGGACGCTTTAGATGCCAAAATAGGTCAATGTAGCCATACGCATGCTAGATTAGACGTACATGGGACCACTACCCATCGCAGAGACTTGATATCGGCCCACAGTCCCCGGGATTCAGTTGAGAATGGCGAACCCGGACTACGACGCGTGACTGGTGTAGCCATGGCGCGCTGTATATGTAACGGGCTGCGAAAGGTTCAGATTATCTTCACGGCTCCGCTCGGCGGAAGGGATGCGGCAAGAAACGCACGTCTGTGGTCCAAAGCCGCCAGCCAGGTGGTGATATGGGTCTGCGCTAAAGAACCGAGACGAATGTGAGCATGACGAGGTGATGACGGTGTCAATGGTGTGTGATCGACATACTCTATCCTCTCGAGAGTGCCCGCACGTTTTCTTCGCTTCTGTATGCTTGGTGCCGCCATGTTGGAGTTGCAGCCAAAACAGAGAATGGACAGGTTTGGTTTGAGGGGCCAGGGGATTTAACCGGCCCAGTCGAGTATACGCGTTGACCCGCTCCTTCCAGGCAACTTAAATATTTCTGCCATATGGCGTCTATTAGTCAGCAATATTATGTTGCTTCGCGAGGACTGGCGTCGAGTTGAATGTACATAAACTCGCTGACTCATTTGAATAGAAACGGCAAGTACGCGATAAGGCGATAAGATAGCGAGGCCTCCCAATCACCGCGTTCCTCGCGCTTATACTGATCTTCCCATTGCGGGCCTGTTCAAGAGCGTTCACCGCAAATGTTTCCGACCTTGGGTCTTTTTCACAAGCTACCATGTCCAGAGAAAGCTCACTGCCAGAGGCAGAACTGCCTCTTCAGCCATAGCCCAGAGGTCACAGAGATCTCCGTAACGCCGGTGCCAGTAGAGGTCCAGAAGCCTGTTTTGCCGCAGATATCCTCGCAACCTGAATCCATAGCATCGAGCTCCAAGACACCGTTTGCGCAGGCAAGGATTGCTCATGTCGTGCCAGCCAAAAGGTCTATGGGCTCGCCGCTGCGGCTGGCAGCCAATGGCACGCCCCCCACTGAGCCGCCTAGCAAGCTACAGCGTGTTGGCACGCTTCAGAGATCAATCGCAGTCCCCACTCTAGCTTACACCTCTGTAAGTATGCGGCGCAAATTTTGAAAGTCTTCAGTGACCCTCTGATCTTATTGTTCTTTCGCCTTTAGGAAGGCGTGCCTTTGCTCAGAGTCAATGCGGCCGCGTCGCAGGTAGCTGTGCCCGTTCGTCAGGTCCGTCCATTTGAAAGCCGCACCAAACGCTTCATTAAATCATTTGTTGCAGACAATGGTGAAATCGCTATGGGAACACTTCAAAGTACTGTACCAGAGCATTATCGATAGGAATCCGACGCTTCCAGCGGAGCATGCCCTAGCCCAAGAAGAGGAAGTCTACAAGAAGTCCACGAAACTGACTTACCGGAATGTACGCCAACGGATGACACTGTGCCCTGTCACCACCGCTAAATCTAAGAATTTCAGGCTGTGATCTCTGCTGTTGCAGCTATAAAGAGACGGCCGCTCCCCGACTCTGCGAGCCATCCTTCCGTTGGCACAGAAGAAGAAGTCGCAAAACGTGCAGAAGAGCGCAAGAAGCTGCAATCTCTCAAGATCATGCCAAGCAATCTCGATCCATACATCCTGTCTCCCGAACAAATGCGGACATGGGACTACGTCGTCGAGATCCCGCCGGGCCCGGGTGGCGAGCGACCAAGCGAAGAGGGCGCGGTCATGAAGTGCGAGCGATGTGGCCAGCCATTCAAGGTCAAGCGCATGGAGGAAGCAGATGAGTGCGTCTTCCACTGGGGAAAGCCATTCTCCAGTAAAACAAATGGCTCGTCTCCATTCTCTTCTGTTGTGCATGTTCGACTTACTGTTGTCTCTCTTCTCTCGCTGCGTAATAGGCGAGAAGCGACGCGTCTACACTTGCTGCTCAAGGACTACAGATGAAGAGCCATGTACGAGAGGACATCATGTTTTCTACGAACGTGATCCCGGGGACCTGCACAAACGCCATCCCTTCTCTCTCTCACGTCCTGCGAAGGCAGACGAGCCTGACACTTCCCTAGATATCGTTGCTCTGGACTGCGAGATGATCTACAGCACCGGCGGGATGCGCGTCGCCCGTGTGTCAGTAGTCGACTCGACAGGCAAAGAAGTGTTTGACGAGTTTATTCGGATGGATGACGGCGTGGAGGTGATGTGCGTTTGCGATTCCAACGAGACCGGCTTGTTCTCACTATCTCAACTATAGTGACTTCAATACCCGTTTTTCTGGCATCACTCCGGAGAACTACGCACAAGCTACACTACCATTGGCGGAGATCCGCGAGTCTCTTGATGCGTACATCAACGAGAACACCATCATTATAGGACACGCTCTTGAGAACGACCTGAAGACACTGCGGATGATCCATCACAAGTGTGTAGATACTGCAGTTATGTTCCCCCATCCGTCTGGTCCGCCGTACCGACGCGCACTGAGACATTTGTATGTACCCTTCCGTGCTGTGTAATCTACTGTGGGAGCTAACATGATGCACAGGGTCAAGGAGCACCTTGGCAAGACTATCCAGGCCGGCGGCGGCACTGTGGGGCACAGCTCTGTCGAAGACTCCATCGCAACCTTGGATCTCGTCCGTTGGCACATCCTGCACAGTTCCAAACCTACACCGAACCTTCCTGCTACTCAGTAGCAACTGGCAGTCTCTACATATCGCCAGATACCTGTCTGCATCTTGCCCCATGGACTTCAGCTTGTTACAACGTGATATGACATACATTCCGTATCAGAGCGATTTGTACAAGTCATACGCAGGGAACGAATTCAGTGTGAGAAAACAGTCCGGTGGGATTGAACAGCGTTAAGAACGAGGAACGGCCGATAGTTTGTACGCATAAGCAATAGCCACCTACATATTGTAGGAGACGGGGCCTGGTGGGCGCACTGCCCTGTTAGCAAGTGCACTGATGCCTGCTGGTGGGTGAAGTTGGTGTTATCATCCGGAAGTACAAGGGCAGATCGTGTCATAACAAACCTGCACTTCCTAGTCGAGCCAGCGTGTCCTCGCTATTTTCCTGCTCCTCTACGCTGTCTGACTGTGTTACCTGAGGATGTCACGAGTGAGTAAAGGTCACGAGACAGGTGACATATACGTGCCACTCGAAGCACTGATTTCTTGGAGGATTCTTGCAGCTCTCCTGCGATGATCAACTCGTCCAGGATCTATACAGCACGTCAGACAGTGCGAACGCGGGTACAAGTGCATACGTACGGCAAACGCTTTCTGAAAGTTGAAGATGCTATAGATGTTGGGTTTTAGTGACAAGCTGTCCCACGCATATGTAGGGCTTACAGGTCCAGCTCGCAAACCTAGCTCACCGGTGAGTAGGAAGCTGGATCTCGAACGTATGATCACTCACATTACCAAAGTATCGGTCAAGAACTTCGACGTAGCGATGTATAATCTCAAGCGTGATCAGCTCGTTGTCGTTCGGTCCAATACCGCACACGAAGAACAGGGAAGCGTAGCGGCGATATACAACCTTCGTATCTAGATGTGGATTCAAGTTAGACACCACCTTGAAGCGAGAAAGGGAAGCACACCTTTGTACTCCAGGAAGTTACACATTCTAGTCCGACGCGCCAGAACCAGCTGAGTCACATCCTTGACGATCTTCGCCTTCTGCTTCTGCGGCATGGTCAAGAACCACTTCGCAAGACGCACTTTGCCTGCGAGAGGGTGAGTTGCACAGCCCAGAAGAGCTTAGTAAGCAGGTATTGTACCTTGTCTCGAGACCAAAAGGATATAGTTGATCATTATCGGGGGGCTGTGAAATCGTGAGCGGGCCGGAGGATGAGGTCGGTGCCAGAGCCGTGGCGGCAGCGGGATCATTAACAGATTTGGAAGGGCGCATCAAATGATAGACGCTATTGCCGACGGGAAGCGGCGACGTTCTCTCCTGACTTCGAACCGACGTTTAAAAGCTTTGTCAGAGACACGAACGTCTTCAAGTCAGTTTTGAGCTCGTCTCCATCCAGAATTTAGACTCACTTCACTGATAGATATTGAACATGAGCGATTTATCCGACGCAAAAATACTGCTTCCGAACTTCCTGAAGATATTAACCAGTAACAACGTCCTACCGTCCAAAGCGATGGCTATTGCGGGCAAAGTGTTAGCGTGAGCTCTTATGCGAGACAAGCCTTGCTAAAATCCTTAATAAACAGGTACAAACAGTACAACACTCCTGCCTCCCTTGCCGAGTTGACGGAATTCAAGCTCAGGGCAGCAGGGTTGGAGGACAAGGATGACCGCAAGCTCGCCCTTGCTGCCATCCGCAAGGCAGGGTACAAACTTGCGTCTGCGACACCCAAGCGTGTTGGTGCTACCGCCCGAGACACGCCGGCTGATGCAGGCTCCAGCTCAAACAACTCGCGGCCTGATATGTCAGTAAGTGTATGGAAGCCGCCTAAACGATACGTAAACACGAATTATGCTGTGCGGGTCTTAAAGTATTGTTTTGCAGGACACGACAAAGGCTGGCGGAGAGACACCCGCCGGCGGTGCAAAAAGGAAGCGTAAACGAGATGAAGACCGGAATGAGTTCTTGCCTGACCGACCGAGGGACGAGCTCGATGAGCAGGCCGTCGGCAGCCTTGTGTTCAACGAGGTGCTTGATGAAGAGGTATGTGTGGCTTTTTCTTGGAGCTCGTGGATTCCTGTCTGCATGGCATGCCTCGGACTGGCCATAGAGAGGTGCTCCTTCCCTCTCAGTCCTCATTCCACGGCTGCTATTGCCCCTCATACGTCCGGCGCAAGGCTAATGTATCGTATGTTCTACAACAGATCCTCAGGTCCAAGTATGTCGTTATAAACCGCGCGCCGATCATGATGGCATGGGCCTGTGTCGTCGCAGAACGGCTTGGCTTCCTGCGAGAAGAGGCGCTGAGTATAGGTTGGTCAAGCTTTCATGTACCACAGTCCGGTGTTGCCGTGGTAGCACAGCCTCGGAGTGGCTGTGGCGGCGACTGCACCAAGTGAACTCCTCAATGACACGGCTGTACTCTAGCTTCTGTATACACGGAAATGAATGCCATTTCCAAGGGTGTATCGATCGGTCTCTACGAGGAGGCAAAGAAGAAAGGTGTCGAGGCGAGCAAAGGAAGTTCACAGCCGTACGTGGACCTCATGGGCCGGAGGTTCGTCCCCTCCGTTGCACGTCGCTTTCATGCACGGTCGGCTCACCATCGCGCTCGCACTTCCCATTTCATATTCTTCCGCCCTCTACCCATGACCCACTTTTACATCCCAGAGTGTACGTCCGATTTCCACTGTAGATCGTATCTGCGGCGCGGCGTACCACGCGTACCTTCTTCTTTCCCCCTGCTGATGTTCGATCCCCCTCCATAGACCTTTGTACCGGACGGCGAACGCAAGTTGGCGAGCACTCTCCGCTGGGTCACCAGTGGCACCGGCCTCCGCCTTCTCATACATCACCCGTGCACTCCAGCAGACTACAGCGTTCGTTGTCGGTGCGCTTCGCCTCCTCGCGGAGAGCTTCCCACCGGAGGAGCTTAACAAGCGCGGCTACTACCTATATGCCGACTTCCGTCCCGAGGTGCGCGGATGGGGTGGCAGAGGCGAGGTGCGGTGTTCAAAGATACTTGAGCGAAGGCGAAAAGAGGCCATACTGCAGCATGACCAGAAAATCAAGATGGAAGACATCGTGAAGGTCGAGAACGATGACGGCAGCACAGGAACGCTGAAAGAAGGCGATGCCCTTGACGGGCCTCAACCCAAGAAGTCTCGAGGAATGACGTTAGAAGAGTACGAAGCAGTTATAGATGCTGACGACGTATTCGCGTCCGTCGACCTGGATTCCCTGACACCGCAGCCAAAGACAGGACGGGTGCTGAGTGCTGAGTAGCAATGCAATTGAAAATAGCGACTATTCTAGGCATACCTGATTAGATAGCGAGCTGTAAGTGTGCGATACATATTATGCTTCGAGAATCACGGCGTGTATCTAGAAGGACGAGCTTGTACAGATACAAGCATGAATATCTCTAGGTATGATGTCCTGGTACGCCTGTTCAATTTTCTTCTCGCCTGCTCACGTCATCCAAAGGACTTCCTTTGTCTAAGACAGGTTCTTGATGACGGCGTCGGTGAACTCAGAGGTGTTAGCCGAGCCTGAACGAAACGCATGTCAGGTGCATGTGGAGATTGCAGATATGAAGGCACTCACCGCCCATGTCGGCTGTGCGAACCTTGCCACCATTGATGACGTCAAAGGTTGCGCTGGCAATGTTGTTCGCAAGGTGGTCCAGACTTTAGAAGAAGCGGGATGAGTAAATCGTCTACGATAGCCAGAAAAAGATTACTCACCCCAGATGCCTTAGCATCATGGTTGCCGACAAGATCATAGCGGCGGGGTTTGCCCTGTTGGTACCCATGATGTCCTTGGCGACGTGACGGCATCCGGGCTCGAAGAGAGCGTATTCCTGGAGCAACAGGCTCAGCGCTAGCTAGCAGGGGATCTTAGACCAGTGCTTACCCGGCCGACATTGCAACCAGGGACGATACCAGGGCCACCGACCAGAGCTGCACCAATGTTCGAGACAATGGCACCATACAAGTTGGGCATCACCATGACGTCGAACTGGCCTGGGCGAGCAACAAGCTGCATGGAGCTAGAGAAGGCAAGATCTTGAGCGCGCGAGCACGAATACGTGCATGTGAGTTTCATACGTGTTGTCAACAATCATATCGTTATATTGGATGCCAGTAGACTTATACTCTTCCGCGATGCGACGGAAGGTGTTCAAGAAGAGACCGTCACCAAGCTTCATGATGTTGGCCTTGTGGACGCAAGTCACTTTCTGAAGAAAGGGATTTACACGTCAATTATTCGACCATTTTCGAGTTCTCACCCTTGCTCACCTTGCGGTTGTTCTTGAGGGCAAAGTCGAAGGCGAAGCGGCAGATACGCTCAGACTTAGCGCGTGTCGAGACCTTCAGGGACTCGACAACACCTGGATAGCTCTGGTGCTCCAGGCCAGAGTACTCGCCCTCGGTGTTTTCACGAATGATGGCAAAATCGACGTTGCTGTGGCGAGTGGGAAAACCAGGGAGAGACTTGCAAAGAACGACAGACGCGTAAATATCGAGCTGCTGGCGCATGGCGACGTTCCATGAGACGTGACCAGTTTGGGAGATGGGGGTGAAGAGAATACCTAGTGGATATCAGATGCATATAAGATGCAGTGAAACTTCAAACGGAGGGAGTCTAAAGCGTACCCTTGAGGCCGACACGGTTACGCTTCAAGCTTTCCAAGGCCTGCTTGAAAAGCTGTTCACCGTCGGAGGACATGCCGGAGACATTGTACTGTTCCCACTCAATGGGCGCGTTGACGTGTTCGAAAATCTCCTTGACGGAGTCGGTGATCTCTTGACCGATACCGTCGCCTGGAATCAAAGTGACCTGAAGGGGACGACGCGTCTTAGCCCCAGTGCTGCTTACGCGACGCTGAATATACGTACAGTGTAGACACCGCCGTACTGCTTGGCAGGAAGCTACAGCCAAAGACATGTTAGTAAATCTATTTATTTTGGTACACATCTTGCACGCACAGAGGCAGCGGTGGCCTTGGGGAAACCGGCGGACAGTGTGGTAGCAGTCCTCTGGAAGTTGACGATGAGATCAAGTTCGAGAGGGCGGGTAACGCGGACATACAGCACGAAGGGCAGGCTTGGCGGCCTGTGCAATGGCGTTACGGAGCATAGTGAGCAAGAGGGGCCGGAGAATGTGGTCGACGATGGTGAAGTTCGGAGAGGACAGCGGCCAGGACTCGCTCAAAAAATAAGTGCCTCGGCAGAACCAGGAGCAAGCGTCATACTGCCCGCCACGTGGGAAAAATGCGTGATCGCGTATAACCGACTGTAAGACAGCGTAAAACACGCGCCCGCCGTTTGAGGCCGTGCTGACACCAGACCACACTCCTCCCCTCCCGCGGTCCTCCCCCGCCATATAGAGCGCGGTTCATCCCGCTCGTCCTGTCTTTTACCAGGCCCGGCCATAGACGGATAGACATGAAAACGGTTGCAGAAAATCCCATCGAAAATCGCTCACAGGCGGCCAAGATATACGAAGACCTCTCCGAGAAGGCCCACCTCCCCCGTCGTCGCGATCTCTCATTTTATTTCGTCCTAATTATTGCGGTATTACCTGTTTGGTCCGCCGTACCTCTATCCTGGGCATTTGTGGTCTACTCACTGTACTCGGGCAACGTCTGGTCGCTCACCTGGAAGGGTCAGATTCTCTTCGCGATCGGGCTCGTAGAGGTGAGGCTTTGATCGGCCTAAGGCTGGTGCTTGAATTCATTTGTTCCGCCCACTAGGTCTTCTTCAGTGTTTATCACTATCATTTATCCAGATGCATTACCGAAGCGGGCCCAAACGGCGCGGGCAGCATCAGTGAACTGCAGGCGGCTTTTAAGCGAGTGCTGCAGTCCGGTATGGCAGACCTCCCTGAGTACGGTTACGACGAGGAGGACGTCGGCCGCCCAGGGAGCCCGGAGGAAGACCTGATCGCCCTCGAGCGCGATGACTCGCGCGCAGTTGACTTTCGTGACTACCTACGAACGTGGTTTGGCAAGGTTCCTTGGTCGCATATTCACCGCGATGAAATGTTCGCTTGGCTGTACTGGTCGATATACAACGCTCCATTTACTTCCTTTGAAGCACTCCCGTTCGTACAGCAGAAGGTGCTGCTCGATGTCCTCCAGATGATCGAAAAGCGTGCAGGTTCGCCCATCCCAGAAGGATCCAATCCAGAAGCGAGACCCCATCTCCTGACACTTGATCCGGTCTCTGTGGCCTGGAGGCCGTTCATGTGGTATGCTGGTGTCGCTCTCAGCAACTATTACCACCGCCGACGATATGAAGCCCAGTGGAACGCTGCGGTGGTTACCTATAAAGGCCTGGAGTAAGTCTGCCGCCCTCATGTCGCTAATTCTCCCGTTGACATGTTCTCTGCAGTTACATTGTGCGCGTTCCCCACGGATGGTCTGTGCAAAAGGGACCGCGACCCGTAGTCTTCTTGCACGGTCTCGGCCTTGGCTTGACGCAGTACAAGATGTTCCTACCCAACCTATTCCGCGCGCTTAAGGATCGCCCCGTCCTCATTCTCTTGCAGCCACACGTCAGCCAAGAAATCTTTCATCCGAACTTCTTCAAGCCGATGAATAGACATCAGACCGCGGACTTACTTGTGGAGCTTTTGGAAGAGCTCGGATGGGTGCAGAGGAGAAGTGAGGATTCGGCCGCCTCCGTGTCAGAAGAAACGAACAGCGTCACGGTTTTCAGTCACTCCAAGTATGTTCATATTGGACTGCGGGTTGCTTTCCGCGAATCTCACACGGTCATACAGCGGATCCTTCATTCATGCCTGGCTACTGAAGTCGTATCCCGAATTGGTGTCACGCTCGTGTTTCGTTGACCCTGTCACCTTCTGCTCATGGGAAGGAGATCTCTGCTACAACTTCATTTATCGGCGTTCCACTAACGTAAGTGATCTCGTTTTCAAGCAGGGAAGAATGTCGTTCATTACAGACCTCATGCTAGGGACTTGAGCTGCTCATGAAGTACTTCGTCGGAATGGAGCTTGGTGTCGCAAATTTCTTGCAACGGCACTTTGACTGGAACGCCAACGCCTTGTGGTACGAGCAGATTCCGAATGCGAGGGACCCCTCCAAGACCATGTTCTTCATCGGAGGTAGAGATGCGATCGTAGATGCTTCGGTAGGCTGTTGCCCCGTTGTTGTATAATTTATCTGATAAGCTTTGCAGCGTGTCAAGCGTTACCTGACCTCGCATGGCATCCGCAAGGGCCTGTGGTACGATCCAGAAGGAATACATGGCCAGGCACTCCTTTCGGGCGGTGCAGGGCATGCTGCCATCATTCGCTGGCTGCGTGAACCAGACTCTAATCTGACTTCACCGTGACTTGCATTCGTTTGGAACTCGCGACATAGACCGTGCTCATCATATGTGCAAACTGATTCTGTGGGCGACGTCCATATATCCACTAAAGGCCTTGATAATCATTATCATTGATGATAGGTGTAGTATATAGTTGATTTAGTACGATACCCACTGTGGATTCCGTTCTTGATAGTCATACTTCGCTTAATTTATAACTGAAGGTTCGAAGCGTGTGTCTCCGGCGAATGTTAATGGGCGAGACATTTTACCGCGAAGTTTCTGCTTTCGATCATGGCTCGTACTTCATCACCACATCCACTGTCTCATCGCCATCGCGATGTCGGTTTTTTTGCCCCTCCTCGATGGCCAGGTCGATGAGGCCTTTCTAGCCGTCCTGCAAAGGATTGGCCCTGTCATCACACCCGTCCTCGGCTCTTATCATGTTTCTGGAGATGTATCCCGCTACATCCTACTTGATCATAACACCTCGCTCAACCTCGATGAAATCATTCAGACACTCGATCAAGGTGCAGAAAAAGTCATCGTGCCACTGGCATGGGCGAAGGAGGTTGTGGGAGTTCTCCCTGCCAGCAGAGTTTTACTCCTGCTCGACGTGAACAATGTCAGCGCAGTCTCCGAGACGGTGCGCGATGGAGTCTCGGGAGTGCTAATCAAGACCCCAGCTCTGGATACGGACTTCATTGCCTCGATATCGCGATTTTTCAAGGGCCAGGACATCCATGTCTTTCCCGTCGACTCTGGCGCACCGCTTTCGCCTGCGAAGGTCCGCGAGCTCAGGCAGGCCGGTGCCATCCCGGTCATCCCTTCCTCACAGCTCACCCTTTCGGAGGGGACTGTCGGCCAGATCAACATCGCCGATGCTTTCACTGCTCCCCTGGTTTCAGACCGCCCCGATGGCCTGTACCCGACCGTGGTCACAGAAGACGGCCGTTCGCTCGGTCTAGTCTATTCCTCGGTAGCTTCTGTCAGGGAAAGCATCCTTACCGGCAACGGAGTATACCAGTCTCGCAAGCACGGCCTTTGGAGGAAAGGCGAGACCTCCGGCGCAATCCAGGACATTCGCTCTATCAAGGTCGACTGTGACCTCGACTCTATTGAGTTTGACGTCGTGCAGCACGGAGTCGGATTCTGCCACCTAAATCGCGCTTCGTGTTTCGGTCACCAGAAGGGCCTCCCCCTGCTCGAGCGCACCCTGCAGTCTCGCCTTGCCTCAGCACCGGAAGGCTCGTACACAAAAAGACTGTTCAATGACTCCGCTCTTCTTCGCGCCAAGATCATGGAGGAGGCGGACGAGTTGTGTAGAGCTGAAACGAAGGAAGATGTCGCTTTCGAGGCAGCCGATCTTATCTACTTCGCACTCACGAAATGCGCCGCTGCCGGTGTCTCTATCGCGGATATCGAGCGTTCTCTCGACCAGAAGGCGAAGAAAATCACCCGCAGGCCTGGAAATGCCAAGCCCCAGTGGGCCAGTGCTGAAACATCGTCTTCCAAGGCCAACAGCTCTGCGCCGGCTCCTGCCTCTGCGCCGAAGCCCAATCCGGATGCACCCATTCGTATGCGAACACATGTCCTCAGCGATTGTACTCCCGCTGAGAGGGCTAAGCTCCTCAAACGACCTGTGCTCAACTCCGATGCAATGATCACCCAGGTCCGACCTATCGTTGACGCAGTTCGCACGGGTGGTGACACTGCGCTTATGAAGCTTGTCGCACAGTTCGACAGATGCACGGTACTGAAGGATACACCGATCCTTCGTGCGCCCTTCCCCGAGCTATCGGACCCGGAGCTCGATCCCGAAGTTCGTAAGGCTATCGACGTTGCCTACGCCAACGTCCGTGCATTCCACGCCGCTCAGGCCGATTCGACCACCTTAAAGGTCGAGACGATGCCCGGTGTAGTCTGCAGTCGCTTCGCTCGTCCCATCGCTCGCGTGGGACTCTACGTCCCGGGCGGCACTGCCATTCTCCCGTCGACTGCTCTCATGCTCGGTATCCCCGCGCAAGTCGCAGGGTGCAAGGAGATCGTGCTTGCGACACCGCCGCGCGCTGACGGAAGCATTAGTCCGGAGGTCATGTACTGTGCGAAGCTCGTCGGTGCGAGTGCGATCTTGAGGGCTGGGGGTGCACAGGCGGTCGCCGCATTGGCATACGGCACGGAGACTGTGCCGAAAGTCGACAAGATCTTCGGTCCTGGCAACCAGTGGGTCACTGCGGCGAAGATGCTCGTGCAGAACGACACTGATGCCCTTGTCTCGATCGACATGCCTGCTGGCCCGTCCGAGGTTCTCGTAAGTGTCTCGCCGCGATCTCGTACGTCGCACGCTGAGTCTCAAGTTTTGAATAGGTCATTGCTGATGAGACATGCAACCCTGCCTTCGTTGCTTCCGACCTGCTCTCCCAAGCCGAGCACGGCGTTGATTCGCAGGTCGTTCTCGTCAGCGTGAACCTGCCCGAGAGCACGATTTCGCAAATCGAGGCCGAGGTTGATGCGCAGGCCCGTGCCCTGCCTCGTGTCGACATCATGCGCGAGTCAATTCCGAAGAGCATTATCGTAAAGACGACGAGTGTTCAGGAAGCCTTTGCCTTCTCGAATGATTATGCACCCGAGCACCTCATCTTGCACCTCCAGGATGCGCCCAGCACGGTCTCGCTTGTGCAAAACGCGGGAAGCGTGTTTGTTGGTCCCTACTCGCCTGAGAGGTATGTCAGCCTGCCTGCGTTATTGTCGAGTTTCGGCTAACGTCATTTTTTTTTTGCAGTTGCGGTGACTACGCTTCGGGTACCAATCACACGCTCCCGACGAACGGCTACGCGCGCCAATTCAGCGGTGTAAACACGCAGTCGTTCCAAAAGCATATCACGTCGCAAGAAATTACTGTCGATGGCCTCAAGAATGTCGGACCTGTAGTAGCGACTCTCGCGGACTGCGAAGGCCTCGGAGCTCACGCAAACGCTGTCCGGATTCGTCTTCGCTCTATGCAATAGCCAATATAGATGCGAAAAAGAAAGTTGTAACTCATCTGTAGCAGTATCTCAATAAATGTAAAAATTTTGCTCAGCTTGAATACTGATCGTCGAACGCAATTAGTCTGATCTACGGAGCTGCTGTCAATAATAAATACAAACTCTGAGGTAAGATGTCGGGAGTTAAGGTCTGTGTATGCATGAATACGGTGCTTGACTATATCATCTAGCAGAGAAATGGCAACAAGATCGGAGCACAAGGGTAACTGGGGGATAAGGAAGGGGTGGCAACTAAACACCCAACCTAATGGCGCAATTTAGCCTAGTACAAAGTATGGCAAGACAATACACTCACTTCCGTTTGCTAGATTCATACACGACATATGATATCGAGACCGCAGGAACCACCTGCATAAGCACATTAGTAGGGTGACTGCAAGACGTTTCGCGGGTACTGACCTTGGCAAGTGTAGGCACAAGCCCACGGTAGAACCCTCTCCAGCCGTCCCGAGAATACGTTTGCTGCACAACGTCCATAATGCCAGTGTATCTATGCGGATGTCCCGGCGATCCAGACGCTTGCAGACGCGTCCGGACCAGATTAAGCGGATACACGCTCGTGGCGCCGATGCTGCCTGATACGCTGCCGCACATCAGCAGAACGAGAACGCCCGGCTCTTCCTTGCCCGTCGATCGCAGATAGGCGAGTTTCAAAGCCTCAAAGGTACTCATGTCAATGGCAGAGTATCTGGGGTGGAGATGATCACTGTCAGTTCCGAGCAAAATCGGACTGACTCACGGGAAGACACCAACGAGGCCGATCTATCTGCACCTTAGCACGCTGTATATTTTCTCAGTTAGGTGCGTACTTACAGTCAGGCCTCTGTAGAACGCGCGTACACCGCCAAGCTGATACAGCTGTTTCGCAGCTTCTCTTAAAATACGCCTCTCTCCGGTGTTGCTCATTAATTGGGTCTTGATGCAGCATAAGTGTCTGTGTGGTGGAGCATTATGATCAGCTCACCTTCATTGTCTCGATCGGATATATACCTGTGGTGCCATCTTGTTAACTATCTGAGAATCTTGACGACGTAGTTACGTACTCAGTTGACTAGAGAGACCCCCAATGCCTCCAGAAAGGAACCTGCTGACTCCACTAATATTGCGTGAATCGTCCACCTTGTCAACATACTTGGCAAACAGCCGTTTCTAAATTTGCAATCCGCAGGATTGCAGCAGCAGGAACACAGAGTAACGTGAACGCTCTAGGATTTGGCAAGAACCGTAAGACCAAAGGACTAACAGATGATTCGTAGGCGAAGAACTTTATGGCCGACTCTGGCAAGATCTTCACTACGGAGAGTCCGTTGCCGGTCCAAAATCCCCGTACGCCGCCCTCCGCGTATATTCGTCTGACGGCACCTCCTATCGCCTGCAAGCCACGGACAGGTGCTTGCGGACTCAACGAGGCGCCCCCCAGATCTAGTGGTCGAGTGATCAGGAATATCTTTAGTCGATCAAAGGGCGCTGTACACGTTCGCGATACTGCGCAGCTTATCCTCAGCAATATGTCGGAGAACTGGAGTTCAAATGCGCTTACCGGCGCCTGCAACACCACCTGCAAGTAGAAATTTGGCCGCTGTGGGGATGTGCAACCAGTAATGGTGCTCATCGTCTTCTTCCTCGTGATAGAACTCGTCCTCATCGACCGTGGGATCTTCTTCCAGGTCGTCCGCCTCGAAATCAACGGGTGTAGGAGGTGCTTCAGTTTGTCTGCTTGATAATGATTGATGCCGTTTCGACCCGGTAGACATGTCTTCTGCACTCAGTGTGACATCACCTACAGGGTAAGAAGGTAAAAGAGTTATACACGGCAGCGGACGGAGGCCGGATTTAGTACCTTCCATGTTGACACGCGCAGCCCCTCTACCGTCATCCCCCATGAACTTCTTAACCTTGTAGTACCGAAAGATTTCTGCCGTAGAAGCCTTCCTAGGCATTAACAGCAGGAAATCGCGGAATTCTTGAAAGCTGATCGCGTGTGAATGGGGGGACGAACACAATGTCGTCATAAACTCCGTAAGGGTGGTAGGTTCGAGTGTTATTCCTGGATTACAATGACGTCCGTTGCAGTGTCCTGCCGCACGAGGTACTGAAGATAAACATACCGGCTTTCTGCAATGCGGACGCGAGCTCATCGACATCTAAACGACCATTGCCATCCAGGTCCAAGTCATTATGGAAGATACGCCATAGCTCTAGTCGACGTGTCGACAGGAGAGTTATCGAGATAGCATTCGGTTTGTTATCTGCGTTTATACGACGAAAGTGAGGGCTACGCACCAGCTTCCTTTGCATCTGCATACTTCAGGAATTCCTTCCACCCTATAGTTCTATGCAAGAAACTTTCCCCTCTGAGGCGATGGAAGAATTCGTCATGATACATTTCTTGCAGCCGCTTCGCGCTGTCCGGCGTGAGCGAGCGGTCGTCCTCTACTGCATATTGCCGAGCGATAGCCTCGTCCTCCGACTCGTCATGGTTGATCCCCCGATTCTTGGGCAGTGTGCTCCACAGCCGCCGCAGGCGGCGTTCGCGAGCCTCCTTGCCCTCGAGTTCTCTGAACTCGCAGAGGTTGTGTGGTACGGGGTGATACGCGGATGGATCGGAGCGCAGGCGGGGGATCCACGGGCGATCCTGTGCTCCCGTGAAGCTGGCCTCAAATATTTCACGTCTCGACGGACCTTGCCCTCTCGAAGGCGTTGAAGCCATCAGTACTTGGTTGTGCGTGTCTGCGCGCGAAGGATGGCCAAGGACCGCGTCGGGGTAGCTGTCCTTAGTAGTGCAGAACTGGTGTGGCAGGTTTCCGTCGTCAGCGTAGACACATTATACGAAAAGCAGACGAAGCAGGAGTCGAGAAGCGGCCCGTTGAGGGGAAGTGGGTAGCAGTAAAGCGTTTGCCAGGCTAGAGCCACTGACGTTCGCCACTTAGGCGCTCCAGTCGAGGCAGTGCGCTCTCCAATGGCATCCGCGCCGTTTGAACAAAAAGATAAAAGTGGATGCATTGTGGGTAACATAAAACGTGTTACATGGTTGTGCATAATACATGCCCTACAGATACAATGTCATTGTCGGCGATATACAGTATAGACTGGAAGTGGGAGGAAACGACGATGCAAGCGGGCCCGAAAAGAGCATGAATAACATACACATAAATTAAATTAGTACTTGTGCGTCGTGGCATTCAAGCAGAGGCAACCACAGAAAGCGTGTTTAATACGTCGACAAAGACTGTCGGGACGTCGTTCGAGGTAAGCATGCAATGGCCCGCATTTCTCGTCGGACCCGCGGACGGAGGAAGCGCCAGGCTTCAGAAGACTTGGTATACTGATTGAATGTGGGTTGCGCGTCGATCGAATGTCCTCACGGGAATCGACGACAGTAGCATAGACCGACAGGTCAGCATTAGACCCGGGAAACACAGGGTAGACGGCCACATGTCGCCTGGTTGTGTCAAGGTTCTTAGTACCCAACCCGCGCGGGTACACCTAGGCGTGGCGATGGATCAGCGTACGTAACTACAGACAGACATGGAAAACATACGATACAGTACGGTGCGTCTGCGGGCCCGCACAAACCGTTGGAATTGCCGTCCTCACCACGTCGTGTATCATGAGTGGCAGATGGTGGTGGTGGCGAGGCGGAGGACCGGTCTTTTATCTAGACACAGCAAGGGATCGTAAACGTAATGCAACATAGTAACATGCGTAGATCACACACCGATGACGAGGATCGCGTACGGCTGGATTGTATAGATTTCGTCGACGACTGCTCTGAAGCCTCGAGCTTCATAGATCTGGTCGACTCTACCAGCGTTGAGCCGCAGTCTGACTGGCGATTTGCCTCAAGGCTTGGTACCTAATCACAGACATGAGTGACTGAGCGATCGGGCCCACAATCGGGACGTACCATAGGCAATGCCTTTTCCACTCTCAACTTCGAAGAAGCTAGGGTTGGTTTGGTTTTGGTGACGCCATGACTCGAGGCTCGCTCCATGCTTGAGACGGAGTCCGGAGTGGGGCTAGCAGGACGTTCAACGTCCAGTGTCTCTTTGCCCAAGGCTATTTCAATATTCTCGCGCCAATTGGTGGGGAGCTGCGCCATATGATGAGCTCAAGCATTGACGACGAAGGCGGATCTACCTACTGGGGGTCTCTCGTCTCCGGACGTGAGTAGTGCCATGCGGCGCAGAGCGGACGCGTTGGCCAGCAACGAAGGTTTCTTCGGCGGGTCGGGAGCATACTGGGGCACGGGCTTTCGCCATCCCTGGTGCCTTTTGCGCTCCGGCCGTTCATCTTGAAGACTCGTGAGCGACGAAGTACTGTTGTTGTCCAGCATAGCGATGAAGAGCAGGATCCAGAGCTGACAAGAGTTTGGAGCAAAGAGGAGATGATGTGGCGCGGCAGCAGTGCCCGGCGGAGACCTGCCTATATGTATACTTCTCCGGAAGGGGCGGACGGCGGGCTCGTGGAGGAGATAAAGCAGAGATACTGCGAGCGAGTGCTGATCAGTGGCGGTGTCTCTGAGTCTGGGCAATAGGCCTGGGAGGAAGGGGATCAGAGAGAAGAGCGGCTTCCAGTCATGCGCCAAACAGGGCGCAGAACTCAGTATGTATTACCACATTTTCTGGCCGGCCTGCGAAGCAAGTCTGTATCAGCGGAGACACGGTGCCAATCCCGATACAGCCCTTCCTTGAGGACGGACACGGCCTGTCCGTTCTCCCGACACCTGCGAGTTACCCCGGACATGAACGTCTTGAACGCTCAGAAACAGCCAGGTTCGCGGCTCCGTGCTAGCGGCAGAGTGCGGCAGCAGGTGCGGACGGGCGAGACAAAGCGCCGTAGGTAGCTCTGCATGCTGCCTCGCGGTAAACATGCCTGTCAAAGAGGTGATCTTCTGAGCATCCGGAAATGGTGCCTTCCCCATGTCGCTTGTCCTCAGGGGAACAGCCAAGCATAGCAACTTCACTGCCGGGGTCAGCATGAGGCAGAAGGGGCGTGGGCAACAACCTGCAGTAAACAGACACGTACAAGATACGACCTTCCCGGCCTGCGTGGCCCTGGTTGGGATTCTCCCGGGCATGGCCGCTGTGCAAGTACGCGTTACGGCATACAATCGATTACATTTGCCTTAGCTCAAAGCTTAAGCTAGCGCAAGCTACATTTCCGCTGTAGCGGTTGCTTGTGGTTAGGGAATAAGTGCGACGCCGGCGCTTATACTTGCCCCGGATGTGTTGAGGACCGCCGGCGCTTCGTTGCGACGAAAGTTACGTTCTAGGGTATTAATTCATATTGGAGCGACAATCCAGGAAGCCGCACATGGTTGAGGGACATACATTTTCATATAACTAAGTAAAGCCACTATACACAGGACATGATCAATTACTACACAAAAGGAATTTCGCGAGTCAGACATATGCAGTGAGAACTAGAAGACCGGGGACGATGTGTGTTGCTGATGCGTAGCTACACTGTAGCTATCAAGAGAAATACATGTTGTACCCCATCTGAGGATGCAGTTGCTTAAAGTTATCCTTGAAAACCTTCAGCTGGGCTTCGGCATCTGTCCCGGTGGCCGAATTTGTTTCAGAGAGGTCACCGATGTTCCTTGAGGGGTCGTAATGATTCTTCGCGCGGCTGCAGACGATGTCGGCATCTGGTATACTGATTAGTCTCTCGGCAATATTTCGCTGAAGCCAGTCTACTCACAGTATACAGGAGCGGGAATGGAAACGGATCGGGTGCTACGAGCATAGACGTGGCATAAGGCGAAGCAGAGAGCCTGCAGCGCGTCGGGCCTGCGACATGGAGTGAGAAGGAAGATTGAACACACTAAAGGATAACTCACGAGAAATTGCTGTCGTCATAGAGGACGTTGTAGTGTGCGGGGCGCGATGTGCCCAATAATCCGCCGTGGGACTGCAGGTAGAAATCAAGCTCGACGGGGTGCACGATATCGCGGTCGATCACCGTGCCAGCTGGGCAATTCCCGCTCTGGTCTCCCGCCCCATCGGCAGGGAAAAAGCGGACGTGGTGGCGCTTCCCGACAACAATGACGGTGATTGCGGGACGGATCCCAAGGCTTTCGCATGCCTCTAACGTGATCGAGTATTATCAGTAATCGTCTTGTAGGGCCCGCAGCGCTACTCACTCTTGATACGCGGGAGCTCTGTGGGAAATGTTGTAAACATATCACAGCGTTCGCACAAACTCAGTAAGCTTACCGATCTCGAGAACCTGCTTGAACTGGCCCTCGGATACGCCATCTAGCGGTAGTGTGAGTTTTGCAGTTGTGATAAGTCAAAGCAGAAAGTGTACCTCGGAAGAAGATCATTCTCTTCGGGTCAGCATTTGCCTTCTTCTCGACTTGCTTGCGATAGCCTCGATATTTCTCGAGCATTTTCTAAAGCAGGCATCAGTACCATACAACACATGTCACTCGACACTCGACAAAACAAACCTTCGTCATTTCTTCAAGGTCCTCGATCATCTCTTGACGAGATGCTTGTACACGGCAGTCAGCGACGTATTTAGCGGTGTCTGAGTCGACGTTGGCGACCAGCGCCGTGAAGGACGGACGGCCTTCAGAGTGCGCAGCGGGATGAATGACGTCCGCCTATCATGATCATAAGGATGAGCAATGCGATCACATATGATAATCTGGTACATACACCCATCACAATCGTCGGATTGTGCGGATCGGTCAGAATGGACACAGAGCTCGGCTCTGGGATCGTGTTAATGCCTCCGAGTTTGACATTGATTCTGAATATAACATATCGGTAAAGGTCCCACCAGAATATGGTCGGCACAACATACTTCAAGCAGACATTGGCGAAATACTGCTGCTTCGCATTCCAGCATTTGCCGCTCTTCATGCACTGCGTAGCGACACCGCGTGCAACATCGCCGAAGCTAAAGATTAATACGTAAGACCTGGGCTGCGCCGCAACAAACCGACAGGTAACTTACTGCTTCACGGCGGTATACAAGTCGGTAGCGCCCTCGGGCAAAATGACAACGATAATCGTAGGAGGCTTGCCGTTCTTACTGATGCATGCCTTTCCGACGTCGAGAAGTTGCTACTCATAGATTTATCAGGTCCCTGCTCTTTCACATTGAGTATAAGACAGAAGACTTACTGTATTGACATTGCCTTGGGCGTTCTCCCACCGGATGATAGGGTCTCGCTCGGCGACGGTGATGCCTGCCGATGGTTTTAGGATGAAACATCTTACGAAAGGTCAAGTCACGTACCGACAGCGTTACAGGCTTGAAGTAGGCCATTTACCATGTCACGCGCGTGGTTCTCCCCGAAACGCTGAATGCGCTCGTACACGACGATGACCCACCGCTCAATGCTGCCAGGCTTGAAGAACTTTTTGTCGACCATATTCCATTTGCCATCCCTCGGAATCTAGCATGGGATGAGGCCACGAACGCTGATTTCGAATTTTTCTACGTACGACATTCTTCTGCCTCGAGCCGGTGCCATACTGAAGAGTTGGCGGCCTCAGAATACGCGCGTCGACCGACAGAGCACCCTGCGTCTCATGTACATGAAGCCCGAATTGCTGTTAACCGAGATTAGATGGCAATCAGAGCCAGAGTGAATGTACTTACCCGCACATACTCGGATTGACCATATGCAAGAACCTGTCATAACGATCTAGTCAGTTACCAGACAACCATGAAACTGTGGTACACACTCCGAGGCCATTTCGAATGCTCGCGAGGCGCTCTTGCGGCTTTTTCGTTGCAAAATTTAGAACATCTTTGGTCTTCTCCGGTGGGACTTGCTTGCGCATGATCTGCCCCGGCGGCACCATACAAAGCTCGAGAGGGATCTTGGCTCCATTCCCAACCTGAACAACAGGCTTTCGGTCAAATAGAAACTACATCAAGTGATTTAAACATACCTCGGCACATAGTATGTCAGGGTATTGCAACGGTCTGTTGCATGTCTGCTGGAAATAGTCGGCAACGGTTATCCTGCGAGTGCCGCCATTCTCGAGTCGAAGATCAAACTCCTCCCCTCTCGCGCCATGTCGCGTCAGTCTTTTCACAGTTCGGGGAGTCGTGCCGGCACGCCCACTACCGGTGGTTGTGATCACCTTAACGCCGCTGGCTTGCCGGTTGAGCTGGTGATGTGTTCGCTCGTGGAGACCTTTGCTAGGCGCTAGCGAGTTCGGATTGCCACCTACTCTTCCAATGATCTCGAGACAGAGCTCAATGAGCGAACCGGGCTTGTACATCATGCCAGTCGAGATGTCGATATTGATGAGCATGCGACCTGGCGCAGGGCGGACTGACTGGAAATAACCCCGCCAGAGAACAATACCTCCGCCAATGTCCTTTTTCTCCCGGTCCGTGAAGAAAGATCGAACGTTGAATGGATACTTCGATGTCGGCTCCATGCGTATCACGACGTTCAAAGCCTGTTTTATGTACAGATGAGAGCGGGCGAGACGCTGAAGCCAAGTAAGCATACCGTGATAGCCGTCAGCACCTCGTTGTCGTGCGATTGTTGACCTTGAAGAAAACGCCTCAGCACTCTATTCGTGCATATCCATGTCAGCTTCCATACAACGAATGTTGGACAGCACATACTCAGGATTGATCTGCGCCACTTTCGTGAGCTTGACCTTAAAGGGCCTTTGCTCTCGACGAGCAGGAGTCCCAGGCGACGGTGGAGCCCCCATCTGGACGTCAAACTACATAACAGTTTGCAGTGAGTTTGTGGCGCCGGCACACATCGCATGGCTCTCACCTGCGCGCTGCCTTCAGTGAAGGGTAGCTCGCGAACGCTGAACAAGTTTTTGCGCCCGTCGTAAGCGCAGCGTGGCGTAAAAATCTCTGGTGCGGTGTCTTCCTGCAGTCGGCGGATAATTTCCATATTCCTGGATATGGGGAGCGTTTGCTCCGATGGCGTCAAGACTGCGATAGAGAGTTAGCGACAACCGACAATGTCCTATGCTAGATAACGCACCAACTACCAAAACGAATCATTGAGATAGAGGGGGGAGGTTGAGATGTTCAGTTATCCTATGGTCCTCGAGAGCGAAGGGAAACACACCATCGTAGTGATATATAATTTCGCTGGGAATATCGACGGGGAAGTGATTCGTGTATACCTTGACGGCAACACCGGCGGTGCCAGGTGCTTTTCGGCGGACGCCCACGGTCTGAATGTGACCAGCAGGGGTGACAGCCGTGCCGGTACTGCTCGTAGCAGATATCGCGGGGCTGCCGCCTCTGCCGACTAACGACACGCCGCCCCTCCCGCGCGCGCCGCCTCCACCGCCTCCACCACCACCGCCTCCGCGGCCTCTGCCTCGGCCGCGCCCGGCCATAGCTGGCGCGGTGAGTTAGGTGATGAGAGCTTTGGAGATTGGGAGGAGATCTCAGGGATCGTTGAGATTCTGTCGACGCTGGAGATGGTGGGGGAAAGGAGAGAAGAGATGGTTCACCGGAAGACAAAGGGAAGGGGGAATATAAAGAGTGACAGATGGTGGGGCAGCCGTGGGTACTTGAGTGCTTCTTCGAACTCTCGCTTTCCAAGTTTGGATCGATGGAACCTGCACAAGTCATCGATTTATCAGCGCCTGCTCGTCCTTGGGACGATTCTGTTCGTACCGTTCTCAGGCAAGGTGAAGCAGAGACAATGGTCTCCGTGGTCGTTAGAGCTCCCACGACGCTGGAGGTCGCGGACGAAGATCAAGACGCGACGCGCCTCTGGTGGAGATTACCTTGACGCGATCAGACCGACGTCCGCAAGCGCGCGTTCGCACAGCGCAAGCACTTCTAGCCAATGGTACCTACGTGGAATTACACGTTTTATGAAACCGCAGCCGCGCGAATTCTCCGTTATCAATTACCGTGCTGTCCTCCTGACATGTCCACCGCCCCATGCCATGCCAATCTGGCACCTGTACATCCACTCCGTGAGAGAGTTTTGGACTTTGACTCATTGTCCCTGGGAGCTCTGCTCGATTCCTTTGTTCGCCATGTCCTGGAATCGAGGGAACAACCTTAAAGCTGCGCCCGTAGTTACTTCCTCGAGCGCAGCGGCATCGCCTGCGTAGTGGGCTGCCAGGTGTTTTGTGAACCATTCAATCGTATTAACGCTCACGGCTGGATGACGAGGATGTTAACCACTCGCAGACGACAAGATGTCATCACTCACCAGGGAAATCGGTGCCGTAGAGGATCTTCGACCGGCCCAACATGTTCTCCACAAGCTGGATTGTGGTCCCATGTCCACAAAGCGCAGTCTCCACGTAGAACGTTCCAAAGTCTTCCAAACACGCCTCTGGCGTGAGTTCGCTGCCCATGTGTGCAGACAGGGCGGCGACCCGCGATGCTAGGAACAGCGCGCTTCCGCCACAGTGCGCGAGAATTATCTTGACGTGGGGATATCGTCGTTTCTTGCCTGTCACGACAAGATGAGATGCCGCCTTGAACGTTTCGTTCGGTACCTCGGTGATGGGAAGTCCAAGAAATGCATGAGGATAAGGGGTCGAAGATGGAGTCTGCGTGCCGTGGAGGAAGACGACTGCGCCACGCCGGTCGAGTTCAGCCCAAACAGGATCGAAGAGATCGTCACCAATGTAAACTGCGTGCTATCAACCACGCGTCCTGGTAGAGGATTGTGCCAACTGGCTCACTAGCTTCAGGCCCTTGGCCGTAGGAGGTCGAAAGACTGACGCCGTTTGCGTGCAGTACGTCTAACGCGTACGCAATCTCTCGCAAGGTACCTAATATATGCGCGTTGTACCTCCGCAGCAGTCGACAACAGAGTTGATGCCTCACCTTCGACGTTCCGCAAGTCTGGAAGACATGCAAACCATCCAAAGCGTCCTTCCGATTCTGCGGCGTCGCAGAGTCCTTTTGCGTGCGTGTTCAACTCTCGAACAACTTCCCTGTTCCTCTCATTTCGCGTCTCTTCGTCAACAGCCCGCAGGCCGCCTTTGCTGCACGTTGGAGCCGCGCGAAACGGGCTGTCGACAAGGTTCTCCGGGATGCCAGCAGGATAGCTGAGTATCGCGCCGGCGACGCAAAGCTTGTTCATCGCTTCCAAGCTCTTCTGAATATTCCACGGCACGTTCTCCTCCGGCGTCTTCCATCCTACCACAGCGTTCTGGCCAGCCTTGCGCTTCGAGAGCTCGGGAAGGAAGATGTGGTGGTGAACGTCGATTTTCATAGGGATGCGCTCCGTGGGGCTGGCCATGGTCGTCGTTGGGGCGTTGCCCAGGATGCCTCCTTTCATATGGTATCCCCTGTGGCATGCCGATCGCCCTCAAGGGTGCACTGTCTGCCAGATTCGGTTCGACGACAGCAGCGGACACACAAATCCGGCAACATTGCAGTCAAATACATCTTTGGTTACGACTTGAAGTAGTAGTAGTACAGGATGCGGCGGCAGTGCCAGGCAGGACACTCGCCTACTATTCATACAATTTGTTCATCGCCCTTGTCGATCATTATGTGCGCCCATGGCGTTCACTTCGAATCCCAGAAGTCGCGGGCTTCCTCAGAGTCCCAGCTGACGAATTTACCGGAGAGCTCTCTGCCTGCGTTAACGGCCATGGATGCGAGGACATGGCCACTTTCCATAGGGTCGACGAGCCTGCCTTCGTCATAGTCGGACACGTATTTCGAAACGTCTTCCGCTCGCATGATATCAGTTCCTGCTAGTTGACGGATCTGGGCTTGCATCTAAGGAAAGAGGGTAGCCGTGAACGATCGCTGGAGATGAATGAATCGGGACGCACTGCAGTATCAACCCTCCCAGGACGAAGGGCAACAGAGACAATGTCGGGCTCCTCCTGAGCCAGAGTCCTTAATAGGACATTCAGATGGAGCATAAGCATTCTCGATTGGCGTGGGACATACCGACACAAGCTGTTCACAGCAGCCTTACTGGTGTTGTAAGGAGCCCAACCGTACGTGTTGCCAGTTGCTGACCCTGAGCTCACAAAGATGACACGTGCTTTGATATCACCTTCGTTCATGTGCATCCATGGAATGACCGTACGCAGTGCATTAACTTGCGAGAAGAAGTTAACGTCAAAGTGCTGCTTCCATGCCTCGACGCTCAGCTGTTCGCTTGTGATCTTGCCGGTGGGTTCGAAGACCGCGGCGTTGAGGACTAGACTGTCGATGTGGCCAAAGGTCTTCTTCGCAGTAGAAATTACTCCTTCAAATCCAACAGCATCCGTACTGGATTAAACGGAGATTTAGCTCCATAGTGCATCTTCTGCAGCAGCGATACGGGCTTGCCACTGACACGTCGAGCTCGACAAATAAGAGAGCACTACCGTGAGCGAGCGAGAGAGTCTGTAGTTCAGGTGTGCGCGTCCTCGCAATCGCCACTACGATGCTTCCAAATTTCTCGAGCAGGAGTTTCGTGACGGCAAGACCAAGTCCTCTGGAGTGATCGTCAGCTCTGCAGGTTCTGGGAGCGCCGCCTGAGAGACAATATGCACTTTGAAGCACCGGTGACGACGACGACAGGTTTTCTGGCCATGTGAAATATGTTCGCGGACTCGAGCGTGAGCGGACTGGCGAAGTTGCGGAGAGAAAGGCGTGGCGGGGGATGGGCGCAACGGATGGGCGTTTGCCGGCTCCCCAATCGAACGACCCGTACGACTCCGAGAGAGCAGACGCTTCGCGCCCGCGAGCCCAAAACCACTTCACCTCCCTCCCCAAACTCTCATCCCCCTCTCACAAAAACACAGTCCAGATGGCCTCCAGGACAGCCTTTGGAGCCCTTCTCAGGGCACGTGCTGCCGCAAGGACTCGTGCGGTCCCATCCTCCTTTGCGACTCGCCGGAGGGGATACGCGACCCAGCAAAGTGAACACTCGGTATGTCGGATCTGCTGAGAGATTCGCACGGATTTGGTGCTAATCTGTATTGACGCGACTATAGATGACTGTCCGTGAAGCTCTGAATGCCGCCATGGAAGAAGAGATGTTGCGGGACGAGACTGTCTTCATCCTCGGCGAGGAAGTCGCGCGGTACAACGGTGCCTACAAGGTGTGTCTCTTTCCTTCATTGTAGAGTACCCGCTATCATTCCCCAGAAGCACTACCATCGTCTTCTGCGCCTAGAACTCATTCTTTGACATAACCGACTTAGGACCGTCGCGTCATAAACAACCCGCTAAAGCACAATTGTATTCCAGGTCACCAAGGGTCTTCTGGACAAGTTTGGAGAGAAGCGAGTCGTCGATACACCGATTACTGAGATGGGTTTCGCGGGTCTTGCGACTGGTGCTGCCCTTGCTGGTCTGCGACCAATGTGCGTTGGTTCTCGCGTTTGGATGCTAACTTTCATTGACGCGTTGGGCAGTTGTGAATTTATGACATGGAACTTTGCGATGCAAGCCATCGACCAGATCGTCAACTCTGCGGGAAAGACCTATTACATGTCCGGCGGAAACGTCCCATGTCCAGTCGTCTTCCGTGGACCCAACGGTGCAGCTGCTGGTGTCGCCGCACAACACTCGCAAGATTACGCGGCATGGTATGGCAGCGTTCCAGGCCTAAAGGTCATCAGCCCGTGGAGTGCCGAGGACTGCAAGGGTCTGCTCAAGGTGCGTACTGACGCCGTCGCGGGGATCCGCCATATGTACTCATCTGCTCATAGGCTGCCATCCGTGACCCTAACCCTGTCGTCTTCCTCGAGAACGAAATGATGTACGGCGTTACCTTCCCCATGTCTCAGGAGGCTATGTCAGACAACTTCCTACTCGAGATCGGCAAGGCAAAGATCGAGCGTGAAGGCTCGGACATTACCATCGTAGCGCACAGCAAGATGGTTACCCACTCACTCGAGGCTGCTGAAGAGCTTGCTAAGGAAGGTATTAAGGCCGAGGTCGTCAACCTCCGCTCCATCCGTCCTCTCGACATCGACACCATCAAGAAGTCCGTCAAGAAGACTAACCGGTATGTCCGCTTTATTCCTGTTTTATGCCAGGAATGCAATTCACTAACATTAAATGCAGACTGGTGACAGTCGAGGGTGGTTTCCCCGGCTTCGGTGTTGGTTCCGAGATTTGCGCGCAGATTGTTGAGAGTGAGGCTTTCGACTACCTCGATGCGCCTGTGGAGCGTGTCACTGGTGCTGACGTTCCGACACCCTACGCGCACAACCTTGAGGCGCTTGCCTTCCCTGATACCCCTCTCATCGTCAAGGCTGCGAAGCGCTCGCTCTACCGCGCCAACTAGATCCTGTAACGCATTGAGCTGCTGGTATGATTGGTTGGAGCTGAGGCGGATGACACTCCGTAGCTTAGCTTAGCTTTATCATGGTCTCTCTTTGTGCGTTTCTGCTGGCTTTTGCGTTGACATAGACTACCCGTAATACGCTACGAATCGCGATGTATTCACACACTTTCTTTTTTGCTTGGGCGCACGAACGCGCAACGACCCGCGTCCGGCGCTTGTTTGTGTGGCGGAAGACACGCGCAACTCGAGACTGCGCTATACACCTTTCATCTTCTCCTAGACTCTACACGCCGCTTTCGTGCATGAACGATATGGAATATCAACCTCGCTATCCTCAGCCTTTCACTTTGCCACAAGCTACTGGGTTGGACGTTTCTATGATTACAGAAGGTTTCTAATCATGCTACCGTCGCCTCAACCTGTGGACCTGAAAGAACGATGCTAGAGATCGCCCGCCTGCAGAACTCGCTATCTCACTTGCAAAATACACAGGAGCAGCTACGAGAGATTGTCTCGGAGTCTCCCGACTCTGAGCTCACGAAAGCAATTGAGGAAAACGAAGTAACAATGTAAGTCGTTCGCGTCCGATTATGACGTTGTAGTAGTAATAAGTGAGTTTCTTTAGAGGATCGCAAGAAGAGAGAATTAGCATGCTAAGGATGGCCCTTGCCGAGAAGGGCATACCAATGGAAGGTCATTACGCTTTGGAATCTGCCGCGGCCGTCCCGCCTTCAGGAGACACCCCCACGGCTACGCCTCGTGTCACACAGCCTGAATCGTCTTCGTTGCCAAGACAACCTACCGAAACTACGAGCCATACAATTCCAGCTACTGCGCTCATTTCACAAGATGCACAAATGGACGAGGATGGTGGCCTCCACTTGTGAATACCCCTTCGTCTCGTCAATGTACTTGTATTCGCTCTGGTTATCTGAAAAGCTGGCTTCACACACGGTCTGCAGACTACTCGTCGATGATTCATGTATTTCCATTTGCAAGAGCTCCAAGCCGCGCCTTTCCGTCTCGATTTAGCAGGGCAAATGCCTGAGGTCCAAACGGGGTGATCGATGACATCACGAAATACGGCGGCGTACTTATACTCTCCTCGTTCAAAATTCGGTATCCACGTCACTTTATCCTCGACACACAAGACCATCAACGATGTTCATTCTCGACCACTCCTCGCCGTTGCTCGCGGTACCGCGCAATGTATTCACCGCGGTCGGCTTGCCGCTCGTGGTGGGCATGTACAGTGGATCCTACTCTGAGAAAGCTGCTAGGGGCAAATGGTACAATGTATGTTTCTCCGACGAGTGCCAGAATACTCTAGTATAACTAATACTTGTCAAAGAGTCTTCGCTTCCCTCCGGGCAGAATCTATGACCGCGTCTTCCCCTTCGCCTGGGGTGGTCTCTACCTGGGTGAGCATGACCAACTTCGTGGTTATATGTGCGACTAACCCTATCACTAGCCATGGGTTACGCCTCCCATCTCGCGGCCGAGGCGTATGACTCATCGTTCACTTCTGAGAAGTTGTACGTTTCATGGTAAACTCCCGCGCATATACCCACTTAGTCTGACGGCCACAGGCACGACGCGTCCGTCGGCATTGCGCTCTACTATGGTCAATTGGCGCTGAACTGTCTCTGGACACCGCTCTTTTTCGCTAAGAAGCATACGACTTTGGCTCTCCTGGACTCAACTCTGCTTACGGCCACTACTATCTGGATGACGGTACGTCAATGACGGAAGATATGCGACTGACAGGAATTAATGCTACTCATGTGTGCAGAAAGTTCTTCATGGACCCACTGATGGAAGATCCACGTACTTCCTCCTGCCGTACTGCGCCTGGCTGTCCTATGCCACCTACCTCAACGCCGGCGTCGTATTCCTCAACAAGGACCGCTACGTTCCAAAGGAAGACTAAAAGTTCTGTAACAAATGCTCACGTGTCATACTCCGTTAACACAGCGAACAATGTTGTATTTGTACATTTGAGCGAACGGCATATTGTAACAGTACCAGGAAAGAGCGATAATATAATAAATACGCTGTCCAGACATCGAGAGCGAGCCGGTAGCGGTCCAGCCAGAGTGACGAGAGTTAGAGCACAAGAAAGAGCCAGAGAGCCGAGCAGCAAGCATAGTCCAGGTGCAGTACCAGAGCCGGAATCGGCCTCGTCCCTGTTTGCCGGGTGGAGGCTTCAAGTCTCAAACACGACGCTTCCTCGTCTTAGACTTCACCTGCGAGCTGTCGATACGCTTGCAGGCACGAGTATAAGCGGTATTAGCGGAACGCACTTCGAGGGCTTACCTTCAGAACAGGTTCATCCTGCTGGATGGGGGCCCGGCTTCGCATGCTGGTTCTCTGTCCGGCTTCGGAGTCAGTACCGCGCGATGCCTACGCGGACACCCTAGTTACTTACAAGGCGCTTTGTATACCTCCCACTTCCTGGAGGACTGACAGTGTCCGAAGGTTTGTCTCGTTTCTTGCTCGCTCGGGTAGGCTCCGCGGAGTTCGCCTCCGGAGGCGTACCAACCGGGCTAGTCTTGCGACTCTTGTCCTCGAAGTCCTGGATGTCATCGGACATTGTAGTGTCCAGTCGTCGGAAATTTGCCCTCTGCCCGGCGTTATGGGCGATCGCTACTGTCTTCTTCGCACCGCCGCCAAGGCCGCGGACAGCCGGCGTCTTCGGCTGTGGGTATACCAGCGGACTCGAACTCATAGGGGGCATGCCCGCAGGTGACGGCACTTTCTTAGGTTGTGCAGGCGAGGACTTCGTGGTTGGAGCGCCAGCTGGGGCGAAGGGGCGCAGGTGGGCAGGTGTTCGGGCCACACGCGCCTTGGTGTTCGGATCGGGCTGCGGCACGGCTGTCAAAGCAGGCTTGGCGACGGGGCGGACAGGTGCTGGAGTAGGCCTGGCGGTCATGGTGTTATCGACATTTGTGGACTGCCCGGAAAGAATGGTGATACAGGATAAATAAATAAAAAGCCTGCACGGTATAGAACTTGAAGTGCTCCGGCACACTTACAGTGACGTCTTCCTCGGCCGTCTGTGGCGGAGACTTGCTTTTATCCGACGATGCAACCCATACAGTGGGGTCAATCAGCGACCGGTTTTCAGCGGCAGTAACAGGTAGTGCGATCGGCTTGCTCATCGCCTTGAGGTGCTTAGCAAGGGTTCCTTCAAGCACCTGTATTCGGGTCTGCTGCTCCTTGATCGTGTTGTCGCGCTAAATAAAATATAGGACAAGCGACAGTAGGGGCAATAGAAGGATACACAAACGCGTCTAAGTTCGTTGCCTTTAGAGACTAGTTCTTGCTCGTGGATCGACTGTGAAGTTTGAATAAGCGCGTTAATGAACGTCTTCTCTTCTTCGTTCTGCGGGAAGGAAATATTATTAAAGTTGTCGCCCCTGACAACCCGGGAGTCTCACCAGGTCCCCTGTCCTGTAACGCGCATCGATACTCCTGGCACGCAGCACAAGCTCGGTGTTTTCCAGGCGGAGCGCCGAAATCTGACCGGTCAGCGTATCGATGGCATCTTTATGAGCAGGATCGGGGAGCCTAGCTTCCCGAAGTTCTTGTCGCAGAGTGAAGATCTCCTGCTTCCCTGAGGCAATTTGTTCCTCAAAACTCTTCACGGACGCTCGAGCTTGGTCTAGAGCTGACTGCACATCGCCGATGCGCTTCTCTGCGAGTTCCAGCTGCACGCGGCTGTTGTCCTCCTGCTTTGCTACGCGCCCGTCGTAATCCGCTTTGATTGTGGTTATCTCCTCTCGCTGAGCACGTACGGTCCCCTCGAGGTCATTGACCCTTGATTGAAGCGTGGCCTTCTCTTGTTCTAAGACGGCGATCTCAACCTTAGATTTTCCCGTGACCATCTCGAGATCGTGCTATCAATACAAGCGGGGATTAGATGATGTATACAATAAGCCTGATTTATCAGACGTACAGCGAATTTCTTCTCCGCTTCGATGAGCCGGTCCTATAGCAAGTTCAGGGTGAACAGACAGTGGTGCCGTATAGATGTGCACCAACCTGGAGCTCCACTTGCGTCCCCTGTGCGCACTTCGTTGTCATTAGCTGAGTCTCATAGCGCTCCTCCATCACCTAGAGATAATAATCAGCCAAGAAATTGTAGAAATATATCGGCGAGCATACCTGATATTTGGTTTCGAGGTCGTGCATCCTAGAATGACGTCATATGATTATGTACCAAATCATCTTGACGGTACGTACGTTTCGCTGCGTCGATCGGCCTCATTCTGACGCTCCAGCAGCTCCGCCATGGAAGATTCCAGTTTCATCTCGAGCGATTTGAGCTCTTCCGATTTCCACGTAACGTCGCTCTGGAGGCTTGCTACCTGGGTTGTCGCACTACCTAGCTCGTATTTGACAGCCTGCAGAGCGTTCTGTGATTCCTGATACTGCGATTCCTTGTTGGCGATCCTGACAGATTGTCGGTACAGGTACACAGAATAAGAGATGAGCGATGCTTACCTGCCCTCCAGCTGTGCAATGGCCTCGGTCCTCGCTTGGATGGTAGCCTCTAGAGAGCAAACTTGCGCGAGCTGCTCGGTAGAACGCGTAGTCAAGCTGTCAAAGCTGAGGGACTGTCAAAGCAAGCATGAGAGTTTTGCTGCAAGTCCGCTCACCTCTCTCGAAGAGCTTTCAACTCGACCACCTGCGTGTCACGCTCTCCGAGGAGCTGCTCTAGTCGTTTAACCCTGAAGAGGTCAAATTATGAAAGGTATAAGATTATCAGCAACTTACTCGGACTGAAGCTGGGTCATAGCTTCCAGCTCTGAATCCTTGTTCTGGATCGATTGACTAAGTTGTTCCGCACTGTAGCAACCTAGTCAGGCACACTTTGCCAAAACCCGTGTTTGCGATACGCACCGCTCATTCGCGCTGGAGAGCTGGGCCTCCAGCTCAGCAGAGGCCATCAATGCGTCATGCAGTTCCGTCTGTTGACACTTCATGGCATCCGCGAACTTCTGGATCTGCTCGTCTTCGACGCCGTTAGTCAACACGGAGTATTACCTCAGTGGTACACGTACTAGCTCCCGAAAGACGGACGCTTGATAAGCGCAATGTATCTATGTCCGCAGCTTGAATGCCCTCGAGTTCTGCGACGCGATCTTTGGCTTCAATAAGATCTGCGCCGACGGACTGGAGCTTCTCGCGGAGCATCTCTGCAACCTGCATAGCTATACTCCGAGGTCAACGATATAGTAAGGTGCAGCCGAATAGAAACAGCGCTTACTTCCTGTGCATCGTAGATTGAGTTCGGTCAAAACCTCTTTCGTCTTCGTGACCTCTACTAAGTGCCCGTCCTCGTCAAGCACTGCTTCAAGACCTAGCCCCATGTTATATGTACACAGCAGAAACAGCGCGACGTTCCACACACTTTTAATGGATTCTGACACAGTTTCTCGGAGTTCCTTGACGTCTGGCATGACGGCTTTTGCCTGGATGTAGAATGCAAAGGTCTCGTCAGATTGGGCTTTTAAACCATCCATGGAAGCTCTCATCCCTCCCAAGCTATACGAGATAGATAAGTCTCACAGCACAGATTAATCAGAGACGGGAAGATATATGCACCTCCGGGAGGTCGCTTCCAATCCCTGCCGCGCTGCATCCTTCACTGACTTGATGCGTTGCATGAGTTCCACTTTCTCGCTCTTCGTAGAATCGATCTGCGTCTTCAGAAAAGCCACCTCACGACGCTGAGGACTGACTCAACGCGATGTCGCACGGCACAATGGATATCAGGGGCATACCAGCTCCTCCATTTCGTATTTCGCATTTCTCAGATCGTTGGCACCCCTCATCATGATAGAAGAGATATCTTCATCTTGGACGGAGTTTCCAAAGCTAGCGACTGACGCGCTCCGGGAGTGTGTAGGAGGGTATGGGAGATTGTCGTGTGTCGTCAGGCGGTGTGGACCGCCGCCAGGATTGCCAGAACCTTGCATATATGCACTAAATCACCCCAATTGGATCATCACCGGAGAGGGCATACCGTGATATTCCGTACGAGGGGCGCTCGCGTCCGACCGCTGGTGCAAGCTCTTACTCGTCCTGAGCTTTACGAGCTCTCTTGGCTGCGAGGGTCGAGAGCTCGTCAACATAGCTTCTCCGGGTGTATGCGGTCGGAGATCTTCATTAAGTCTTTCTCCATCTGTCTGCATCAAAGGTGAAGAAAACCTTGCAGCGTTAATGAGGCTAGCACGCTGTCCATCTCGGTGGCCGCGGCGGACGAGGTCCCCGGGGGCTGCGTGCGACGCGCCGCTCGTCTTCCCACCGGGCCCCACGCTAAGCAACGTACGACGTGTATTCTGGCCTCCATACACGCCTGGCGACATTTCGCGCACTCCTGCTCCCAAGCGGTGTTTCAGAGAAGTGGCGATGTAGCTATCTCTCGGCAGCTTGTCAGCAGCAGTTCCGGAGATGAGCGCGGTAAACCGAGCCTGTGAATCTTCTTCTTCCATGTTGCAAGAATAAGAGGGATAGCAATCGCGGCTTTGCAGGGAACAGGAAGAACAGCTTTAAGTGAAGTGGTCGAGAGCAAGGCGCGAAGGGCAAAGCGGAGAATGAAGGCTTCTTGATCTCAGCCACGAAGCTGCAAGTTGCCATTTACGGATTTCAAGGTCCCGGGCCCCCCACTTTCACGTCGTGCTCACATCACTCAGTGCCCCTCGGGACACCTCGTTTCTAACTGCTGCATGCTGCACTCTTCCGTTGCCGTACACCATTGCCGTAATGTTACCAGCAGAAGAGCAGAATCACTGCCGAAATATCAGCAAGTGATGCAACAACTCGAACTTGAATCATCGCATGCGAAATATCATGAGGTTTGTTGGAGGTGGAGCCTTGAGTGTTCGAAAGCATTCCTCGGCTTCTGGCATCCACTAGCTGTACCATGCATAGATTGGGTTCTGCCGCCATGCTCCTTGGTTGGCAGATGGTGCACAGTCTTCATCGTTGCTCACTCGCATTTGGTCAGACCCTGGCATCTAGCTCAGCCCAGAACCGCCGAATTACATGTGCTGACTCATGCCGGACTATAGATCCATATCAAATTGTTACGCTACCGATGCCTGGGCTTTGACGTACTACCGTCAGGTGGCATTCACCAACGTGTTCCAATCCCAGGGGGGCAGGAGGCAGGAGAACCCGGTGCCTTGCTCCATATATAGCTTGCCTGTTAATGTTGCTGCTGCCAGCTCACAAGCAGCCAATTCCCGTGCGAGAAGGTTGCGCCGCCAGAGCACTTCGATAGGATGTCTTTTTGCGCAAGGCTAGCCGTTTTTGCCGCACTTGCTGCGAGTATGGCCGCTGCTGTTGCCGGCACTGGCGTTCTCGTACCACTCTACATCTTTCCGGGACAGTCACCCCAGTGCACTGCCTGGGCTTCCTTACTCAACGTGTACGTTCGTGCACTCGAGCACCTTGGACATTTTCACGTACCTCGTGCTACAGGATCTCTGCGAACCCTTCGGTCCCATTCATCATCATCATTAATCCGAATAGCGGCCCAGGAGCGGTTGGCTCGCAGCCCGATTCCTCCAGCTACCAGGGCTGTGTTCCTCAGCTGAAGAGTCAACCCAATGTCAGGACCATAGGCTACGTCTTCACGGAGTACGGGTCTCGCAGCCAGTCGGACGTCGATGCGGATGTCTCTACCTATGCGGGATGGGACAGTGCCTACCGGCTGGATGGCATCTTCTTCGACCAAGTCGAGACGACTAGCGACCTGCTGTCGACGTACACAGCATTCGTGAACACCGCCAGGCAAAGCTTCGATGACAGTAACGGTTTTGTAAGTGGGACGTGACACCGCAGCTACGCTATGTCTAATCCTATTTGCTTGATAGGTCATTCTAAACCCTGGAACGAATGTTCAAGATGACGGCTTCTTCTCAATCGCCGACCAAATCGTGACTGCTGAGGATTTTTACTCCGACTTCAGGTACATGCTTGCTCTCGCTTGTATGGGACTGAGGCTTATTGAAGTGTCGCTTCGCGTAGCCCCTCTCAGCTTTCACTTGGAAGCAGCACCCCAACCGCCAAGCAGGCTGTCATCCTCCATGATGCGCCGTCCAGTCCTCCGATAAGCCTCATCGACCAGCTCGTGACAGATGGCATTGGGTCGCTCTATATTACTGATGACACTCAGGCAAACGGCGGCAACCCGTACGACAGCCTTCCGAGCGATTTGTCGAGTTTTGTGGCAACTGTCGGCGCAGACTCATAATTCGTCTCGTGAGGCCCGCAACAGCATCCTGTCAAATCTTGTTATACACATAATTCATAACGAAAGCCACAGCATGGCCATAGTAGTGTAATTATAGAGCTAGTCATTGTGACTTTTTCTCCATGAGATTAGTACATATTCAAGACGGTACCGCTTGGCGTCTTGACAGGAGCTGACACAACGCACTATAGCCGAGAGACTCGTATACAGGATCTTCCGCTGGATCTCTGCAGTTAGGAGCGAACATGAACAGCGAGGACAAGGGCTGATTGTTCTAGGGCTATGTCTCGAGCAAGCACTTTATGTTCGCAGCATGAGCCTAGGGTCCCACTAGCACCTTCGCCGTTTTAGCAGCTGGCGGGAAAAAGACGTCACCGCTCGGCACTTTGAGTGCGCGAGAGATATAGGCTGTGTAGCGAGCCCACGACACTGGTGGTCGGGGTGGACGCCAATGAGCTGCGGTTGGCGTGAGGCGGGTTTCGCGTCAGTTCCGTGAGATTACTCTGCTTTGCTGTCAGCTTTTCCTAGGAACTGATTCGAAACGCACAGTGGTGGTGTGAATCGGTGTACAACGCTGTAGCGCACCGTGCTCACCTCATCCCACCAGGCCCGTAAATAAGGTGGAAGTTTATTTAATAGTTCACTCCCAGGCCTGTTAATTAGGCGAAAATTTATTCGATAGTTCGCTCCATCCAGCCTCGTGCTGGCGCTCACTGTATGCGGTGAGCACAGATTGGTGTGAAAGGCAAAACTTGCACATCTACCTCCCCAAGAACTTGTGCCTCAATCCGAACCTCTTCCAATGCCGATCCCGAAGATAATAACTTGCTATAAAGAAACTACTTACCGTACAGAAGTCTCAACAGGCGTCCCATTGGCTGTTTCGGCGGAGCATATGTCGCCTTCCAACAAACCAGCCGCGACATAGACCCAGAGGCACGCGGCAATCGGCTCCTTGTCATTGTTGAGGCTACTTGTGAGATTATCTAGAGATTCATGCGGGTTAATTTTGGTGTACGCGAGACGAGAAAGGCTCTACATACGATACTGGAACGCCTCTTCCAGAGCGTTAGTAGCCAGCTGTAGTCAGTCTTCAGTTGAAAGTACGAGATGCTCTGCCGGTAACTGCAGCTGACCAGATGCTTCAAGTTTTGACGCACCTCACGCGCCATGCCTATCTTTCATATCAAGGAATAGCCGGGGCCGGGGCCGGCAGGTGTTGTGTTGGGGCGCTAGAAGCATTAGAACATACTTCACTCGTGCTTATATGACCAGGTGTGAACGCAAGGCCGAGAAACCATGTGCATTGGAAGTGCTTGGGTTGAGTGGTCATTAATAACCAATGTTAATTCGAATTTCCCTGCGGCTGCAGACTCTTCTGTTTGCTCTTGCTTGGCAAAGGCTTCTAATCATAACATATACAAACATTATAGGTGCCTTTCCCGCAGATGTGTAGATCGAGCAAAATAGGCTAACATCATGCTCACCGTAGACATTCGATGGATGCCTTGTAAGCAATGCTGTTCGCTGCAATAGCTCAATACGCTGGCCAAGGGCGCAGAGTTCGCAAGTACAGGCTAGTTCACCGCGTTTACCCATGGTGTCTCGGCAATCAACGGGATGCGTGTGTAAACCGTAGCGTAGCACAGTGCGCTACTTTTCGCAGCAAACTTCCACCCACTTGGGGACATGATGTGGCCTTTCGTATCTCGTAGATACGCCACATACTCTGTCGAAGAGGTGGACCAGAAACCGTACGATTACATCGTCGTAGGCGGTGGGTACACGCATCGCACTGTTTCAGCCGGCCTCGACGACTAAATGTTGATATAGGCGGAACTGGAGGATGCGTACTAGCCTCCCGTCTCACGGAGGACAGCAGCGTTAGCGTTCTACTAATTGAACGCGGTCCTATTATCGACTCCTGGCTCTCGCGTGTCCCTCTGCTCTCCACGGACTTTCGCAGTGCTCGCTCCCCGACATACCAGTGGGCATCCACTACAAATGCCGTGGCGACAGAGATTGGAACGAAAAGAATGATCTCTGGCAAAGCATTAGGGGGCACTTCCAAAGTCAACGCCTTCATTTACACTCGTTCTATCCCGGGAGAATACAACGCTTGGGCTTCGAACGGCCGCGAAGGATGGAGCTGGAGCGACGTAGAGCCGTATTTCCGAAAATCCGAGACTTCTTCGAGCAACACATCAGCCTCGCATCGAGGCTCTACAGGCGCACTATCCTTGATACCTCTCGTAGCATGTTGCCTAACTCCTACGTTCTGTAGGCCCATGGCGCAACCGCCATCTACCAGAAGTGTATTTCAGAAATACGGAAGAGTACGAGTTTGATTAGTATTGTCACGAGCTAGCTTTCTTATTGTATACTACAGAATTTTTGAAGCCACGGAATCGCTCGGCATTCCTCGTCAAAAGGACTTTCACGATCCCGCCGTACCTCCCTACACATGCGGACTTCTCGATGTGACGATAGACGAGAGCGGATGCCGGCACTCGACATTCGACGCCTTTCTTCCCCCAGAAATCACGTCTAGGGCCAATCTCTTTATTTGTCCTGAGTCCATCGTGACTCGACTCGACTTGAAGGATGACGATAACGAGATTAGAGTCGCAGGGGTGTATCTAGAGCCCAGCATGCTCAATTCGAACAGTACCGCTATTTCATGCTATGCCTCAGCCACCAGAGAGGTCATCATGTGCGCAGGTGCTATCGCAACGCCTCAAATACTCATGTTGAGGTTAGACTTGTCATGCCACTGTTCGACCTACGTTGTGTTGATCTTTGCCCTAGTGGACTCGGACCTAAGGGTCATCTGGAGGAGCTCGGGATCGCGGTCGTCCGAGACCTGCCCGGGGTAGGTGCCAACCTCGTAAGTTGTGTACGTACTACAGTCCTGTGTCGAAGCTCAGGCAAATCACATAGCAGGATCACCCATGCGTATCTCTCCTCTACAAGGTTCCGCGCGAGGATTCACTGCACGAGCTCAAGCACAACCCTCTTCGAGTCATCTGGGAGCTGCTGCGGTACGTTGTAACTGGGCAAGGCTGGTTGCTGTCCCCCAACCCCCAGATGGCCGTCTTCGCTCTGAGCAAGTTGCTCGATGAAGAGTCCCGTACCACGATAGGACTGGAAGCTGGCGCAGACAGCCATTCACCTGACAACCTCCCCGACATCGAGCTCACGGGCATGCCGTTCAACATGTGTCCTGACGTGCCGCTCGACAAAAGCGAGGGAGCCCTGTCTCTGGTGTGTATCCTTCTCAAACCCAAGTCTGCGGGCACCATCCGACTCGGCTCTCTCAACGCGCACGACCGGCCGATATGCGACCTCAACTACCTGCGCGAGCCGGGAGACTATGAGGTCTTCCGGAAGGCGCTCCGGCTCGGGCTCGCGATCGGGAGGAAGTGCCGGGAACAGGGCTACTCCATGCGCGACGCGCTGGTGCCCGACAGCGAGAGCGACGAAGATCTTGATCGGTTTACCAGACAGCGTATGACGACGATCTTCCACTACACCTCGACATGTCGGATGGCGCCTGAGCAGGAGCTGGGCGTGGTAGACGACGAACTGAGGGTCCACGGAGTTCACAACCTGCGAGTAGCGGACGCAAGTATCTTTCCTGTCGTACCGTCTGCTCATCCGCAGGCTCCCGTGGTTATGGTAGCGGAGCGCTGCGCTAGTTTCATCAAAGCCGTCCGCACTGGCAGATAATTGTTGGAATAGCATTGCTTGTATAATGTAAAATTGACACGCCGCTTATCAGTTAGTAGGTATAACCATGTTCGTTCGTCACAAAGAATCTGAGACCTTTCGTTACTTATCATAAACTAATGTTGCCTCTGTTTCGCCTTCACCCTAAGATGGTATTTTGTCATGGTGGTCCTCGTGTTTGCCCATCCCTTGAGGAACGCCTCTGGGTCGAAACCGGGAGCGAAACGGAGGTCGTAGGAAAGAACCACATGGGAAAGGACGGCGTTAATCTCGCGGTAAGCAAGGGCCTTGCCAGGGCAACCAAAAGGACCTGACGCAACAACGAAGATGAGTACCGCAGTGATGCATCGAATGCGACACGACTTACCAAACTGGAACGCCATGAACCCCGCCCGACGTGTGATCGTCCCGGACCCGAGCCCATCTTCGAACCACCGCTCAGGCTTGAACTCCCGAGGTGCAGGCCAGAAATTCTCGGGGCTCATGTGCTGCGCATAGATAGGCACGCCGACGATGGTGCCCTCGGGGATAAATCGTCCTTCTAGCACGACACCATCCTTGGGCACGATGCGTGGAAACCCAGGGAAGCCAGCACCGAAGCGCAAGCCTTCATTGACAACGGCGGCCAAGTAGGGCAGGTCGGCTAGGGACGCATACTGATCTGAGGTGATTTCACCGGCTGGGAAGGCTTGGTCCAACTCGTGCCGGAGCTTCTCATACGCCTCTGGATGGTGCAGGAGATAGAACATGGTGATGCTGAGGAGTCCCGCAGTTGTGTCTCCCCCTATCAACAATAGGCTAAGCGTTTACCCTGTCTCCGAAATGCAAAGCTACGTGCCTGCCTCGAAAGCTAAAACGGTGTCTGCCTTAAGATCGTCTTCATTGAGTGGAGGATACTGGTGATCTTCATGTTGTGCCAACTAGCCGAGTTTTAGCACAGACCAGTCCTACATCGTGACAGTGCGTCAACTCACCAGGAACGAACACAAGTCCCACTCGTTGGGTGGACTGGTCTTCAGCCGCTTCTTCAGAATCTTTTCAGCAAGTTTCTCCATTTGTCTGTAATTTTTTGCGACAGGTAGGGACGAGATGATGTCAAATAGTGCGGGCACTTCGCCGAAGCTGCCAGGCACGATGAGTTGTCATGAACGCGCACAGAGAGGATGAACGCACGCCTCAAAGATCACGATCGCTTCTTTGGCGTTCTCGGCGACGCCTTCTACGTCGCCATCTCGCATGAATTCCTGGCAGATCAGTCAGTTTGTCGTCAAGACCTTGGTGGACTCTCTCCACGCACGATACCACTACATCCCGCCCCAAACGCCCAATCGCTCTAGCAGTGTGATGTTCATTTGATAGACACCACCAAACTAGGATTAAGCACGCACAGTGAAATCAAAACCCCAGTGCTCAAAACAAAGACTCAAGTCGACGACACCATGTGAGTTCTGTCTTCTCGCTATGCACTCGACCAGCTGATCGGTGCGAAGCTTCAGAGTTTTATCCCATTGCTGTACCCTGTTCATAGATCAGAAGAGCGATCATGCCTAGTGTTCGGTGTACGCACACTGTGTTAGTGAGTGCGCTAGCCCAGATGCGCCTGCGTCGACCATGCTGCACTTTTCCGCGTGTGAAGAAAAGGGAGCCGTCCGCAGCACGGCCCGGCCGATAGCTCTCTGCCTTGTCGAACGCTTGAGATGATGCATATATAGGATGGATGGCATCAATAGAGTTTATCGAAAGTTTGTTGGGGCCTATTGCAGTGATGAATCAACTTTCCACGGCGCAGAACAGAGGCTAAGCAACTCACCTATGCGAACAATAACTCCGTACTCCTCATGAAGTTCTGCTATGTACGGCATCCTCCTGCCAGTAAACGCGAAGTAAGCGAGTCTTAGACCAGTCACTTTGTCGAGCACGGGCCCTGGGAACTGTGCCAGCGGGTGGAACGGCGATAGCCTATAAGACACCGTTGCAAAGACGATCAACAGTGCCTGCGCGGCAAGGGCAAGCGACGCATGGAGGAATGCGGACAAGATGCGACAGGTGAAGAGATAGTCTTGAGCAGCGAGGGCCACGTAAATGAGAAGAGCAACAAGCAGGATAACGTGCCCCCGTGGATCGCAGGAATAAAGGTAGGCACAGCCAGCCTACGAGTCAACATCCATTTAGAGATATGCGAGACGACCATGATGTCGAATTTTCCACCTACGAGAGAAGGGAGCAGGATGTGGCCTATGCCGAGCCCGGTCATGATATGGTGAGGTGGCGGCTCGTTCCCAGTACGATGGGCATTGACTGGGTTTATATGCCCCAAACGGAACGTCCAACATTGTTATGGTCCGCTCCTTTCGGGTCCGGAGCCAATATTGTTCTGCATGGCTCTGCCAAGAATCTTTTTCATATTGATAGGGTAGGCGACGATTGCAGGCATGCAATACCTAGCCGCTAGTAGGACAGTCAGGGACTAGCTGGATGCGCAAATACTTTGATCTTACTGAGCATCAGGCGCCACGCGCACATTTCGGCGTCATCTCCAAGCGGGCTATGAACTGGAGCCGTAGACCCACGCGCCCGCCGTGCAACTGACGTTTCCGGTGTAAATAAAACGTCATCGTCGAGATTGATCAAGCGCACCGGTTCTGCGCACGTACCATTCTTCAGGCTGCCTGCGTCGATCTGAGCTGAGAAACTGGAAACAGTACTCCAGCGAGCCACCAAAATTGAATACGTGGCACTGTCTGCATTTGGCGTCGACCATGTATGTGAAGACGGCCAATAACCAAACAATCAGTCGGAGCGTGCGCTCAGCTTGACAATGGGGAATGTACTGCATCAGGCGGCAGCCATTCGTTCAGAGGTATTCGAAGCTGTAGTCATAGAAGAGTACTAGTGCGAGCAGAACTCACTGCACATACATATTCTAAACATAGTGGTAAGCGCCGCTATTGACTGACGCCGGCGGTCGTCCGGCTCGGACTTGTGAGTAGCAACAAGGACCACGGAGTGCCTGGAGGCCCGACCATTGTAGCATGACAATCTCCGGTCGGAACAGACATTCAGTCGTAGACATGGCGGCATTACCTGGCGCAGTGGCGCGAGCGCGCGCCCACCGTGACTTGCGCGTTACTACGCACGTCGCTGTTATGGCTATTGACGTGGAAAAGTTGACTATTGGCTGTCCGAGTCCAAAGCGGAGCCAAGCCTCTCTCGACGTCTCCTAAAGTCTTAGTTGGTCAGGATTTATTCCACGCCTCGTGAATAGAAAATTCGCTTCCTCTTACACCAATAGTTGGCAGACTCGCCGTGACGTCGAGCTCCCTTCTGGCATCGCCATGGATCAGCCAAGTTGACACTGAACAGCTTCAGAATCCGCTACATGGTGATGGAGCCTTCCTGAGGCTGTTTGCAAATTATATAAAAAGCGATATTCATCTGGTGTAATATAAACGGAGTAACTTATAACGAATTATCATAATCGAACTGCACTCTGTTACTTCAACTTAGTAGTGCTGCCTCCGTATCGCCTTCGCCTTGAGGTGGTAATTAATGATTTTCGTCCTTGTGTTGAGGCACCCCTTGACAAACGCTTGCGGGTCGAAGTCGGGCGCAAAACTAAGGTCATAGGCAAGGATAACGTGGGAGATGACGGCGTTAATCTGGCGGTAAGCGAAGGCCTTGCCTGGGCAGCTAAACGGACCTTGATGTAGAACCAACGGAGTCAGCGCTGCGACAAAATGCGAGATGCAACACGATTCACCAAATTGGAATGCCATGAAAGCGGTCTGACGCGTGACCATCCCGGGCCCCAACCCGTCCTCGAACCATCGCTCAGGCATAAACTCGCGGGGTGCAGGCCAGAAGTTGTCGGGGTTGATGTGCTGGGCGTGAACGGGGATGCCGACGATAGTGTCCTCCGGGATGAACTGACCATCCAGCACTGCCCCGCCTTTGGGTACGACGCGCAAGAAGCCGGAATAGCCAGAACCGAGACGCAAGCCTTCGTTGACTACGGCAGCCAAATAGGGGAGTTCAGCCAGATACGCATGCTGATCTGCGGTAATTTCGCCTGTCGGGAACGCCTCGTCCAGCTCGTGCTTGAGCTTCTCGTATGTCTCTGGATGGCGCAATAGGTAAAACATGATGAGCGTGAGGAATCCGGCAGTACTGTCTGCTCCTGTTGGACGAAGGATGTTGAGTGTCTGCGTTATCTTCAATGTTCTCAGCTGCTAACCTGCCTCGAGAGCCAGGACAGTGTCCGCGTTGAGATCGGCTTCACACATCGGAGAGTGCTGAGATTCTTCACGTTGAGCCAACTAATCGAACGTCAGCATAGAGCGGCCTTGACACGAGAAAGCGACTCACGAAGAACGAGCATAGATCCCAGCTATTTTCTGAGCTGATTTTTACTCGCTCCTTCAGGTACTTAGCGGCAAAATTCTCCGTCTTTTTGTAGCCCTCTGTGGCGGGCGACCCCGACAAAATGTCAGCGAGGGCAGGGACCTCGCCGAAGCTGTTGGGTAGAGTTGAGTGGTCATGGACACGGTAGAGGTGTGGTAAACGTACATCTCGAACGCGAGGATTGCTTTTTGCGCATTACGAACCACATCTCCCGGGTCGCCTTCCCTCATGAGTTCCTGGCGGGCCGGTCAGCTGGGGCGCAAAAAGCAGGGCGAATCGTTTCGACATACAGGGCGGCTGCATTCCGTGCCAAAGATGAGGTCACCCTGACAGTACGAGTTCAGCGGACCATCGAGCACAATACGGTCAGATAGACCTACAGCGAAATCAAAAGCCCAGTGGTCGAGGCAAGATGTTAAGTCGACACTATTGCAAAAATCTTGTCTTCTCGCGATGCACTCGACAAGCTGTTCGGTGCGGGCTTTCATGATGTCGTCCCATTGCTGTATCCTGTGCGCGAAAATGAGAGAAAGGCAGTCGCGCTCGGCGACCGACTTACGCTGTGCTGGTGAGCGCTCCGGTCCAGATACGCCTGCGATGCAAGTGCTCCGCTCTTCCGCGTGCGAAGAAGAGTGAGCCGTCTCCGATGCGGCCCGGCCTGTAGCTTGCCGCCTTGTCAAACGCTTGAGATGACGCGTAGATGGAATGGACGGCGTCAGCAGAGTTTATCGAAAGTTTGTTCGGGCCTGTCACAATGGCGGATCAGTTTTCATTTGCCACTCAATCGCGACCGGGCCGAAGAGGCGTACCTATACGAACGATAACACCGTACCTCTCGTGAAGCGCCACTACGTGCGCCCCCCTCCTGCCACTGTACGTGATATAGGCAAGCCTCAGGTCAGTCACTTTATCAAGCAACCCCCCTGGAAACTTTGCCAAAGGATGGAGCGGTGACAACCGGTACAACGCCGTCGCTAGAATGATGAGTAGAGTCTGCGCGGCCAGAGCAAGCGACGCGTGGAAGAGCGCAGACAGGATGCGACCGGTGGAGAGATATTCCTGAACGGTGAGAGCGACATAGATGAACGTCGCGAAAAGTAGAACGACGTTCCCCCGTGGACCGCAAGTGTAGAAGTAGGCACAGCCAGCCTGCGGAATGACACCAGCTAAGATGAGGTGCAAGACGGTGTTAGACCTTTCACGTACGAGTGAGGGGAGTAGAAGCTGGCTTGTGCTGAACATGGCGATGGGGCAGCGGGGCAGCGAACGATAGAGCTACCCCCTGACCTGGCTTATATGCACATTCCTTCACCACCGGCCCACCACTCAGTTGCTCCTTCGCACGGCTGGCGGGATAACGCGATGTTACATACCGACGCCACAATCACTCGCGGCTTTGCTCTGAAATTGTTATGCACCGTCGGACAAGCTCTCCAGTGTTTTTAATTTTGGCGCACCAGGCACAGTGAGGGGGGCACAGACGGAGAAGCACTGGACAACCGACATATCAGTATTATTAATTGCTCCTGATGCGCGCAGGATTCTAATGTTACGGAATGCCAGGCCTGCACGGACGTGGAATAGACCTTTCACCAAATATCGGCCTCCCCCCAGCTGAAATTTTACATGCGAAGCATGATCAAAATTGATCTTGCCACCAACCGCACCTACCATGCGACGGGAATTTCGCTTGCGGTCAACCATCACCGTCGAAACCGAGCACACTGAGGCACCAACTCAGAAAAATGGTTGCAAATGCAAGATCGTGTTCCGGACGTACCACTCTTCGGACTCTCGGCATGCTGGGGTATAGGCTGAGAAACCGAAGGAGTTCCCCAGAAAGCTGCCAGGATTGAACACATGGCACCCTTCGTAAGTCATTTGGTAACGATCGTACTTGTCTGCAAGGACAACCTAACAATCGGTCAGAAGCGTGCACCCGACTACATAAGAAGAGGCGCACCGCCGTAGGAAGCGGATACAAACGAAGCGTGTGATCATATTCTGGGAGTGTCGATTGGATAGAGGTCGTGAGCGGCATTAGATGACTTTGGTCGAGGACGGATTGCACGAGCTGGGGGACGGTCAAAAACGAGGTTACCGAAGCGTGGGCGTGGGACTCACATAGCGTTTCAAATCGTCCTCGCGAACGTCGGGCTTCACACCGACGAGGTTCCTGAGCATTCGGGCCATGAGGTCCTCCCGAAAAATCACGAGTTCTTGGTCGCACAACTTTATCCGACACGGGTTGGACCCAAGATGGAGCTTAGGAACCTTGCTCTTTAGCTTGCCCGTGAACGAAGATATAATAGGCTTGCGAGGAAGAATAGAGTTAACCGTGATGTCGCGAGGTCCAGGAACCAATATGAAATGCGTTTGGCGAGTGAAGACCGGATATGACGCAATAAGTTCAGCCAACGAATCAAAACCATCTACGGAGGCGATTAGGTGATATGGTGATGTGGTGATGGGCTAAGCTGCGCGGGAGTTACCTTGATATCTTCTGATTTCTCTTGAATTTCCTTGTGCAACGCCGCGCTGGCTGAAGTTTCCACACAAGACAATAAGACGTGGAATAAACTGGTTCTCCACGCAGTTGTCAAAAAGCTTCTTCAGCCCTTGCATCGTGTCTGGATGATCTAGCCAGACATCTGAAAGCACAAAGCAACGAAGATCCGGCCAATCTTCTCGCAGTCGGGTTGCTAGCTGATTCTGATTCGCGCCATATCAGACCGATCCCATTACGGAACAGGGTCAGAAAACATACATCTTCGGCTAGCGTTGTTGCACCTTTCCCCAGAAAGTCGATATGGCCGTATATTGACTTCGCCGCCTCACGGCTCTCGCACGGCGGATGGCCGATAGCGATGATTTGCAGAGTTGCCTCGTCGGTATAATCACCCTCCACAAGGGCAAAACAGCCTTCGGTGAAGAGGCCTTCGCTCGGCTGATCCTGAAGATGATGTTGATAATCTGGCATTTAACCCGAAGCAAAAGCCGTGCACACCAGCTGCGAGAAGTCAAGTTCGACGGCCCCATCTTCGTCTTCGAGGCATATTTTTCCTTCCTTTGAGTGGGAAAGCATGCCAAAGAGGAGGAACCTTTGGCCAGCGCGGCCCAGCAGTTGTTTCGTCGAGCGTAGCTATCTTTCTAATCAGCCCAGCTTGACCGGCTAGCAAAAGAACACACCGTTAACAAGTGCTCTCGATCCCGTGCGGCGATAGTCGATGGGGAGAAGTGGTCGTTTCGGAGAATCGTTTGTTTGATGATATTGAGGCGATTTCGTATGGCCGAGATGCGGGTATCCGCGGAGCCTGATCCAGTCAACGGCGCAAGAGCTCTGGAGAAAGGTTAGTTTCGTACCTCGCCATTATAGGCGCAAGACACGTACCTCTCAAACGCACTACGCTCCGTTGACCAATTCCACAATGGCATCTCGAAAGCATCTATGAAGTATAGATGGCTCTCTGGGTCAAGAAAGTCGCCATCTGCCATGTCACTTCCTTCTTGAAACGTATCATACACTCTTTGAAGGACCTCAAGGGAGACCTTCATCTGCGCGTCTGTAGAGGAGTCAGCCTGGCAAACACAAATCTGAAGTCGCACTTGCCATCCTGCTTATTGTATTCCTTAGCAATCCATTCAACAGACTGCTCAACCTGATCCTCAGGTATCTCGTGACGCTCAAGAATCTCTTCAACAAATTCTAAAGCCTCAGGTCCGAGAGAATGGCTGTACTTTCGAAAGACCTGGAAACGGCTCCAGTTTTGAGTCGCCCGTGAGACGCATAGGACATACTTTGATGATAGCTCTCTGTTTCGGATCCGCCATTCAAGCACTTTCACCGTTTTTTTGTTTAGTAAATCTGTGAACTGTGGAGCAAATTTTTGGAGGCGGAACGATGGTGGCGGTCCTGGAGCAGGTTGTCAAACGCGACGCGACGCGACGGTACCGTGTAGACGTCGGGATCAATGGGCGCCTAGATTCCAAATGCAGGTTGCTTGCTCCCCTAGTCATCGGGCGACCGTTTAACTTCGACTGCGTCGTCCAACTGGCATTAGTACTGCTTGACTACCTCCCATCGAGCGGAATATGTATCCAAAGCTGGACGTTGAGATAAAGCCAGGAATTGGCCTCGGACAATTCGAGCTTGGTACGTCGCATGCCAAGTTCCGACAGCGTGTCGATTAACCCAGATAATGTAGGCATGTCTTTGTGGACGGTGCTCGACATGCTGCGCAATGATCCACACTCCTTTCCACAAGTTGATGTGAAGTATGATCCAGACTCACCAATTAGTCCTGTGATACTGCATCTCCGCCCTCATCTCGACCTCTTATTCTCGGGCAAGCACCAGCGTTTGCATACCATTTGCCTGAAGAAGTTGCAGGATCCTCATCCTCCTGCTACTCTGCGATACAAGAACATGGTACTATCATCCCCTCAAGAAGTCTTAAGAAGGGTGGGTGTCAGCAGGGCGTTTGGGCCCACATACGCGGGTGATGATCTACGTTATCCTGGTGTATGGTTCAGCTTTGAGGAGGATGGGCGTGCCGATCCTCTGAGACCCACTTCTCCACACCCTGAGGAGAAAATGCAGGAAGTAAAACGTGTCATCATCTCCCAGAAAAGCGCGTCCGAGGAGTCGGAGGACGTTCTCTCCGAGGTCCAAGTGTGTGACGCCATGTACGGCGACGTCGAGAGTGTCACTGTGAAGGTATATAACCCTCCAACCACCATTAGAATGCACTCACGGATAACCGTGTCGGAAGGTGCATGACGGTATCGCTTTGAATTTCTACCCTTCCTCTAGTCCGCCGGTACATGTTCGCATAGGGATTACCACGGCGCAAGACCTTACGTGCGAACTGGGGACTCCTATACGCGTGCATTATAGAGAAGATAACAGGATGAACATACATTCAAAATCGAAAGAAGATGACCCAGACGTAGACACTGGGTGTCAGTTGACTCTTGTTCTATTAGATGTTTCACTCTTACTGAAGAGGCTGTACAGATTTTTACAACTATTTTCAGCATGGGATAGATTTCCTCATAGGAGGGACTACACATGTAGTCAAGAAGATCATCCTGCACACAAATCTGGTAAGCCTAGTCGTCCATCTCCTCGCAAATACTTGACACCGTCAGCCCGGCACGCCGTTATTTCAGCGATACAAGCGCTGTCCATGGGCGATAGAAGGACTACCGGAAGATGACGAGGATGGTAGGTAGTAGCTAACAGGATCATTGCGCTAGTCTAATTATTACCAGACACACCACCACGCAAGTGGTTTTACGACCGCGTACGTTCCCTGTATCTCACAGGTCGACTATTCACTCACTCGACATAGTTTGAGGATATCAGACATTTTCTCAGCCCGGGTGAAACCCCGCCTATAATGCGCCTGGACCGCACAGACGAGGAAGACGGACTGACCTTGCCAAACTCAGGCACCGGTGAGTTCTCGAGAGGATGTCTGTGAAAGTGACTGAGCCGTATTTTGTAGAGCTACTGGGCTTCGATGGTGTTGCACTCGAAGTAGACGAGAGCGCTCATGTCGTTGCCGTCATGCTCTTTTAACCTCCCCGATAGTCATTATGCAAGGCTTTGCATGGAATCAAGCATCAGTATCGAGCTACATGCATTTATCGCGGGGTACTCTATCTATTCCCACATGTCGTATTACGACTAAATAATGCGTTCCATGTTCTCTACTCTAAACTTTGAATTTGTACATCGGCATCCGCCTCACATCTGTGTCAACGACTCGTCTGTGCTCTTCTTGAACACATCGTTCCAAACGGTCCTCAGCTCCTCCAGTCGACCGATAACGGTAGCTTCAGGTAGGGCGTCCTTCCCGTCCGCGCCGATCTGTCTTGTTTTGCCGCCTTCCACGGTCTCTAGGCCCGCCTCACAAAAGTGAACGCACCGCCCCCACCCAAGTTTAACAGCAGCTGCGACATTGTTCCGGCTGTCATCGATGAAAAAGCACCTCTTAGGATCCTCGACACCTGCTTTCGACATAGCCTGTACGGTGATTTCTCGCTCAGTCTTCCAGGATAGGTATATAGGGTATGGCCGGCACGCACGTCAAGGTAGAACTGGGGTTCGGGCTTGCAGGAGAATTTGGGATCTGCGTAGTCGCAATAAATGACCCCCTCGATCAGGTCGTCGACCCCCAAGATTTGGAGGACGCGATATGCATGCTGTAATCTGGGTCAGTGTAGGCTGGCAAGAGTGCAGAAACCTGCCCACTGTCTTGTAAGCGTTCGTAAGAGCCCAGACTCTAGCGTTGCTTCGGTCAATATCCTGCAGCAGCTTTCGAAGATCGGGGTCGGGCTTGATCATATTCTCCAGTGGCAGAGATCCGTCACACTTCTTGTCGAAGTCAAGCGGATCTAGTATTCTAGTAAGCGAGGGATCGAGGGAATGTTAGAGCGAGGTCGTGCTACCTCACCGATCTCGTGGTGTCTGACTAGGCCTCTCAAAGCAAGACCGTACTCCGTATAATATTTATGGTGCAATTCGGTGGCACGATTCCGCTCCAGACCAAGACTGAGAAAGTAGGCTGATCATAGCAGCTAGTAAGAAAAAGAAGATACACCAATGAGATTGCAATACCATGTATACGCTCTCCCATTGCCTGTGAAATCTTTGAGCTCGCCGAATAGAGGGTGTTGTCGATGTCGAGGAAGATAACATTACGGTCATCAGTGACGGATTCTACCTCATCAAGGTTAGAGGAGAAGTTACAAGCAACTCTGTATCCCCATACCCTGCGGGCTCTCCACGGTCATATTGCGCATACAGCACGAAATGTTGGCAGGTGAAGGTGAAGTTGGGACGTCGGTCTGTCGTTGCTCCGAGGTGCGTCGGATAGTCGGCCCGAGCATCAAAGCACCGGTGCGTCGCTCACTATTTGTTACCGATGCTTTGTCACGGCGTCTGTAACACTCGTCACGGAAACGCTTTGTCACGCTAACCCAAGCCAGACAGTCGAGGCCGTCAACACTTTCAACAACCCTTAAGATCAACGCAGTGAGCATCGTTTCTTACTGTTCGGGCGTGGAATGTATGCTGGAGGAAGTTGCGATGCTGCTGGGAAGTCGAAAGAGACTTTGAGAAAGAATCCAAGGCTGGATGTCGAAGTCGCCGGACGGATGATGCACTACTCCTGAACTAGTGAGCCTATTCGTCCCGACCCTTTACTGATCACTTTGCACTAGATGGCTCGCAGCAAAGAGCTCGTCGTCGGCGTCGGACGGTTGTCCCGCTCGCAAGTCTTCGCTCGCCGCGGCCTCTTCAAGGGCCAGAAAAAATCAGAGAAGCCGGCTGCTGCTGAGGCCGCTCCCACCAAGGAGGTGCAGGTTGGCGGTGCCAACAACGGCAGCACTCGTCTCGTCCCCACTCAAAAGGCGGCACGCTTCTACCCTGCTGAGGACGTTCGCCGGCCCAAGAAGAATCGCAAGAACCCCAAACCCGCCAAGCTTCGGACATCCATCACCCCCGGTACCATTCTCATCCTCCTTGCTGGCCGCTTCGCAAGCAAGCGTGTCGTTTTCCTGAAGCAACTGGAGAGCGGGCTGTTGCTGGTTACCGGCCCACACAAGGTTAACGGTGTCCCTCTCCGTCGGGTCAATCAGGCGTACGTTATTGCCACCTCCACCAAGGTCGAGCTCGGCGACTTCAAGGTGCGAAGTCATCAAAACATTCTCGTATGATTGGAGTTCTCACACGGAAATCTGGATAGGTTGACGAGAAGATCAACGATGCTTACTTCGCTAAGCCAACTTCCAAAGGCAAGAACTCAGCGGAGGAGGAGTTTTTTGATGACGGAAAGCCCAGGGCGAAGGAGGCACTCCCTGAGTCCAGGGTTGCTGATCAGAAGGCCGTTGACTCTGCAGTCATTGCCGCGGTCAAGAAGACCGAGTACCTTTCTAAATACCTTCGGGCAAGCTGGGGTCTATCAAAGGGTCAGTTCCCTCACCAGCTGACCTTCTAAACATAGAAGTGTACATCTCAGGAGTGAGACGGCTGGAGAAGCTAGGCTGGTGGGGGCTAGTTTGGGAGAGAGGGCTCTTCGCTGTTTTTATGATATGCTTGTAGCACCATATGGTTTTTCTTCCCTCTTGCGACCCGACATGCCACCTCCACCAATGCATACCATATTCATTTCATATAGCTGACCGTGTTCCCTGAGATGATGGCTGGGAGATCTCGTATGAATGCCGTGAGTCTCGAAGCCGATACCTTTCTAATCGTGAAAGCGCAGAACTCATCTGGCGCTCGCGACTTCGCGAGAAGCAGATTACATGTTGGTCTTGTCCCCGTTCACCACTCGAGCCGCGGCACGGCATGTCGCTCGTATCCGAAGTCCACGAAAACCTTCAGTGGAGATTGTGGGCAAGCGTAGGGCTTTCACAACCGACATAATACAACGAGCCTCCGAGGGTTTCCTCGACCTCGCACTCGCAATTCCATTTCCAGAGTATATTCCACCATACTCAGGGACAATTATTCTTCTGACTGTCGCCACCCGGACAATACTGACCTTACCATTCTCTATCTGGGTATGTGAGCTGCATAGTCACCTACGCTCTGGTATTAACCCACTCAGGCCCGGAAACGTCAAAGGAAAACGGAAGAAGTCGTGATCCCGCTACTCAAAGCGGAACGCCCTGCAATACTGCGAAAGGTCCATGAGGAGATGCAGAGGGATGGCTTCCGAGGAAACAGAGAGGAAGCTATGAAGGAGCACGCAGGGCGAGCGCAGTCACTGGTGCGTCCGACCTGCGGTTCCAGATGCCTTAAGTCTTATGTGCACCCTCAGATAAAAGCGCGACAGAAAGAGCTTGCGAAACAGCATGGCTGCTCGGTCTTGCCAACAATGCTCATACCACCGCTTAGCCAACTTCCACTCTTCGTAGGCTTCTCGATGATGCTCGGTAGGGTCTCTGCGCCTCCGACCGTCCTGGACTCTGAGTCCTTCTTGACTTTCACATCCTTGTCACATGGTGACCCGACGGGAACACTCCCCATCATACTTGGTGTCATCACCTTTGCAAACGTAGACGCATCTCGGTGGTTCATGACCGCGGAGGCCCGTGCACGTGAACAGCAGGTCGCAGAGTGGACTACAAAACGGCGAGCAGCGGGAGAGACTGTCATTGAGCCAAAGAAGATTTTTCAAGCGTCATTGCGCGTGGCGTCCGTAGGGCGTATCCTCATTGCGCTTTTGGTCCCGGGAGTACGTCCCTATGCGTTGCATCGCCGTTCAACACTGATGGCGCGTACAGAGCATACAGCTGTACTGGGTAACCTCCGCCGCCTTTGGTCTTCTCCAAACATGGGCGCTGGACTGGTGGGAATTCCGAAGACGTCGCGCAAAAAGTGTTGTACAGGCCGTGGCGGAGAGTTCCAGAGAGGTGCCGTACGCTAACGAGAGAACGAAGGCAACGAACAAACACGAGTGAAAGATTGGCAATCGGCAAGTGTTCTCCTTACCCTTTTCCTCCGTATGATTTCAACTGTGGTCGGAGTGAACCTCGAACGGCTTCTCGATAGCGCATGGTTCACAGTGATTCCTCCTTGATCTAATATGACGGAATATTCATTATGCCCTCGTCGAAGCAAGTACTAATCTTCTCTATATAGATCTAGATGATATCCCTGCCTCAGTCCGTGGAGGATGCCGCTTCTGAGTCCTTGTAGGAGGTACATTTAGATCTTCTTCACCGGCCGCCCATCCCTGTTGTCCATATACCTCCCCACTCCTAAATGCCATGCCAGTCTCGGAATCATCAGTGTGAACCCTGAGACAATGGTGATCCATAGTGTCCCCTGCCACTTCTGCACCTCCCACCTATCGTCTCCAATTGCCCATAGGGTTAGGAAGATGTGGAGAAAGTCCCCCAAGAGCAATGGGGTCAGGAGGGCACCGACGATCTTCTCTTGTATCGCTGGCTGTGACCATAGATATTTCCGGGCAGCCCAGAGGACGAAGAAGTTGAGCAGGCCGAGCAGGCCGACCGTGTGTGCGAGCTGGAGCAGTGTCACCACTGCGGCCCTAGGCAACGGGCCCTGAGGTAATTCGTCTTGCGGCCACGGTGCCTGCTGTATGTACACCTGCGGATTCGTTCATAAAGCCCCTGCTGGAGATCCACGGACGCCCTCGACTCACCTGCTCTGGATATAGCAGGGCTCCTAGTGCACCCCCGGTTGCGAGAAGAGGCTCGTACCACCCAAAGACGAACCAGTAGAACACTGGCAAGGCTGAACTATGCTGCATGCGGATGGTGGTGGTAGAAGCGGGGGTCGTGGGGTGGGTCGTTGAAGGCAGGCTTATGTCTGGATCGGCCTTGCTCATCGGACGACCCGAGCACGGTGACGTTTACCGAAGGGGATGTTAGAAGAGAGGTTATTAACCAAGCTCAAAAGATCCGTGGGTAATATATGTGCGAGATAGACCGCTGTTCCGACTGTCAGTGAGGCCCGGCAAGGCACATGTCTTGATGAGGGGACGACGCCTGCGGTTAGATCGAGGCACAGGTTGTGACGGGGCTCTACGGCAAGGTCGTACCAGTGCGGCTCCGCAGAACATTTGGATAGCACCCGGATATGGCGGATCTCTTGCACGCTGTTACAGCTGCACGCGTTTGCGCTGCGCACTGCGGGAAAAGCCTTCTGGGAAACATCAAGTGGGTTCCGACCTGCCCTAAACGACACTATATTATGGTCGCCTGCCATTCTGCTGGCTTTTCATCTTACAACCACGGTCCATTTCTTACCCAGGCAGTCAGCTAGACGATATGCACGCTGTTCAGCTAAATGGCAGGACCAAGAGTACTCTGCCTAAGAGACGAAGGTTATAATGCTCTCCCCCACTTTTCTTGTGCTTCTCGGCACTTGTTGGGATGCGAGCTTCGCGCCTTCGGACATGTATTCCCTGTAGCGTTGACTGGTGCGGCAATATATCTCTTAGTAAAGTATATCCTCTGCGTTGGTGTGTGACCTTGCGTGAGTGTTTGAGTCCGGATTCCGGAATAGCTGGTAGTTTCTTGACGGTCGCACGGCGTCAGCAAGGTGTGTATCGTAAGCGCCTGTTATCCGTTTCTCTTCCCGCTTCTTTGGCGTTTCCTGTGGGATGATCACTTCGCGACATCTCTTCACCAGACCCTCACGGCTGTGACCAGACATCGAGTTAGCATCTTTAGCATGGCGACAGAGGATGGACTCAGTGCCACCCAGGCGAGCTCAGTCACGGAGAAGACGCCTCCTGAGGCTGGTGGTGCCTCCGACCCGCGCAGCCCTCTCGAGTCCGAGTTGGAACGGCGGGGCTCGATGCAGGATGCCAGGTCCTTGATATCCGAGGACATGCCTCCTGGCAATGAGGAAAAATTACCGCCAGCGAAGGTTTACCATCCGTTCTCTCCCCATGTTATCGCGCTCCTCATGCCTGCTTCAATATTTGGAGCCCTTGCTCGGGTAGGGCTCCTCGCTTTGACAACCTACGATGGGCGGGAAATATATCCTCTGGCATGGGTTCAAGCGGCTGGATGTTTAGTGATGGGTTTCGCTATTGGGATGAGGGAGCCCATTGGACAATTGTGAGTCTGGTGATCTCTGTCTATCATGCCCAGCCAAACTGACGGCCTCCGAGTTATGGTCCGTTATACACTGCGATCACGACAGGTTTCTGTGGCTCCCTTACCACATTCTCCAGCTGGCAGCTGGATGTGTTCACGTCGTGGTTGAATTCTACTCATGCTCACCACGACTGGCTAAGAGATGTAAGTTATCAATAGCTAGCGTAGACTCGGCTGACGTAAGTTCCAGGTCATCGATGGACTAGGTAAAACCATCTTCACCATAGCTATCTCCTTGTCAGCCGTGTCGTTTGGGGCCCACCTAGCGGCCGTCTTTGGGCAATACATCCCTCGATTCCCCCCTCCACCTCAGTGGTTGCGATACACGTTCACTGCCGTCTCGGTGTTCATATACGCCGCCGCCTACCCGGCCTACTTCCGAATGTCGCCTAGCTTCCGACATCAAGCTACCGCCGCTATCCTCTTCTCGTTCCCGGGAACCTTGACTCGCTACACATTGTCCATCAAAGTCAACCCGCTCCTGAAACTGTTTCCCCTTGGCACTTTCACTGCCAATGCAGTCGGCACCGCGCTCATCGGGACGTTTCACGTGCTACAAAGCACGCAGAGTCCCCCGTCACCGAACGGTTGCGACGTACTTCAAGGCCTGATTGACGGCTACTGCGGCTGTCTCACAACTGTCAGTACTTTCGCCACGGAAGTCGCCGCCCTATCAGTGGGGAGAGCATGGTTATACGTCGTTCTTAGCTGGGCGACGTGTCAATGCTTGCTGCTCGTTATCCTCGGCTCTTCCTATTGGGGTGGGAACGTCAGCGAGACAGTAACTTGTGTCTTCTCGAGTAATTGATCAAAGCATTACTAGTACAAGCTGTCTTTTCGCGACATCATCTAGAGCATGTGGTGGCTCAGTGTACAAGGTAAAATATCAATAGTAACATATGATAAACCAGATGCACTTTTTTTAAATACCTGTCAGCGCTCGCATCGGAAATTGCGTCAAGAACACCGACTCATGGCCTTGTGACTTAATATATAACTCGTTCTAGGTGTGCCGAACTAACTTGGCTTCACGGCATATCTATATTTCTGTCTGAAGCTTGTGAACTTACAACCGTATGCATGACATCGACTTTCGAGTCGAAATCCGTACGCGGTCCAATGTCGGTGCAAAACTGATGGAGTAGTTGGTCATATTTGGCAACCGTTGGCTCGAGATCCTCGTGGCGTCCACGTTCTGCAGTGCCAGTCGGCGGTCGTTGCATCTTGCACCTGCACTTCCTGTGATCATGTCACGACGGCCGCCGGAGGACGAGACGTTCTACCAGGATGCACAGGAAGGCGAGTTCGAGGACGCTGAGGAGGGAGTGAGCGGCGTAGGAGAGGGGGACGAGGTCATGCAGGAAGCTCAAGGAGAGGAAGAGTACAGTGAGTCGAGCTCCGTTATGTCGTTGTTCTCTTGTTTCTTCCATCGTCGGATGGCGGTGGATAGGGACGGTAACTGATCATGACTTGGAAATAGGCTCTTCTACTCCGACCTCGACGTTGACTTGGATCAGCTGGTTCTGCTCTTTGCCTGGACATGAGTATTTCTGCGAGGTCACGGAAGACTTCATCGAGGACGACTTCAATCTCACCGGGCTCAATGCGATGGTTCCGTTTTGGCGAGAGGCGATGGAAATGGTCCTTGACGTAGAGCCCGGTGCGCATTAACCCAACATCGCATACGCCTAGGTTATTGACTACTACAATACAGATGAGGAAACCTCCAAAATCCCAGATGTCTCTATCGTGGAAGCGTCAGCTGAATTGCTGTACGGTCTTGTGCATCAACGCTTCATCTTGACGCGGGCCGGGCTACAGGCCATGGTGCGTGGTCCAGACCATCGTCTCCTTCATTCGACCCTCAAGGCCTCACGGCTTGTAGGTGGACAAGTACGAAAACGGAACCTTTGGCTCATGCCCACGCGTCTTCTGTAATGGCACACATGTTGTGCCAAGCGGAAGGTCTGATCTGCCTGGCTTCGATACTGTGAAACTCTACTGCCCGAACTGCAACGACATTTATGCGCCTCCCAGCAGCCGTTTCCAAGGCGTTGACGGTGGGTACTATAGGTCGTTCAGTGTCTACTATACTGATTTATCATTAGGTGCGTTCTTTGGAACAACATTTGCGCATCTCTTCTTCCAGAGTTACCGCGAGCTTGCGCCAGCGCCGTTCTACAAGCCAACGCCACCAGCTTCCCCACGCTCTTCGGAAGAGGAGCTTGTTGAGTCATCAGCATTCAACAACCCCAACCCCCATGGTGGACAGAAGAAGCCTGAAGGCAAGGTTTATCATTCGAAGATTTATGGCTTCCGCGTGAGTGAGCTTGCGAAGAACGGGCCACGCATGCAGTGGATGCGCATGCGCCCGCAGTCGCCAGCAGAGTTGGACACCGTTGACTGGAGAGGCCACTTCTACTCCGACGAAGAGGATTACGGCGACGATGAACACCACGAAGATCAGGATCGTCCGATGGAGGACTTTGATCCCGTACGTGCTACCGTTCGCTTGTTGGACCGGTTAAATGTCTTACAGGTCATTTTTACAGGATGATAACGGGGAGGGGGACGAAGATGAAGAGGAAGAGGAAGAGGAGGAAGAGGAGGACGGGGGTAAGAGGAGCCATGGCCATGGTCGGACGCGCGGCACGCTCCCACACTCCCCAACTATGTCTCCTCCCTCGAGTGCCCCTCCACGCACGCCACGAGATATTCTCAGCTCTTTCCGCACCTCCCCGCCTGCCCAAAAGGTGCAGTCATCTTCTGGCAGCTCTAGGGTAAAAGTTGTGCGACAATGGGTTCCGTCTAGAGGAGTGGCTGCCCACTGATTTGTATATACACATTTTTATTCTTGTTCTCGATACCGTATACACTAATGTTGGTCCGGCTATTATACATGTAGGAACTTTACGGTTTCGCATCGTAAACGCTGGCGTAATATAAAGCATTCAAATCGAATAGCTCGTGAGAACTACTTAGGTAATGGAGGACTGTACAGGTCTAAGCCACCAGTTTTGCCGCCCGTGTGGATTTCGACGCTGCACAGCTCGATACGAGCAAGCCTCCCTCCAACACTCAAGAAAATGGCTCGCAGCAGTGCGTGTTGGCGTTCCTATGCAGGATATATTGTGGGCCGGGATGCTGACAGTGCAATTTCTTTTGGCGATTTTTGGACTAGACCTCCGTGTCGGCTTGAACAAGGGCCACCCCACGACTCCCCTCGAGAAGAGGGCCAAGCCCTCCCACCGCAAGGGCATTCAGTCTGTGAGGACGAAGCTCGTCCGCTCTGTTGTCCGGGAAGTCGCCGGATTTGCGGCGTATGAGCGTCGGGTTATGGAACTATTGAGGAACTCTAAAGTGCGTGCTCGAAGCCATCACTTGAGAGACTGCTTTATTGAAGGTCGTTTTTACACTTTCATAGGATAAAAAGGCTAGGAAGCTGGCCAAGAAACGGGTATGTCTGCAAGATTTGCCAAGTGTATACTACAAAAGTCTAATGGGACTATGATAGTTGGGCACCCTTCTGCGCTCAAAGCGCAAGCTCGAAGAGCTCGGCACCATTATTACGGAGAGTCGCAGGACCGGACACTAAACAAAGCATCCTCTCTGCTCCTCTCGGTGTGGACGGTTGGGTCCTTCGGCTTCATGGCTGCGCTCTCATTGTATCTATGCGTTCTCTCCATATCCAAATTTGGTGCCATCTATCACCGCACAACCGAACGCGGGGCTCCAGTGTATTGCGAGTATTATTGGGAGATGTATAGGGATTCCATCGATGGCACGCGGTGGAGGTGTCAACATTAGCACAGGGCTCTGCGGGACGAGGTAGCGGATATGTCTATCAGGAATGACTCGCCCGGCGCATGGCTGTAGCAACGTCGCTACCGTTTCTGACTCTGAATGATAGATGGCTCCAAACCCACGATTATTACCGAGAGCCGCTTTGAGACGAAGGTCGTCGTCCTCGGCAGACCGATCGGTGCTAGGAGCCGGCTCGTGTGGGAGGACTGGCTGACTGATCGAGGCTGACGGAGAAGGCTGAGGTGACAATTTACTGTTTCCGGCGATATACGTAAGCTCTGTGACTTGCTTGGCGCTGGGGCACGCGTATGCCGAATGATGCCGCGGCGGGAGGGGTTGCCTCTTGTTTTACTTGTAAGCTCGTAACGGTTATTTCGGGGAGCCTCCCTCTCTCAAAGTCCTCCTCCTAGACTCCCGCCCTGAAGCATGGCCAGCCTCGCTCCTCCACCTCATCCACTCAACAGACACCGTGCTTCATCTACAAATGTGAGGCCGCCCCTCACTCTTGGTTCCCTCGGTCGGCGACGGTCCAACTCTGACCTGCCCCCTCTCTGCCACACTCCTTCTCCAGTAGGCACTCCCACTATGCAGAAGGACGTCTCGCCTCTCGAGCTCGACATTCCGTCGTCGACCCACAAGCTGCTCGCGAAGGCTACTTTTGTCGAGCTCTATTCGCGCTTCATGGAGCTCTTTCACACAGCCCAGAAGGAGTCACCGTACTCCTCCGAGCCCTCGTCCCCGCGTCTAAGCCGTTCGAGTACGAGCACAGAGGACAGCATCCTGCCGATATCATCACCAACAGCTGCGTCCTTCCGTGAAGCATATTCAGAAAAACCTACAGCAATTAAGCCTGCATCTTCGTGGTGGCATGGCACACCATCCGTACGTCCGTGCTCTTTCGAACGAGGAGGTCTGTGCTGACCACTATGGCCCGTTCACTCCAGGTCCACACTCCTGTATTCTTCGTTATTGCTATGTTTCCGCTATCGACCGCGCTGCTGTTGTTCTTCATGTCCACCCTGCCTATCACCACAGCATGGCCCCGAAATCTCACCGATCTTGCGCAGCTTGGGCGTGAGCTGCACGGGTACTCTCAGAGCGGAGCAGGACCGATGGCTCATGTCATTGGAGTCCTATCTGTCATCGTTACTTGGAATCACGCCTGGTCCATTCCGGGCAGTGTCCTCTGGGTATGTAATAAACTACATCTACGTTTCGCACAGGCTGACTGATTTGCTTCGTGTTCGTCAGAACGTCCTTGCAGGCGCTCTGTTCTCGCCCGCTCTCGCGACTGTCCTTCTAACGCTCCTCACAACAATCGGATCAATCTTTGCGAGCCTTCTGGCGGCGCCATTAGCGCCGTATGTCGTGAGGTATTTTCCGAGGGCACTTGACCTTACGCGGAACGCAATCGAAGGTGCCTCGACCGACAGCTCGAAGTCGTCACCGTGGATCAGACTCTCGATTCTACGCCTCATCGGCGTTGTGCCGTGGTCGGGGATCAACATTGCGTGTGGAGTCTGTGGAGTACCAATGCTGGACTGCTTCCTCGGCTCCTTCATCGGTTCCTTGCCCTGGACCGCTGTCACATGCCAGATCGGCGATATCCTCCAGACAGTCGCGTCTACTCCGTCGCCAACTCCACAAAGCATTCAATCACTGCTCACTTCTCCGGAAATAATCTTCAAACTCGTGTTCCTCTCGTTCCTCTCTCTCGCGCCGATTCTCGGCCGCAAGCACCTGCAGGCATTAGTGTCGCATTCAACTTCCTCCGCGGACGAGCTCGAGATGTCAATGGCTCCAGGCGAGGAGAGAGTGGCGCGTTGGGCATGGATTAAGGACTGGCGTGAACGGATCCGCGTCCCGTCACGGTCCCGGGCCCGTGACAGCTCCCGCCAGGAGTTGCGAGTGCTCATTCAGGAGAAAAACGCGAGTCTCCCGCTGTGAGCGGATGCGCGGCGGTTATTGCCATTGGTTACTTTCACGACTTCCGACTTTGTCGTTACGACCTCGTCGGTTCACGCATCCACGATACTCACGCCCACGGCTACCCCGTGGCAGTCACGATCGTCCACACTATTCATATTCGCCTCCTCGCACCTTTCACATGTTCATCCACCTGTTGCATTGCTCTAGACCTCAGCATTTCGACCGGTACATCTCGGAAGCACCTCCGCAACGCATCGTCGACCATACCGCATTCTATGTCCTCACTAGTGCCGCGCACGTTATCATATTCAAATACTCCCATACGATGTCGTTGAAATGCGTCTTTCCACGACATTTGCTCCGTATTGTTCGATTGGGCGCTACTTTACGACTCCTAATGCCACTCTTCCATTCATTGTTGATGATACCTCTAATTCCAACCATCTACTTGCATATGGGGACCAGCCCACTGCAGGTGCTATTTGGTTGGTCTACTTATCTATTTATCACACTGCTTAGTTGCCCATTTGCTGTTCATTCGTCGTCCTGATAACTCGCCTCAGCACGCTAGGCGAGTGGGTATATTTTCTGGGTTGCATTACTGTCGATAGCTTGTCGGTCGCTTGAAATCATAAATCTTGTCCCTATTCTTTTTTGTGATCATGGGTCGCATGTGCAACGCTTCGACGATTCTCGTCGTCTCTGCGCACGTACACTGGGATTGTCAGAAGCGGCAGAAACGACCGATCAGGGGCGTGGCGCCCATCGTGACGCCGTACTTGCGCGCTGAGGTTGCGGTGCACAGCAGAGAGCTTCATCAGCTATCCACTTCCCAGTATAAGTTGTCAGCACCTCATATATGCCATACTCACTATCAGCCTGAGCACACGACGACATCCAGGCACCTGTTGTGAACCTGCATTGCCTACTCCCATACGACCACCACACGCCATCTCCACGACTAACCGCCATGTCTCTGCTGCAACATCTTTCCTCCGTCCCGCTCTTTTTCAGCACGCTCCTTCTCTGGAAACCAAAAGACTCGACGTTAGCTTACCTCGTCATATGGCTTCTACGAATCATCATCTTTTCTCTGCTATTTCGCTCGTTCCTGGGCCCTACCATTCTTCGCTTGGTCTCTCGCCGTCTGAGAGTGCAAAGCGTCAGCTTGCGCTCGATACGAGGAATATACTTCCGTGCGGGGAACAGCATGCTGCACATTGACCGCATAGGCTTGTCCTATCACAAACCCTCTGCGCTTGACGCGAGCCGTTTCTCGATACGGGTCGAGGGGTTCCGGCTTGAACTCGCTAAGACCGGCCAGCAACGCCCACTGAAGAGGTCGTCCACAGGCAATACTCAGAAGCAACGCGTGTCCGTGCTCGATGCTTACCCCGCCCTGCAACGCGCGCTGGCTATGCTGAAGCCAGCGGGTCAATGGGTGTGGTCGTCGCTGGAGCCGTACGTCCGCCCTACCTTACGCGCCGCTGTCGTGTCCGTGCTCCGTGTCATGATACGGGCCCTCCCTACGCTGACTCAGGTTCTGGACTTGGAGATCAACTCTGCGATTGTCTCGTCGTCCGTTATTTCTGGTGCCGAACTCGTCGTCCGCAAGGCCAAGTTCCACACCAGTGTCGCGTTCACCCAGCTCGATAATTCGAACACGACCACGAGACCAGTACCCGTAACACCAACCCGAGCAATCCATAGGCGGCTTGCAAGTGTCGCCAACTTCAATACAAGGGTCAAGAATAGCCTTAGACGGACGTGGGGACGAGCGTGGGGCTCTACTCAGGTCGCAGTTGCGTTGTCTCTAAATATTCACGAAGTCCTCGGAGTTGCTTCCGATGTGCTGCTGGAGGAACTGAAGAGTCCTATCAGAGGTATGTACACACTCTTCGTTTATCTTTATGCACCTTCACACCTGATAAATGCGTATCAGGCCGGCACGCTTTCTTCGCCATCCCCCAGGTGGCGTTCGCAACATCTGTTCGACTGAATCCTCGGCAGCAAGTAGAACGTCATGGGCTGGATATTTCTTTCGGTGCTGGCCCGGTAAACCTTGACGTGGAAGTTGTGCAACACATCCTGGACATTCTGAAGGCGCTCCGCAAGCCCTCTGAAAATGACCCTTCCACTCCGCCTCGACCTGTGCCCAGCCCTGATGGTGTAGCCAGCCCTGCAAGCATGGCGAGTCCCGGAGACATAATGATCCCCAGAAGCATCACGAGCCCACAGAGTGCGGCAAGTCCGCCCTTCTCCAGTCCGCCGTTGTCGCCGCGTTCGTCGATCCTATGGGCTTCTCCGCTGTCTCCAAATTCCCCCTTAATGGGAGCGCTTTCCGTGAGCTCTCTTTCCGTAAGTTCTCGGCGTTGCAATATATCGTTATATGCACTCATGGTCTCTTCTATGGCGCTATAGGCACGGTTCCGTTGGCGGGAGAAGCACCCGTCAAAGAGGATACAAGCGCGAAAGGCAGTCGTATGTTACTCTAGTCGTTGCTTTATCTCGCTTCCTGTTCTAAATTTACGTAGGCTAGAATCTCTATGCTCAAAGCCATTCGTATCAACTTTCCTAGTGTTACCCTTGTGCATCACATGACGATACAGGCAGACCAACATACAGAGACCTTCACTGCGAACCTCGAACAGATAGCGGTCAATGTCGACTTAAGTCATCCAGATCGCATTTCTCTGCACCGAGAGCACCTTGGCCGCACCAGTGCGCCAGGCGATCCCCTCACCGCTGACGTTTATCAGGTCAGCTTCTCGGTCGAGCACGCTTCTCTCGACCGAATGGGTGCCGGAGCCCCACAAGATCGTTTGCGAGTCCTTTCAGTAGGACCCTTGAAAATGGAGGTCCTTATTTCTCAGTGGCCATCCCCGTGGCTGCAGGGCCCTTCGTTCCTTTCCGGTGATCCAAACGCTCAGTTCCTTATTGCAAGACTCTCGCTCGGTAACATCGAGATCACCGGACGTCTGGAGATTATCAAGCAATTATTAGATCGGAAGAAACTTCCTAGGACGCCTTCACCGTCTGAACCTCCACCATTACTCCCTCCTGTTCTCTATCCAGTGCCCAGATTATCTTTCGGTTTCCATGTCGGCGATATCTGCGTTCGTCTCATTGGTTCCGAGGAGACATCACCCTTTGCCCTTGAGACCCGAACAAGTGGTTTCGTGGCTACCTTCGACACCGCTTTCCAGGTCCTTCCAGACAGCAAGTTCACTAAGGTGTCTCCGGATCCTGACCGACCTCGTCTGCGAATGCGCATCGACGGACGGGCCGAGCTGCACAGAACGTTCATCAGCATCGTTCGAGGGCCCGAGGGCAATGTCCATGATGCTGAAGGTGCTACTGGTGGTTCGCTCTACCCCGGTGAACCATTAGTCTCGCTGGATACCGTGCAGTTTGTTGCTCGAGGGCACGGTTTCGGAGAGCTTGCGGATGAAGCTGGAGAGGGTGTCGCGATCGACGCGCCGTCCCTCTTCCTAGACACTTCGTGTTCTACCGAGGCGCTGTCCGTCGAACTCTGGCAGCCGGACGCAATGGCCGCACTCAAAATTGTGCTTACCAGCATTTCCAGCACAGAACAATCGATTACTCCTCCAACACCCAGTAATCCGAAATACCTACTGAGCGCGCTCCCTGCAGGCATTTCCACATCGTTCGCAATTGGTCGATTCATGGTCTTTATAGCAGGGCCAGACCTCGCGCCTGGAGAAGATATGGCTATCTTGCGTGGCGTCGCCTTCCATACCGGGATTGGCTTCCACTATTGTTCCCTGCGCGACACGCATTCGAAGGGCCTGGCAGACATCATCCCACGAACCCAGAAACGCTTGCAGCTGTCACTAGCGACCGAATTGCTCTCGACTGCCGCAGGAGGCACCGGCGCCGCCACGCTCTCGCAGTCCGAACGCGCTTTGGTTGAGATCGTGCTCTGGGACACCGCCCTGCGCGATGCGCTCGCGACGCGATATGTTGCTGACGACCCCTTTGGTGTTGGCGACATTAGCGAGGACTACAGGTCAAAGGAGTATTTGAGGGTTGAACAAGTGACTGTCGGCGCCGTTATCTCCGGGCGCCGCCTCGGCGGCATTCCTATGGCGGGCACGAAGGATGACTGTGCCGTTTCGGTCGCTGTATCACGCATACGGGGCAGCGTTCACTTGGCTCACGCATACAACCTGCTCCTTGCTGCCGAGGCGTTGAAGAATATTCTTCCTCCTCCGAAACCTAGGCCGCCTGTGGACCGCGGGCCCTCCACCTTGTCGGTTGCCCTGCAATGTCATGTGGACAGGGTCCAGCTCCTTTGGAAGTTCCCCCTCAGAATGAAGCTGTACATGCGCATAACGAATCTTACCTTCCGCAAGGGCAGCAACGGCAAACTGAATCTAGGCTGGGAAAGCATTCTCCTGTCAGTACCCGTCTCTGTCGAGCGTGATGGCGCCATCCGGCCAGTCTGGGAAGAGCTGGCTCGCTTGCTCAAGTTCTCCATCGACATTCAGCCCGATATTCGCCCCATGGGTATCATCGCGGAAGGCCACAGCGCTCGCCTGCGCATCCCATTCGACTACGTCCTCGCCGATCTCATTCTCGACATCAACATCACTCTGAAGTCGATGAAGCACCTTGTCCGCATGGTACCCACCGGTCAGTTTTTCAACCCGCCGACTCCTGAGGCTGAGGACGCGAAAATTGTACCAAACGTCTCCCTTCGTCTGGGCTGTCTTTGCGCTGAGGCGGCCGACGATCCGTTCGAGGCACGACTTGGTCTCATCTGGCGAACGGGATTTGACGCGGCACGGATACGCTCAGATCGCGACGGCGCCTTCGAAGCGAAGGCGACCACCATATTAGCAGCCAGAGGAGAAGAGCTGCCTCCTTCGGCGACAGGCATTCATTCTGACTTCCAATTCACGTCCGAGCATACAATCTCTATTGAAGAAGCACGCCTCCGGCTGAACCAAGTTCATTCTGGAGTTTGGATATCGCGTTTCAAACAAGCTCGAGTACAGCAGATCCGACAGCAACAGGCGGACAGTAGAAGGCTATACATCAAAAGCTCGTTATACGGCGATAATGACGATGACCTGGTGCCGATCGTCGAACCTGCGTTTGTGCCGCCCATGTTCCGACTGAAATGCGAGGATTTGAATCTCAAGTTAGCGGGCCCCTCCTTCACCGTCGATGGCCTTCCGGACTTCCTGTACAAAGAGGGTGGTGGGATGCCGAAGGATATGAAGTATTCGCTGCTGATTCCGATGCACCTCAACTTCTCTGTCTCCTCCCTGCGTCTGTCTTCCCGAGAATACCCTCTCCCGCTGCTGAATATCCCCGCGCATTCAAAGATAGGGGAGGCCGGTCTGATATTCGATAGCAATGTAGTCATCGCGGAGGAGATGGGCACGGAAGAGTCTGTCGAATGGGTGGACTGCGCAATTGTTCGTCCACATGCCGGACTCCATGGCGCGTCACCGCTGTACATCACGATACCAAAGACCATAATGCCGGTAAAGACCTACGCGCATCCGCACATCCGCGTCAACACCGATGACGTGACGGATTTCGCGTGGGGTCTTAGCTATGGGCCGGTCACGCAGGACATCATGAGAGTGGTGGATACGCTTTCACATGCACCAAGGGATAGCTCTCCTGCAATTGGATTTTGGGACAAGGTACGCCTGTCTACTCTTCCTTTGACCGGACGCGGTTGACAAGTGGACAGCTGCGGTTAGTGTTTCACTGGAGGTTCCGAGTTACGTTCGAAAATGAAGTTCATCTGCACATGAAAGGTTGGGTCGTCTCGATCCCTCTCACATCATCCGCTAACATTGCAGTAGGCTCCAACGACCCTCATGCTCTCCGTGGCCCAGGGTCGGGCTTTGCGCTATGCTGGGAAGGCAGTCCTACTCTCAGGATTAACCATCCAAACCCACAGCATGAGCTGATCCAATTGACAAGCGAGAGTCTCATGATCATCGTTCCGAAGTACGTCTCGCCCGCCCGTTCGCGTAGAAGGTGGTTGGCTGATGCACGAGTATAGCGTGGAAGAATCATACGGAGAGACATCGACCATGAATTCGCCTGTGGACCATGATGACCCTTCATCCCAATGGAAACAGTATACCACTCGACTTCGCAAGACGCGGCGGTCTCGCAAGGTCGTCGCCAAATTTGGTGCAGGCTCTCGATTTGGTGTGGGTATCTCTCTCGAGCGGTCGTGTGACTCGGAATGCATCAAGTGCACTGGCGATGCCTTCCATCGGCACTGTCGCTTTTTTGACTCGAAACCTCATTTCGCGGTAAAGCTAGAGAAGAAAGATCACAAACCTCTTGTTAACGTACGTCATGCTATCTGTTTCCAAGCTCGGATACTAATTACGAGTACAGAGCGCAGAAGACTCGTACGCCGGTTTCCGATCCGACTTCATTCACTTGGCGCTCTCCCTCACTTCAGGCCTACAAGTCGGTGCAACCAAGCACAGTAGTATTCACCTTTCTCCGTCTGTCTTTGCGCAGTTCTGGTCGTGGTGGACACTTTTCGATGGCAAGTCCCTGCCCATTCGTCAAGGTCGTCGCTACAAACACAAGCGACCGCTCTCTCCTAAGTTCGGTCAGCATCTGGCGACAATCAAATACCGCATCGAGATCCCTCGATTGTTCTTGTCGCACGTCTATATGGACGAGAGTCAGGATGCCTGGACAGATGGCGTGACACCGTTTGTTGGTCTGAAGGCCTCGATAGGACGCTTCACAGCGGATATGCATCAACGTGCTCAGGAGAGTGTCATTGCCAAGCCCGATGGAACTACTAAAACAGTCACGCACAAGCCTTTCTATGCAGTTGAAGTGGTGCTGGACAACATGGAACTCCGAACCATGCTCGCTATCTTCCAAGAGCCCCTCAAGCAACGTATTCCGCTAGAGCCCTCGCAGGTTGAGAGTACGTACCGCACGAGGGAAGGCATTCCCGCTACCGCAAAGGGCTCTAAATGGATCGACATGGATGACTTTATTGATTTGAACTGGTCACCGAGTAGCGACCCAGAAGTACACGATCTCCTCGTCGGGTCTTGCCCACGGTTCACATATTTCAAGCGTCATTATCTCAATCAGATGAAAGATCGCGTGGAATATACGAAGTTTGGCGACGAAGACAGCCATGAATGTTTCCTCGGCAAGGAAGCATGTACGTATTGTCAAAAATGTTTTTTTTTTCGCTAACGCCTGCTTCCCAGCTGTGCCTCGCATCCAAATGGCCATTGCATTGGAGCGTATTGAGGAGCTCCAAAATCAGTTAACTGGTGGCTCAGACCCATGTTCGCCAGGTCTATCCGCCTCGGATGTGCGTTCGCTGTCCACTTCACGATGCAATATATATAACTGATGGTCTGCGCCTATAGAAGTCAAGTGTCGACACAAAATACATGATATCGCTGCTGGAAGGTTATGTCGCTCACCTCAAGAAGGTGGACGCGCAGTCTCAGAGCGCGTTTCACACTGGACCACTAACTTATTATATGCCTGCTGACTCTGTAAGCCCTGACGACTGGGCAAATTTCGATAACGTGTATCAAGTACACTGCCCTAATCTCTATCTCGACAATATAATTCGCGATGTAAGCATCTTCCTCTTTCTATCTCTGGTAGTTCTGACCATGTTGCTGTGCAGATAATAATGCAATACTACCACTGCTCTCGCTCGCATCGGGGCTTCGAATACCATATGGCTACCCGGTGTGTTCTTTCTTAGTCTTTTATGGCCTCGCTATTGACTGGGCATAGCGCTGTCAAATTTATCCGAGACCAAGCCTTAGCGGCTATTGCTAACTTGCAGCACGGAGCGGAGGAAGGAAGACACAGGGGATCAATCGCTGCTACAAGCGCCCAAGCTGCTGCACAGGCTGTCCGCAAGATTCTGGGCGGCGGCGACGATGACCGAAGGCCGTCCGTTGATATCTCAGTCGAGCCGAATGCTCAGCATCCTGACATCAAGGACCCGCTGAAGGGTTGGTCGGAAGGAGTGTCGCTGAGTAAAGCACACTTCTGTCTGCTGCTCAAGCCTCAAATCGTGCTTCGAAGTGAGACTAGTACCGAATCTGTCTGTGTCTTGGCTGCTGTGCAGGGCAAGCTACAATCGTACCACATTCTCGACGACGCAAATGTCGACGACCCTATCAGTGGACGCGTTATGAGCAGGTGAGATAAAAATAGAAACATATTCTTGGGCATAGCTTACATCTCACTCCAAGGAACTTCGCCTCGTTGACGGGCCTACAGGCGTTCTCGCCCTCCGCTATCAACAAGTTCGGCCAAGGCGTGGTACCACTCGAGGTGCTCATCGACTTGAAGTGCGGAACCAACTTCTTCGACAGGCTGGTGCCTCAGACGGACGCCACACTCCAGTACGACAAATTTAACAGGCTTCGGCTACGAAACAACGTCAACTCCGTCACTCGCAAGAGTAGCGATTCCGATGACCAAAGTGTCAACCATCTGGAGAGCCAGAACGTAAGTGTGGCTGCTCTTTCATAATATACACCACTATTAATAATCACTTCCGTAGGATCTCGTCCGGATTCATGTGCCACGATTCACTGTCACTGCTAATGATCGTCACTTCCAAGCCATTTCAAACATCGTCACGAACCTCATCCTGTTCTCCGATGCGGCGCACAAGATGCGTGCCGACAGGCTGGAGAAGATGCTTTTCAGTTACGACTTCACCAATCTGGCTTCTGCTGCGGATGTCGTGGCCAAACTCCAGTACCGTCTCCGGCTTGCAGTCGAGACACGACGCGAAGCAGAACGGAAGCTGCAAGGCCACGGTGAATTGGGCGAAGTTGAGAAGCTCAAAATCGATGCGCACATCCTGCTTCTAGCAGAGGAGCTTGACTACGTCTTCGAGGCCATCAAACTTGCCCAGGATAAGGCGGATGGCCTAGCAGCACAGAAGTCGGCGTTGCTGCTGCACGCATCGTCCTCGGAGATTTCGTGGCGCATGATCGACCGGCATGAACAACTACTCGCCAAGCTAGCAATGCGCGATATTGACTTCCACTGGCTCAATAGACAAGACAGTTCGACGGTCAATAACTTGTTGGTCGGCGATCTGCAGGCGTTCGATGGCGCTGCTGATGCAGAGTGGACGGAGATCTTGTCGAAGTATGACGAGCCTGCGAGTCACCCACTCGTCAAGGTAAGCCATTTGCACCATAGAGTAGTCCACAATCGACTGACATGACCTCGAAAGCGGAAGTTATTCTGCGTTGCAGAGTGGACTGTTCTACCGCCTGTCGGAGGCATCACCATCTACCAGAGCTTCGAGCTCAGTCTACATCCAATGCGTTTGCAGATCGATTCAAGAGTCGGACGCCGAATTATGGAGTATGTCTGGCCGGCACGCAGGCGGAGACAGCAGAACGGTGGTGAGGACACGCCTGAGCATGATATCGAGGACCTACACCTGCCCCCATCAGCTCCGTCATCGCCTGTAGATTTCCGCAGCCCACTTCCAACGCCCTCGGTTCACAGCCCCGCGCCGAGACCCACGCGTCGTGCATCTGCGGATCTGCCTTCGCCGTCGCGCGAGAACACGCTGACAGTGCCGGGCCTGCGTAAGACGCCGACTTCGCGCTCATTCACGGACCTGCGCAAGGTGGCGCAAAACGACGCATTGGGTGTGCCGAGGCTGGAAAAAACGAAGTCCTCGGACGCACTGTTCGCCCTGTCGACGAGTTCGTCGGGGCAAATGTCGAGAACGTCAAACGAATCTAGGACATCGACGCGTCGCAAGCAGGAAACGGATGACGCGGCGGTGATGAAGACGCGGTCGTCCCAGAAGACGTTCGTGTGGGTGAAGGTGTCGAGTCTGCATCTGCTGCTTAGCATCATGAAGGAGAATTCATTCTTCTGTCGGGACGCTCGGATTCGGACGCGAGACCTCGAGTACAGAAACCAGACGTGCAGTGTAAGTGATCTCGTTCTTATCGAAACAAAATATCTGCTCACTTTCGCAGTTTGAGGAACTGGTCGACCAATTCATTCCATCAGGCAGGAACTGGAAGGGCTGGGTTAAGATAGCTTTCAACCAGCCCCTTGTGCCGGTGCTTCCTGTCGCCCGTGAGATCATATCAAAGACCAAGTGGGTTTCGAAGGGACATAATCACCAGACAAATACCCCGAGAGGAAGTGGCGCAGCAAGCCCACAGACCCGGCAGCAGTCGCTCATTCCAGGAATACCCAAACGACTGCGGACGATTTCCACTATGACGATCAAGGGGAAACAGACGCCATACGAAAAGGACAAGAACTTATCGGTGTCGGCACTGGGCTTGATGACAGAGCCAGAATCTATGATCCCAGACGAGGTGTCTAGTGCATCCGAGCTAGAGAACCGAAAACCCAAGCGACAGCTCCTCAAAGTCTTTAAGCGTCGCCGCTCAGCGTCCCGGGTGCGAAGCAGCATGGACTCCACTAGCTCGGTATCGGTACGTGCCTCTATTTTTACTAGTTGATCTTCGTGGGTTTAACGTTGGTTTAATGTCCGTCAGACCATTGCATCCTCGACGTCTTCAATACGCCCTAGTACTCCGGAAACGGCTCGGCCGCCGCTAGAGCATCGGTCTGTCTCCGACTCCTACGTGTGAGCAGTGTTCTTGCGTTAGTAGTAATCTGTTTTGTTGTCCGGAGAATATACCCCTATCGCTGTCAGTCCTTGTTTGTCGTGCGGACCAGAACGGGCACACGAGGGAAACTCGCGGCCGGATGTTCGGAGGACAGCCCCTATGACATAATAATAAGCGCCATAAGCTGCACTTGGCATCGGACGAGGCGTCTCTTGCGCCTAGCCTGAGTGCACTCCACCTCCAATGACTATTACTATTTACTCGTCCCTTACCCCGACACAACAACCTCCTCTTTCACGACCACTAACGTTTCTTCACGCTTCGTTGACGACCTCTCATTCCCTCCGTCCCTCAAGGTCATGCACTCAGTCCGCGTCAAGCGCGGCCAGTATAATCCCCTCCCTGACGTCTATCAGGGAGGCGGACAAGGGCGGCCCAGGTCGCGCTCTCTCGCCACCGTGCTAGGCAGCCCAAGGACTCCAGCGCAGTCAGTGGCATCACCTCCGACCCCTCAATTCACACCCCAGCCTGAAGGCAGCGGCCATGCGCGACCACGCTCGCACACGACAGCGGTGCCGTCCGACAGGCCTCCCCTCAGTGGCCCCAGCACACCCAGAATGACTTCAAGCAAGATCCAGACCCATATCATGAACCGGAGGCATGCAGATTCGTACTACCACCACCAACATCCCGATGTGGTGCGGGGAAAGGCACCAGCCAACGAGTCAACAGTCGACGGCCGACAGCGGAGGGGTTCGATCGCGTTGGAGGGCTCTGCCGAGAATGTGGTCTATCGTGGAAACGGCGACCACTTCGGTATGATAGGCAGCGCCTTGAGCGCGTGCGACGGAGAGGTGGACGACAAACACCACGAGGACGACATAGTGGAGCACCTCGACGTGATAGGTACGCCGAACCCGGTTGTGACCCCTGGCTTGTTGACAAGCCGCTTCCTCCAGACCCTGCCATTGCTACAGTATCCACTTTGACCAATGCGGCCAATGCAATTGTCATGTGAGTATCTTCACTTTTATACCCGGGGAACGTGCTAGAACGTGCGCAGCCCGCCGCTCGACTGGTACTCGCGTAAATGTACCGTAGTGCTTCCGGACGTTCCCGTCCGGGAGCCGACTTCCGACGCAGAGAAAGGCCAGATGCATGAAGATAATCTGGACCGTCATGTCGAGGATGTTCTCTCGAAGCGCGACCGGTACCGGCGGATTGCTAGTGGCGTATGGGCTTTCATGAAAACTCGTGAGTCTATCATGTGACGTGTATACAAAACAGATGCTGATCTTGATTTTAGCTATGGGCGTAAGTGCGGGTCGCAATGCCGTCTGCTCTTTGGAGGTTGACGCATCTTCCACCGACAGATCATTGTCACAATATACGGTTTCCTTGTAGGTGAGTATACCCGCCACATGTTCTCGCCTCATGGTGCTAATGCTACTTTCAGTGTTTTGGGGCACGGGCATCGTGCTCTTCCTCGCAAGAATGATCAACCTTCACAACAAAAACGACCAGGATTTCTGGGTTGAGCTTTGCCAGCAAGTGGAAACTGGTATGCTTCCCCACATTTGTGAAGTTGGCTCTATTACTCACGGAATCTAGGTCTATTCACGGCGACCAGTATCGGCCTAATTCCCTTCCGCGTGTTGGATACTTGGCGTGAGTCGTCTTTACGTGCATGTAAGACACGTCTTGCTGAGTTTCCATGGCTTTCGCCTTAGGTGTAACGAAGATATGGCGTTACCAGAGGATCACAATTAAACGCCGGAAAAAGGCAGGCATACCAGACTTGTACGACAACAACGATCTGCCGGACCCGCTATACGATGAGAATCATATACACGTCCTAACTGACAAGGAGCAAGCCGATTTGCACTATCGTATGTCATTGAAGCTTTATTTGCCTGCGGATTTCTACAAGATCTGTTTGCAGAGCAACACAAGTTTATGCAGTCGCAGACTTGGTACCGACCTCACGGAACGTCCACTCATCGAGTACGTAGCATGTAATGTCTTGTCAATCCGTTTACTGACTACGGCATGCACAGGCATTTCCGATAGAGTAAGTCAGATTCAACCGAATGTGGAGGCAAGTTTGAACAGTTGTAATCTAGACTCGCTCTGTGGATTTGCGTCATGAACGACCTCAATTCCTTCTTCCAATGCCTGCTAAGTGCATGTATGTGGAGTATGGATCGCTTCGAACGACCAGCGTGGACGACAGCAACGACTCTCCCTGCAGCCTTCGTGAGTGCACGTTTTGAAGACATGCATATCTGCGCGATCGCTTACAGCATCCACAGGTGTCAGGTATAGTTGCAGGCGTACTTATCTGGCAGGGCGGAAAGAAGACACGTCGACATGAGCAGGTCGAGCAGCGTCTTCGCGCTGCACTCGCGATGGAGAAGCCCATAATCAGAGTCACGGACGGCATTGACTCACAAGCCTCACTTCCGGGCGTACCTGAGTTGAGGACAGGGACCTCAGACTCCACGCCGACGCTCACGGCGAACAGCTCGCCACGTTCGAAAGATTACCTCTTCAACGGCGAGAGCAGCAGCTCAGATCTACGCGTCGAGGAGATGCCACGGCGTCAGGAGAACCCGCGACTGATGACACGCATCTCGGAGCACCACGACTCTGAGCAGCGGTCATCTGCTGCTGCGTGGAGCCACCGGGCGTCGGTGGGCAGCTCGCGGTCGGTGCCGATTGCGGAGCAGATGACCGTCCCGGCTGCGGAGGACCTTTATGATCGGGCGAATCCATGGGAGAAATCGTAGTGACGTGTTGCGTCGGTTGCTCGTCCCGCAGTTATTGCTTTACATTTATGTTTACCCTGCGGTCTTTTTTGCTCTAGTTCTCATGTACAAGTTACATTAATACCCAAGTGCAAATCCTGTATGTACTATGCGAGACACCTAAAGTTTTCCGTTTAATGCACCTCCGCCGTTTTATATGTTTCATCGGCGGCTTGGTAGGCGTCTAATAAATATTCGGTCCTAACACCAAATAGGAAAGTGTAGTCTGCCATATGCTTGCGAGCTGTGGAGCTCGAACGTTCAGAGTACTCACGTCGACCATAACTATCGCATCTGCTTTCACTAATATGTCTGGTAAACCGCCGACCCCTGGTGAAGGCACCGCAAACAAATCTGGAGGATACCGCGGGTCCGGGCGTGGCAACTGGCGCGGACGCGGCCGTGGAGACAGTCGTCGCGATAGACCTGCGAAACACGGCGGAGGCAGTACTCAGGATGGTGCGCAGGAGGATCCAAGTGCCCCTGTACGAGAGAAGTACGAGTCAAAGCCTCCGTTGACACACTGTCAGTGGCATTTTCATCTTACGCTAGCACCACAAGGTTTGCTGAGAAACAACGTACACATCACGGTGGGCAGTTCTCGCACTGCCTCTGGTAGATATCTGTCCCGCTGTTTTACGGACCCGCTCTCACACGGCTTCCCACAGGGCCACCACGCCGACCTGCGCGAGCGCGTGTCCGCCTTCACGCGCTCGCTGCTCGACAGCGCGCCCGCGATCCCGGGGCTCGATGAATCCGTCGTCATCTCCCCACGCAGGCTGCACATCACGCTCGGGGTCATGTCCCTCAGCGACGCCTTACCCGACGCCTTGCCTTCCAGATCAGGCCCTGCTTCCACCCAGGCTGGAGAGAGCGCATCCGGGACCCCGCGCACGGTCGCCGCAGCCCTCGCGCTCCTGCGCGAACTGCGGCCGCGCGTGCAGGCGCTGCTCGCGGGCGCACCGCTCCGTGTCGCGCTGCGGCACGTCGACATCATGCGCCCTGACAGGGGCGACCCCGAGCGCGCGCACGTCATGTGGGCGGGCCCATCGCTCGATAGCGAAGACGCGCGTCACTTGAAGCGCGTCGCAGGTCAGTGCTAGCTCGCATGCAGCGACACTTACCGTCGCTGACGGGGTTTTTCTAGAGTTTGTGAACGGGGAGTTCAGGAAGGCGGGGCTCGTCGTTAACGAGAGGCGACCCCTCAAGGTGAGCGCCGCCGGTGTGCGGGCTTGGCTCAAGCTGACGTGAGCTCGGCTTCGCAGTTGCACTGTACGATCCTGAACACAGTTTATCGACGCCCTAAACCTAGAGGTCCGCGGGTGCCATTCTCGTACACCGCTGTCCTCTCGTCGCCGGCCTTCGAGGCTATCAAGGTCCAGAACCAAGGCGTGGCTGCTGAAGCCACAGTAAAAGAAGCAGATATTTCTGTTCCCGAGCTCACAGAGGCAGCTGCAGAAGTGTCAGTAACTGCAATGCAAAGGCGAAACGATAGGCGGAAATCTGTCGAGGTAGGCCTTGGAGAATACACCATCGATGAGATTCAAGTCTGCAAGATGGGCAGCTGGGGCCCCGAAGGCGAATACGTTTGCGTTGGCAGTATCGCTCTCGACTGAGCACGCGCCGTAGTCATGTTGGGTACACGAAATGTATTGCATTTTGCACTAGTACATCAGATTCGATCATACAGCTCCTCGCAGTTGAAGCGCTTTTGGTTCGGATTGTTGAAATCCAATGAGCACCATGTCATCTCCGACGCAGCCGCCGCACCCATCGCACACTACTGAAGACAGTGAGTGCACGAGAAGGTAGGTCCAATCCGTCCGCCGCGCATGAAAACATGAGAGCAGCGAGACGTCCCAGCCTGTCCGGCGGCCACGCTATGGCTCCTCGGCCCGATAATAATTATCACTTCGCCACAACTAACCCTTTGGTTGAACATTGCGCACGTCGCGTCCGAAAGAACGACGACGGCCCACTTAAGTTAACCGTAAAAGCGGGCGCTGTTGAAGCGCAAGGATGATCGCGTTTAAGCGTGGTTCTGGCGGGCCCAGCGAGCGGCGTTGACGAGGTTGGCGAGCGACGCCTCCGTCTCCTTCCAGCCACGGGTCTTGAGACCACAGTCAGGGTTGACGTACAGGAGGTCAGCCGGGAGAGTCTGGAGCATCGCAGCGATGCGGTCCTTGATCTCCTGCTCAGAGGGAACACGAGGGGAGTGGATGTCGTAGACACCGGGGCCAATCTTGTTGGAGTAGCCGTACCGCTTGAAGGTGTTGAGCAGCTTCAAGTCGCTCTTCGAGGCCTCGATAGAGATGACATCGGCGTCAAGGTCCTGAATGGAGCTGAAGATGTCGTCGAAGTCGGAATAGCAGAAGTGGGAGTGGGTCTGCAGAGCATCGGTGACGCCGGCGGTGGCGAGCTTGAAGGAAGGAAGAGCCCAACCGAGATACGCATCCCAGTCAACCCTGCGAAGAGGAAGCTATACAGAAGTAATCAGTCAAGGCCCATATCAGAAACAGGTGAATGAAACTTACACCCTCACGGAGAGCGGGCTCATCAACCTGGACAGCGTGAATGCCAGCATGCTCAAGGTCGATGACCTCATCGCGGAGCGCGAGCGCGAGCTGTTTGCACTGGACCTCACGCGAGACATCGACACGAGGGAAAGACCAGTTGAGAATAGTGACGGGGCCGGTCAACATTCCCTTCATAGGCTTGGTGGTGAGGCTCTGGGCGTACTTAGACCACTCGACGGTCATAGGGCCAGGGCGGGAGACATCAGAGACGATGATGGGAGGGCGGACGTAGCGAGAGCCGTAGGACTGGACCCAGGCGTTCTCGGTGAAGACGAAGCCGTTGAGACGCTCGCCAAAGTACTGAACCATGTCGTTGCGTTCAGGTTCACCGTGAACGAGCATGTCAAGGCCAATGCGCTCCTGGAAGCGAACAACGCTCTCAATCTCCTTCTTGATGAACTCATTGTACTCCTCCTCGGTGATCTCCTTCTTGCCGAGCTTGGCACGAGCGGTACGAATCTCCTTGGTCTGGGGGAAAGACCCAATCGTAGTGGTGGGGAACTTGGGGAGCTGGAGCTTCTGCTTCTGGACCTCATTGCGGACAGCGAAGGGACTCTTGCGGTTCAGCATATCGGGGGTGATGGCAGCAACGCGCTTGCGGACGGCATCGTCAGAGGTGCGCTCGAAGTCGCGGCGCTTGGTGATCGAAGCCTTGTTGGCCTCGAAGGCAGCAGTGACCTTGGAGTCCTGAGAGCTAGACAGGACGGCAGCGATGGTGGCAACCTCCTCGGCTTTCTCGAGAGCGAATGCGAACCAGTCCTTGTGCTCGGCGGACATCTTCTTCTCGCCCGCGAGGGTGACAGGAGTGTGAAGAAGCGAAGAAGAGGTCGCGACGATGACGCGCTCGCTGCCAATGACCTCAATGGCTTTCTGGCCAAGCTTCACGGAAGCAGCGATATCGTTTTTCCAGATGCTACGACCGGAGACGACGCCGAGGGAAAGGACGATGTTGGTGGACTTGATAACCTCGAGGACCTGTGTGAGCTGCTCGGGAGCGCGATCGAGGTCGATATGGAGACCAGCAACGCCGAGCTTGGGGACGATTTTGACATTAGAGTCGAGGCGGCCGTAGTAGGTTGCGAGCAGGATGGCAGGGGCGACGGGGACGAGCTCCTTGTAGGCGGTCGAGAAGGCAGCCTCGTGGTTAGCAGCGACGTCGAGAACGAGGATGGGCTCGTCGACCTGGACCCACTCTGCGCCAGCATCTTTGAGCTCGCTCAAGAGCTGCTTGTAGACGAGGAGCAGCTTGGGGAGGAGGGAGATGGGCTGGAAGCCAGGCTTAGCCTCCTTAGCCGCCTTGCCGAGGACAAGGAAGGAGATAGGGCCGAGGACGACGGGACGGGTAACAACGCCAGCGAGCTGAGCCTCCTTGAACTCTTCAACAGCCTTGTTGAAGAGAAGCTTGAACTCGGTCTCCTCAGAGAACTCTGGGACGACGAAGTGATAGTTGGAGTCGAACCTAGAATATCACGAGGTGATGAGAAGCCGCGCAGATAGTCCATGTTAGGAAAATTACGTACCACTTCTTCATCTCAGAAGCGGGGACATCGACACCATCACCCTGACGGCCACGGCCCATTGCGAAGTAGACATCGAGGGGGGAAAGTTTGTGGCCGAGGTAACGCTTGGGAATGACGTTAAACGCGGCAGAATGGTCTAAGACGTGGTCGTAGAGGGAGAAGTCGCCACTATGTATCACCTGATTAGCGCGGTGTTTCACGTTACAAGATAGACGTCGGCGTACCTGGGGATGAAGTCGACACCGTGCTGCTTGAGGCTGGTCCAGCTGGTCTTCTTGACATCGGCAGCAGCCTTGGTGAGCTCGTCGGCAGAGAGCTTGCCAGCCCAGTACGCCTCAACAGCCTTCTTGACTTCACGGTTGGCGCCTAATTAACATTCAAAACGTCAGTGACCCTTGCCTGCCAAACCTTTGGGGTTGCCCATTGCTTACCGATGCGGGGGAAACCGAGGACGCTGGAGTGAACCATTGCGAGACGCCTAAGGATGGAGATGGAGATGTTGAGGGGGGAAGAAGAGAGAATGGGGGAGGGAAAGCTGGTACGACGCTACTTTATATGCACTAGATTTTGGGTAGCACGTGTGCTTAGCGCCGTCTATGCTGATCGATTTGGCGTTGGTTGCGTGCTTGCCCCAGAACGTTTACCGTATTACGTTTCGACAGCGGTACACCGCCAACTTGCGCACGGGTGATAACCAGGTGAAAAGCGCTCGCGGAGAGCAGAAGCCGCGCGTCTGATCTCAAGAGTCAGTGCGTCTGAAAATCAGGAGTATTCCGACATCGTTCGGACCGTATGAGTTCACGTCTGCAACACGCCCGAGCGTACGTCCGCAACACATATGTGCGGATTCCGTGTAACATTAGCAGTTCGCACATAAGTCGGTCAATTTTTCTGGACCGGATTTCCTCTTGCCGCCGTACAATTTCGTGCACAACAGGCAGTAAATGTGTGGATAATTAGTTGTTTATTTGGTATATATATGCGGAGGTCACGCTGCTACTACATTAATCAGCATTATTGACAATCTCGTCAATTTCCTGTTGCCACACATTGGTGGTCCGAGGGAACGAAGCCGATTCTGCCATGTTTTCTACACCATGAATGTGGCGATCCTCCAATGTGTCACGAAAA